GTTTGAGTAGCTCCTTTCGACAAATGAGCGGATCACTTTTGTGTAAGTAACAATGTCACTCATCACCTATTTACCACATCTCCCAGTTGTTGATGAGACTGCCACGTTTGATCATGCGGGGTGGAATTTTCTGGGAAAACCGGAGAAGTTACGCAATACAAAAATACCAAATTCTCTTTGTAGGCGGACTCTAGTAGCTGGTCGTGCAATAAACAGAGTCGAGTTTGTCATGCTTTGCGAATGTGCTGCGGCGGCGCCTTGCTGTTCGAGATTTATCGGCGTCGAATAGCAGTCGCCAATCGTGTGATGCTACGCCTGTCATTTTTAGACCCGGCGGAGTTTAGAATGTGACGCGATAAGCTTCAGAAGTTTTCTACTTTGGGGGTTTTTGTATTCCATAAATGGATTCTATCAGTACTCCGAGTGTCAACAAAGATGCCGCGATATCAACACGAAAACATTCTCCGACTTCGATTTTAGAACTCGTCGAAGCAAATCTGTTGCAAGTGGTCGGACCAACTGCTGCGTCGATCACGGGCACGGGTCGCGACTCGTAAACAGAAGACACCACAACTGGAAGAGTTTGTTGTACAACTTGAGTATTTACATGCAAGAATTGTCATGTGCCTTCGCGCTCGGCTGTTGAACGATTTGTATTTATTTCATGTCGAACTGCAAACTTTTCATTCGGGAAAAGCGAACTTCAATGTTTTTCTACTTGTGGACGCGGAGAAGATTTTCTTGTTGATATGAACGGGCCAAATTGGCGGCCTAAAAAAAATCGAAGCAGGTACTGCAATGATGATGGAGCACTAACCTCTTCAAAATCTATAAGTAGTTAATCGTGATGGATTGCAGGGTAATTGCCTGCTTTTGCGTGCTTGGTATATGAGTGCGACAGCCTGCGTTCAAACATACAAAAAAATTATCAGCCTGCCAGTTCGGGTGTCGTTTCCCGCCTGTCCTTTATGATAGTGATCTACTCGGGCTGACTGATGTCGAAAAAAAAAAAATATGATACAACTTTTTCCGTTTTGATCAGCGTGCTTAGAAGCACGGCCTTTGCAGGGTTGAGAGGCATATATTTTTCGACATCATGCCACTCGAATAGTTGCGATGCATAAAAGCGATGTTAGGTCGGAACACCGGGTCCCCGAGCGGTAGCTCGGCTAGTTTTGGGCTTCCGACTACGCCGACGACTACTACTGGCGCTTCGAGTTCGGCTAGTTCTGGATTACCGACTACCCCGACGACTACTACCGGCGCTTCGAGTGGGGACGTGCCGATGGTGAACGCTGAAGAGGCAGAAAATATCTTGGCTGGCGGCGGAAGAATGAAGGATGAGAATTGAGTATGATCAGGCGAATAGAAAACGTCAGGAAGTCACACAGAAATACTTTTTTTTTCGTCTAGACATGGGTGTACGACAGTGACATGTACTACCACCGTCGAGATATGAGTGTAGCTGTGTAAAGGATTTCAGGTGCACGAAATGTATATGCATTATTGTAGTGGGGACTTGCTCTACAATTCGAATGATAGACGAAGACTTCTGTAGTGTTGTAGAAGTATTCGAAATACCATCGTGCGGATTTAGTGTTTTTTTATAGAAAAAAGAAGAATTTTAGAGTTCGCCCTATCGAACATAGAAATCACAGCGGTTTTTTTTTTGCATTAGCGAGCTCAGGTATCTGAGCGGTATTGTGCTAGATGAAGAGTCTTGAGAAGAATTTTTTCTTCAACCGCGAACTTCAAACCACGTATGACATTCCCGTGGACACGGAGGTGCAGTAGAGGTGCAACGCACTTACTTTGTTGACTGAGAACATTTCGATGTGAAACGTGTCGGTACGAATTTTCATCGGATAACTACACGCCACGGTAGGAAGGAACTTCTGCATGTATACAAAATCGATCCGATCTTCACGACATTGGCCTGCGCTCTATTCTGGGTGGCGCGCGATGTGTTCAGCTTGAACTTCAGCGGAGGAATTGCGTGGATAAGAGAATCTGCCCGAGTGAATGAAATGTAGTTCGTGAGGGTGTGCGAAAGTGTACGGCTGTGAGGTATATTGAAGGTCGACATTAGTTCGAAGTCGAGTGAATTAGTGGATCGATGTCCGCGAGTGAAAAATAGAAACTCTCGACGATATTTTCGACGAAAGAGTACCAAGGATGTATCGCAATTTTACACCGATGATGAAAATTCGTTCGACGTTGGCAACGATCAGGCGGAGCACAAAATAGAAATTTATGAGTGAAAAAATAAAGAAAAGGAGTTCCGACATATTTTACAACTTGAAGATGTGAGCCATAATGTAAATGTCCTCCCACTATAGAAAAATAGCTTCTCGTTCTTATTTTCAAAGTCATCGGAAAAACATTACGTGGGCCATTCAATCACGCCAACAGGGATTCGAAAGTTGTGTCAACAGGTCAAAGAAAATGTCTGAAACCGAACAGAAAGCCGCCACCACTTTGAAGCGAAAAACTTCGCCGGTGTTAGACACGGAACAGGCCGCGCCGCCTCTGAAAACGAAAGATGAAGATGCTGACGGGGCCGAACTATCACTGAAGATGCAAGATGGAAAGGTACAAATTGAACTGTTGGACTGTGTAGAAATTTTCTTAATCGTTGCTGGCATTGAAAAAGTTGCGACGGAACAATAGAAAATTATTACAGTTGCTTCTCATAGAGGAGTTGCATGCTGAAAGTATTTTTGTATGACAGTGAGCTCGATTCATCGTAGCAAATGATTAAACACTACAGATGGAGAAACCACCAAAGTCACCTCCGACGGCCGCAGCGCCAGACTCCGAGGCGATGACCGCGATGACGGAGTCGGTGGAGATGATCCGCGACCTTCTGGAGCCGGCCACGCCGGAGGAGTCGGCTGATGTTGTTGACGACGATGCCCGAAAAACTCCCACCACCGGCGTCGAGTCGACGCTCCGACTGAACGATCCGGATTTTGAGTTGTACTCACCGGTCGCGAAGCGACCCCGTTGCGACAGCACGGAGTAGATGGCTACTGTGAATGTAAACAATGCTTCGAAAGTCATGCGTACGTAGGTACGAATGCGAGACTCGGACGACCGTCGTCGTTCGGTGAATGTGTATGAAATGAACATGCTGGCGGCACACAATATACTGAACTTTCATCGACCTGATTTTTTTGATCTGCGTTGGGGTGATTCCTGGCGCACGTATTTCTTCTTCTAGTCGTCAATGCATCGACTCGCGATAGGACGAATGGCACAGAAAATATATTCTGCATAGTAGACAATGGCTGGGATCTAAAAAAGACATAGCCTTCTTGCAATATCGCACTTCTTACCATCAATTTGTCTCGTGCATGTTCCCAAATTGTGCGACACGCCCGGGTGGATCAGATATAACACGACGATGCGAGGCTTTGGAAGCAGACGTGATGACCATTCGATCTCTAGTAGGATGCTAGTATGATGATGAAAGTCGTTCACGCCATGTCTATCGTTTTAAACTCACGACGACATGAAATTTGTAAGATTTGAAAAATTCGTTCTCGCTTGGATCGTGATCGAAAATTCGTCAGATGGTCGTAAGAGCAAGGTCATCGTAATCATACAGGTGGCGAAAAAACGCGAAGTTTCGTCATCGTGACTCAAATAAGATGCGAAATCCTCTTGCTTACTAAAACGCGCATGTGTATCGATCAACGGCGAGTAGACATCGTAGTGAATTTGGTAATATTTTTTCAGGGTTTTCGCGACGGCTAGCTGTAGTTCGACGTTTGTTAGATTTGTCAGAAGAATGGAAGATAGTCCCTCGTCCACCTCGCCCGCGGCTGGTGATGCCAGCACGCAATCGGGGAACAAAGCCGCGACTACTAACGATGAAAACGACAGCGACTTCTTTGCTCCCATCGCCATGCGCGACGGAGTTCCCATGGTCAAGGAGTATGCTTGTTCCGAATGCGGCGCCGTTTTCCCCACATTGATGGATCATCAATGTTACCACGAACGCCGCGGATTTGACCACGCGGTACTCTATTTTTCAGCTTGGAGCAGTACGGGTTTTACATCTTTCGCCTTTTAGTTTTTGGAATTAGCTCGGAGTGAGAGTGGAAGTCAACAAATCTCTGGTGGTGTGATTTCGCAATTATTATCTACATAACCACACCATAAAATTTTCGCAGGTTGAAGAAGTTTGGACGGAAGACCTTCCGGACGGGTTTGCATTGTGCCACGACTACAATGCGGCTGCGACTCTCAGTGCTCACCTCGATGGAGATCGGTCCACGAATCCAGGACCATCGGTACAATAGTTGAAGTCAGAGTGTTGATGATGTTCATAATGCGTCGATGTTTATAAAATTTATTGCTCTACTGCATGTTCTACTTTGTAAAAACGTAAACGCCGGTCGAGAATTAGTCCGCAGCGGTACACCGAGGTTAGAAGTTGCGTGTGCAATTGCATCCATCATTACAGCATTGTTCCATGCGTGAGCGATGGAACAAACAACATCAGCTCCCGATTTCCAAAGTTCGCGCTGCTGAATATGAAGGGAATATCTTCGGAGGATCGGTCGCCAAGCCGACGGATCAGGGGAACGGTAAGAACGTGCAACCGGTCGTAACTGCGAAGGCTGAAGAAGGCAAAACCCGGATCGTCAATTTTTTAGGACGGGAAGTGGAAAATCAATGTCGCGGGGCTGGATGCACACCTAGTTCGAAATGCGATCCCTGCATTTTTGAAGAAAAATTCATCCTGTGCCCGTCGGCAGACGACCGTGCTCGTGTAGAACGTGCCACTGCTCGCCTACGCCAGACGGACCGCAAGCCGTCGGAAGATGCTCCAGCAGAGCCCGCATCTTCGAATTGGGAAGATCTGTACGATGATCAGGAGCTGGATGATTTGACGTCTGGGTGGTATGGAGTTGCACTCTCCATCCGCAGGTCAGGAAAGATTGACTAAGACCAAGCGTACCTGTTGTCGAAGATAGCAACTTGTACTATGAAACAACTTTTCGTTCTTTCATTCTTCTGATGAACTACTAACTGACCACAGAAAATCAAAAGGCAAGCCTGACGATCAGCGTGCTACAGAAAGCGGGCCGTTTGCTACTGCTCGCGTCAATTAGCGCGTGGTGTTCGCGATGCAGTTCATCGGTCGGAGGAGAGGAACTCGAGGCGGTTCGGTCTTGGTTGAATGCTTCGAAAAGAAAACTACGAATTTTTGCTATTTCAATGATCCACCACCTTTCATATAAAATAGATCACAAAGGAAGAATTCGGTATCACATTATAGATGAGCCACACTGAGGTCAACTAAAAAAAATTTGAAAAAGATGAAGACGATGAAGTTCATTGGCAGTTTGCAAAACGAAGAAGAGCACACTTAGGAATTTTTTTTCTGAGGTTGTAGGGATCTGGATCTGGAGTGAATTTTCGCTTGGCGAAAAACAAAACATGTGCTGCGTGTGTCGCAATGACAGTCTGTATCATCTATGCGAAAAAGAAGCCGATAAATTTTGCGATTACTCACTCACCAAAATATCAAAGTGTAGCTCTCATTCCAGGCTTATTAGAAAGTGCTCGCTTGTCGTTGTGCAAGATTGTATCGTGATCTTATAATTTGTTTGTTCTTTTCATGTAGTTCTACTTGCGATTGATCTCATATATGGTACCGCCCAAAGCTCGGAACATTGTCACTCTTTTTGAGTTGAAAATTTGATGTGAAATAATATCAACCCGACGGACTACTACTTTTGCAATGACGACACGAAGTAAATACTCGCGAAAGGATCAGGTGCTGACACTTCGGTCAGATGTAATGTACCACCGTGTCACTTCCAGTAATCCGGGTCGGGGCGTGCCTCGTAGCGAATACATTTGGGTCGGCGATAGCTACGGAGTGACCGTCCAGAGTACGCGGTACATCACTTCCTGTATCGAAGAAAAACCGTGCCAGTGTAATCTTTTTTTTGTTGGCAGCAGCATCACTTTGTTTGAGATGACCGAGGAAGCCCAACGTGGGTGGTTTGTAGAGAACACACATATGAAGAAGAGCACCACAGCTGCGTACTATCAGATACAAAAACCACGCACGATCTGTAATTCATTTTATACATGTATCGTTTTTCTTTGGGAAATTCCGGTTTCTTGTTTCTCAACGGCCACGTAACCAACGACCGGAACAACGACGCGAAATTCTTCTGGCTAGCGGAATCTGGTACGTTCAATCATGGCGTAGTGGTAAGTATCCGCTAGTCTACCACTGCGGCATCACGGAGGAGTATGCGGCTGCCGTGCGGGAAGCCTTTCAACATGTTCGATTTATCGACCTGAAGACCGTGCCTTCGTTTCATTTTAGTTGATTGTCATGCCGCAAGTTTCCTGTGTTCATAATTTTGAAATAATTTTGAAGTAACACGTAGGCATGAAATTAAGGCCGGGTTTTCGTCGATACGTCCTGACATATACCTTTTTGATGGGGAATCGTTGTGACAGAAATAGTGAATTGAAGGTATCAAGGTGAACGCGCTCCAGGAAACGTCTGAAGTTGTGTGAAAGATGAAAATCACATAAAGTCGAGGGAACGGATGAGATTTTTCGTATAAACAATAAAGTCCCCCACTTGAATCACGAAAGCAAAAGCACCGGCGGAAGGTGATGGAGCGCGGGAGGGAGGGGGCGGGGGGCGGGCCACGGGCCTCGGATGTTCTTATATTTGCCTTTATTCTTGACGTGTCCAGCTTCCATCGTCGAAACAGAAAGAGATAGTCTGCGGTTTATCTACTTTTGTTGTTGTGTGAAGTCTCCGCCTCCCTGGGCGGTATACAAATACAGGTTTGGACTTCTTGCATCAAGAGGATCATTCGTAACATCTTCATTGAAAAACAACAAAGATCAAAAAAAATTGGGCGGCGCCAGCCCTGGCAATTCCGGGCCTATTTCGGTGCTATTTTTCCTACGGTTGCCGTGTTTGTTTTTCTGCCTATTTTCCTGCTAATTCCCTGTCTAATTTCTTGTCTAATTTTTTGTCTATTTCTTTGTCTAATTTCCTGTCTATTTTTTGCCTGATTCCCCGCCTGTGTTTGCCTGTTTCTTGGCTAATTTTGGCGACTTTTTTTTTTCGCTGCGAAAACCAAAAGCCCCGGAATTAGGCGAGAAATAGGCAAAAAAATAGGCGCGCTGCCTCTGTGCGCGGGGGGCCTGGGCTGTTGGCCCTGCGCGTTTTGGTTTTCCTTTTTTTGTTTTTTTCTTTGCTTCCCTGGCTTGGCGGCCACTCGGGTCGCCTTGGTGCGCATGGGCTTTGACCGTTTGGAAATTAGCACCGAGATAGGCAGTGCCCCGCCGGGGGCGGCGCTGGCCTAAAAAAAAAATTCTTGGCAGGAGTACTCAGTCTTCAAACAGGTTGTCGCGTTATGATTTTCTTAGTGCGGGGGGCCCACGCCCCCCCCCGCCCCCCCTCCACCCGTATTTTAAGATTTGAGAGGCCCCCCTCCCACCCGTAATCTTTATTCATCGTGCAGGTAGTCGCAATGTTTGCGGGTCGGCTCGAAGTAAGTTTCTACTATGAAGAAACTCGATTGGTCTGCGGTTTATCTACTTTTGTTGTTGTGTGAAGTCTCCGCCTCCCTGGGCGGTATACAAATACAGGTTTGGACTTCTTGCATCAAGAGGATCATTCGTAACATCTTCATTGAAAAACAACAAAGATCAAAAAAAAAAATTCTTGGCAGGAGTATTCAGTCTTCAAACAGGTTGTCGCGTTATGATTTTCTTAGTGCGGGGGGCCCACGCCCCCCCCCGCCCCCCCTCCACCCGTATTTTAAGATTTGAGATTGAGATCTGATATCTAAGATTTGAGCTTGAGATTCGATAGATGACCTGCGATGTGTTTAAGATGTTTTAAGATTTGAGATTGAGATAAGATTTGATAATTAAGATTTTTTAAGATATAAGATTGAAATAAGATTTGAGATTGGGATAAGATTTGATAGATCATCTGAGATCGATTTAAGATTTCTTAAGATTTGAGATCGAGGTGAAGAATTAAGATTTGGATTGTGAATCAGATTGAGATTTGACTTGAAATTGATTTATTCAATTTGAATTATTCATGAAGTTGAATTATTCAAGTTGAACTATTCACGAAGTTGAACTATTCAATTTGAACTATTCACGAAGTTGAACTATTCAATTTGAACTATTCACGAAATTGAACTATTCAATTTGAACTATTCACGAAATTGAACTATTCAATTTGAACTATTCACGAAATTGAACTATTCAATTTGAATTATTCACGAAGTTGAACTATTCAATTTGAACTATTCACGAAATTGAACTATTCAATTTGAATTATTCACGAAATTGAACTATTCAATTTGAACTATTCACGAAATTGAACTATTCAATTTGAATTATTCACGAAATTGAACTATTCGGGAGTCTTGCGATAAAATTGTAGATATGACTATCAATAATTGCTATGCCGCCAGATGGAGATGCAGCAGAGAGCGTGTTTCTGCCACGAAAATGGAAGCCGACCTTCTGGCGTGGATCACGACAGCATGATAAAAACACATCTGCAGATGGTTTTATTTAGTTGCGCGCAAAGAAAAACACTGGCATAGAGAAATCACATACGAAGCTGAGCATCAAGGCTATGACCACAAGTGCAGTCGCTTGCCTGTGCTACTGGAGACGCAATCCAATGTAGTCTAGTCACATTAGAAGTGTCTTTTATACGAATCTGCAGTACTAGCTGCAACGAGAAGCAACAGAAAGATGTTCAACTTGATTTCACAGAGGATCCTAGAAGACAGATGAGTAACCCGTTGTGGTGCAGCACTCAGTTCCTCTCTCTTTTCTATTTACAACACATTTGCATCATTACCATTACGGTCACTTCCTTCTTTAATCTCCACACCGCTATGATTTGTCTGGTTTTCCTTTTGAAGCTCGCGCGATTCATCCGTTAACGACAAGCACCAAGCGCCGAAGTTCAAAATCATTGCCATTGTTGTAACAACTTCCTATGTCGTCTTCCTAAATCTGAATTATCTCAACGACTCGCGTCCTTGTTCCTTTATTCCTTTACCAACAGCGACAAAAAAAAAAAAACAACAAACACTAGAAATACTTCGCTTTTTGACCACGACTTGGCGGCACGAACACATAGACCATGTTTTAGTTTTTCTTTCGAAGATGAAAGCGATTCGACTTGTAGCCACCGTGAGCAGTAGAACCGTTTGAATTATGTAAGACGAGAAACATCAAAAACCTATACACATTGGCGACAGGAGCAATTTCCTCCAAAAATCAAAGATGGTTTCCGTGGCGGTGTCCCTCCCCCGCACCATCACCTCCGCGGGGGGTGTCCTCGCCCAGCTAGAAGAGCAGGACAACGTGCTGAAAGCGGAAGCGCTGGTCCAGCTTGACAGTGTGGTGGACCAGTTTTGGCCCGAGTTGGCGGATAATCTGGAAGTGATAGAATTGCTCGCGGAAGATGAAAGCTTCAGCGGGAAAAAGCGGGCTTGCTTGGTACAATAGTTTTTTGATGCGGTTAGTACGACGAGAAGTCTGTTAGATCCTGCCATGCAGAATTGAAATTCTGCAACTACAACCAACTAAAGTGCCGCGATTCAACCATCCAATATGGTTCGCTTGCGAGACCAGGAACAGGCCACCTTTAGATGAACCAATACCTCCCATCAACTGGTTCTACAAACGAAAAAATGACAGGTCCTTTCCAAAGTGAACTACCACTTGGAGCTTTACGACATTGCCCTGGAATACGCTCTCGGTGCGGAAGAGTTTTTCAAGTTGACCGACCGGACGGAGTACGTGGAAAAAATGGTGACGAAGTGCATTGACAAGTACATCGTCTACAAGCAGGAGATGGACAACGGAAAAACCGACCTTCCCGCCCTGGACAGCCGGCTGCTCGACATTGTGGAACGCATGTTCGCGCGGTGTAAAAAGGACCAGGAGTGGTAGAGCTTTATTTTTTAGAAATTTGATACGACATCATGTCGTGCTCATGCTCATCGAGGCGAGTGCTTTCGCGTTTTTCAATATCGACGTTGAAGTAGACGAAAATGTACCTGTTTTCTTCGCATAATTACTTAGATAAAAGTGGGATGACGTCATCGATCTGGAAGTAGAGCACGACGAATGAAGCCATTCTTTCAGGTACCACGGCCTGGGCATTGCGATCGAATGCAAGAGGTTGGACAAAGTTGAGGATTTTGTCACGTCCTCGCCCTTCCTCTTTCAGATGATTGACTACTGCCAGAGGAACCTGCGTATCCTGTGCAAAAGTATCGTACTCGTATTGCAATCATGCATTGCAAATCTTTTTCTTAAGGCAAATCCCCATTACAAATTTCATTTCTCATGCTGAAGAAACTTGTAATGCATTTATACGAGTGGGAGTGCGATACTTTTGCAGTTCATACTGCGCAACCCGGCGATCGGCAGTCGGGAGTTCCGCATGCAGCTGGTGAAGCTGCTGATCGACATCTACAAGAAACAGGGTCTGAACTCCAACGCGAAGAGCAGCACGTCTACTTCCAGCACAGCCGGATCCTCGAATATAAAGCTGAAGTTCATCACGAAGCTTTTGCAGTGCTATTGCTTCGCAAACGACGTTACCAGCTCGAAGGATCTGCTGACCATGCTGTTGAAGCGCGAGATTACGCTTGGAGGAGCGGCGACTACAACAGCTTCATCAGGAGACAAAATGGACGTGGACAGTGGGGAGAAAGAACCGCAAGTAGAGTCGGAAGACAGCATATGACAGTGCACAACTCCCCCTCCCCCTCATTTGTATAGCATGAACGGTAATACAAGCATCAGCAAGAATGCCGGTTTTGCATGACAAATATGAACCGGAGTGTAGTGCTATTTGGGCTACCAGAGCTTGTCATGCAAACAGTGCCAAGAGACAAAAGGTCGCGCTCGGCTAGCTGGCCGGGCTGTACTGATCAGGTGTGGTGGGTAGCTCCCGACTGGTTGGCACTTTTCTTGGGGCGACTTGCCGTGGTAGCGCTCGGCTTTTGTATGATGAGGTTGCCGAAAGCGCTTCCTCGCCCACCCCCCGGGGAGGTGCTCCTTGACCTGTGGCGCTGGGAGAGGGTGTCCACTACATGATGATGATGATGATTGGGTATTTTGCATGACAAATGAGGGGGAGGGGGAGTTGTGCACTGTCATAGAGCACGAAGAACTTGCTGCTCGTGTTTCAGCTGGCGTTTGACATCGTGGAGAACGAAAATCAGCAGTTTTGCCGCGATTTGGTCCAGGCACTGAAGGCGGACAAGGACAAAATTGTGGGGAAAAAGAAGGTCGTCGAGCCGGTTGTAGAAGCAGCTGCAGCTGCTGCTGCTCTAGCGGCAGAGGGCGGAGAGCCAGGTAACACGGATTCGGAATGGCAAAATATTGGTATTTTATTTGCCATGCAGAACTCCATAAACAGGATATATTTCTCTCCTCAAGCTAGAAAATCCGCTTTGAGTAGTTTTAAGTAGAAAACGTATCATTGTCAACATGATGAAGCAATTCGTGAAGGAGTTGCTTGAGTAACCTTTCTGCTTCCCCGCATTTCTTGTGCATGATTGTCGGCAATAAAAAAGCCACAAAGTAGGAACAATAATCATTATCACCAAAACAGCTCCGGCCGGCGGAGAGGTGGAAATGCAGGCTATCAGCGACGACGCGGGCCTCCCGGACTACAACGAGCAGCTAGACAAGGAGTTTGACCTTTTGCTCGGCATCCTCTCCGGCTTGAAAAAGCTGGAATTGAACCTCTCCTTCCTGTTCAAAAACAACCGGACCGATTTACTCATTCTCGACAAGGCAAAGAAGGCCTGCGACCAGAAAAACGCAATTCTCCACACCGGACACATGTTCATGCACGCGTTTATGCAGGTATCGTATCATAATCATGCTGGGTGATGAGTGCATTTCAAGTGTGTCGTCATCTCATGACTTTGTTTTGACACCGAGCAAAAGCAAAAGTACTAGACTAATATGCAAGTAGACGTTGTAAGAACTAGGAGTTGGAGTTCCAATCATAAACCCAAATCTAAACCACTTCTCCAGGCCGGCACGTCCAGCGACATTTATCTTCGGCAAAACCTGGACTGGATGTCCCGAGCGGTGATGTGGGCAAAGTTCTCTACCACCGCTTCCCTCGGCGTCGTCCACCGCGGCCACATTAAGGAGTCCAAAAACATCCTCGCCGCCTACCTCCCCCGGGAGGACGCGCAGGGCGGACAGCAGACCAGCGGGTCGTATGCGGAGGGCGGTGCGCTGTTTGCCATGGGCTTGGTGCACGGGAACTACTACGATAAAGAGGTTGAGGAGTACCTGCTGAAGCAGTTGAAGCAGGGCCAGCACAGCGAGATCTTGCGGCACGGGGCGTGCCTGGGACTGGGGTTGAGTTCCATGGGCACGCACAACCCAGTTCTGGTGGAGGAAATGAAACAGGCACTGTACACCGACCAGGCCATCACCGGGGAAGCCGCAGCGTACGGGATGGGACTGGTATGTGATAGTGGTGAACTTCTATTGGCTAGTACTAAATCAAAACCATTACTATATATCATGCATGCTGAATCGCGAGGGTTGTTTCCTCGTGAGACGTTGTGACGCCGTGTAACACGCCGTGTTACACGCCGTGTTACACATCCGCACAAACTACACTGTAGTTTGTTGAGGCTGTATGATTCATACGATGGCGAACCAGAAGGCAGCCTTACTCCATCTAGTATCACGAGTAGAAAGCGAAAAACGTATAAACGTTTGAAGATATGTCGTGCAGCACGATCATTTTTTATTTTTTCTACCCTGGTACTAGTTGCTTGTGCTAAAAATAAAACAGGTTATGTGCGGTTCCGCCTCGGAGAAGGAAATCAAGGAACTTCTCCAGTACGCGCAGGACACCCAGCACGAGAAGATCATCCGCGGGTGCGCGGTCAGTTTGGCCCTGATCATGTTTCAGAAGGAGGAGTCCGCCGACTCGCTCGCGGAACAGCTGCTCCTCGAGAAGGACCCGATCCTGCGGTACGGCGGGTGCTTCGTGATCGCCATGGCCTACTGCGGCACGGCCTCGAGCCGGTCGATTCAGAAGCTGCTGCACCTGGCAGTGTCCGACGTGAATGACGACGTGCGGCGGGCGGCGGTGCTGGGCTTGGCGTTTGTGATGTGCAACGTGCCCACACGCGTGCCGCAGATGGTGAAACTGCTCGCCACTAGCTACAACCCACACGTCCGCTACGCCGCGGCCCTCACTCTCGGGATCTCGATATCAAAGTGAAAAAGCCCCCGCCCCATATTCAAAAGTTGCTGGATTTGTGTACACAAATGAAATTAGTATTGTAGCAAGAGCTTGGCGGCATATTCTACGCTCATTTGGCTACGCGTCCGGCTAGGAGCTAAACATGAGAAACAAGTCCCACATAGGCGAAAACGCATGACAGACTCGCTGTACAATGCGCCACATGGGTGCCGTTTACCTTGTACGCAAGACAGAGCTGATTTGTGGTCACAGATCAGCATCACAAGTTTCCTTTTCGATATGGGGGGGGGGAGACTTTTCCTCACAATACTCGAACGCGGGCAGCGCGAACGCGGACTGCGAGGACATCTTACGCCCCCTGTTGGCGGACAACACGGACTTTGTGCGGCAGGGATATCAACTGTAAAAATATCTGGGTCTGGAAGATTGCCAGGTTTGTCATGCATATTTTGCATGACCCATGAGGTCTGGCATGTAGGACATAGCATGACAGATTCTGTGTTAGTTCTATCATGCCTATCCTGCGCGAGAAACTGCCTCTCGATTAGGTCAAAAGTGGACAGCTACTTTTGGTAATCATGCAACACAGATTTTCACATGATTCAGATCTAGCATGACAAGTTGCTTTGTTCCAGACCCAGACATTTTTGCAATCCATAAGGGAGCCTACGTCGCCATGTCGCTGCTGTACATGCAGTCCGTCACCGACAACGCGGAGAAGTTTCGAAGTGAAGTGATGAAGTGCATCGGGGAAAAGCACGAGGACGTGGCCACCAGGTTTGGAGCACTGCTGGCTCAGGGAATCATGGACGCGGGTACAACTTTATTGTTTTCATCTTGCATCTGGCCAAAGAAGCTTGTTACACTTGTTTTCATCTTGCATAATATTAACAAAATCTATATCCTGCGTTGTGGCTTTCTTTGTCAAGGGCCAGGTTGTGTTGTAGTTCAGGAACTACAGAACAACTGATCCCTAGTATTTGCATTGGTTTCATCTATAATACCTCCTGACGGGGCTGCGTTTTATAGCCAACGGCACTGCGCATGCTTCAATTAGGTTTTATCAGCTAAGAAAATCCACCACAGGCGGGCGCAACGTGTGCGCTTCCTTTTTCTCCAAGTCTGGCGCAGTGAGACAGGGCGCAGCGGTCGGGTTTTTGCTGTTCACGCAGATGTGGTATTGGTACCCGCTGATCCATATGCACTGCAAAAGTATGGTACTAGTACAAAACGCATGACAAATTTTTCCGGAAAGAAAAATTAAATTTGTCATGCAGAACAAGCTAAAAAAGCAGATCTGTCATGCAAGACCTGCATTTATACGAGTGCGATACTTTTGCACAGGATAATCCACGGCTTGTCCCTTTCCTTCGTGCCCACGGCCGTGATCGGGTTGAACAAAGACCTCAAGATGCCGAAACACTTTTCGTTCCACTCCGACGTGACAGGGTACGGATCGAAAATTAAGAACAATCTCTTCGACTACCCGATGCCGGAAGAGTCCAAGAAGGCCGAGGAAGTGACGAAAACCAAGGCGGTTCTGTCCACGGCCGCGAAAAAAACGGGCGGGAAGGCCGGCATGGAGCGCACCAGCAGCAAGACGCCAACCGCCAAGGACAGCCCGGAGAGTCTGTTGCCGAAAGAGGGGGAGGAGAAGAAGGACGGTAAAACACCCACCGCTGCCGGTGCCGCGGGGGAGAAGAAAATCCCGTCGAAGGGACAGGACGAAAAAGTGGCGGCGTTCGCAAAGAAGTTCGAGGACGCCGACAAAATGGAGGTGGATGAAGAGGGTGGTGCTGGAAGTAAAAAGGCAAAAGCAGGAGCTACCGATGGCAAAGACACCAGCGGCAAACAAGCGAAGGACGGCGAGAGCAAGGAAAAGGAGGGGGAGAAGAAGAAAAAGGCGCTGCCGAGCTGCATGCCGTTACACAACCCATCGCGGGTCATCCCGATTCAGGAGAAGTATATCAAATTCACACTAACCGGCCTGATTCCCGTCGAGGTACCCGCGGCGCCAGCGGTCCCAGCAACAACTACAGTCCCGTTGGGAGATTCCGAAAGTAAAGACAAGGAGAAAGAGGAAGGCGCTGCGAAGGTGGAAACAAGCACAGAATTAAAGGATGGAAAGGAAGCGAAGCCCGCAACGGAGATGAAGCCGGTCCGGTACGTGCCGATTTTGCAGAACGACCGACAGTCTGGCTTTTTGCTGCTGGAGGATCGGAATCCCAACGAAGCCGAAGAGTTTGTGGAGCCAAGTAAGAAAATCGAAGACCCGGAGCCGGAACCCCCAGAACCGTTTGAATGGGTGCTAGGAATTGACGGATAAAGAAGCTGCTTCTTCAAGAATGGAAAGCAATTTGATGCCGTCCGGATGTTCTCCTGCAGCGACAAGAAGACTCTTCAAGAATTGTTGTAAGTAGATGCTAAAGGGCATTATATAATGACAATTCATGGTGGTCGTCTTCGTCTTTGCCTTTGGCGAGGAGCTAGAGCTTGCGCTTGTACACGAACTTCCGTAGTCACATTGTTGCTTTTCCATCCTGACCACTCGCCTTACGACTTTTTAAACATGAGCACGATCTTCAAAAGCGCTCGAACTTCTTCGACTCTTCCACAAAATTATCTCGATAGTGGCGTCAAAGTAGAGGCAGCTGCGAAGAAGATGTCGATTTGACACAGCTGCTCACACAGAGGGTGAGCGAGTCAATTTCTTCCTGTGTAGTTTGCGCGACCACGCTCGCCGAAGAACCGGCTTTTGTGTTCCGAAGTGCCGAAGCGTTCCATAATTCCACTCGGAATTACAATTATCCCAATTTCAGTTTATGTGCGATTATAAGGGTTTTAGGTTTAGCTTTTGCTGTTGTTCAGCGAAGATCCCTCCTGTCTTGAAGCAGGAGGTGCGATTCACTTTTTGACTCCGGATTTTTGTTCCTGAAATTCGATGAGTGATCGGTCATTTGTGGTAAGTTTTTGGGGAAGAATTACGATCTTGTTTTGGAAGATTCCAGGGCCAAAGTTCATATCGAACAACGAACAGTTACCTGCAGCTTCCCTTTGGCTTTCTCATTCTGTCCTCTCAGTATTTTCGAGGCTACAGTGCGACATTGAAAGGAAGAAACAAGAATATAGGAGGTAGCCTGCAAGAAGTGAAGCAGCTTCAACAATTAGAGAAAATAAAACGTATTGATGAACAACAAGTTTTTATAGTCAAACCATCAGTAGGAGTAGACCAGAACCGCATATCAATCAGAATGTTCGCAGCGAAACTTTCCAGCTCCCTCACCCGACCTGTGACTGGGCTCAGAATCGGCACAGCTGCCGCGTCAGGGAGTAGAGCGCGCGGAGCAGCAAGAGTTTTTGCGAATGCTTCGGTGCACCAGCTCTCGTCCTCGGCTACAACTACGGTGGGAACAACAACAGCTTCAGGAAATGTTCTTCAACAGCGAGCCTTTGCAGCGGACGCCTCCAATCCAGTACACGGGCAAATACAAGAGCTCGTGAAGAAAAACCGTACTTTTTTTTCAATACTGATTTGAGTTTATGACTCTTTGTCGCGTCAATTATCAATTCATTGTTCATCTAGAAGGAGATGGCATAAGCAGCATGTGCATGACGAATAATCACGGCTCAGCAGCACTTTTAGGTTTTTCTTTTTAATTTTAACCACGCACCCGCCACTGACCACTTGCTCCAATTTTCGTTTCACCCAACGATAACGAACAGCCGTCATGCTGTTTATGAAGGGTAACCCGATTTTCCCGCAGTGTGGGTTCAGCCGCACGGTCTGCGAGGTTTTGAAACGGGAGGGCTTCGAGGGAAAATTCGAATCGCTGAACGTGCTGGAGGACGAAGCAATACGGGAAAACGTCAAGACTTTTTCCGATTGGCCGACGATACCACAACTGTACGGGTTTTATTGCTGCTTTCTTGGCATAATTTGTGATTCTCTCTTCCTGTAGTTGTTTCCTATCAGACGTGTTCGATTTGCTCCAGCACAATGCTGCTGGAATGCCATAGCCATTGCAGCCACCTGTCGTGCCTGTGGTCATGATAGAAGAAAGTGCACGAGAATTTTAAGTGAAGGGTTCTTGTTTGTTCGAAAAACCCAAGAAAACGCTGTACAGGTATGTGAATGGAGAATTCGTCGGCGGGTGCGATATTGTCCTGGACATGCACCGACAGGGCGAGCTGAAAGATGTCTTGGCCAAAGTCGAAGCTGCAAAATAGTGGAGAGCAATGTACTAAACATCAAAGAAGTTCCGACCCGTGCTTGCGCGGCATCGAGCAACTAGGGACTGAGACGCTCTTCGCATTTTTCATTGTCCAGACTGTGTGTAAGTAAAAATAGATACATTCTGCTGGTAGTTGGAAGTAGAAGTACAAACTGCAGCAAAAAAAAATTCAGGTTTAGCAGACGTAAAAAGTATACGAAAAGCTCTTCACGTGAAAGTAAGCGAGACGGTATGTGATCGCTCTCTCCTGAACAACATACAAGATTGGTTGTTCCGCCGCTTTTCTGCAAGTTGCACCGCTCGTGTGCGTCGTGTGATCGAACAGCCCGAGCCCGTCTCTCGGTCTTGCTGTTCTTAAATAAGAATCCAGCAACTTCTTACCAACAGGTTGGTATGCGAAGGAATGAGCACGGTGTGCGCCAACATCAAAGATATTCTGCTTGAGGTTGAGAAAGCTTGTTTTTTATCCGTGGTCGTAAGGCTGTCGTCATGGTCATCGCAATCGTTTTAGCAGGAATATTTTGGTGCCGTGCGTTGAACCTAAAAAAGGATTGTCTGTTGTCGTCGTCCGACGTGTTTTTCGCCTTTACCGTTCATACGAATATCGTGCCTGCTATATCATTTTCCGCCTTGGAAAGGTGCGCTATGACCGTACGCGTCCCACTCTTCGTGCAGTTTGGATGAACAGTATCGTCCTGCTCGATTTTAGAAAATTTACCATGAAAAAAAAGGACAGGAGAAATTAAGAGTAACAGCGTGCCGATGATCACAGGCTATTGCGCGCCTTCTCCCACCACCAACCACTATCTACGCCATCATCTGACTTCTTATTAATCACTTCTAGACCTTCCAGAAAAAGGAGCGCGGCTCTACGAACGAGTCTATAGTACAGTGACTCTTTTACTTTTTGCTTGTACGATTGCATGCGCAACTCGCGTCGACGAGCTTGCGCGTTCTTGTTTCCGATGATTTTGATTACCTGTTACTCGAGCCAATAATTTGAATTGCCAACCGCGAAGTAGAAAGAAGTCAAAGCCATGGAAAGTTTCCTCCTTTCCCCGCTCCAGTACGTGACCAACACGGTCCGGCGGCTGACCGCCCGCCCCCCGGGCGACAGCGACGATGAGGAGCTTGGCGAGCGGGCCGATTTGCACCCGGGCGACGTGGTGCACGCGAGCAACCACAAGATCGTGTCTACTTTTGGAGGCATGACATCATCTTCTACTTCCTCGCCCAGAACTACATCACCCGGCGCAGGAGCCCTGCAGCTCGACGCCGTGAACCTGCAGGGCAAGTACCGTTTCCGGATTGTGAAAAAACTGGGGGAAGGGCGGTTCTCGTCCGTTTTCCTGGCGGAAACGCTGAAGCTAAATCTTCCTACGGCACCAACAACATCTGCAGGAGGTACTAGTACAAACAGCGCAGCAGGGGCTCCAGGTGCAAGCGATATGCAGAACAAAAACAACTTTCTCGCGATTCCGCGGGAGCAGGCCAGCAAGGAGAAGCAGTTGACGCACCAGCAGGAGTTGGCGAAACAGGGGAAAACTGAGAACCAACTGAACCTCAGTAGCCCCCGGACGAACAACAGCGTCGAGTTAAACGAGAATCACAGAATTCCCTCCCGTGTCGCGCTGAAGGTTCTCCGCACGAACGCGAGCAAACAGGAACTGGACGAAGAGCTGGACTTGCTGTTGAAGATCCGGCAGATGAGCAAAAGGGGCGGGCACTATCTGGTGCACGGCTACGGCCTGGCGCACTACTTGCAGCACCAATGCCTACTGCTGGAGCTGGCGTTTTCCGACCTCTGCAAACTGATCGAGAAGGCGCCAGGTCAAAAACTGACGAAGGAGACCTGCCGGTACATAGGTTCGCAGTTGGAGCAGGGCCTGCGGTTCCTGCACGAGGAGTGCAAACTCGCGCATCTAGATCTGAAACCGGAAAACGTCGTCGTGATGCCGTTTAGAGCAGGAGATGAGCAACAAAAGAGTAATAGTGGTAGTGGTACTTCTGCCAGTGGTGCGCAACAAGTGCAAACGAAGTCGTCGTCTACTGGGGCAGCAGGAGTCTCCGCAATATTACCCTCTTCCTTAGCCCAGTCGTTCGAGAGCTACTTCAAGCAGCCGCTGCTGATCCAGCAGGGCGCGGTCCGCGTGAAAATCTCGGACCTGGGGTCCAGCGAGAGTTTTGCGACGGCTGGGGCGAAGAAAGTGAACAAAAAGTACGGTGCGCCGGTGACAAGGCCGTACCGGGCACCGGAGCTGCTGCGGACCAACCGGGTGCAGAACAACGACCAAATGCGGGTGTACGGGTACTTCACAGACATGTACGCGCTGGGCTTGGTGCTGCACGAGTGTTTCACGGGCAAGATGACCGTGGACCTGGACGAGCTGGCGTGCGAGGAGACCGCGGCCGTCGACCACAAGCACTTCGACTTGCTGCTGGGCGGGCCGATCGTGTCCGGGCGGCAGACCAAGCCGGGCTTGCTGCACAGCACGGTGAAGAAGGATTTGGAAGCGATCGCGGTGAACTTGTCGAACTTGGTGGCCTACGACATGGCGGGAGGCAACTCTTGGATGAAGAAACGGATCACGTACCACAGTTTTTCATCTTCCTCAAAAGCGCAACAAAGTGCTCCGTCGTCTGTGATCAAGTGGGGCAAGGCCGCGGACAAGATTGAGCGACGGAAGAAACGGGACGCAGAGATGGTGAAGCTGTCAAACCACGAGCAGGGCCTGCTGGATGAATTGGAAGGGGTGCGGAAAAAACGGAAGTTGATGCAGAGGGGATTTTCCAGCTCCAGCGAGGAGGAGACTTGAGAGAAAGGCTTCACGAAAAAACTGTTTGGTAGTTCTTTGCAGCTTTTGCTGTGCTCATTTTATGCTCTCCTTATTTACGCGCATCTTCATTTGCGTCATGTTTTACTTACTTTTATCACGGCAGTAAAAGACTGCGTGAGCCTGAAATTGAAATTTTAGAAGCAGGTTTAGTGCCTGAGAGTGTGAGAAATTTTGAAGCCTGAAGCTCTTCGTGATTAATTTGATTGCTTCTACTTTCGCTAGTACTACGCCTGGAAGTTTTGATGGATCTGTTATAGGAAGTGATGCTCCACTAAGAAAGAATTTAGGTTCATTAACATTATCTACAAAAGAAGCAGAAGCTGGGCCTGTGGCTGCAAAAGCGCACGTCTCCTGCCTACCCCTAGCAGTGCAGGTACCGGTAAAGAATATAGTGCTGCTCCCTCTTCACAGTCGCACTTAAACTATACTTGGCTCTACTATGTCAAACCCCTAGCAGCCCTCCCCTATGCTAGCAAGATGATGATGATGATGATGCTTTTCATCATCCCACAGACTTCTCTTTTATCAGTTTTGTATTCAAAGTCAAACAAAAACAAACATCATGGCCCCTGGAGGGGCCGTACTCGTACTTGCAACAGGATTAGAAGTAAACGTGTTCGTCGACGAAGCACAAAGAGCGAGGAGCGATCGCCAAGGGCGAAAAAGGCGCGTCACATGATGCGCCAAGAACATATTTGAGTGCACGAAAAAGTAATACGTGATGAAAAAAAAAGAGATATGAGCGCCAGATTGAGTGTGTTATTAAAGGATGCTTTCAATTTACCCAGTGACAACTACACGAAGTAGTGACAAGGAGTGAGCTCCGCGGCAGGAGACCGTAGAGCGACAATTTCAATTGCGCAGGAAGAGAGGAAAAAAGATTTTTTCAAGGCAACAAAACCCTGGAACAATACATTGCAGTGATTGAGTTAAAATTGTGGTTACCTTCTGCCCCCAAAAATTCTAAAATTTGATGTTGAGCTAGTGGGTGTAATGGGACTACATGAACATCATCCAATTCACTACCACTCCATCTCCTACTAAGACAATCATTTCCAATTAGTTTCACCCTGGCGAACAAACGCTACAATACAAGAGTTGTACAAAGCTCTGTCGACAAAAACGCTTGCCGGTGTGCGATGAAAATGAAATCTTTGGGCACGATGTCGATGTTTTCACCAACCCTAAAAATTTAATCAGTAATAAGCGTCGGGTAGTTAACAAACTATGGACAGCAACATATCTTCGCCACTCCGGCGGGCGGTGACCCCGCCGACGGACGAGGGCAGCCTATCCGAGACACCGCCCTCGTTATCCAAGAAAAAAACTGTGTTAGTGTAAGTCTTTTGTTTTGGGAAAACTGCATCACAAGTTTGTCTGCCATGACAGGAAAAACTTGCTATGCGCAGATAGGAAGGGAAAACACCTAGGAAGGGAGCCGATCATGCATGTCGAGCATGACAAGTGTAACTGTTTTGCATTTTCTGCATCACAGATTTACACTTACACAGTTTTTTTCTTGCATACTCGTCTGCGAAAAACTACAAATTGAGCACCGTGGTTCCGAGCTCTTCCGAGGAGGAGGAGCAAATGGGACGATTGGCCCGTGGTGGTTCAGCATCTTCAAGAACGACTAAGGTACTGCACACTGGGCACCAATATGAGTCATCCATGAAGACTACACGGACGGCTCAGGAAGGGGATCTTTCGGGTAGTCCTCTGACTGTATCCATCCCGTCCTCGTCTCCGAGCCAAGCCGGTGGTGCAAACAATGTTCGTGCGAGGTCAGGTGCTGCAGCACGCGGACCTTTGTTCGTTGACCAGGTGATGAGCGGAGAAGTGGATGGAGCTTCTACAACGTCGGCTGACGCGGTGGACTACAGAACAAACAACCTGAACAACAACATGTTTTCGAGCGCCAACGAGGACAGGAAAATATTGACAACTCACGGGAGTAAAATCACCGTTCTGGTGAACAGAGAGGGAACCCACGCGATGGCGGAGGATGACGCGACTTCGTCTACTCCGAAGGGGCAAGAAGGCGTGCCCAATGTGTTTCTGGGAATATACGACAACATGATGGCGTGTTGGCTCCAGATTGGCGCACTCGTGCCGAAATATGAGTTATGGGGGAGAAAAGCTGCTTCATCACTCTGCGTTTTTGTTTGCAATTCTCATTGATATGGATTTGATGTTGCTAGTACAGGAGACTAAGTATGGTCATAACGGCAGCATGGAGATGGACTACACGCTGTAAGTAGAACTGCATATTAGGAGCAGGAGCCTTGCGTCACAAACACAATCCAGCACACGAGAAATACGGCTTCTTCTATGCATTAGAGCCCTCGACGTCCTCGTCGCGCATGCGTTCTCTTCAAGTTCTTCTGCTCACCTAGCTAAAACAAGAAGTGCCATCAAGCAACCTTCTGTGTTGACAGGACTTCCTCCCTCCCTATACTTTCCCTTTGACCGCGAGACGCAGAAAACGGATCTGATGGAGCTCAAGGTCCCCTTCTGGCTGAAGCTCGGCGATCGGTTCGGGAAGCGGTTGGACCGCGGCGCCGAGGTGACGCCGGAGGATTCCCCGCAGACGATTGCGGGTTGTTGCTTCTCCGTCGTGCTGTTTGTGATCGTGTTATGCAATACAAATTTCCCGTACATGTACAAAATGCATCACAAATTTCGCCAACTTGGAGCATACCACTTGTCATGCTGAATAGGCTTCAGCCCTAGTTCTGTCATGCGGCGCCAGCATTTGTACGTGTACGGGAAATTTACTGTGAATACGTGTCCATCCTCTTCTTTGGGTCGCTCGGTGATTTTTTCAGCGACAAAACCTCCCTCGAAGCGATGGGGGAGATTCAGATCAACGTGGAGAAAATCTGCCCCTCGCTCGCCAGCTACGACGGGGGCCGGGGGATCGGCAGGACGGACAAATACGCGGTGGACTTCTCGTATGGAGCCGTCAGGTTTGAAATCGTCAAAGTTGAAATAGTTTGCCATGCAGAAAATGGATGCCAGTTGGACCCCAGTTTCCAAGTGGCGCATGACAAATTTTGGTTGTGCCTAAATCCAGTTTGTAATGCTGTTTAGGTACAGAAGATTGATTCTCTCATGTTACTTCTGCAGCTCGAGCTGTAACCCCAAACAGGCTTACAATCGGCCTCACTTGCCTGCTCTGCAACACACGCATTTCGTGTCATGCATTTTATGCATGACAAATCATTTCAACTTTGACGATCTCGATCCTGACGCTTCCATATCTCGGATTGCGAATACAACGAGAAGTACCTGGGCGACTGGATGACGCCGGCGGAACCGCCTCAGTGGGATCTGCCCGTGACCAATTTCTATCCACTGTAAAAGTATCGTACTTCATTCGCATGAATTACTTCTGCAGGCTTGCATGAGAGATTTTGTCTTCTACCTGAATCAGCATTGAAAACTCTGTTACTGTTTTTCTTTTCGAAAAATACAAGTACTTTGTCATGCGATTTTAGCTAGTGCAAGTGCGATATGCTTTTGTGTTGCATCACCTCCACTGGGTGCAAAACATCGAGTTCTACGAAGCGGACTCCCAGACCTCGCTCGCGAAGATCGAGTGGCGCGACAACACGGGGATGCATATCACGAGCAAAAACTCCCCCTCCCCATATTGAAACGAAGTTTCTGATGCTGGATTTGCGTACACAAATCATACTTGTCTTGCAGTAGAGGACTGCAGGGATATACCAAGCCTCAGCACCAGAGAGGTTTTGACGTAGGCGCCTAGCATGAGAACGCCTACGCCGTAGGCCCAGCAGCATCACTAACCGCCTCCGCAATGCGGCGGACTCCGTGGGGTTGCCCTTATGCAAGACAGGCACGATTTGTGGTCACAGATCAGCATCGCAAATTTTCAAGGGCATGCCGTTGCAATGTGGGGAGAGGGGATTTTTCCTCATGACAATGCACTTTGGCGGGACGTCCGCGCAGGACGAAATCCCGGTGGCGTTCGGGGCGCAGGAGAAGGTCCCGATCATCTTCAACAGCTACCCGGCGGGGGGATCAGACATGGACTCTCCGTATCCAAACATGACAAGGTTCATCCGGGAAATGGCGGTCACGTCCGACACCCACAACTACGACGAGTCTTTTATGAGGTTCTCAAACGTTACATTCTCAACTGTTACATGGATTTGTAATGCAAAACTACAATACACATCTACAGGATCAAGCTGCTTCGCATGACAACTTCTTGACGCACTAGATAGCATTATAATCTGCACCAAACTTGTAAATTTAATGCAAAAGGCGCAATCTTCCGCCTTGCTCTTTTGTCATTCTTGCATCACAAATCCATGTAACAGTTGAGAATGTAACAGTTGAGAACGCCATAGCTTTGCGCTACGCGTACAGTGATCTCGGTCTGCTTCCCTCGGTGAAAACCTTCTTTGACCACGATGTCGCCGCCTTTGTGCGTTTCGACCGCAAGCAACTGCGCAACGTGAAGTCCTGCCAGTTCCAAGCAGGCGTGGTCGCGAAGTACCAGTACGAGGCGCTGCGGCCGAGTTTACTGAAACATTCGCGCGAGTTATCCAAGAAAAAAAGATTGTAGGTGTAACTTTATTCTTGGAGGATTAGCATTACAAATATCTCTCGCATGACAGCAAAAACCTGTCATGCGCAGATAGTACGCGAAAACGCCCTTGGATGGACCCCACAATGCAGGCACAGCATGACAGACGCAATCAAGTTGCATGCTGCGCATCACAAATGGCAATGTCGGTGCGGTTGTTTTAGCATCACAAATTTACACTAACAACGTTTTTTTCTTGGATACGAGTACCAGAAAACCACTTCCGGAAAAGCGATGGACACGTTGGCGAGTTCGAACTTTTCCTGGGCGGTTATGGCGTTCTCAAACGTTACATTCTCAATTGTTACATGAATTTGTGATGCAAGAACGGCAAAAGTCAAAGGGGTGACATTGCGCGTCTAGCATGACAGATTTGGCACAGATTCTCAGCCTGTTTGGCTCTTCGAGAATTTGTCATGCGGAGCAGCTTGATCGTATCAATTCTAATTGTGATTTTGCATGACAAATCATGTAACAGTTGAGAATGTAACGTTTGAGAGCTCCATAGCGGTGTCGCACTACACGAACACCGAGTCCGGGACCTGGAGACGCCGCACCAGCATGGACAACATGATGATCATCACGTCGAACTGGACGACCGCGAACGCGAAGGCGTTCATGCAGTCCACCGCCTGGGGCAAGTACCGCGTAAACGTGGAGCGGCGTCTGCGAACCGTGTACGGAATCAACACGGGGTACAACGACAGTCTGTCTCTGTCCAACAACACGGCCAACATGGCGCGGTCCCAGGTCCCGATCGACCTGGTGGACTGGATGCTGTTCGCGAGCTACGTGAACAACTTCCAGTACTCCGCCGACACGATGATTTGCGACGGGAAGCTATCCTATGTAAAAACGTCCCCACCCCATAGTCAAGATGGGGACTCGGCTAGACAAATCCACAAGTTGTGGCTGTTTTGCATGACAAATTTGGACTCGTAGTGTAGTGCCGTTTGAGCTAGCTCAGCAGTATCACAGATCTAGTATATCATTCTAATTGGAGCATGACAAATTCCAGAACACGACTGGGCAATGCTTCTCATCGGGCTCCGCATGAGAAACATTTTCAGCATGCAGATTTGCATGACAACTCTGGGGTGGGTACGTTTTTACATAGGATAGAAGCGGGACGCGTTCTTCAACACGGCCTACGTGAAGGCGAACAAACCCACGAAGACGTATCCTGTGCAAAAGTATCGTATTCGTACTGCAGTCATGCATTACAAATTTTCTTGTCAAGTCAAATCCGCATTACAAATTTTATTTCTCATGCTAAGAAAATTTGTAATGCATTTATACGAGTACGATACAATACTTTTGCAGTTGATAAGACGGACAAAACCTTGACCTTAAAGTCCCCCGTCTACATCTGGACGGTGCCTTTTCCCTTCTACATCACCGTGACGGGTGACATGGGGGTGGAGCGCATGCTGGTGACCGCGGCCTCGGATTCCAAAACGCTAAAAGTCACCCGCGGCACGTAGGGGGTTCTCAAACGTTACATTCTCAAATGTGACATGAATTTGTCATGCAAAAATGCCATCACCTTTCACCATTCCAAGCCCTCTGCGCATGAGCATGACAAGTTCTCGGCGCGCTAGATAGCATTGCAATCTGCTCCATCCAAACCTGTAATGCAGAAGGCGCAACCTTCCCCCTTTCACTTTTGCGATTCTTGCATTGCGGATTTATGTAACAGCTGAGAATGTACAATTTGAGAACGCCATAGCACGTCCATCGGCTCCACGCGGCTGAATTTCAAGACCGACCGGCCAACGGACTACCCGGCGGTCTCGAACCCGGAGCTGTGGGTCTGCCCCCCGAATCGGTACATGGACGGCGAATTTTGCGACTGCAATTGCGGTATGACGGACCCGGACTGCTTGGCGGGGACGCTGCCGGTGCTGTACTGCGCGAGTTCGGAGATCTGCTCGCCGCTGGGGAGGTGCACGTTTCCGGTCTACAACCCGCGGGTCGCGGAGGTGGCGGTGTCGGAGCCCTGCTACGCGCTCACCATGCCGGGCGAGGTGTCGTTGTACGGGTACATCGGGGAGAAGTCGGAATTTGAAGCGGTTGGTGGGTCCGAGTGCAAGGCCTGCCCGCACGACACGCTGTACAGCGGGGCGACGAACAAGAACGAGAAGAACGAGTACGTCTGTCAGTACCGCCCCGAGGGGGACATCCCCGCGTCGGAAGTGCTCCAGCAGGACGCGAACACGATTCGCACCTACGGCACGACGGGCAACGTGACGGTGGCGGACACCATCAACTATTACCGCATTGTGAAGGCGGAGATCGGGCCGAAAGCGGGATTTCCGGTGAAGAACATCACGGAGCAGAATTACACGATCGAACTGAACCTCGGGCAGGGCATCCACGAGCTGGCGACAGCGGTCGCGTCCGAGACGCTGGACTCAAAGACGAAGACGCAGCTGCTGCACCTGAAGGCCACCGGCAACCAGTTTCGGAACAAGCACTTCGCGAGCGCCAAGATGGTCAGTAGCATGACGGGGGACTACCAAGACATGGTGATGCAGTTGGACGATCCGAAGCAAACCTTCTCGGAAACCGGGCCGTTCCGGTTACAGATCGACAGTTCCGAGGTGGTAATCCGCTCGGGATCGACGGTGACGCAGGAAACTGCACGGGCGGCCACCACCTCCAGCTCGACCTCTCGGCGGGCTCTGCGGAAACTCGGAACGTCGAGTGCGGGCGGTGGTCTTGGCGGACGAGAGGCTGCATCTGTAAACGATGCGATTCAGCAACACGAGCAGTCCACCGTTGTTCGTCGTGACACCCGATCCTTGGAAGATATTCTCGCCTCTGCGGAGGAAAACCTGAGCAGTCAGAGCGCCGAACAAAGCTCCGCGGAGCTCGACGCGAACAAGCTTTCGCCGCGGGAGATGAAGCTCAGAAGATTGCAACTTCGAGAGTTGAACGGGGAGAAGGTGACCGAGCAGCAAAAACGGCAACTCCAGACCACGAACACAACGACCGCAACGACTTCTGCCAACAGCGCGAGTGCCATGAAAACCGCGAAGCGGCAGCGGCTGGACGTGGGCGGGTTCCCGAAGGGGCTCTCCCCGGCCGGGGTGAAGGGGACGCTGGCGCGGCAGTACGTGGCGAACCTCTCCCCGGACACGTCCATCTACAATTACCTAGAAACGGACACGCAAACCGCGGGCGCCGGGGGCAACGACCTGCAGATGACGAGCCCAGCAAGGAATTTGCTGTTTCAGGACTCGAACCTGAATTCCGTGCCTGGTGAAACGAACTGCTTCACGTCGTTCTACGTGACACCGTTCAACAACCCCTGCCTGATCCCGGCCGCGATGACGTCGCGCGTCTATACGTTTCTGGTGAAGCTGAAAACCGCCCCGTGGAGCAATGGAATGATGATGTCGCACAGCCAGAACTGGGACTTGAACAACGGCGGACGGACCAGCTCGGGCCAAAACGTCGGCCTGGCGAGTTGGGGGGCGTTGAGCGATGCCTTCAGGACCGCCTTCACCTTTGGGCTTGGGCTGCAGACCTCGAGCACCGATTCCCAGCACGACGACATTGTCTCGGTCCGGATCGGCAATTTCCCTTCGGGGATTCCGTTTCCGGGCTGGCCGGCCCCGGACAATATGAATCGGGAGACGGAAATCGCGGTGCACCTCTCCATCCGGCGGTGGGCGGAAATCGAGTTTTTGCTGAAGCGCGAGTTTCTGGATCCGGGTAGCTGCAACGGGCAGTGGCCCCCCACGATGGCCTGCTCCGGCACCCCCGCGGACCCCTACATGGGCCCGAACGGGTTCAAGTACCGAATCCAGAAGAAGTTCCGGGAACAAACGGACCCCAACTTCAACACGGCGATGCGGGAGGTGTTCTGGGCCCAAAATTATCTGACCGTCCCGTACGATCCGATGTTCCCGCAGATCCAGTGTCCAAGCGACTGCTTCGAGATTCTCGAGATGAACAATCTCTTCGACGGAGACGGGGCGCGCCGGCTGGAGGAGGAAAAATCTACAGAAAGAGCCGCAGTAGAGAAGAACAAAGAGCAAACTCCTAAACCCTCATCTCCTATCACGGTCGCCGCCCCACAGCGGCACCTCCAAACGAGCTCCACCACCCGTTACAACTACTTCTCCGAGCTGCAGGTGAAAATTAAAGCGCAGAACGTGCACCAGCCCCCCGGCGCAATCGCGAGCAACGCGCAGTTCCAGTTGCATTCGAAGCAGGCGTTTGTCCACGCTTGCACCGAGTCCAGCGTATCGGGGATTGACGTTGGGAGCATCCGGTTCGAGGCCTTCGCGGATACCATGGAATTTGGCGCGGGGATGGTGTATGACCCAATGACAGGGCAGATGATTTCCGTGGCCGCGGGCGAAGATCCCTACGCGATGATGCATGGCGGATTTAACGATGAGCCAGACCCGTGGATGATGGAGGAAGACCCCTACGGGATGGGCCCTGGTGCGGGTATGCTGGGGAAAAGCAGTTGCGATATCACTGTCAATTTGTAATGGCAGAAACGCTCCCTTGAACTTTTTTTACAAGAAGTTCGACATCCAAATGTGAGTGAGCCCATGTATACTTTTACTTCTATCTGTAATCTGCTCACTGTTTCTGTTTCTGCTGCATGTGCAAAAGCCGCAAATTAATTGTTCAGGGTGAAACCCGCAAAGCTTTTCCTTCGCATACCCAGCGGCATGTATGACCCAATGATGGGAGGTGGGGGGATGTATGACCCTATGATGATGGGCATGGGCATGCCCTACTACCGGCAACGGCAGTTGGAATCCGCACGACAGAAGCGGAAGCAACTCGCGCGGAAGCTGCACTTCGCGGCCACGGACGAGGTCGCATACCGCAGAAGTTTGGAAGCCGAGATCGACGAGATTGGGAAAGACATGCGGCGGATTTCGGCGCATATCCGAAAATTGGGCGCGGAGGTCGAAGGAAGCCCGGGCGGAAAATTGAAGGCTGGCGAGGAGGCGGAGTTCAATGCTGAGCATGCGAAAACTAAACGAAGCTCGCTGGAGAAAGACGTGAAAGTAGATAAGATGAACCCGGAGGTTGTAGCTGCGAAGCAAACCGCACTTTCTTCATCTACCACTACTTCTAGCGAAAGCGAGGAGTCCTCATTCGCCCTCCCGCGCCAATTGACTCCGGACGGCATCCACACGCTCCGCGTTGTTTTCGAAATCGAGCGGACCTCCGTAAACGCGACGCTGCTCGCGGAGAAGGCGGCGCTGACGAAGTGGAAGGACGATTTCAAGGCTAAACTGAAAACTCTGTCGCCGCTGATCAACGACATTCTCAACCTCGACTACAGTCCCACGGGCAAGCCTTATTTCGAGGAAAACTTCGACGAAACCCCGCTCCGTGTGCAGTTTGGCACCGACCCCGCGAAGGCGGAGATCATGAAGGAGCGGCCCTGGTGCGACTACAGCTCCACCGGCAAGCCGGGGGTTTCGATCGACGGGACCGATTACACCACCACCGGTCGCTCCAGTATTTTCTGCGACGGGTTACACGATGGGCTACTGGTGGTCAACGCCGGGGGCTTCTCCGACACGGAAAAAGTGCCGAAAAACAGCAACATGCGGATTCTGATCCGGGCCTCCAGTTCCGACCAGACGAAGACGACGCCGATGGAGGTGCGGACCATCAAGCGCGCCTACCAGTGGCTGTTCCCGATTATTGATCCGAACACGGGGGAGCTCGGCGACGACCAGGTGACCAGCTGGACGTGCTCGCCGGAGCAGTGGTCGGACGGGGTGTGTGACTGTAACTGCGGCCGGGTGGATTGGGATTGCATGGGGGACCGGGGGATTCCGCAACAGTACGTGGAAACGGTGCTGGACAACCCGGAAGTGACCGTGCAGGTGAACATCAACTGCCCGTTCGGCAACGACCGGGTGGTGAAGGTGCCGGAACTCGCCGAGGGCGAGCTCCCGCCGACGTGTGGGCAGGTGAAGTCGCAGCCGGCAAAGTACGCGTATTGCCAGTATCTGACCGGCATTCCAACCTCCATCCCCCAAAACGCGTACCAGTCCGCGGATGGCTCCTTCAACGGGACCATGCTGAAAGCGCCGGAGCACTTGAAGTACCTGTGGGAGGTGATCGAGATCGACTCGCCTCTGCAAAAGAACCGGGAGGTCGGGACGCTATCCTATGTAAAAACGTCCCCACCCCATAGTCAAGATGGGGAATCGGCTAGACAAATCCACAAGTTTTGGATGTTTTGCATGACAAATTTGGACTCGTAGTGTGGTGGTGTTTGAGGTAGTTCAGCAGCATCAAAGATCCAGCATACCATGCTGATTGGAGCGTGACAAATTTCAAAACGCGAATAGAAAACGCTTCTGATTGGGCTCCGCATGAAAAACACTCTCAGCATGCAGATTTGCATTACAATCATGGGGTGGGGATGTTTTTAAATACGACAGACGCAGGTGGAAACCCTGGGCGTGTCCGAGTCCACCGCCGCGGCGTACCAATCCAAAGCGTTGGAAAAAGCGAAACTGTACGTGGACACCGCGATCATGGAACAGTCCCACGACATGATGCATTTGCTGTTGGAAAACGCTATCCTGTGCAAAAGCATCGTACTAGTATAAATTGCATTGCAAATAATGATTAGCTTAGCATTACAAATGGAATTTGTAATGCTGTTGTAGCTAATGCTAAGAAAGGCGATTTGTCATGCATATCTGCAATTAGTACGAGAGCGATGCTTTTGCAATGCATAAACGCGGAGTCCGTGGACCCCATGTGCTACTCCGAAAACCCGCCGCCCCACTGTATGGCGTTCTCAAATGTTACATTCTCAACTGTTACATGATTTGTCATGCAAAAACACTACCACTCTTAACACGATCAAGCCTTCTCCGCATGACAACTTCTCGATGCGCTAGATAGCATTATAATCTGCTCCACACCTGTAATGCAAAAGGCGCAATGTTTTCCCTTTCACTTTTGCCATTCTTGCATTACAATACAAATTTCATGTAACAGTTGAGAGTGTAACGTTTGAGAGTCCCATACACTGTACCGGCGGGAAGGTGAGTTTCGGCGGGCAAACGGTGCAGACCACGCCAGTGGTGAAGGCGAATGTGACGCTGGCGATGGACTTGCCGGCCGGAACCACCGGAGCGCAGTTGTTGGATGATCCAGAAGTGGTGGACTCCTTTCGGTTCGCCTATGGATTGCAAATATGTCTGGGTCTGGAAGAATACAAACTTGCGATGCGCATTTCAGAACGCAGAAAAATCTCTCATGCATAGGTAGCAAAAGCTGCCCACTTTCTGTCACCAAAGTGGGTGATTTGTCATGCGGATTCGGCATTGCGGATGCGGAAGCTTCTCGAAACCTGTGATGCTAGAGCATCCATGCCAGACCTTCTGTGTCATGCAAAAACAGCATGACTCTTCCAGACCCAGACCTCTTTGCATTCCATATCGCCCTGGCCGATACGTATTCCGTCGCACCGTACGAGGTGGAGATCAAGAACTTCGTGGTCGGATCTAGCATATCAAATGTAAAAATGTCTGGGTCTGGAAGAATGCGCGGTTTGTCATGCAGCTTTTCCATGACCCATGAAGCCTGGAATGCAGGACCTAGCATGACAGATTCTGCGCAATCTCTCTCATGCCTATCCTGCATGAGAAACTCCCTCCCGACTTGGTCAAAACTGGACGACTTTTGGTAATCATGCAACACAGATTTTTGCATGCTTCAGATTTAGCATGACAAGTTGCATTCTTCCAGACCCAGACACTTTTACATTTGATATAGCAGGCGCGAGTTGGAGATGCTGAAAGAGAAAAACAAGGAGCGCAAAGTCCCCTTCCGGGAGCAAAAGCCCTACCACCACCACAAAAACGCGGCGAAACGGCGACTCGCCGCGACCTCCGTCCAGGTCGATTTCGAGATTGCGAAGAAGGACAAACAGGAGGCCGACAACTTCGGAACGCAAATGGCCACGGTGTCCTCGGCCAACTTGCTGAAGAACCTGCAGAACGAGTTGAGATTCGTGGGAACTATTGCGATCGCCGCCACCGCGGTAACGGTGGCGGTCAAGACGGAAACGAAAATGCCGGACACCAACGCCATGGCGGCCATGGTGACGCAGATGGGGTCCGCCACGGGGTCGGGAAGCGGGTATGTGGATCCGGCCATGCTGATGGCCATGGACATGATGCAAGATGCGGGGATGACGGTCGCGGGGTACAACGACGTGGACATGCACGACCCGTATGGTGGTTACCACGACCCCTATGACCCGTACGGCGGGCAGCACGACCCCTATGACCCGTATGGCGGTCAGCACGATCCGTACTACGATCCCTACCAGCAGACCACGTCGCGGCCCGGCTACTACCAGCCGACCTACGGCACGACAGATCCGATGCACACGACATCGCCACCCAGCACGGGAAACACGGGAAACTGGGACCACGCTAGCACCAGCCCACCGGTCCACACGCCGAACTGGAAGACCCCGATGCCTGGTATGTCAACCGGAAGTGGGACGACCAACAACCACGGAACTTGGAACGATGACAACATGTACGGCACGACCGGCCCGCCCGATGATGGGATGGCCAGCGGTCACGGAAGCTGGAATGACAACAATAATTACTACGAAACCTCGACCAATATGCCTGGCATGATGGGGCCCAGCTACTCTTCCGGCTACGGCGCAACCTCCATGTGGCCCAGGACGACGCGCCGCGTATCGGAAAACAATTTCAAATACCGGAAGGATCTAGAATCCATCGGCCAGGCGATCCGGCTGAAGGCCAGCTTGACCGATAGTGGGCTGCTGGAAAAGGCAAGAAAGAAGGAGTGGACAGATAAGGAGAAGGAGGATTACAAAAAGGAAGCGGAGTTGTTGAACGAAAAGATCGCTTATTTTGAAAACCTCCGGAAGGAGAGGAGAGAAGCGAAGAAAGAAACGAACAAAAGATTCCTAGAACAGCAGAAAAAGATGGAAGAGGAAACATCCGAAGAGAGGAGAAGACGATTATTAGAGCCGCACTACATGTCGGAAGAGGAGGAGATGATCTTTTTGCGATTGAAGGAAAAATTCCCCTGGATGCACGAGGTGGTTACCCGAGACAGATTACAATCCACGCCGCACTCAATGGACGCGTCGACCATGGCGGAGACGCTGAAAAACGACGTCTTTAACGACGAGGACTGGATCAAACTGATGAAGATCCACGGCCACAGCGAGCACTCGATCCGCAAGCTGCAGGAAGACATCCCAGACTACCACGAGATTTCCCCGGAGGCGCTGGAATGGAGGAGACTCGACGCGATCCGGGGGTCGGATCACCTGTCCGCAGTCAAGGAATTCGAGGACAGAAAAAAGATGGAAGGCGACAATGAGGATAGTTCTGCACCATTCGACGGGACTTCTTCGGCTGCAGGAGCAATTAAGGAAAAGCACCCGAATGACGTCTTACGGGAGCAGTACAGTCACATGATTCTTCCTGAAGGCGGATCCATCATGAATCTGTATGGGCAAAACGGGGAACTGACGGAGGAGCTGTACAGTGCCGGGGCGAACACCGTCCAGAACGACCCTTTGGATTTCGCCACCGCGCTACCCGGGAGCGAGGAATACGAAAGGCGGTTTTTGATCTTCTCCGAACAGGAAGAAAATAGCCAATGGTACGTGGACGAGTTAACGGGGGAGCGGAGACGGCAACTGACGAGTAGTACCAACAGCAGTAACAGCAGCAACGCGACCACGCGTACGACGACCATTACCTGCCCGGCCGGGACGCTAGACTGGTCGGACAACACGAAGTGGCCCCCAAACGCGAAGATCGACCAGGTGCCGCAGTGCGCACTGCCGTCGTTGTCGCAACAGCAACTCACGGATTTGGGGTTCTACGACAAAGTGCACACTACAAAGGTGGTCTCCGGAGCCGATACGGTCGCGGAAGCCGTGTCCGCGTTTGCGGCGAGCGTGGCGCAGAAAATGCCGGCAAAGAAGGTACTACTAGTGCTGACATGTTACGAGTGATGCTTGTTCTAAAACAAAAATATGTCATATTGGAGCGACCACTTCGCTGTCTCGCTCGCGCTCTCGTCTGCATGTATTTGCCTTGTTGTATCAGAGGCAAATCGCTAGCACCAAAACGCTTCTCATTCAGGTAATTTCCTATGTGGTCCAAACCATTACCGCGGTGAATCTTTTCCGCGACAAGTCCTCCGTTTACCTCCCGAAAGACCGCTACAAGGAAACCGTGACGTATGGAGAGAAAAAAGTTTGTCACAGTCACTAACTTGCAGGTTTTGCATTACAAATTTTCTCAGCATCACAAACTTTCCTTGTGTTGCAGAAACACTAGGGAAATCCCTAATAAAGTTTGGCTGTGATGCATTTTTACGCATGACAAACAATTTTGTATTGCAAGAATGCGCATGAGTGATCGTGACGAACTTTTTTTCTTTGATATGACGGAGACTTTCACTTCGCCGAACGTGCTCGAGGTCGATATGGCGTTCTCAAACGTTACATTCTCAACCGTTACATGAATTTGTAATGCAACACTAGCACAGGCGAGAGGGAGAACCTTGCGCGTCTTGCATTACAGGTTTGGTGCGGATTTCAGTGCTATTTAGCCCTCCGAGAATTTGTCATGCAAAGCAGCTTGATCGTCTGGAGGGTAATAGTCATTTTGCATGACAAATCATGTAACAGTTGAGAATGTAACGCTTGAGAACCCCATAGTCGAGGTGGGGCTCTTCGTCATGCCGAAGAGGGTCCAGATTCAACAAGCCAATGGCGCTCTGCCCCTCTGTCCGAACCGGATCGTGGCGAACGAAAAGCTGGTCAACATCTATTCCCAAGATCGGTCCGTGGAAGGCGGCGGCTGGGCCTCCTGGACGTTTGAACACAGCGACAACTTTCGCACGATGAACTGCCAAAACACCCCCTTCACGTTTGTCAACGGCACCAGCGGAGGTGGTGGTGGTGCCGGTGGTGGTGGTGGTCGGAGAAAGCTTCAGGCCGGCGGGAAGAACAACATGGCTCTGTCTGCGAAGAACATGAAGGACATTTCGGAGGGAAAGTACCGGATGTTCTACCTGGAGGAGTTCCTGCCCACCAACACCTTCCAATACGAGATCAAAGGCCCCCTTACGGGGCACTGGCGATTGCCCGAGGAGCGGGGGGACGCAGGGTTCGCGTCGACCAAACCGGAGTGGGGGCTGGATTTGGAAACCATCTTCTCTTTGACGTTCGACAAGAAGTTTCTCGACGTGGAAAAGGCCTACATGTCCGGGTCCACCGATATGGGGTTCTCAAACGTTACATTCTCAACTGTTACATGATTTGTCATGCAAAAGCGCTAACATTCTTCACACGATCAGGCCTTCTTCGCATGACAAGTTTTTGACGCGCTAGATAGCATTAGAATCTGCGCCAAACCTGTAATGCAAAAGGCGCAACTTCCCCCCTTTCACTTTTCCCATTCTTGCATTAGAAATTCATGTAACAGTTGAGAGTGTAACATTTGAGAACGCCATAACCGATTACGTGGACGGGCAGATGCGGCTCTGGGCCGCGGAGCCCCTCGTATATGAATTGCAAAAATGTCTGGGTCTGGAAGATTGGAACTTGTGATGCTACCTTTGGACTCTACATAAAATCTGTATTGCATGAACAGCAAAAGAGGTATGATTTGTGGCACGCGGAGAGGGCATTTCTCATGCGGTATGAGCATCAGAAAGCCCTCGCAAAATCTCTGATGCTAGGGCATGCATCACAGACCTCATGGGGCATGCAAAATATGCATGACAAACTCCTGCACTCTTCCAGACCCAGACACTTTTGCAATCCATATCGTCAGGGGGAAAGCGAAGTGCATGAACACGGTAAATGGGTGCGCGCAGGGCATTCCGGCCAACGCTCCCATGTTTCTGCCCTCGATTCACATGACGGTCGACCGCGAGAAGACGAAGGATGTGTTAGAGAACACGGAGCCGGAGTACTGGCCGCCTAGTGATCACGATGAGAAGCTGGAGAAGTTGTTCACAAATTTGGAGTCGCAGACGATTGACTTGTCGGCAGCTTTACGCGGGTTGACCAGCTCCGAGGACGGCAGGATCGCGATTCTGCCGCAAAGAGCGATCCAAATTAGGCTGGTATAGAATAGTAGTTCATCATCTGTTTCATGTGGATAAGTGGAAGCAGCTGTTACGGTCCCGGAAAAATCTTTTTGAAGAACGCATGACATGCAAGACGTCAGAACCGATTTTCGATTGGCAATTTGAACCAAGATGATCCGCAAATGGACAAAACGAAAACATACAAATTGAAACGAACAATTCCTTCAGGTTTGGTCCGTCTCCCCGATCTATCTGGAGCACAAGTATGACGGTTCTATCATCCTGGACCGGTGGGTGTCCAACATTGGCGCGCTTGACATCTCGTACGGCCAGGCGGACCACACCATGAAGTCGAAATGCTCGGTCAGGCTGGTTTTCGAAATCGACCACGCGTCGATCCGGTTTAAAGAAATCCCCAACATGTCTATCATTTGTAAAAACGTCCCCACACGACCAGAGTCAAGATGGGAACTCTGCTAGACAAATCAGCCAGCTTTGGTCATTTGGCATGACGAATTTCTCCTCGTAGTGTAATCCTGTTTCGGTAGGAGTTCAGCAGCATCAGAGATCTAGCATATCATGCAGATTATAGCATCACAAGTTCCAAAAGATGGCGAGAAAATGCCTCTCGTGGCGCTCCGCATGACAAACTTTTTTGGCATGCAGATTTGCATCACAACTCTGGTGTGGGTACGTTTTTACTCAGGATAATGTCCCTCGCGGGGTTACTCGCTCTGATCGGCGCCCTGGCCGGTTACACCGCGATTTTCGCGGCCATTCTGGGGTTGTGGCAGAAGTTCGTGCGACCCTTCGGGTTGATCAACATCTTTGACATGGACGACGCCATTCTCGCCAAGCACGAGGAGTGGTCCGCCCGGGCCGCCGAGGCGCTGGCGAACAGCTCGCCCCTGTCCGCGAAGATGCCCTGGGGCAAAAAGGTAGCCGCCGAAGAGGATGCGGAAGAGGAGAAGAAGGAGGAAGAGCCGGAGGAAGTCGAGGTCCCGCCGGGCGGGATTAAATCCCCTAAGGGTGGTGTCGCAATCGTGGCACAGCCTCTCCCGGATCCGGTGTTGATTACCGCGATGCCGAACGTGCAGAGAATATCTGTCACGTCCGTTTCCACCGGAGCGGCGAGCCCGAGTGGGCGGGGGGCTGTGGTGCCGCAACCCGGGGCTGGTAGTACTTCTGCGGTGGTAGAGGTGGAGGCAGCTGCGGATGATGTTGTTCCAGGAGACGGCGGGGTGCTGGATGAGGGTGAGCATGAGCACGAAGAAGAAGAGGCGGAGGAGGAGGAGGAGCAGCAGATAGAAGCTGGCGAGGGGGAGAGTGAGCAGGAAAAGGGAAGCTTGGACACGGAATCTGTGTAAAATAAGAGTTGGATAAGGACTAAAAGAAAAAGAAAATTTTGAATACTTGTTGAATTTGAGGTTATACCTGCTGTAGTTCCAGTATCAGAACGACTTCGCAGTTGTACTAGACAATTGTTGGCAATTTTTCCATGAAGGTAGTACTGCGCTATCGTGGTATGATCCGATTGTTTTTCTTGTTTATCTTTATTTTTATTCGTCAAAATGAAGACTATTTCTATTACACTGGACTTCAACATCTTGATGATTGTGATTCAGTGAGTTTCACCGAGACCTTTTAAACCATTTGTTGAGTGAAAGCGTTTATCGCGCATGAATTCAAAAAGCCGAAATTCACGGGTGCACAGGTATGCTGCTATTCGGGACGCTAAGGAGTCCTCGAGTATGCTTATGAAGAAGTGTCTTCAAAGGAATTAGTCGCATTTTCGATTTTCTTTTCCCGAAGTTTTCGAGCTCTTTTTGTTTTCCGATTTCAATTTCAAAACGAACTTGCTACAACCTTTGCAAAACAGTAGTAACGTTCAAAATGCAAGAGCAAGACCCCTTTATCTTGTTTAAATAACAATGACCACCACGCAACTGGAACTGTTTGCGAAAAACAAACACCGTTGGGTTTCATCAATCATCATCATCGTCTTTGGTACGAGTGGTAGTCACGACATGAGCCCGAATAAATTACCAGAATCCAGTGCAGGAATTATGCTACCTTTATTTGTCCAAGAATCAAAGTCAACGTCAAGTAATTACTGAATGAGATTTAGAACAGCTATCGCCTACCCCTGGTACCTAGATTGTTGAATTGCAGCGAAAGACATGTGTTGAATCCTCCTGAGGTGGGCGAGAATATGTTCAGCGAGTACGGTTGTAAAAACAAGCAGCAGCCAAGTGAAGAAACGATCTTCAAATATGTTGTTGTTAAAAAGGCCGCAGGTTTGTTGTGACTGGGCGCTAAGACGCTACAACTAAGGAGTAAGCTCCTATAATACCCCGGCGAACTAGGAGCGCTAAAATGCATGCGGTTTGATGCTAGTCGCGCTTTATTCGTGGCAGTGTTCTTCCATCTGGTGGAGCCGCATCAAAAGTGGCCGAGTTAGTACTTGAACGACCGCACAACTTGCAGAGGCTGTTGCTTTAGTTGATTGGTCGCTGCGCTCCGGCGGAGGGCGCCGGCCCTGTCCGGAATTGGCAAGGCCCACACCTTGCCCAACCTTCTGCGACCCCGGGCCTGCGCCAGAGCCAGGACGGCCGCACTAGCCAGGCGCGTGAAAAGCGCCGAGCCCGGCGAGGGCCTCCCTCCGCTTCGTGGAATTCCGAAACACTGGCCGCACTTTTGGCGGACGCGAAGCGGGGCACTGTGGCGCTCGTTGTGGGGGCCGACTTTTTGCGCCCGATCCATTTTGTTTGTGCTTGGTTGACGGGCGGGGGGTTCGTAATACGGATGAGGGGGGCCGGGGGGCGCAATTTGGATGGACCGGGCGGGAGGGGGGCGCGCGGCGATTTCTGCCACGCATGCCCGGGCGAATTGTGCGCGCGGGGCGGAGGGCGCTGCTCGGTGGGGCCCCTTCGCGGCGTCTGTATTGCCCCGGCGAAAGTGGGACCGGGAAGAGACCGGCCGCCGGCCTGCCCGGGCAGGCTTGGTTGGATGGTCGTCGCCCGTGTAGCGCGCGGGGGGGCGGCAGCGCGTCGGTAGAAGGGAAAAGGGAAGGCGCGCCGGACTGCGCTGCCCGGCCGTAGCAAGATGGTGGTGGGCCGGCCCCCCGTGCTCCGAAAGCTAGCAGGCCGGCGCGCCGAAGGCCGCCCGGCCCGCCGGCCCGGCGCCCGCGTGCGCCCCCCTGTTTTCTGCGTGCCGCAGGCGCGCCGGCCCTGCCCCTCCCGGCCCTCCGCGAAAAGCCGCGGCAATAATTTGGCGGGCAGAAGTGGGGGGGGCGCACTGTGCCCGCTGCGACAGCGAAGAGGGCGGGGCGCGCGGGTTTTGCCGGGTGAGGAAGAGCGCATCGCCTGCGTACCCGGTCCGAGCGACCGCTGGGCCACTGGTCCCGAGCTGCGCCCCGCCCGGCCCTGGCCCTTCCCCGCGGCCTTGTGTGTCTTGCTTTTTTCGTTCGCTGGTAGGTTACCCCGGTGGGCCCTTGGTGCTCGTGTCCAGCGTGTGGGCCCCGCCTGCTGACTCTCTCTGACTGATTGAGCGAAGCCAGCGCTGGCACCCGGCCGGCGCCCGCCCCTCGTCCGTGCGTTCGCACGGCGCGGGTGGGTATGGTGGCACCCTACTTGGCAGACGCCGTTGCATGGGCAGACCCACATCGGCGCGCGGGCCTTTGCCCGGCCCCCGGCGGGCCGGTCAGTGTTGCAGCCAGCCCTTGCCTGCCGCCCGCGCTCTCGCCGCAGGGACGGGCGCCGCGTTTTGATGCAGGTAGCGAGCTAGCACGATATAAATTCGCACACGCCGCACGCGCGCCGCTCTTATCGGTTATATTATTCAGCTTCTAGTACGATTAGACTTAGAGATAGAGCGCCGCTGTGATTTAGGTTTTTGAGCTTTATCATTGACATGGGCTTGTGTATGTGTTGTTGCTTGCTCGTCGTGCGAATTGTAGTACTCGAGAGGAAGGGGAAGCGCCACGCGGTTGCCGCTGTGAATACGATTCGAGACTGCACGCACCCAGAAAGCCGCGCGTTACTACTTAGATTATCGCTTGCGTTGCGTTTGCTTGAGAGGAGCCGGAGGTGGAAATAGCGAGCGAGAGCAAAGTCGATGTATCTTTGTTGATGTAGAATAGAAATACGTGCAGCAGCGACAGCATGTGGCGTTCTTTATCTTGCTGTGGCAAATTTGAATTTCAGCAACAAGAGGAACGTCCAAAAGAGAGGTTGCTCGAACCAACAACAACAAAAGGCAGCGAAGAAGTGTGAGTGTCCCGTTTTGGTTTTATGGCTCGTGGCGAAGAAGAAGTGTAGAACGTTTGGTCAAGTCATTCACTCGTGATTTGTGTGAGCCAAAGTTGTGAGACAGTTCGGAGAGGCATGGCGAGCGACAGCGTTTTCTTAAGAGGTGGAATTACTAGCGAGCATTTTATCAAGAGCGCACCGGTAATATTCGCATTTTTTATGAGAGACCATCTTGATTCAGCGCTCTTGTCCTGCAAATTCAAAGCCAGAAGCTAAGGAGGCCAAGATCAAGTGCAAGTGCATCACGAGAACAATCACGCAAATAAACATGAAGTGAAAGAGTGGTTGGAGTGCGTTTTTTTTTTGTATTTTGACGATAGTGGCACGTTGCTTTGCGGCAGTCATGCTCAAATGATGAGAAGCAGAAGAACGAAGACGGAAGTTGACGCCAAGTTAGGGCGTTACATGGGCTACGATCGTTTGCTTCTTGCTCTCGCAGATGCCCCGCTTGCTGTCGCTACCTCTGCCTGCATTGTTCCGCCCTCTGTTTGAGTAAGGAGCCGCTGGCGTAGATCGTGATGCCAGCAAGCAAGCCTGCCCTAGCAGACCACAGGCACCCTCCTTCTACCAGGGGGTTGCGAAGACATGGGGCGTTGGTTGGACCTGGATCCGAAACTATGTCTTCAGTGGACGGCGTTGACCAAGACAGCGGGGACATCGAAGGTGGTTCATTTTCGGCAGAGTTTGAGCTGCGTCTACTTGATGACCACGTGGCTTCTGCTGCACAGCTGCAAGAAGACCGACGAGACCAGCGCCATGACACGACGATGTCATCGGAGGACAACTCTCAGGAACAAGAAGTGCCTGATGATGTCGAGCCGCCCCAGGACCCCTTAGAGCGAACGGACCGGCCTGGAGCACACGAGGACCATCACGGCGCTGCTCCTTTCTCAACACGGCTACTCTTTTCCCAGGAAGAGCTAGACAGCGTCGCCGAGCAACAAGTGCAGCCCGCTCCAGTTGCACCACCGCCTTCATCATCCGGAAACAAGAAGCAGAGCGGAAGCAAGGGAAAAAACAAGGGCAGCGCGAGCGCAACGATCAAAGCAGCGACGACTTGTTCCGCAGGTTCCGCTGGCTCCTCATCATCATCTGCGAAAAGCGCGACGACGTCGAAAGCATCAAAAGGGAAGGGAAACAAGAGCAAAACCTTGCAGAAGATCGACTCTGTCCTCGGCGTGCCGATTGACACGTTAACCGCCTACAACGAGCAGAAGAGTTGTACCGCAGGCAATGGTGACGCTTCTAGTCAAAATAACAAAAAGAAAACCTCCTCGAGTAAGAAGAATAACAAGCCGAGACCGCCGCCGATCGAGACTTCTACGGTTGGCTCTGTGGACCATAACGAGCACAATGACAGTTTTGCGATCGAACTGGATCAAGACTCTCAGGGAAGTTGCGGGAACTTCGTCATGCATCGCCGACAAATCATGACACCGATGTATCCGCCAGCGCCACCGAAGAGCCGGGGAAGAAATCGGATCACGCCCACGGTCAGCTGGTATGGAAATTTGTAGAATTTTTTTTTGCTTGTTCGAAACTCAGGGACTCCTCTTCTAGGTTTAGCAAGTGTTAAGGTTAACGTCACGGCGCGGCTTGATGGTCGTGCTACTTCTAGTTGCTTTTAGTTTTAGTCTGCCGCTGTCTGCGGTCCTTTTGCGGCCTTCCACTAGGAAGACGCAACTGATCTGGCATGAGAATGCAAGAGGACAACTCACTGCGCTTTCGGTGTTCTTTTGGACGTATGTTGTTCTATTTTGTTCATCAGGTCGACATGATTTCGACCACGAAAATTAAAAGGATCTAGAATTTCACTCTGTGCTTTTGATGTAGTACGTGGTCACTTCCTTCAGATTTTTGTTGAATCACATACACGACGTTTCTGGTCGTGTTTGAGTTGCTCTCAGGTTGCTCCGCTCCGCTCCGTTCATCTGCTTCTGCATCTGCATCTGCCCATGCAAGCGCGGAAAGGTGTACATGAAATCAGAATGAGAAGCGGGCCACAAATAGAAACATGATGAGTTACAGGTGTCTTCAGGAAGATGAAAGTGTAACCAAAATCGAAACAAAACAACAATCGGCATCCCCGATTCCCTGATGGCTGCTACCAAGTACTAAAGCCAAATGTCAAGCTCCGCTCCCAGCAGGGGTCGAGCGCTTGGCGGCGCTCCGCCGCAGCCAGCTGGTTGTTTTCCAGGAAAACCGACGGAGAAAAATGTGGCAAAGACCACGACGAGCAGTGTCAAAAGTCGACAAAACTCATCCGCGGCGAGAACTAAAACGAACACTGCACAACTACACGGTGCAGCCGTTGGGGCATCAAAAGCAAATAGTGCTGTGACTTCGCTTGACGCCCGGGGAACGCGCCCATCTTCCGCAACTCGTACCACGACTGGCACAGGAGCCACTTCCCGTGCGCGCTCTTGCTCCAACGCGATTCTCGCGCGGGGAAACCCAAACCGTTCTGCCAAAATGGTTCTGGAGGAGCTGCAGGAAAAAGACAAGATGCAAGACGTAGAAGATGACAGATCGCAACCGCTTCTAAGACGTCGCAGCAACAGCTCCGGGCCGGTCTTTAGTTCCAGCACGCCTCATCGATACACGAGCAAGGAGAAAAGAAAAAACGCAGCTGCTCCGACCGCCGCCACTGGAGGAGGTGCAGAGGTCGTGGCTCGTGCGGGGAAGATGAACGTTGTCAGAAAGCCTGCCAATAGCTCTTGCAGCTCGGTTGCAGGCTCATCGCAGCACTCAGCGAACCCCTCTCCTCGAGGTAGGGTGAATAACAATAACTCGAATAAGGGGCACGCAATGTTGGCCTCGAAAAACCCCCACTCCACATCCAGGGCGCAATCGTCGTCGGTGAATAAGAGGAGGTGTGGGCAAGGAGCGCGAACTCCTGGCGCTCCGCCACTCCGTCCGCCAAGAATTCCGGAAGCTGTACAACCTCAACCGACCGTCAATTCTAATTCAAGTACCAGCCGCAACTTGCGTGAGGGTGAGCGGACGCGATGCGGTACATTAACCGCGGCCGCGGGGCACAATAGACCTCCGAGTGCTAATATCGCCGCTGCTGCGGTTAGTGGTGCGACCAGCAGCACACGATCGATTGCAAAGCAGAACGCGAAGCGCGCTCCCTCTCCCAGAGGAACGACCGCGCGCGGCTCGCAGCACGACCAGCAACCACGCAAACAAAACACTCTGCCCCCCATTAGGAATAGAAGCGGTAGCAAAAGCTGCAACCACAGCAAGAACGTCCCTGAAGTGGATACGAAAACAAATAGCCACGACCAAAATCCTAATCCTTTGTCAGCTCGCAAATTTTCCAAAACATCAATCAGGGCTGACACGCTCGTGCAGAGGACGCCCGCCGGCAGCTCGCATTCCCAGCAGCTACAGCATTCCAGCAGCTTCATCGGAACTCCGCACGGCAATTCGCATTCCTCTCACCAGCATGCCGCCCACAATATCCCGACGCCACACAGTACTAGCAGCGCCCATTTACACCGGTCGGGCTCTGCGGGACCCCCTTCCGGTGGTGGTCATCTTTCTTTCCAACTACAGACGCCATCGTACCACGGCCACCTGAACATTACGACACCTCATCAGCATCACCAGGTCCTCGCGACGCCCGGAGCAGTCCATGGGGGTAACCACCAGGTCACACCGCACCAGAATCACGGGCCAAATGGTACCACTTTCAATGGCACAACCCCGGATTCTGGGTTCGTGTCCCGGATGCTGCAGAGGAGAACTTTTTCCACCGGGAAACTGGACGGGGCGGACGATGCGGGCAGTGGGGCGTTTCGGGGGATCCGGAATCGAGAGAAAGGCTGTATTGCGGGACAGGGCGGCGGTGCGGGGCGGGCGGATGACGACTTTATGGAAAATAACTTCGTGAATATCAGCGTTGTCGGAAAAGGTAACACTAACTAACACGACTTCTGCATTTCAAAACTGTAGTGCTCTCGATGAAGTAGTTGTGTTGATGCCATCATAGGACACGTCAGCGCGATGTTTCATGTGTGTAATCTCGTTTTCGATTTAAGGCGCAGACCTTTCACTGGCACTGCACTCTAAAAAGGTAACTTTTCCACCGTGTATCGGGCAACGCACAAGCTGGACGGTTGCGAGTACGCAGTGAAGCAGTTGAAGACGAAACTACCCGAGCATTGGCTAGACGACGTGAACACGGCGGCGAATGCGGCGAGTTCTCTGGGACAAAATAACTACACAAGCTCGAATATGAAAAAGCCTTCCTACAAACCACCCACACATACTGCCTTCAGGGAAGCCCAGAACCTTGCGAGAGCCCTCCACAACGTCGAGAGCTCGCACATCGTGCGGTACTATGGTTGCTGGGTGCAGAGCCGGAGACTCTACTTGCAAACGGAGTTGTGCGACTGCAGTTTACATGATGTGGTAGTGGAAAAGCGACGGCTAGCAGTGCAAACAGGAGACGCGGCTGTGACCAACGCCGCATGCTTTTCGGAAGGCGAGATTTTGGAGGTATAAGTTCTTACGACAGGTCAAGCATACTAAATCGACAGGTCAAGCATACTAAAGTTCGCAGTTCGACGCTCCGGCTACAGTGATCTACCTAAATTTCTATTTTGATTTTGCACCATATCCATATGCAATTATAAGTTTTTACGACAGTCTATCTAGATCTGAATCTCGTTTTTAGTTTTTCATTTCACATGCAAAGGCGATGTAGATGTTTTTCTTGTTTCGCGAAACGGAAAGCCCCAGCTAATAAATTTTGAGTGAGGCTCATTCTTTCTTCCACAGGTCGCTCACGCAACCCTCTCCGGGCTGCGAGCAATGCACAGCAATAACCTATCCCACCTGGACGTCAAGCCTGAGAACCTGTTGCGCAGCTTCTCTGGAATTTGGAAAATTGCGGATTTGGGGCTCGCCTGCGAGTTCGAGTCTAACTTTCAGCTGTCAGCGTCTGGCGAGCTTGTCAGTTTTTCCTCGAAATTGCAGAAAACGTCCACAGTGGATGAAGGGGACTGCCGTTATGTCGCCAAAGAGGCGTTGCGGGGCATGGTGACGGACCGCTGTGACATCTTCAGTCTTGGGGTTACAATGTACGAACTGGGATGTGGGCAGGTAAGTCAGATACACCTAGTACTTGGTTTGCTGTTGGCTGGAATGGATTGCTTGCCGTGTGTGACGAGGCGAAAGGAACAAACGAAGAAACACTACCGTTGTGTGACTGCTCAATTTGCAATGTATTAATCATGTTATCAGGAACCTCCGCGCGCCGGCGAGCAGTGGCACGCCTTGCGGGACCAGCAGCCGACGGCGACGACTCTGTCTTCCGAAATGCCACAACTTTCGACCGATCTTCTGAACGTCCTTTCCACCATGCTGGCCACAGAGCCGAGCCAGCGGCCAAATGCCACCGATGCTCTGTATTTGGTCGATCACATCAAATCTGCGGACGGCGGCGTGCCTGCTGAGCAGGAAAAGGAATTCTGGAAACGGGAGGCAATGCAGCTGCGGCAACAGTTGCAGGGTTATTTGCAACAACTCGCGCAGCACCAACAGGAGCAGCAGCATCCGGACCAGTCTGGCACAGCTTCTACATCGGTGCTTCTCGCTGGAAATCAATCCCAACGAGGTGTCGCAGTAGAGTTCTATCATGAGGCTTCGTCGTTACTCTCTTCGTCCAACGTCCCAACGACGGCGAATCTCTCGTCTAGCATCGGCGCTTCCTCCACGCCAGCCTCCGGGCAGTTCATCGATCTTGTTTCAGGGGGAGGCAGTGGTAGTGGGCTCCACCAATTGTGCACATCAGACAACTTGAGCTTCGACGAACTGGGACGAGAGCCGCGAAACCAAAACCAAATGAGCAGCAGCGACCAACGCTGCAGCGAGCAAGACGTGCAGATGGGATTTGCGGAGGTGAGCACAACCGACGCTGACGTGACCGAAGATCTATCGACGCTGCAGCTGATAGACCAACTCCAAACGGTGTCATCCGGCAGTTGTGCTGGTAGTTCAGATGCTGATGACCCCGGTGGAAATACAACAACGACTCTTCATCTGGGCCATCACGGAGTTCTTGACCACCTGGAGGAGGAGATCACGCCGAGGGTCGACTTCAATTCTTCCCAAATGCGACGTCGAAAGACGTTCTTCAACAGCAAGAATTCATCGGAGGTACTAGGGGTACCAGGAGACCACCACGACGGCCGCGGTAGCAGGAGAATTCAAGACCCGCCAAGCACAGGAGGCAACAGCAGTTCGATCCACGGAAGGTCAGACCTGAGAATGCTGGAGTCCTCTTTTGCCCATCCGCAGACGTGCTCATCGTTGCAGCCGAATCGGTGCGGGTTCGATCCCCGCGGAGAGGGAGAGGAGGAGGTGATGATTGGAGAGGGTGGGGGTGCGCCGGACGAATCTTCGCTGCTCGTTCAGGAGGGTGGCAACACAAGTGGCATTGACGCCGAGTCTCTAATCGCAGTCGCCGCACCTCCAGCCGATGTAGTGGAGGACCAGCACATGCTGACGGAGGCCGAAGGCGGAGAACAATGCACGACCCTGCAGACGGGAGAAGTAGAAGAACAGGCCACCGGCGCGGTATTCAGCCAAGACGCGGATCACCCACGTACTGCAAGCGACGTGAACCTCATAGGAGAGGACCGTGACGCACGTAATGTTGACGAGAAGGGTTGTTCAGTACCACCACCAGATGGAATTCTTGGGGATGGTGAAACTGCCCACGAGCAGGAGGAGCAGCAGCCGGCTGCTGCGGCTGCGCCCCCAGCTCTCGCAGACGAGCTCGGGTTGCCACCGCCACCCGCTTCCCCGTCCCCGTCTTCCCCTTCTTCTCTTCTCTCCAAATCCAAGAAAAAGTCCAAGTTTCTGCAGGGCTTGATGCAGACGAACCACCACCGACCGCCGCCGAGACGTAACTTGGCCGACATGTTCGAGCAAAATTCCACTCCGGTGGTTTCCCCCGACGGCGCTCATGATAGTGGTCTCAAGTCGTGCCCGAGTTCATCCAGTTCTTTGAAGCTGCACAAGGGGTCTTTTCCTCTGAGTGGGAAAGGGACGTCGAATCACAGCAATAGCGGTGGGGGCTTTCTTGGAGCATCAACTTCCAAACGATCTTCCTCTTTAGAAAAGCAGGACCAGGTACATCTGTTTCGCAGCACCTCGCGCGGACAGCACAGGTCAAATTCTAAAGGAAGTGTTTGCGAGGAAGGGGATGCAGTGGCGGAGGCGGATGTCAGTTCACTCCTCGTGGATCACAATGTCAGCATGGAAGACGAGGAGCCGCGCCAGCTTCTTCCACCAGGACGAGGCTCTCGGGGGGACGGAAATCAACATGAACCTGCTAAAGCTTCTTCTGCCTTTGGCTCTGCTAGACATTACGCAAGTGGTGTGTTTTCGCAAGCGACCCCAGGCGCATCACCAGCGTCTGCTTCGTCCGCTTCTGCTTCGAATAAGATGCTGAACCAAGAAGTAGGTTCTCGCGACAGCCAGCACCAGAAAGCCCGGCGTGACGGTGGTTCGGTTTTCTCGTCTGGTGGGGGCTTGCAATCGCAATCAGCAGCTGCCGGCACAAAGAACAGGATCAACTTTTCCGGTGATCGTATCGATCATGACATGAGCAACCCGAGTCCGCCGGTATTTAACCGCGCCAGTCCGAGTAGAGGTTTTTCCGGAAGTGGAAGTTGTAGCGGCGGGAAAAATAACAGTGGCCAACTACAAGCAGAGAAACATCACCTTCACAGTCGGTTCTCTGAGCCCGGAGGGCAGCAGCTGCAACAGTCATCGTTTTTGCCTCACGTGCGGGTGTTCGACTCCAGTGCAGCTACAGGGGGCACCACCACCAGCAGCTCCAGATCTACTGCGCGCCGAACTGGTGGATCATCAAATGCTAACACAACAACTTCTGCTGGTGTTCCTCATCCAGGCTCCGCGAACCCCTCCCCTTCGGTTTCTCCCAGCACTGGGTCCTCCAGCTCATCCTGCGCGCCGTCTTTCAAGTCCTGTAGTCCGAACCAGAGTCCTAGTCCAACCGGAGCGACACCGAACGCAGGAAACGCGGAAGAATTCGTTATCACCGGTCAAGCCATGACGCTGAACCCAGTCCAGCCGACGGTGAGCAGTCCAGGCGCGCCGCGGGTGTTTCATAGTGCGGGAAGAGTGACGAAGATGGCCGCGGGTGCTCCTGGGGCATCTCCAAGTGGATCCTCATCAATTTCGAGCTCCGCGGCTGGTGCGTCTGCGGCTACGTTGTTTGACAAGAGCAACATCGTCGAACAGACCGCGTTGGTGAACAACCTACCAGCTGTTCAGACCGACGACGGAAGCTGTATGGTGCTCACAGGGGTTGACGAAGTTGATCAACACGGAGACGCGGCTGCGATAGTAGAGTTGTCAAATGCACCAGGATGTGGTGGAACAGGAACCGCGGGAGATGACAAGAAGGTGCTTGCTCAACCAGTACTAGCGACAGCAGCAGTGTTGAAAAATAAGAGCGGAGCTTCTTCTGCTGGTGCTTCTTCAGCATCCACAAGCATTAAAGGCACGACAACTTCTTCTTCCACGACCACATCCGCCGGCGCACCGGCAATCTCCACTGCTAACACGACGACATCCACATCGACTCGGACCAAAGTGAAGAAATTAGCCAGTGAGAAGAAGATCGCGTTGGATCATTGTGCCTACTCTGGCACGACGCACACCATCGCAAATTCTTCTGCGTCTTCTTCTGCAGCTTCCAGTAACCGCCGGCTACTTTCCGCGAAGTTGAAAAAATCATCCGGGGGTGGAAGCAGTGCAACGTCCTCGAATCTTCGCAATCAACACCTCACGGCCAGCGGAACTTTGCAGAGCAAGAAGCAAAACGTCAAAGTCCCTTCGGATAAAAAGAAGAAACTTTCGAAATTGCAGCAGAACTCAATCCCAACCAACACAGTGAACGCGTTCCAGAGAGCTGTGGCAGAATTTCACCAAGATTCTTCGCCCAGTATCGCGTCGCCCGTTTTGTACGATAACAATGGCAATCAGATCAATTTGACGCTTGGAGGTCCACATCATGGGAACAACGCTGGGGGAGTCCTCCTTTCGAGCAACACTAATTGTAATTCTGCAAACTCATCATCATCCGGAGCTTCTTCTAGTGAAAATAACCGTGGAGCTGCGATTGACTTGACAAACACGTCGAGTAGCAGCAAAACGAGCAATGCGGAGTCGAGTTACAACACGACGAGGTCGATTGAGGAGATAACGATGAGCGCTAAGACGGATGACGAAGAAGTAGACAGCACTCATATGATCTCGTCGGCAAAGGACCATCGGCAGCGCACTATCGACGATCGGACTTCACCGTCTTTAGCCGGGGAAGATTTTGAAGACTGCAGAAGTTCGTCTGTTGGCGCGTGTGGTGACCCCTATCTAGGGAAGCAGGGAATTATTGGGGATCAAAACAGAGATCTGGATTTGATGTCGCCGCCTCTGGAACAGCAGCAGCAACACAGACAGTATCAGCAGCAAAGTAGCAGCAACCCGAAGGCCAGGTCCAGCACGAAGTTACGTCGTCAGATGTCGTACGCGGAGAAGAGGCCGAGCAAGCGGACGAAGGTCGACTCCCCGGACGAGGAAGATTTTTCCGACGCACAGGAAGCGGACTCAGGACTTCTTCTTGAAGGAGGTGGTTGTAGTGAGCTACGAGAACCAGGGCGGGTGGAATTGGTAGAACAACATGAAAAAGCTGCGAACTCGTCTTCGTCCTCAAGCGGAAACACAAACTACAACAGCCAGCCGGGTGGAGAAGATGAGGTGTTTAGCAAGAGCAAACCGCTACCACTGTCTTCAGGGACCTCCACACAGAACTGCCCACGATATCACGTCAGTAGCCCGAAGAGAGGGTGAAGTAGAGAGGAGGTTTTGGGGTGTTGTGTAAGTAGTGTTAGTAGGTACAACTCAACTATCGTATTTTCATCACAGAGCGCACTACTTGCATTAGCACACGCAAGAAAGCTTTGTGCACGACGATTGTGTACCGTACTTTTGTGTCGGTGCAGAAGCAAGTTGTAGAGAATCTATTTGTATTTTCCATTTTCCATTGTTATTGCAGGTCAATAGCTTAATGTTAATCCAATTCATCATCGAGAAATCATTTTACTATAGAAAAATGCAGTGTATCGTGCTGTAGCTGTACTAATTGATCAGTATTGATCCTCAAGACGCGTTATCCTAAATTTTCATCGCAGAACTGTACACAAGATTTGTTTGATTCGAATGCTTTTCCACCAAACGCACTGCAGGTGCAGCGTTCCTATGAGATGTGGGATCCCGCACTCGCAAGTAGCAGCGTAAGTGCTGATCTCTATCATTTTACTGCTTATCAAAAAATGCAATGCTCGCGTTTTTCCTTTTTAATGCCTGAAAAATCATGATGTCCATGTCGTTTTATTTGAAGAACAGTTTTTACGTGTAGTATGTCAGAACCTCTGAAGCTGAGCTTACAACTCGCCTTGCTATTGCTAGTTGTCTTTCTATCGCTTTCCTATGCAGCACTTAAAATGTCAAAGTCGAATTTCTTTCGCGACAACAAGTTTAAATCCAATGAAACTAATACATCAGATGAAGCTAGAACGAAGCAAGATTTCCAATGGAGTCTCACCTTAAATGAAACGAAGAAAGAGCTAAAACTGTTGCTGTCCCCGTAGTATGTGTTTTATTTGAAGAACTACGCCTCACTAAACGAAGAAGCGAACTATTTCATGCGTATCGACCATCGGACGACAAGCCTCTGCTCCGGTTGCAACTAATGTGACCTGTGCAGCTGCCTGTCGTGGACGATGATGAAGCAAGAGTCGAAGGAGATACAACTCAACTGTGCATCCTCGTCAAGCTGACGGAAACAGAAGCACTGGAACACCGATGGCGGTGTTCCAGCAGTGCCCAGAGCAACAAGAAAGCCATAGAGGAACACTAACGAAAAGAAAAGAAGACGCTCGAAATTTTCATCGCTTCGTCTTGCCGCGTTCGAAAAGCCAGCGGAGGCATGATCTTCTGTGTTCAGTCACTTCTGCAGACAGCCCTTGCTTTCCTGCGGCTGTTGTTGTTTCGTCTCTTGCGGCCGCGGGCCTTTTAAGTATTCCGTCGCTGACGTTTGCCTTCCAAGGGTACTGGTACACCGATCGGGTGAGCGGATGGCGTTCCGGCAAGTGTAGCAGAGCCAAGCGGCGCGGGGCTTTGCTTTGCCTGTCTGGCAGTTAGGGCAAGCAGCGAGCGCGCGAGAAAAGCGCCGCGGCGCAAAAAGATCCGCGGCCATATGCGCCGCCGGCCCGGTGGAAGCGGGGCGAGGTTTTCTATGTCCGGGCGGCGTCGCTTCGTCCTGGTGGCAAGCGCGCGGCCGGGCCCCAGCTGGCAGGGGGCCGGCCCCGCGCTCGATGAGTGTCGCCACGCCCGAGAGCGCCGCGCTTACCTTTGGCGCGCTGGAAGCGTTTGGGCCGGTGCAGTTGGCCGGGTGCGCGTTAAAAGGTAATAGCTGCCGCGCCGCTTTTCTCCTGGAGCATGCTGGCGAAGGGCCGGCAGAGCGGTGCTGTCCTGCGACGCGCGGGGCGCCGGTCTTTTCTTCCCTGCCTTGGGTAGATTCGACGCGGCGTGAGCCTCTTCGCCAGGAAGCCCACTCGTGCCGACGGACTAACTTCAGAAATCCGGACGGGCGCCGCAGTGCGCCGGCGCCAACCCCATCGACCCGCGATGGACCCGACCGCCACGGCACACCGCCAGGGCCCCGGTGTTTCCTGGCCCGTCCTCCGGCGCCGGCAGTTCTGGGGCCGGTCAGGCGGTGACGCCCCGGGCGGGATTTTCTTCTAAAACCCTGCTAATTTTCCCGGTTTGAAAAAAATTCCGGTCTCCCTCTGCTGCCGGCCCCGCCCGTCCCCGCCCTTGGGTTGCCGAGCGTGGTCGCCCACCCATTTGCCCGCGTCGCCCTTGTCTTTTCGTGGTTCGCTTGTTTCAGGGTCAGGATTTGCGTGGGCCCGACGCCTTCTGCGGGTTCCGGGGTTTTAAAATTTAAAAATTTGGGCCGTTTCCGGGGTAAAGAGGGCCGCCCAGTTTGGTGGGGCTCTCGTTGGCTTCTGGTTGGGTTTAGGTTGCTGGTTATTTGTTGAGCTCTGGGCTTGAAGATGTTAGGCCATTACCTTTTTTGAATCCGAAATGACACACACTCTTTCGTGTTGTCGTCTCGTTTTCCGATGTCGTGGTGGTCTGTGTCTCTATTGGGACGCAAGACCATACTTCACAGGCAGGACATGATGGCTGACACATGTCGACCATCATCTCCCAGTGTCGCCTACAATCAGACACTTCAGGGTGGGAAATCTTGCCGATCTTCTAAAATAGAAGTTCGGCAAGATGTATTTTTCGGCTTCTAAAATTGGAAAATCCGGACGCCAAAATCCCGGTCATGGATCTTCTAAAACCCGAAAACGCGAATTTCCCACGGGATTTCGCGCTATCGGCCATTTTAGAAGATTATTAGAAGCCGGGCAGGGTCCGGGATTTTCCTGGGTTCGGGATGAGAATTAGAAGAATTTTAGAAGAACGAATTAGAAGCTTCTAGAAATGGCTTTTTAGAAGCCATTTTAGAAGCCATTTTAGAAGGTCGGTTTTAGAAGGTCATTTTAGAAGGTCACTTTAGAAGCGAAAATTAGAAGGTTTTTTAGAAGGTTTTTTAGAAGCCATCTGCAGAAGCGAAAGCTAGGCGCCACCTGTGGAGGTGGCTTCTAGAATTCGCTTCGGAACTGGCGGCGCGACCTGCAGTCTAATTTTCGCTCGTGGGCCAGGGCTCGGGATTTTGTTTCTTCGGTAAAGGCCTTGGGGTGATGTGTCTTTGGAATCGGGTTGGGGCGCTTGGGGTTGTCGTTTGTGGCAGTACCTTCTCAGATCTGGTGGTTGTGTGGGCTCTGCAACGGAGGGTGTGTGCGGTCATCATGATGCCGGGGTGGCTGCCTCCGGGTTCTTTGTTATTGTGCAGCCGATGCGGCGTCCTGCGATGTGGGGCGAGGGTTGTTATTTAGGTAGGGGGTTTGGGGCCAGGGAAATTTTGAAAAGCCGGGAAAATTAGAATTTTTTTAGAAGCAGAGGCCGCCCGGGTGTTTCCCGCCTGAGGCCGGGCCCGCCCTCGTGGCCTGTGAAGGGGCGAAGTGTGTCGGAGGGAGTAGGTACATAGAGAGCGCGCGTCTTCGCGGCCGCAGCGCGTGCCGTCGGTGCCTGCGCGGAAGCAGTGCGCGCAGGCTATTGCTTTGGCCCCCGGGGGCCCGCCCGGTCCGTCGCTCGGGGGGCGATGGCCGTCCAAATAGAGGCCGTTCGTGGGCCCGTTTGCTTCCGCTGCCGGTGGGGCCCTGATGGAGGCGGCCGGGCAGGCCCGGGGAGTAAGACAAGTTTGGGCGCGGAAATTGCAGCCCCATCGCATCGCCAAAGGCGCGCCCCTTGATTGCCAAAGGCCTCCCAGTCGGGCGATCGATCTCGATATGGGCCCCCCGGACGCCCGGGCCCCGAAGGCCCAGGAAGCCCGCGCGCGGCGGCGATTGCCTAGACATCAGGGGCGCCGACAGCGCCCGCCCCGCCCCGGGCAGGAAGACGGGGCAGCCGGCCGGGCCGGTCCAGCCCAGCCAGCGCGCCGGCAGGCGGCGTTCGTAGTAAATTCAAGCGGGGCGGCTTGGTTGGGGCCGGCCCCTTGCCCATTCATTCTTTCCAGGTCGGTGGCACGCCCGGCCCAGCCCGGCCGCCATCGCGCCCTCCCCGCCCAGCCACAGCCAGCGCGCCCCGCCGGCGGGGCGGCCCCTTGTTTCCTCGGTGTGGATTTGCGCGCGGCCTCCTATGGCGCGGCGTGAGTGTGTTTCGGAGCCCGCGCCGCATGCCTTCATGCCTTCTCTTAGTTACTTGGTTCCTTGGCGTGATCATTGGCGCGCCGCAACAAGGGATCTGGGTGGCCAGGCAGCGGTGGCCTGTTGTTAGCTCCTCGACCTTCGTCTTCTAGCTCCCGGAGATTGATTCGGGGGCCGATGATTGCTCGGCCAGTCAGAGCACAGTCGTTCCTCCTCCATCGAAACACCCCGGCTGCAACGTTGGGACTTTCCGCATCGGCAGCATGCATGGCCAGGGCCATATTGTTCAGTGAAAGATGAACTGAAGTCCTTTCTTGCAGTCGCTGGCATTTGCCTTTCGTCGTACATTTGTTAGTTTCATTTTTGTTTGACAGCCCCACCACGATTTTGTTTGTTTTTTTTTTATTTGCAGGAGGATCGAAATTTGCGGCCATGTAGACATACGCATTTGGCTATTGTTCCTCGCCAGGCCTTTTTGCGGTCCAGTTTCATCACTTTGTGGAGTGTGTGCTGTTTGTTTGGAAGATGAAGATCACAACTCTGTTTATTCCACGGAGCAAGATTCATCTCCTCCTCCTTGGTATTGATCCGGATTTCGTTCTTCATCTGTGATCGAGAGCGCCCGGTGAAACAGCTTATGGTTGCAGGAAATTGTAATTGCTTTACGATTAGCAGAGTAATAAATTGGAAGTGGTTTATTTCCATTTCGGATGGACAGCCTACAGCGTAGCTGCTCACCCGAACGTAGCGCAAGGATGTCGGGCAGTGAAGCAAGTGTCGGTGATCATGGTCGGCAAGTCTCACCGAGTGCAGGACGATCGGACGCGCCGCCGGTCGGCCCAACATTACTTTCCTACTCAGAGAGCCGCCGCGCAGTCGCCAGAAGAAACCGCTTGCGCTACAGAGCGACTCGAGCAGTGTTTCTCTCGACGGCAGCCACGTGTTCCTCCACTCTCCTGCTCCACCACACCGCAACCGCAGCACAACCTGCTTCACCATCCGACGCGATCGTCGTGTCCGAGCCTATGTATTCAGAGTCCTCCATCCTCTTCGACAAAACCGACGGTTTTCTCCATTCCGACGCGAAGAAAATGGCTACCGCCGGCGATGTCTTTTTTTACCGGAAATTTCAGCAGATTTTTCAGCAGGAAGACAAGAAACAAACGAAACTCCCGCTCTCTCAACAAGCGCTCTGTGCTCAGTTGGCCGACGAAAAAGCAATCCAAATCAACGCAACCACTGGCGCCACGCCCGCAGACGAGGTCGCGAGAGAGACCATGTTCTACCTGCTGGCGCAGCAGGACTTGAATGATGGGAAGACGAAATGTGTGGACCGGGAAAAGGCGAATTTTCCGAGTCTGAAGGCGCTGGATGTGTTATTGACGGACGAGAACGCGTCCAAATTGGAGCAGTACTACGCAATCCGCGGTTTGTCCGCGGCACCAAAAGCAAAGTCGAAGAAGAAAAAGTATTTTTGATATGGAAGTAGATGTAGATGGTCCAGGTCGTGTATAGATGACTTCAATTTGTTCTTGTAGCTGTACCTGCAGTTGTGTTGATCTTCTATCGCGGTGGACATAATTGATCATCAAACGCATTTCTTGCAGTATTTCGATTCAAATGAACTAGATACTTTCATCTGAAACTGAATCCAGGTACCTCGCTCTTCTGAAATCCGTCTTGGCCGAAGACCAGAGGAAGTCCGCCGCCCCGGGGAGCGCTTTGATCCTTACCGCACTGGCCATGGCAAAGGATTTCCGCGGGAAGGAGGCCGCTGACATTCCGAAGGACCTCCTCGAGAAGGCAAACGAAAAGTTTTTCGGCAAGAAGTTTGCGAAGAACAAGGAAGAACTACCCGAGCCCCAGGCGCTTTTTGACGCGGGAAACAAGTACGTCGAAGCGTACTCGGTTTTCACCCTGATGGTCGCGCTTTCGGACCTCCTCGCCGCCATGGACAAGGGGGAAGATACTGTATGGCTCGGCGGTTCGAAAAAGGCGGTGCTCGCGACGCTGCGGAAAACGTTTTTGCAGGACACTGCGGAATCGAAAAAAAAATTCCTCACGAACGTGAAGCACGGAATGGAGAAAGCAGGACCGGCGCACAGGGTACGGAAAGTAAGTAGGAAAATTATGGGCGTATTTGTTGTTTTGCCGCTGCATAAAAGTTTCTCTCCACCGCAAGTGCTGACGAGAAACAGACGGACATGTTGAAGCATAACCTGAAACCGGGTCTGCTCTATGTCTATGTGAAACAAATCGTCAGGCCTTCGCCCTCTTTGCCTTGAAAAGCGCTGCTGCGTCTGGAATTTTGGATTTGTCCGCTGCAGATGTCGTGGTCGCAAAAGTTGTGAGCAGTAACGAGAAGAGCTTGGAACTGAAAGCCTCGGACTTTTTTGGCGCGAATTTGGAGAGCGTTTTTCTGGTTGAAGATGGGAAAGAGACGAAGCTGAGTTCATCGAAGGGCTCGGACGGGACGCTGTACGAGGCGAAGATCAAGGTGCAACCAGAAAAATTATGTCATGGTTTAGGTTTACTCTTCTTGCGCATTTTTATGTTGTTCATCATCTTGCTCGCGGCACCCATACATAAAATCTTCAGGCCACCGCACCTACCGACAAAGGCGCGACCGCGAAGTTCAAAGTCGGTTCTAGTAAAACGGGCAAGGCAGCAACTTTCGAACTGTCCTACACACCAAAGGCAACGGCGAGTAGTAGTACTACGAGTACAACAACTAGAAGTTCAACCACTACATCAACCACGACTACAAAATCCAAAACTACCACCACTACAACTTCAAAGAAGAAAGAAAAAGCGAAAAACAAGCCAGCAAGACCTCCGACACCAGCGAAGAAGAAGGAACTGAAGCGACAGTTGGCCGATAATCCCTACACGGCGAAGATCATGGCTTTGACTTTGGATGTCGGCACGAAGAAGCACCAGGCAGAGACGGCTTTTTCCTTGGAGGACGGGAAGAAGCTGCAGGCGGACTTGAGACTGGACGACACGATGAGCTTGTATTTAGATATGACGGTCAGTGACGTAGGGACAACTGGGAAATCGGTCAAGCCGCAGCAGGTTAGTACTACACGTCATATGTTGATGTTGTTTGCCTCCTGGACGAGGTGCGGCGCACTGTATTTTCCATTGAGGAGTCAAGGTCTTGCTCATGTGGAAGGTTCTTCAGCTTCGTTTTCATTCTGCAATCCTGATCCTGAATAAAGTACGTCTACATAAGTACATCAAGAGAAAAAGAACGGATCTTATTTACCACCCTCCAGGTTGCCCTCCTCTTGAAGTACCTAGAGGAAAAGTCCGGCGCGAAAAGGCCCCTCGGCCTTCCCCTCACCCAGACCGTGTGGCTGAACGCGAAACAGGAGGAGGACCAGACTAGTTTCGAGCTCAGCTGCGCGTTGAGCTCGAAGAAATGCATGCTCGCCTACGACGGATTCTATGAACTTTCCATTATCGTCGGGGATAAGCGGATCAAGAACGCGATCGAGGAAAAAATCGGCACGATCGAATTCGTCTTCTCCCAACCGAGCGAGATGACGATCACGAACAGCAAGTTGCCGAAGCAGGGGGAAGAGCTGCGGAAGGACAGCAGTCTGCACAACGCGCTGGCGACCTCGGAGTTTAAATATTTTGCCGCGGTGGAACCGATCGAGCACATGTTTCGAAAACCGGAAAAAAGGCCAAATCACTTGCTGCCAACCATTTTCGTGTCACTCGTTTGCTTCCTCTTCGGGGTGATGTGCCTGGCCATGGTGACAAGGTAGAACAAGATGTTAGTACGCGTTTATTGATGCAGAAGTCTGCATGATTGACTCCTGTGCTACAAACTTACTGTTTTGGCGGAGAGGATACAAATCTCGCATGATACCCAACGCAAAAAAACTCCCTTCAGGTGGAACCTCTCCCTGCTTACCCACAGCAAGACCGCGCTTTTCTTTCTCACCGGCTTGGGGTCGGTCGTGTTTCTCCTGTGGAACTTCTACTTCTATCTCCCATTGTTCGGCATGGTCACGTACCTAGTTCCAATCTTCGTGGTTCTGGTGTTCCTGGGAAACGCGGAACTGTGTGCGTGTAAGGAGACCAGGTGGCGTTTATCCAGGGCCATGGCCGCGGGCGGGATGGCTGGGAAGAAGGATTAGACAGGTTCTGGAGATAGTGCTGGTTGTAGCACCAGCGTCGAAAGGGACAGAACCAACAAGAAGATACCTACGCACCAAAATGTTGATCCGTCGCAGACGCTGCTAGTATCTAAAAAGAACTTAGTCGTAGCAGCAATAGAAGAAGAAGACAAAGTGGATCTTCACGACTGTAGTGATGGTCAATTTGTTGAGAATACAGGAGAGTTTCAGAATTTGAGAAAAATGGAAAGCTTTCGCGTCGCTGTCTACGAGCGACAATGATTAAGTTGACGACGAAGGCTCTCCAGCAGTTGCACTAGCATTTTGTTCCGCGGATAGGTATTATTATCAATGTGCTGATCATATGATCACACTGCACAAGCGCAGAGGCAGACCAACGGATGATGTATCAAAATTTTTGCACCAGCCTTTTTGAAGATCTCCGACGAGCACTCTTTTCCGGATCTCTGCCTGCATTTTTATCGAACAAAGATCAAGATCAAGGTAGCTCAAGGCAACAAATAGTGTTTCACTTTGTCTGCGGCAGTAGTTACAAGTGTATTTTTTCTCCTGGCGTACTATTTTGTTTTCTACATGACAGGCACACAGACAAACCTCCCTCGAGGTGGCGACATAACATTGACGTTCGCTCCAAAAAAAAAAATATGACATGGTAGCGTGTAGCGATACTTGAGCTTGACGCATACACAGGAACCCAAGCGCAAACAATGACCCATGATATACTTATCCCGACCCTCCTGCCCAGAGTTTGTAGGTGCCCGAAAATCCCGTCAGGGCTCAGTCACCATTAGTTCTTACCTTGTTCCACCACGCGCCATATATTCGTGAGTCAGCGGCGCATGACGTGCAAGCATGAAATCCCGCGCCGAACAATCTCGCCCCCGTGGCGGTCGCGGAGCAGCCCCCGCGCGACGGGAAGACTCTCGCGACAAGGGAGCTGCTGCAAAGAGCACGAAGAATCATGAAGATGCCCGGTCCCGGCGGCAGCACCGGGAGCAGCGCAGCCGCGAGCGCGAGGACAGCAGAAGAGCGGCGAGAGCACCGGGGGCTCCTGCGAGCAACAGTAGGGATATTAAGCCCACGACAAATAAAACCACTACCCGCGCAACAAGACTTTCTACGACCTCGTCTGGAGAGGACGACCGGAAGAAGGAGGGCAGGATCGCGCGGCTTCAGAAAGACAAACAGAAACAAGCGTCGAAACGGGCCGACTCTGGGTCCTCGGGGAGGGACGAGAAGCTTCCACTAAGATCCGCACGGGATATCAAAGACAGTAGAGATGCTCCTCGTGCTAGAAGGACGGTGGAGAACAAGCGAGGAGCAGACTCACGGGCGAGAACTACAACAAACACGACAGGAGCGTGCGATCGGCAGCGAAGAAGTACCAGAGCAGTAGAAGATGTTGATCTTCCCATGAATGAGGACTTCTCTCGGGGTCGGGAAGAACGAAAACCGCGCGAGCGCACCCGTGACCTCCGTGAGAATGAGCGGCAGCGGCGACGGGCGGATTCAAGAGGTGGAAAGAGGAGTAGAGACCGCTCCAAGGAACAGGAAGACGGACGGACAGACTCTGGTCGGCGAGCAGACCCACAAAAGTCTGTTGACTACGACGACATAGACGAAGAGAAACATCACGAGCGCAAGAAACCCCCGCCGGCGAATGGCCGCGCGACTGCAGGAGCAGATCATACGGTGAAGTCGGAAGGAGCACAAGCAGAACCACCTCCAAAAGTAAAAAATGCACTGTTCCAACCTTCTCTGCAGCCGAAAGCCGCTCCCTTCACCGCTGCGAGTAACTTCATGAATCAGTCTCTGATAATGGGACAAAACGACCAAAACACGACAATGAGCGGTACTACGCTACCAGGCTTTCCCACCCCGCCCGCCGGTGCCGGTGCAGGCACGAATCAATACGACGGGGTGATCTTTTATTCCCTGAAAATTACCCATCCCCATCCACTTTTTGCATGACAAACACATGATTTTATGTATGTTTTGCATGACAAATTGGATGGGGATGGTTAATTTTCAGGGAATATCTTTTTTCAGCAGATGCAGATGGTGCAAATGCAGCAACAGATCCTCCAGCAGAAAATCAATCAACAAATGCAAGCGCTGCAGCAAGAAAATCTTCCGGAGTTACAACACGTGCAGCAAAGCGACAATAATTTTTCGGGTGAACAAACGATGAAAAATGAAAAGCCGACGCCAGCTGAACCTAAACCTGCACTCAATTTCGACGACAAGCTGCAGAATCTGGCCAGCCGTTACCAGCAGAAAAACACGATGAGCAAAAAGGACCAGAAGAAGAAGGACCTTGACATCCTGCTCGAGGAGATGAAGCAAAAGACCAAGGAGCAGGAAAGCCGCGAGAAAATCACGATAGAGGTGCCGAAAACGAAGGAACAGCACCGGTTCATCGACATTGTGGCGCAGTACGTAGCAAAATGCGGGTATACATTTGAAGAGCAGATCCGGCAGGACGTGAAAGAGGGCATTCTGAACTTCGCGGAAAGTAGTAGTCATGCTGCGATAAAGCTGCATGAGCGACAGGAGAATGATGATGACGATGAGGATGACCACAAACAGAACCAGAAGAACTTATCAGACTCGGAGGCCGACGAGGACATCAAGGAGGTTGATCATGGCAAAGAAGAAAAGTCATCAGAGTCCTCAGGCGAAGATGAAGCAGGAGGGGATGGGGAAGATGTTTCTCCCATAACCGCAAAGAAATCTTCGAGTAAAAAGAAGCGCAAAAAGATGAACGAGAATTCACCTGCGAAAAAAACTAAGACCGCCTCTTCATCTATCTCAGCCGCTACTACAACTACTACCTCCCTCGTCAATGCCGACTTTCTTCTGGACCCGAGAGACCCAAACTATGCTGAGAAGGAAGCCCTTTACTACAAGTGGCGGGTGTACGCCTATACCCAGGGCGACGAAAGGACCCGCTGGCGCACGGAGCCGTTCCAGATGGTGCGGAACGGCCCGGTGTTTATCCCCCCGAAAATCCCCGAGGCGTTTTACTACGCGATACCCCAGGAGGCCGGCGCCTACCGGCGGAAGCGACGGCGGACGGAAAATGGCACGGAGGAGGAAATTTTGGAGGAAAAAAAATCGGTGTTCACCAGCAAGGAAGAGGCGCTTGCGGCGGCTGCGAGCGGCATCGTCACCGGCGTTCTACGTGGTGGGCCTGATTCTTCTCTTCTTGACCAAGCTGGTAATAGTACCGTGCAGAACCAGATGAAAACCATGAACATCAGAGAGCAGTTGGATACAAAGTGGTCGAATCAGCAGTCGACCCGGAAGGTCGCGGGCCAGGAGCCCCTCGACGAGGAAGGGAAAAAGGAGCTCGAGCAGCTCATCGGCCAACTCAAAATGACCCGGAAGTCGATCTACGGCGCCATGGCGATTCTGATGGAGCGATTCGCGAATTCCGCCAAGCAGGCGACGGCGGAGTTTCTCTGCGATAAGCAAGAATTCGAGAAATTTGAAGAAGTGAAGGACTCTGCCATGTTCGAATACAACCGGTTTCTGGTCGACTATGGCGTTCTCAACTGTTACTGTTACATTCTCAGCTGTTACATAAATTTGTGATGCAAGAATGGTAAAAGTGATAGGGGGAATCTTGCGCGTCTTGCATGACAGATTTGGCACCGATTATCAGCCTGCTCGGCCCTCTGAGAATTTGTCATACGAAGCAGCTTGATGGTGTCGACTCTGAAGGTAATTTTGCATGACAAATCATGTAACAGTTGAGAGTGTAACGGTTGAGAACGCCATATCGACTCCGCGATCGCCAGGATGTACCTGATCTCAGATTTGTTACAGAACGCGTCCTCCCTATCCCAACCGAGGGCTTGGTGCTACCGGAAAGAACTGGAACAACATCTACCGGAGATGTTTTGGGTGTACGGGAAGATTCTGTACACGCAGTGCAACCCTAGTACAACTTCTTCGGGGAATGATGAAAAGATAAAGAAGAGAAACAAGAAAGAAGGAAACCGAAACGAAATCGACACAAATTTATCTGGTGCAGCTAGTGGGTTCAACATGTTCAGTGCCCAGGATTACTTCAAGACGCAGTCCACTAGTACCTCCACCTCTTCGTTAACAAACGACAACAAGCGATTCCCTCAGCAGTACTTCGCCGGCCGGATTTGCCGGATTCTCGCCGCCTGGCAGGAATCGTGTTTATTCTCCCCGATGTTTTTACAGGGTTTGAAAGCGACGTTTTTGTTGAGTTTCTCAAGGGAAATCTCCATCTCCGACTACAAGGAGTGCTCGCGCATGTCTCAGAAGCGCAAGGAGTGGGCGAAGTTTGAGCATTTCTCCCAACTGGAGAAACTCTGCCGGGAGAGGGGGCTGCTGTGCAAAAACCCCAAAGCAGAAGAGCCGGAAGGAGCCGCGGCTAAGGTGAAAAAGAATAAACACCAGTCCGAGAATATCCTGTGCAAAAGTATCGTACTCGTAGTAATTGCTATCATGCATGACAAATATCCCTTTTTAGGTAAATCAGCATTACAAATTCCATTTTTTTTCTTGACAAAATTTGTGATGCAATTTATACTAGTACGATACTTTTGCAATGCATAGAGAAGGAGAAAGCCGCTGCAAAAGACCGCGAAATGACGACTGGACAGGAGTTTCTTGTGGAGCAGCTGGCGATGTTTGAATACTTAATTTCGAACGGCAACGAGTACACTTTCGACGAGAAGGAGGAAGACGAAGAAGAGGACATCAACCTGCTTCCGGAAAAGCAAAGAACTGCGAGCGGTACGGTTTCATCTGGCGCCGCGGTTCCAGTTCCTGTCTCGACATCTTCATCTGGCACAGCAGCAGCTGGTGTCCCAGTGGCCACTGCCGTCGCGGTCGCGAAGCCTGTGGTCGCGGTGGGGATTTCCATCGCGAGAACCGCCGCGACAAGGGACTTCCACGAGAAAAACAAGCCGGTTTACGGGAACTTGGACGGCATCCCCTTGTCGAAAGAGCTCCACCGCGTCTTGGCGAAGCAGGCGGAGAGGGACAACTGGTGTCAGTGTGAGAAACTGCGGAAAATGAACGAGGAACACGATGAGTACGCGACGATTTTGCACAAGTTGTTCGTGTCGAATCAGAAAGTGGATAACAAAAAGTGGCGGGAGATCCAAAAGGAAGAAAAACGGCAGGCGGCTATTCAGAAGGCAAAGGCCTGGGAGGGGTACTGCGGGCGGGAGGCTGACATGGAGAAAATGCGTGCGGAAAGGCGGAAACTGCATGAAAATTTGTGGAAAACGGAAGTACAGAGCGACGAAAAGAATAAAAAGAAGAAAAATAAAGTGGAGAAGCGAAGGAAAAGATCTCAGGATAGATCTGCTGCCTCAGCATCGCCACGGGAAAGCGCAGAAGATGGTGTTGAAGACGACTTTTCGCAAGAGGAGGTCGCTGCTGGAACAAGTCGCAATAGGAAGCGGCGGCGAAGAGACGGCGAGTCATCGTCCCCAAGGGATGATGAAGATTACGAGCACGAGGAAAAGTTGCAGCGGCTGCAGAGTGTTTCTTCGGAAGATTTATATGCAGCTAAAAACGGCGAGAAATACTACAACGAAGATGACCAGGAAGACTACAAGAATTACCGTCGCGGCAACGACTCCCGAAAAAGAGATCATCGTCGCAGACGTGGTCAAGACCGCTGGCGTGCAGACGACAATGGAGATCATGATAACGCCTCACATGAAGATCTCGACGGACAGGCTATGTCCGACGATGACCAAAACGACGACGACAGGAGATACAACTCAAATCGCTACAACAGGCGCGATCGGGATCAGTATAGTGCTAGAAACAGGAGCAACAGAGATGATCATGCTGAAACCTACGAGAGCGGAGCCGCCTACAACAACGACTATTACAGCAACCACAACGAAAAGTCCACCCCCGAAGCGACTAATGAGGAGGAAGACGAGGACGCTTACGCTAGTTACGACTTCCATGGAACAACCACAAGTGGCGCAGGAACTGGGACAACTATCTCAAGGGCAGACAGACGTGAGAGGGAGCGTGAACAGCGGGAGCAGCGGGACGCGCGCGACCGTGAGCGGTACCAAGATCTCTATGAAAGCCGGAATCGCGGCGGTGACCGGGGGGAACAAGATGATCGCTACAGACGGGATTACGATAAGAAGTACGACCAAAATGACAAAATCCTCGATCATTACGAAAACGTCGTTAAGGAAACGCGTCGCAGGAAGCGGGACAGCGGAAACTATGGGAAGAGGGAGGAAAGAGAAACGGACTTGGCGGACAGACTCGATGATCCAACCCTAGGGCCCATGGACGGCGAACCCATGACGGACAGCGAATGATCATTCGTCGAGCTTCTTCGTTGTTCGGAAAGAAAGTTTTATACAAGCTGATTTATTTTTCGACTTTGTCGAGGAGGCTACGTGGGACCACGAATATAAATATATTGCTCTTTCTCAAAATGTTTGAACGTGGACCTTCACAATACCGGTATACCTTCGACGATGAACAAAACCGCGACAACATTTATTTCTCATGCTACATTTTTTTCATCTCTACGACGACCAATCGCATGTGACGAGAGCAGCTTAACTTTTCTGCACATGATCCGCTTTTGCAAAATAGAAGCAAGCAGCAAGAATACAGGCGTGAGCTCTCAGCGAGCTCTTGTTCTTTTTGTTTTATTTTGTTACTCCGCTAAAATTTTAAGTACATGTAGCTGTCGTCCATGATCGGTCGCCTAGAACGAGATGTCACTTTCTGCTGCAGACAGTTCTTCGGTTGTCCTAGAAGGTTTTTCCGTAATGGTGGTAGCTCTAGCCACAACGAACCTGTACTGTGAGAGAGATAGATTTTACTGAGAGAACAAAGAGCTAGAGCATAATGTTGTAGCAAGAACAAGCTGCGCTCTTTTTCTGAGTTGTAGTGAGGATTTCTTCCGAAGTTCATGCAAATCGGTTTTACATTTGCGCACGTGCTTTTGCTAGCAATAGAAGTGCAACGCTCGTCTGAACCATGCCCAATCTCATGAGTGTGCTGTTCTTTTCCTTTTGTTTGATGCCGTTCCAAAAAATGCACAGTTTTGGTAAAGTGGTGCCCTAATACTTACCTATTCAAACCCTTTCCCTTTTTGCAAAGCTGCGGAAAAGCATTGAAATCAAATTCGATTTTGGCGGAGTTTGACCTTTACCATTCTTATTGTTAAGTACGCGAGCGCGCACGTTGCTCCCGGACGAAGTGGAGAAGGTGCTACGTTGTATCTTCGTCCTTAGTCCAGAGCAGTTCTAATTAGCACACTTTCTGTAGTCTTCTCCTAATTTCATTTTTAGCTTCGAAAAGTAGGCGACTGTCTGAGACTGATAGATACTTTACTAACTTTATCTAAGTCAAAATAAATGGGAAAGTTCAAGTTTCAAATCAAGCTCTCCGGCCAATGGCGGGACTACAGCGACGAGGAGAATGCTTTTCTGACCCGCGCTTACATGAGCGGCATGAAGAACTGCAGATACCAGCTGCGAGGGCAGAGCTACGAATACAACTTTGGAACGATGAACCAGGTACTGTCGAATGATGTTTGATGATCATCATACGAACTTGCAAAATCATATGTTGCACGAAGTAGAGTCTGTCGGTGGAAGGAAAAAAAAAAATTGATAATAGTGCTCGGAGCTGGTGCTGCGACAGAGTTGTATGCTCCTCACAAAAAAAATGAATGAATAAAATCACCGCGACCACATCAGACCACCATCAACAACTAGGTAAATCTCGCTTCGGGTAAGCGCCGCCAAATTCGAGCGCCGCCAAACCTGCGGCCGCCGGACCGTCCGGTCGTGCCGCCAGGCCCCACGATCTGCGTCACAGTTCCGACAACCGCCCGTGGAGGGGACGTGCTTCACGTGCCGCACCCGCATAACAAAGCTGTCATGATGCAGGTATAATTGTTGTACGCTTTACCTTTAACTTTTCCGATGTTTTCTACTACAACTACTGACGGAGGACATCATTGTGATGTTGTTTCTTCATGGGCACGCGCACGCATGACAAGCACAAGATATTAAAAATAATGACGACAGGTAACCGTCCCGCCAAACGCTCGACCGGGCGCTACCTTGCTCGTTCCCGTTCCTCCACTGGGACCGAAGATTGTCGCGCAGCCAGGCACTGCAGCTGGCGGCTCGCAGCCAGCGCTGGCTAACTCCAATAACGGTGCGGGTGGAGGTGACGTCAACAAGAGTGGTGGACAATCTGGCCCGGGCTACGGGAAAGGAGTCGCAGTCGGCGCGGCTGCGGGCGTTGGCGCCGCGGCAGTAATCGGGGGTGGTGTGGCCCTGGGAGTCATGGCGCAGAATGGTAGCTAGCTATCTAAGTAAATTTGATGAAAATGATGAAATTCAGATTTCCAGTTGTGTTGTCGTTGTCCACCAATAAAGTAGTAGAACTCTCCCCAACTTCTGTACAGGTCAACTGGACGGCGTGGTTGCTGGTGCTGCGGACGCGGCAGGAGACGTTGGCGCCTTTGCGGCGGACGCCGCGCAGGATGTCGGCGCGGCCGCTACGGACGTTGCGCAAGACGCAGGTGCGTTTGCCGCGAATGCTGCGCAGGACGTGGGTGCGTTTGCCACGGACGCCGCAAAAGATGTAGGTGCGTTTGCTGCGGATGCTGCACAGGACGTAGGTGCGTTCGCAACCGATGCGGTAGGAGATGTCGGCGATTTCGCGGTCGACGCCGCGGGCACGATTGGGGACGGAGCTGAGTTCGTCATCGACGAGTTAGGCGACTTCGCGGGCGATGTGGGGGATTTTATCATCGATTTGTTCTAAGGAGCGTATCGACTGTATCAAATCTTCTCCGGCGCGAGGAGCCTGTCGATAGGCGTTGTACTATATTGGTTGTCAAGAGGAGCAGGGCTTTTGAAGAAATCTTCTGAATAGCCGAAGTATATCTGCGCTTCTTGGTAGTGACAACCAGCACAAAGATATAGTAGAGCACACCCTTGACGAGCATGTATGATTATTGGTATTCGATATGATTTGTGTTTGTGCCTGTTTATGTTTTAGCATACACTTATTTAATTGCTCTTGTTAGTTTGAGTCACTTCCGACTCTATCGATTAATCCGGCGTGCCCGGTCCTGGTGACCGTCACCTGGGATGTATTTGCTCACGCACCTTGTTGCAAAAATTTTTTGTAATGCACCACACCTACTACTACTAGTACTACACGTACACATCCACTGTACAAAATATTTTTTTTTCTTCACGGTCACAGTCTACCTCGTCGGCGAGAAGCAAGATGAAGGCCCACTACCGGTGCGGCGTGATGCCACCGTGCGACGCTGTACAACTAGAGTAGAGGTCTGGCATCAAGAAACCGTTTGTGGAATACTCGAAACCTCCGCGTCTCGGGACCGAATTCAATTTTGTATGATGTCTGAGGAAGGCAAAAATGCAAAAACAAATACCAGCTGGTGCTTGATGACGCCTTCCTCTTCCCGGAGTTTGGACGCAGGAGCATCGCGGGTTGTCACGTGACAAGCTGTTCGCACACGGCAGTACTGCTGGAAGAAGAACGTCCTCTGAGGCCAGATTTCCTCTGTCGTGCTGGCGTGCGTTGCTGTTTCAGTCTGAATCATTTCGCATACGTCGTTGAGAGTACTAGAAATAACGAGCCCTGCTTTTTTTCGTTTTGAGTAGAACAACAAAATTCAAAACGCTTCTCTATGTGTATGTGTTCGGCCGATCTGAATAACCGCACACCGAGAAGAGCAGAGCCAGCAGGTTGCGGTCGAGTTGTCAGTCAAAATTGGGGCATGCAAGAAACAAGCATGAGCAGCAGAAGCAAATAACGGCGATTGTACAAGGCGCTCGACTACCTACCGATGCCTCCGGAGGTGGTGGTCTATCTTCCACATACACATAGTTTGTGAAGTGAGCAAAGTATCATCGAATATTGATTTATCTCCACGACTTGAGAGCAGCTTCGGCACCAAACAAGAGAAAAATCTGAATCCATCACAATGTCCTCCACCTCGACTTCCACCCCTCTCACCGCGTCCCTGCACACGGAGCCGGGTTTCGCGTTTCACTGCGGCCTAGTGGTCGGGGCGAAGCAGCTGGTGGTCGCTAGTGTGAGCAGTATCGAGGACGAAGACGATGTTCTTGACGAGGAGGGTTTTATTGAGCCATTTAATACTTCGCATCCAAATCCATCGCGACCAAATTGGAACGCGCCGGTGTTCGGGACCATCCTGAAAAATTACCGGACGAAACAGGGCCGGACGAATGCAGGGCAACATGGCTCGAGCAGCCGTGCGCCCTCGTTGCAACCGGCTGGCGCGAGGACAACTACGCGGATGCCAAGGGGACGAGGGACAAGCACAAGCAGGTTGGCAAGAAATTTCTACGGCGCCGCAGTTGGGTCGTCGTCCTCCCACAACTCCAATGAGGATCACAACAGTCGGCATGATCAATTGCAGCAGATTTTTTCCTCTGATGTCACCCCTGCGTCATCAACCTCAAGTCGAACAAACCTCGCGAACAACAACCGAAATATTAACAGCAGCTCTACTATGCTCTCCTCGACTTGCAAATCTACGTCTAGCACCTGCAGCTTGTTCAATCGGGTTTTCGGCCCCGATGATCATGCAGCCGGTCGTGCAGACGAAGATGATGCTGCGTTGGTTGACGACGACGAGGATCTACTTCTTCTCGAAGGGTTGCAAGAACACCAAGAGGGTGCGAGAAGAACTATGCCAGGTTGTACAAATACAAGTGGACGAGCCACGGAAATGAAAGACCACCACCGCATCCAAATTGACTTATCCCGCTTGTTGAAAGAACAACCGGAAGTGGACATCTTGCTCTTCGCGGCCAATCGAATCCCGGGTGGGAGCGGACGTAGTTCTTTGTTCGGGAGGGGCAAGAAGACCAGGAGCAGATCAGCGTCTTCCTCCTCGAGAGCAGGGAGGTTTTTGCGCGGAGGAGATAGCCCAAAGGAAACGTCGTTTGATCCCGCGACCAAACTGCAGTTTTTCCTAAGGAAGATGGTGCACAATAATAGTTGCAGTTGTACTGCTTCCGCGACAGGAGTCAGAACGCCGAAACTACCTACTCTGGTGGACGGCCTCGTCTTGCAAAAGAAGCAGGAAACAATCACTTCCGCGACGATCGCCTTGAAGGCGGAAGAGGGCTGTTGCATGCTAGCAGCTTTAATCCGGGATGATGTGGACAAAAAGAAGTGGAAGGTGTCACGAATTTTGACCACCATGCCCAGACAGGGGCTGCAGTGGCAAGACTGGATTCCGAATTGCAGAAGGTTGGATCATCGTACTGGGATGTTGCCGTTGGCCCAGGAGTTGCGCATTCCGCAGCCGCGAAAGGATGAAGAGCAAATAACTTCTCGTGGCCGCTCCCGATCCAATGGATCAGCCTCCGTCCGGTCGTCGAATCTGTCGCGTTCCAGCCACCAGGTCGTCGCGATTTGCTCAGGAACGTGGTCAGCAAAGTCGGATTTAGTTTCAACATCTGTAGTTCGCAGGGACGAACAAGATGCAACCACTGACGATCGTCGCGGTGATGTTATGATGCTCGAGGAAAATTTCCGATTGGAGTCGCCGCAGGCAGCAAGCTTGGAAGACGAAGAGTTCTTCGAAAAGGACAGTTGCTATAACGAGACTGTCCTTGTCCAGGAAAGTCAAAGTCGTAGAAAAGCGTCGAAAGTTCCTGCCACATCATGCACATTCTCGGATGACGTCGTGATGCAAGAGCAGACTAACACTGTAGTTGAACAAGAAGCCAGACACAGCTGCAACCAGCCGAAGAACAAGAAGAACACTGGTGAATTTGTGAAAGTGCAAGCGTCGATTTCGTTTTTTCCTGGGTCTTGCAAGAATGCAAAGCCACAGGTGGTCGGTGTTGAAAATGATAAAGGTGCAGCGTCTACTAACTTCCTCCGACTCTCCAGCACAGCGAGTAAGACGCCGTACTACGCGGACAGTGGTCTCCCGTTGAAAAATAAGGTTCAACAAGAGGAGCATTTCCAGCTGCACCGGGATAGTACTTTTAGCACGTCGAGTCAGCACGACAGCACGAATAAGACCGGACTACAGGAGTTGTACGACCAGAAAGCTGCAGCTCCAGCGGCATCATCTTCCGTACAACAACCAGAAGTAGACCTCGTCCCGCCAATATCACAAGAAAAAAGTGTTACAGTTACACATTTGTTGGAGGTTCTGCATCACAAAGGTGCTCGACATGGCAAAGAAAACCTGTGATGCGCAGACTACAAGGGAAAACACGAATGAAATCAGGTTGGCAAACATTTCCTGCATGACAGAGCTTCTCTGTCTTGCTTATCTCCCATCAGAGTGTGTAACTATAACACTTTTTTCCCACGATAGCCAACGAAGTTCACAGATTCGCGGAAATCCTCAAGAAAATCTACGCCAACGCACACACGGGCCTCCAGTTACAACTCTTCAGTTTTGAACAACTCGAGAAGGTACTCGGTGGATGATTTGCATAAGCTGATGTCCGCGGAATTCGGCGGGGGAGGTGCAGGTGGAACAACGCACGCAACAAAGAATTTCGATTACCATCCCGTAGACAAGTTGTACGCGAGCAGCAGGCAGTTTGGTACGAGAATGAGAAAGCGAATCCATCAGCATCAGCTCGAGGGGGAGGAGCAGGCCCCCCCGGGGGATTCTTGTACTTCTAGCACATCAGGCAGCAAAAATCTACTACATGGAGATCACGATCACGATGCAGAGATGGAATTGCGGTCCAATGGTTCTTCACCGAAGCAAGCAAGCTCCGTACAAGCGAGGATGGTGGTGAGCAAGCAAGATGTAGTCGGGGTTCCCGGAAGATGTCGTAATCCTGCTTCTACCGCAGCACAAGTTCTTTCCTCTGACCACGATCAAAACCGGCAAGACGTTTTTGCGCCAGATTCCTCCAACAACATCCAGCGACGCACGATTGACCTCCTGGCGGGGAGCGCGAACGCCTCGATCTTGCAAGACCTGTCCCTGTCGCTGGACCAGAAAGCGAGAGAGCGGCTCTTCGGGTACATCGAAAACAGCTTTCATCCAAGAACTGCTGGGCAGCAGCGGTCGTGCAGAAGTGGGCGAAGTAGGGCGGGATCGACATCGGCTGCCGGGGAAGAGGAGGACACAAGTTCTGCAGCGGATGATCAACACAGCGTGATCGAAGAGAAGATTCAAGTCGCGCTCGCCTCCCTTGCGTCTGAGTTCAAGTCAGTGGAACACCAGCTCCACTCCGAGATGCAAAATCTAAAGTCAAAGGTGGATACAGAACATTTGAAAAACCGAGAGTTACAGAAGGCATTTTTGTATCAAATGTAAAAATGTCTGAGTCTGGAAGAATGCAACTTGTGATGCTGCATTTGGATTCCAAGAAAATCTGTATTGCATCAGTACTAAAGGAAATGCAATTTTTGCTACGCTGAGAAGGCATTTGTCATGCGGAAGAAGCATCAGAAAGCCCTCAAAAAATCTGTATTGCTAGAGTATGCATCACAGACATCATGGCTCATGCAAAACGTGCATGCCAAGTGTCAGAATCTTCCAGACCCAGACATTTTTACACTTGATATTTTGACGGTACTGAAGAGGCTGTTTCCGGGGATACGTGCTGGCGAAGATCGCGACCATCAGGGAGGTGATCGTGATCTTACTTGCACAACATCTGCTGCACTTGGTGCTGTACCTAGCGTTGACAACAATTTTGGCAATATGGACTCCACCTTTGCACGTACCAGTTTGCGGGTGGAAGAGTTAGAGCAATTACTGAAGGAGATTGAGTCTTCCAGAGCGCAGATGCGGTCTCTGTCCACGGCATCGGCACTGTCGTCAGGCGTGTCCGGCATGTTGTGTTCTGCTAGTTCGGGGGCGAATAAGTCAGGGAACAACGCCAACGAAGAAACACGACAGCACGACGTCGAACGGGATCACCTCGTCGTGTTCCCGCCAGCAAATTCCTCTAAGAACTGTACCAACCACGACGACTTTCCTGTATACCACGACTCAAACCAGCACACCACTGCGGAGGAGAGTACGCACGAAGACTACAACCACACGACGTCCCACAGCGCAACCAGCTTGAGCAACTCACCACCTGTTTCATCTTCTGGTGGACATGGGTTTGGTGTGCCGGAATTGCGCGTCAACGAACAAGGAGGTGTGATGATTTCTTCATCTTCCCAAATTCTTGCCCCTGGAGGTCGCGGCCAGGGCCACTACTCCCTGGACAGTGTTACGTCGAGCAATTTCAATGAGATGCTCCAGCTCAACAAATCGAACTCGAGTGGCAATCTGCAGCATCGTCCGGGTAGTAGTCTAGATGGTTCTACTGCACAAGGCGGTACATCACAACGATACCATCGTCAAAAAGAAGCCAACACAACCCCTGTCCTCCAACCCCCGCCAGCGCTAATCCTCACGCCAGCGAGGCCGCCAAACACTTACGGAACAGCAGTTTTAGGTTCACTCACCCTGGATGGCAGAACCACGAATCTTCGAAACGGCGATGTAAATAACCCCACAGCGTCGACGTCCTCCTCCTCCACCTCTGACGCAACAAACAGCAGAAAGAAGCTGACCAAGGAACCGCAGAAGCTCGACGATAGTGAGCGGTTGCAGGGCTCGCCCGCGGTGCTGCCCCCGTTCAAGCCGAGCCCGAGAAGGGGACCAGCACATTTGTCTGTTCCATCGGGAGTTGCTGGCGTTGGTGTAATTTCATCTACAACTACTAGAAGTGCACAACGACCCGCAACCGGCGCCCCGGTGGCGAGACAGCGAACAAGACCGCCACATAAGAATCCCTCGAATTTGATATTGGCAGCTGCAGCTGGTGACAAGAAAACCAGACGCGGTGAACAGCAGGGGCTGTATGAAGATTATCCCATCGTGCGGCTACCTTCGTCCTGTCAATCTTCCCCGAAGAGTGAGATTTCGATGTCTAGTTTGGCCGACAACTCCAGTGAGACTTTCCACCTACCAGAACCTGCACGGGGGAATTCGAATTACGGACAAGGTCAAGGTCCTGCTCCCGCGGCTTCTCGCAGCAGGCCGAAGCTACTTCCTGACAGATCTTTTCCCACCGGCTGCACAACTGGACGCTATACCTTGGATGTAGAGGAGCACAGTAGCATTCTCAGTGCGACACCACTGGCGAGAGACCACCTCCCGCAGCCACCGAACTGGACCGCCACGGCAAGACAGCAGATTTTAATACCAGGACAGGGTCGAGTCGGAGATGTCGTCGTTCTTGCAGACACAAACATCAGTACCAAGGAGAGTACTACACTAAATTCCTCGATGAACTTGAAAAAACAGAAAAATCTTTTCGGCCGCGAGCTGCACATGGACTTGAGAGATCGGGAAGTCGCGAGACCTCCGGGGGTACAACCAGCTGCACACCAACTACGAGCTGGGCAGAAGGATCTGTCGCAGTCTGATGAAAATGCTTTACCGCCTGCTGGAGCTTCCGGGGCAGCAAGCATGACAAATACTTTAGACAGGAACAGCGCTAGTGAGGAATGGAGCATCTCCAGCGGAAATTTTGATGAGATTTTGAGCCGTCAAAGTGCAGCGGCGGCCAAGGTGCATTTCAACCACGACACAGAGAACTACAATACGAATGCTTACAGGCGTGGCTACGACCAAGCATCAACTCGTCCCGGCAAAAGTGATAGGGTCCTCTCGCACCATCCACAACAACACCAAGAAAGTGCAGCACTAGGACTAGCACGGCCAGTGCCTGGAAAGAGCACTCCGATCTTCACAGCGGCGCCCGCGGTGGTGACGCCCGCGTCCGTGTCAATACCGGCTTCTAGTACAACAACGATGCGCGGCTCGTTGCAAGATAGTATCAGCATCAGAACGGCGACTCCTGGTGGAAGTGCTGCAGTCGTTCCTGCTCTACCAAGCAGCTACCACAACTTCACAAGGTCAAACTTCTTCCCACCTCCACGGGCAAGAACGTCCCTCGCGGGCGTTGACCACGACAACTCGAGTTGTCACAAGCACAATATAATTCGGGACCAACAAATTAGCGATCGCGTGTCAGACCCTTTCAGCCGACGGACGCGATGTGTGGAGCGGCCGCCGAACAGTTTGAGTAACGACCACTTGAAGCTTGTGCAAGAAAACGAAAAGTGCAGCACCAGTGTGGAGAGAAAGTCGTTGTTGAATAGCAGTTTGTTTGCATAAACGGAGTTATAATTTAATGTGAAGATGATGATCACGATTAGTATCTTCATCATTCGACCGAGAACCAGCCCTGGATGGAATTTTTGTGATTTTGATTTGAAGATGCTGCTGGTCATGAGCGATATTGGAACCTCAATTACGGTGCTTAGTGTCGTGTAGTAGAAGTTAGTTTTTTTTTTGAGAAACTACTACGAGAATCGCTACATACGGCTAGTAGAAGCAGAGGAACCTCCAAATTACAGATGCAGAATGTGATTGTCGATACATCATGGACACCGTAGTTATTAAACTCCGTTTTCGTATCATGCCGAGGCGTTCGGTCGGCATCGGTTCTCTCTTTCGCTTGGTATTGGACGTTTTCCCACAGTCAAGCAGTTGCGACTCTTGTTCTTGGTGTTCGTACCTACCGTTCAGAATCTGACAGTATCGTATCGGTACTAGTAGCAACCAAGTTTTGGAATGCGTGTGCTATCAATGAGCAGTTCTCGGTTGTAGTTTTGAAGACAGGCAAGAACATCTGGATCTGCGGAAACAAATACTCACTCGCTGCGGTCGCGTCCTCTTTATCGTGACGGAATGACGCCTGCGCATGCCTATGGCATAATAGATATTAAATATGACCAAATCAAATCAAAATGTAGATCTTGATAATCACAAATAGAGATCTCGATTTGGTGGAGATAGAGGAAGATTTGGATCAGGTGGAAAATAGGTTGCGTGGTAATTATTGAGAAGCAGAAGCACGGAAAACGTTTCTTCCTTCCGAGGAGCAGAGTTATTCCTTGCCAATGCGGCGAAACATTCGTTGTTGACGCCTTCGCGAAGAAGTGTAAGGTCACAAATGATCATGATCTTCATCGGTGTTACATGCCTGTCCTCTGCTCCTTCTGCAAGTGCGATTTGCTCTACTACTGATCTTCAAAAATGCCAGTATGCGCACCCCCTCCCCAATCCATGGTGCGTACGACTCTTTGTAAAAAGTTCCTTTGTTAAAAATGAAATGCACCTTCATGATCATGACGCCAGAAGCACCTGCACCAGAGCTATGTGTTGACGAGATCATCTAATAAATTGCAGGCGTAACGACCGCCAGGATCTATCATGTCAAATAACAAATGATGACAGAATGAAATAAGTTGCGCACTGCAACGACGATAAGGATAACGAAATACGAACACGCATTTTACATAAAAGAAACACCACGTGAAAGTCATTTTTTGGTACATTCTTGAAGCATCAGCCAACCCCAAGTTGAAGGTTTTGACGAGCATTTTCAGCACTGTTATTTGAGAATTAGAAGCAAATACGTACTTTTTGTTTTTTGTTTTGAAGCAACTGCTTTGATCGCCTACGTCATTTTTATCCTGCTGGTTTGTACGACGAACTCAATTCGAGTTTTCAGTTTTGGTTTTGTTGACAGTTTATTTGTTGGCTACCCATTTCATTCACATTCACATTCTGTATCTCTTCACCCTACCGGCTCTCAAAAAGCACAAAAATGTCCGTCCATCCAGGCAACCAGGTCGTCTATGCCCACCAGCAACCGGCTGGGCCCCCCGGGCACTATGAACAACAAGGAGAGCGCGAGCCTCTGGTCTATCCTATGTAACTGTGTTCGCCACCTTACTCAGAAGAGTTAGCACAAACAAAGATGACACAAACGCCGAGTTTAAGCGAGTGCAAGAGCTGTGAAAGAAACGCGTTGTCAGAGATGTGAAACGAGATCACTGCGTACGTGCGTCGCGTTGTAAGAACTTGAACAGTCACGCACTTCAAAGCCATGAAATAGGAAGGAAAAAAGGACAAGAATTACTTTGAGCATCGTGCTCCTCCCTGCTCACGCTCGTGACGTGTTGCAGATGTGTCGGATCCGATCCCCCGGCGTTTTCTTTCCTAGTTATCGCTCAAGATAAACTCGTAGCCCGTTCCTTCTCTCTTGTGGTAATCGCACAACTCGCCTGACATCAGTCAGCGCGCAGTTGGCCGTAATCCTACATCCTACTGAGGATTCCAGCCTCCAAAGGGCTGAGGAGGAGAAGAAGAAGAAGAAGAGTTGTTGTTTGATCACGACGATTATCGTCGTAGTTTCTGTGGTTCTCGTTCTAGGATTAGCCCCCCTGCTTCTCTACCTCTTCGTCTGGAATAAGGAAGCCGAGCCGGACTGGAACAACCTCGCGGGCCAGCAGGAGCGGGCGCAGATTAATTTGAAGAACTCAGGCAAATTTGATGAGAACAACAACCCGGTTTACGACCCAAAGACCCAGCGTATGACCAGCATGACGCTGAACGGGCAGCCGTTCAGCTTGCTGGATGAGGAAAAAAGAAGGCAGGCGGTGAGCCAGTACCAAGCGAAGGGTTGCGCCTTTATTCAGCCGGAGGACTTCAGCCAACAACAAGACCCGGCGGGAGGAGCTCCTCAGCAGGCAGCCTCGTTTCGGAAATTGCTGGAGAATTGGCCGGCCGACAAGTTGCACACGCTACCCGACTCGACCACGTGGCGCGCTCTGGTTACTCAGAAAATCGTCGAAAAGTTGACGTCCAGTGCCCCGAGTCTAAACCTGGAGGAGACAAATCTGTCGCACAAAATCTGGAACAAGCAGTTGGCGCACGCTGCAAAAATCGCGAACTTGGACCAAACCAATGGAATCAATGGGTGGCAATCACCGAGTGCGAGCTTGGAGAAGGACGCGGCCGCGAATCGAAAGAGTTTCAAGGCTTTGTTTGACAAGCTGCAAACTGCGGTCGCAGCCGCGAACTTGAAGCGCGCCACTGTGATCGTGGACAGTCGGCACCGCTCCGGCAGCGCGAAGACCGGGGCCCCCGCGGTCGACAATGGGATGGTTCCGTTGACCTTCGTGCACACCGATGTGACCATGCAGGGCCTTTCGGAGGAGGTGAAGCCGGTTTGGAAACTGTTGCCGGACCTGCCCAACATGAGCTACGGCGGAAAATTCTCCGTGCTGGGATATTTATCCATTTTGCTGGCGTCCGGACTGCAGGCACCGTTGCTGAGTCCACTACTAGAATCGGGCGATCTTGTGAACGATGTCGCAAAGGCAACTTGCAACTTGACCGATTCGGACCTCGAGCACGTGACGAAATATGTCGTGTCCCCGCAGGTGGTCAGCGGCGACGCAAAGTCACAATCTACCGACAGAATCATTCTTGTTGGGTACTTGACGCTTTTGGGACGCTGGGAGAAGGGCACTTTGCCCACTTCGCAAACCGCGGCGGATTTTGTGCAGGAGTTGAAAACGCTCTTCCGGAGAATCTTCAGCAGAGCAGGCGGTGCAAACTCCACGCTGCCCGCTTGGGTCTTTGACCCCGCGGCGCAGCCAATATCCCCGTACTGGTCCAAGGTCACGGCTTTTTTTACCAAACTGCTGGACGGAAATCTGCTGGCGGAACACACGATCGCGAAGTGGGGATGCTTCTGGTCCCGCGTCAGAGTGCATGACGCTTACAACTTGTGGATGAACGTAACAAGGCCTGCTGATAAGGATTTGTCGAAGCCGTTCGCGATCAAGTACCCGCTCGCGGTTCTGGACCTGTCCTCCATTCCGCTCAACGCGACAGGCGCGTACTCCCAAAGGTTCTTGAACGAGGACGAACTTTCCCAGGGGCAAGCCGACAATATGAAGTGGTACGTCCGGCCGGGCATGGAGTTCGCGGAAACTTTGCTGTTTTCGACATTTAGCGTCTATCACACGGCGGTTGCCGACATCACCAACATGGGGACGGAGCGGGAGTCGATCGAGACCCGGGCTTTGTCGCTGGACTACTGCACACTGCCGGTCCGGGCGAGCAGTGAGATCAGGCTGACCTGCTGGGGGTCGCGTGGAGTGTGAAGTAGTTGCTATAATACGTAGAGCGTCAACGTTGTAGCAGCAGTGCTCGCGCTTTGTTACATATTGTTTGTTGATGGCTTAAAGCCACCAGCCGTTGTTTGCCGGTAGCTGCAGTGGTGGGAAACGCGGCAGGCCATCACGTGTTTTGGTTTTGCTATATATCTCGTTTTTCATTTATTATTTTTATTTCTATTCCATTCTAACTGTGTACAATGATCTTCTAGATTTTGGCGTCGAGGCGGAAAGACAAAGAAAAACAAAAAGACTATTAAAAAAATAAGACTTTTTAGCACTTAGTGCCAGGAGCTTTGTAGCGACGGGGTAGTTCCATTTTTGAAGCAGGTCCACAAGTGCCAGTTCTTTTTTTCAGCGGGGTAAAGTCTCAACAGCGGAGTTTTATTGAAGTAGCGCTAGGAAAAAAGATGACTAAACGCGTTCCCACCTTGACGCATGAACAGAGACAAACAAACATTTGCAGGAGCAGGCACAGATGATACAACACTCAGCATGAACTTACCCGCTTAGGTGAGTTTTGGCTTGATGCTTTCTAGTTATTTGCAGTGACCGCCGCTGCCAACTGAATTGAGAAGAAATTCTCGTGGCAGTAGGTTCAAAATTCTTGTAGCTGCCTTCAAAAGAAAGAAAGCGAAGAAGTGGCACTTATCAAATATTAATTAATATACATAGAAACGCCATCAACCAAAAGCAAAACGCATTTGTTTGAGGTTTGATTGCTCACTCTGTAACAAGCGCACATGGTGATTTCTTTGTTGAGCTGATGGGAGCAGGGAGATGGCTCGTCGTCATCGTGGTGCATGGTGTCCAACACGCAATGGGAAGCGTGTATGGTGCTGTCCTTCATGAAACAAGACGTGCGTCATGATGTCCTTGATGAAACATCCCCTACACACTATGACTCGTGTATAATCATGCAACGAGCGGGAAGATGAACAGAGCAGAACAATAATGCTAATGCAAAGATCACAACGGCGACGGCCCAAGGCCAAGAGATGCGGCACTGTGCATGTGACAAGGAGCTAGTGCGATCAATGTACCATGTGACAAGGAGGCGTGCATGTGACAAGGAGGTAACCAGACGCAATGGAGGTAGTGCGATCATGTACAACAAGATGATCATCGTAGTAAATATTTATATTATTGGTTTGTCATGATGATCCACATAAAAAAAATCATGATGTCAACGCAAAGAAATACGTACAAAAAGACACGCTCGGACAAAATGCGATCCCGACGCTTCCAAGATCATCTTCAAAAGGATAGCACTCGTCGATCTCAGTCGTGCCGTTTCCTTTTTTCACGACTTCAGCAAAGAAAGAAGTAGCAAAGACTTTTGCGTCTCAGATAAAACAGCGTCTGAATATCCCGCGGAACTGCAGCAACTTCCTGATGTACAGCGCCACGGGCCTCGCGAGCCCTATCGATAACATACTAACAGACGCTCTTATGGTGTTTTACAAAGGCGCCGCTCTGGACTTGTGGCCCTTCTACCTAGACGAGGAGGACACTCCGCCCGCGCGACCTTCGCCAGAGATGTCACGGGACGCGGAAGCGTTTCCCCCCGTCCCCCCCTTGTCGGAATCCTCCCCAGCGGTCGCAGCAGCAGGCGAGGGGCAGCAGGTCGCTCCCCAGACACAGGAGGGGAGCGAGAACGAGCTAGACGAGCTACCAGACATTTTTGCAACGTGGGACTTGGAGGACCCGATCTGCGCAACTACAACACACGAAAACCCGCTCTGGGGGCGGTGCAACGAAGCCTGGTCATGCAGAATGAATAGAATAGCACTGAGTGATGAGTATCGCGACTTAGCACAAGCAGCAAAAAGCTTACAGGTAGGGCGGCAATACTGGAGGGGTGTGAATAGGATTACGGTGCTGCCGATGCGTCAGGTTGCCGCAGATTTTGATGTACCAGATCCAGGCAGGCTGGATGATCGTGAGGAGAAAGATAAGGTAAGACTTGAAATCTCGCAAAAGAACGAACAGGTAACGCGCTCCCTATTGCGCGAGAAGCAGACGGTGGCGTCGTACACGGACGGGGGAGCAAAGTTCGAACGAGGGAGCGGGGGCGGTGCCTCTTGGCACCGCACCGCACAGCAGGGGCGACGCCCTGCGCCGATCGTGGTAAGTTGTTGTTGCATTGAGTCAGAAATAGGTGATCCAGAGGAGACGACAGACCCGGACTCGTTTGACGGGGAGTGCTACGGCCTGCTGAACCACGTCAAAACGTTACGGGCCCACTCCGATCCACAGTGGCTGAAGACAATAACCAAGCACGTTTTCTTCGTTGACAACAACGGGCTCCTGCAGGCGATGAAGGCTTTCCGGGACCGGAGTAATGTCATGACAATCAAGCTCGTGCGAGAGCTGGAAGAGCTTGAAAAAGTTTCTGCGCCAGGGTGCGAGTTCGTCTTCAGGTGGACGCCCTCACATCTGGCGAACTACTATAATGATTTTGCAGACGCGATGGCCACAAGAGGCCTAGACCACAACAAGGGAAAAGAACTACAGAGGCCCTTCTACAAAAAGGACGCGACAGTGAACCTGCTCCGCCGACTAGTACAGGAAAGAACGAAAAGCAAGCTTCTAGGCAGCACAAAATGTCACCCATACCTGAAGCGGCGAGCTTTTTGCATGCGGGAATACAAAACAGAAGAAAAGCGTCCGCAGTATATAGACGCTATTATGTTTGCATTATGGATGGGGACAGCGAAAAAAGGATTCCTAGGAATGGGAAAGCTCGAACACAACACAAAAAGGCCGCACCTAACAGGCATGAAATGCCAATACTGTGATAAGAAAGCTTTGCCGACCACCGACCACCTTTTGTATGAATGCCAGCAAGCAGATTTTGTAGAAGCAAGAGAGAAGTGCTTCGGCCTGCCAAAAATAACGAGTATGAAACAGCGATGCGAAATACTAAAAAGCACGCAAATGACACGCAAAGTGCTGACCTATCTTGAAACGACATCTGAAAACCAACCGGGAATACTACCAGAATCGCTACGCAAAGCGATCCGGGAGAACGTGCAGCGGGACACATCGGAGCAGCCGAAAGAAGAAAAAGAGCAGTTGAAATTGGACTCGGTCGTGCCGAATCACAAGGCGCTAGCGAGGCTAGTGCCGTGGGTGGACATGGTCTAGGAAGAGGAGGCGAATCAAGGCGGGAGCGCCTGCTACGAGTGCAACCCGAAGATGTGCACCTGTTTGCCGGTCTGGCGAAAAAGGCGACACAGAGCTACGAGATTCGGAGCGATTTGCAGCAGACGAAGAAACCCCCCGGTGTTGGGGCAGTCGGGGGAGGTAATTCCCTACCGAAGTTCGGAAAGGTGCGAAGGTTTCCCGGACCGAAGTAAAGAGTACGGAATAGCATAGTTACTTGATCGCGCTAGATATTTTATGTTCATGTAGTCTTCCAGTAGTACTCTTCTAAGTAGGCTTCATTCAGTTAAGACCAGTCAGTCAGGACACGCGCAAACATCTTTCACACCATAGCAGCTCACGTTCAAAACGAAGAAACAAAAATATAAAAAACAAAAATGAAACAGTTACACCTCAGTAAAAAGCTCCAACGTAGCAGCGAGCAGGAAGGAGAAAGTGCGTCACATGAGCGGGGTGCGTAGGGTGTTGGTGCGGGAGGAGCGGAACTACGCATTTCCAATCACACTGGTGACGCACGGCATCCGGGATGGCCGCAGCGGGAGTACGAACACACAGAGAAGTTTTCCGTCTGAGTTTCCACACCGAAAAGTACGAAGACGCCAAATACGGGCACCATCGTCACAGAAGAAAAGGACAAAAATCGCAAAGAAGAGTACAGCTGATGCCCACTCAAAATTTCTAGGTCCCGTCGCGTAAAAATAGAGCGCAAGAAAAAAAAAAAAATAAAGAAAGAAGTACTACACGGAAGCGCAGCACCCAAAACACAAAGCAGGTCGTGGCAGACGCAGCCCGCGTAAGACTTCTACTAGAGGAGCGGCGCCTGCGTCTGTCCGGAGGAGGTGCCACTTCTGTTCTTTCGTAGTTTCGTTATGAGTGCTTCGTGTCCTGCGAGGAAATCCGGATATCAAAACTCAAAAACACACTCTTGCTGGTTGCAAAACCAAGTGCAACCTACGCCGATGGCCCCGGCCGGGCGCAGGTAGAACTCTTTGTACTCGTTCACCACAACAGCGGGGGGATCGACGAACCCTCGCTGCGGGCTTCAGCCTACAGGTAACTCTGTTGCGGTTGCCCCTCATTACTACGTCCTCGCGCAGTGGCTCACATCCTCTCGTCGAACAGGTGTGGCGTCTGGGCACTCCGGGTACGGGCCTTAGGTCACCAACCGGTTGTCGCTCCAGCGCCACAAACCCGAAACTCTCCAGTATACGTGTCCAGATACAAACAGGTCCAGAGAGCCACTGAGCATGCAGCAGCTGGGTCGGGTGGGGCGATCGCAGTACAGACTCGGTATCGGGCCTCGAGCGGAAAAAGGAAGACAATGGGTGGCACTGAAGTCCTAGGTTTTGCACACCCGGAAGGACTATTTGCCCACCTTTACCGATCTATTTCCAGCTCGGCTTGTCGATACCAGAACTATGTCCTATAGTTAAGCTTAAGAAAGTAATAGACTAGTAGATAGAAGCTTACTATAGAGGTTTCCTCCTCCTCCTCCTTCAAAAGGATAGCACTCAGCGGAGCAAATGGGAACGAATGGAGATCCTGGCAGATCATCGGTTGGATCAAACGAATCAGACTAGGCATTTCCATGCACCATCATCGTCAACGATACTAGGCAATTCTATTACATGTCCCGTCTGCGAAGATACAGCACCGCATCAAGTGTCTACTTCGTATTCCAATTGATATCCCCAGCGCTGTATTTTGCTTTTGCATCTGTTGCAAAACAAATAAAATCTTCGAATTAATATCACACACGGCCGCGAAAACTCCTACCTTCTTTGTCTTTCGACGAGGAATCAACACAACTTCTACCCTTTCTCAACCGCATATACGAAGTTTTTAGTACTACAAAAACTACCAAAACCGAATCGCCAAAATGTCGGGTCACCAGGACAACGAGGTTGCGTGCCGTGACAACAACAACGCGATTGGTACCTTCGGGTGCGACAAGCGTACCGAACCGGGCTGCTGCTCGAAGTTTTTCTGTGCCGAGTGTGTGGTGACCAACTATGAGGGGTGCTCCGTGCTCGCGATTGTGGGTTGGATCGCCGCGGTCACCGGTGTCGGCTACGGCCTCTTCGGGTGCTACGTCTGCTGCTGCTACGCCCCGCCGCTGTTGGGCGTGCACTACGGCAACCGCCGGGCCAACGCCGTGGGCGGACCGGTCCACGTGGTTCAGAACAACGGGAAAACGGTTGCGGCGGGGTCGGGGCGTGGTGGACGCGGGCGCTTTGTCGATTCCTCGGATGACGAGTATGATGTGTAAAAGTAAGTCAATGTGAAAAAGAAAATGGAAGATGAAACGAAAGACGCAGCACCCGCGGCACTGGTCGTGTGGAGAACACGTTACAGATGGGTAAAAAATTTTGAGGGGCACCATATGCTGGTGAATTACGTCGACGACGACATGATCCTGAAATTTTGATGGTTCATTTTTTCAGGAGGATACTCCTCGAAAAAGAAGAAAACCCTATTGTTTGATGATTTGACTTCTGAAAGAGGAAGTGGCAGGACATATGTAGTAAATGAGTAATTACAGTTTTTATGTGTGCGCTCTACAACACAAGAAAATGAAAAGCAAAACACAAGCATTGGATTTTCGAACTTCACACATACACAAACGCACTTTTTACATTTTTATCAAAGGCTTAGGCCGCTGTGGCTGTGGAAAACAAAAAGCATAAACAACTACACTCTTTTCGAGGAGGATCCATTTTGCATTCCACACTTGGATCATGGAGATCGATTGGAGTTGAAGTTGGATGAACATTTTCGCCATGGTTAAGCAAAAAAAAAGTGAAACTACATGAATGAGTTGTATTAACAGAAACTTTTTCGACGTGCATGATTTGTCTTGGAAAAAACGTCGTTGGCGTGGACGATGTGGTTTTACATCGATCGCGTCAAGGGCGAAAGAAACAAAAAAAAATCTTCTCGCAAGGAGAGCCCGTCGCCGACGTCGTCTGCTCTATGCATAAAACGGCCGTCGGTTCGGGGAGCGACACGGTTGTGATGTTCGCAGCCATCTGCTCTTGTAAGTACTAGATAGGGCGTTCTTGGGGTCCATCTCCATCAGTTTCAGTATGTAGTACTCGATATTGGAAAGAAGAAGTAGAACCTGTGTACAGCTTCTGGCCCGTCTTCTTGCCACTGACAAATGAGTAGCTGGTCGGTCACAGATTTTTCCAACATGATAAATGCAACATGCAACATGAGTCGTCTTCATCGTCCGCAAGTAGAGCTTGAAAACAAAAACTCATTGGAACTTTTCGGTTTTTCTTCGTTTTTTTCCGCGGAAATCGGTTTTCTTGAGCGAGAAAAAGGACACAAAGTAGTCGGTTGAGCGAGAGAATAATACCTGTCGTGTACTTAGAAATCTGCTTTTTTTGAACAACATCGTTGCGGGGTACTGGTACACACGAAAAGACACAGCTTAGCAGGTCGTCGCGTAGAAGTTCATTTCGTCTTCATTATTCGCGACCATGTCCTTATCGTTTCGTTTGCACACGTCACCAGTCATAATCGTTTGAATCCCGCCCTCAGGTTTCCAATACGGTATACAACTTCCCTCCGCGTTGGCGTTACTTCATCCAGCACGTTCCGTTTTTACAAGTTGAAGATAAAGTAGATAAACGTACGAGCATTATTGCATTACCCTAGTAACCCACTGTCGTAAGTCTAACTTGTAGACCCCGGCCCGCTCTTGTTGTTGAAAAACAAGTGCGTCATCAAGCTGCTCGTTGAATTCAACGCACTACCTCCATTCCCCCTGAATATTCACCAACACCAGCAAGCCTCACGAGGCCTTTTTTTTTGAAATCGGGGACTGGACTGCAAAACAACAGAAGAAGGGTGGTCAGTACTTCGGATTTTTATAAGAACTTCGGGCGAAGATTTTCGTGTACGTATTCATATTCTGCTTCACTTCCTATCGATAGGCCATCATCTCCACCAGAATCATGGGTCTTCACGACGGAGGTGAACAAGTAGAATCCTCCGACCGGAATAGGAAAACTACGAGCATGTGGGGTGAGCGCGACCTTTCCCCCGGGCTGCCCGTCACGGCGGATCCGGCAAACGACCGGGAGGTACTGGAATCCTTCGACGCTTCCCCAACCCGGGAAAAAACCTCCGACTTGCTCACGAGCCTGAAGAAAACGGGCGAAAACCGAACGGAATATTTGAAGTCCCTTGTCGACGTTACGCTCGCCGACCACCGGCTGACCAGTGACCACGTCAATTTCCACAAGAAGCCGGCCCTGAAGACCCCAACTTTGAAAACGAAGACCGGGTTGACGTTAACCGAGTCCGAGAATGCCAGTTCCGCCGAGGAGGGCATGCTCTCCATCCCCGGACTGCACGTTTCATCTAGGAGAACCAAAATCGAGCAAACCAGTTCCGGCGGTACCAAAGTCCCGCCGAATACGGTTTTACACCCCGCGAGCCAAACGGGGCAGATTATGTTCGACGCGAAAATCCACAATCAGGTGAACAACGGGTTGGTTCGAAACCGGAATTTCGTGTCGCATAGCACGACGGTAAACACGTTGGACGCGAAGCTGTGGTACATGCGGCAGAACGAGTTGCTGCAGAAGTTGTCGTATCCTGTGCAAAAGTATGGTACTCGTGCAAATCGCCGTCTTGCGTGACAGATCCAGCAAGTAAGGTAAATCAGCATTACAAATTGCATTTTTTATCTTGAAAAAACCTGTCATGCAATTTACACTAGAGTACGATGCCTTTGCATTGCATATGTCGCTGAAGTTATCCGACGTGACCTGCGTGTACAACGACATTCTGTCGAATCTCCTCCGCGACATCGATTTGTACGCGGATTCGAACCGCAGATTCTTCGATATGGCGTTCTCAAATGTTACATTCTCAACTTTTACATGATGGATTTGTGATGCAAGAATGGGAAAAGCAAAAGTGAAAGATTGCGCCTGTAGCATTACAAATTCAGCACAATTTAGGTGTTGTTTAGCCCTAGGCAAATTTGTCATGCGAAGCAGCTTGATCGCGTGGATGATGATGGTGCTTTTGCATGACGAATTCATGTAACAATTGAGAATGTAACGCTTGAGAGCCCCATATTCGACTTGCGGAAAACCGCCTACGCCACCGCCCACGGCACGTGTCCGATCCGGCTCCCCGACATGGAGCAGGCATTAACCGAGGCGAAACACCGGTCGAGACAGGGGTACAAGCGGCAGGAGGAACAGGAAGACCTGAACACGGATCTGGTGTTTGTCCACGGGCAACAGGGGTCCGTGTTTAACTCGGTGTACTTGTCGCAGACGAAAGAGAGGAACACGAAGGTCGGAAGGCAGATGGAAGACGGGGAACACGAAGATAGAATGGCGCAGATCTGTATTTATTTTTCAAAAAATTGTGATAAATTACATTCGGTTTTTGTTTTTTTTAAAATTCACTTGAGATCATACCCGGATGTGCCGCGTGCCAGTTCTTTGCGCAAGGGGTCAAATTGGCAGTGGTGCTGATAAAAAGTAGTCAGACATGGCTGCAGACACGCGTTGTATCTTGACCTTCTCTATTGTCTGTCAAAAAACAGTACAATCTAATCCTCCACTACAGACGCACAGAACAAGAAGGTGTTCAGCTACAACTCGGCCCATTTTCTGAACAAAAACGGCCAGTCCTACCGGAGATCAAATTCCGCCGAGGAAAGATCGAAACTAGCGGAAGAAGACACTTTGGAGACCTTGACGCGCGGCAGGAGAAGCTCGGCAGATTGGGACGCCACGAAAACGCTGCCACTTTACACCGTGGAAGGGAGGCCGATCAGCGGTATTTTGTTAGAGTCCTCTCCTGTCGTGACAGGAGCTTCTTGAGGCAAGAAATGCATGTTGATTTTCTTGATCCGATCTTGATCTTGTTAGCGATAGTACCTGTACGAATCCAAAGAACGTCCTCGTCACAGAGTTTTCTCCATGTACAGGATAATTGCGTTATAATTGTGCCAAAAGTTGTTGAAGTTTTCATTTTCATTTTTCATCTCTACAACCGTGATGATGCAAATAAGAAAAAACCCGCAAAACAGCATTGGGCAAGTCGGCACAGGCTTTAATGGAAGTGCCTTTGGAGCAGAATATGTCCCGAGACATTTCCTCCCAAATTTCCGACGAAATTCACGGCACCAAAAAGACTTCCTCCGCCCCCTCACCCCACGAAACCCGATCCCAAACCTTTCACCAAAACGACCTCAGCCCCGGTGGGTCGATCGGAAGTCGGGGCGCGTCGAAAGAGTTCTTGGACCCGGACCTTGTAGGATCTTCGCACCACCACAACGCCATGGTCCAGTCGCGGTCGAGCAGCACGCAGAATATCACGACCGGGGAAGGCCGTATGGGGTCGTCCCCAGACAGACCACCAACCGAGGAAGTAACAGTGAGTCAGACGCTGGCGGGGGCCAGGGTGACCATCAAAACTGGGTCGCCGCTTTCGAGGAAAGGCACAGGCATCAGTATGGCCACGGACAGCTCAACGCAAGGGGTGCCGGCGCATAAGCACCCACGTATATTTTTTCGTTGATTGATTTACACAGCACGACTAGCACTGCTAGTGCGCCGCATAGCAATCGCTATTGTTAGATAAACTGAATTTTTGTAGTACTGCAACTCCAATCCTTTGTTTTTTTTCCATCTTGATGTAGAAGTTTCCAACATTTCTGAAAAAACTATCCCACAAACGATACTCATACTCATTTTTTCAGGTCGCCGCACCCTTCTCGGTCCCGTAACAATTTGGGCCGACAACGTGAACCCTTACCCCTGTGGTAGCAGGAAAATGGCGGAAAAGGTTCCCTTCGACCCGTTAGTGAAACCTCTAGAATACCGGAAATCCCGTCCGTCGGAATATGACCACCCCATGTTTGACGATGTGGAGACCGAGGTGCAGAAAGTCGTCGAGCACGACGATGAAGATGAGTCCGATGATTTCTTTGAATTCGTCACCAAAAAGAAAGTCGACCCCTTGGAGAAAATCAAGGCGTGGAAGCCGCGACTACCGCTAGAGTCCGAGATCGACTATCAACTGTAAAAATGTCTGGGTCTGGAAGATTCTGACACCTGTCATGCACGTTTTGCATGAAACCTGATGCCTGTGATGCATGCCCTAGCAACACAGATTCTTTGAGAGCTTCTAATCTTGATGCCTATTCCGCATGACAAATGCCCTCTCCGCGTAGCAAAAATTACATTCCTTTTGGTACTCATGCAATACAGATTTTTCTGAAATCCAAATGCAGCATCACAAGTTGCATTCTTCCAGACCCAGACACTTTTACATTTGATATCGACATGAGCAAACCGAAATTCATCGACGGGACCCTGATCAACAACACGTTAATCGAATCTTATCCACTGCAGAAGTATCGTACACGTAGGAATTGCAGACATGCATGACAAATCTGGTTTCCTACCCGAATCTGCATTACAAATTCCAATTTTCTTCCTGATAAAATTTGTCATGCAATTTATACTAGTACGATACTTTTGCAATGCATAAATCGCACGAAAAGACGATCCCGGACCGCGAAAATTGGCTGTACGATATGGGCAAAGTGAAGCGAGGATTTTTCATGGACATCGAGAAGAACCCGATAGTATCCGACGTAAAGAATATGCTGTACCACGAAAAGACGAACGAGTCAGTGATTATGTTGAACTTCCTGGAGGACATGATCGACAGACAGAAAACACACTCGCTGCCGTTTAGGTACTTACATACATAATAAGAAAAACTTCTTCTAAAAATATAAATAAACTCAAATTTCTGGTGCCCTTAGGCTTAGATGAAGTACGTAGGTGGTCGTAAAAGAGACAAAAATATTACGTTTGCATTCTTGTTGCGCATCATGTATGATGATGACCTTACAACTTGATGGTTGATATTACCCACATAAAAATATACCAGGTCGTTCGACAACCTGCACGTGCCCAAAAAGAACGAAGAGATCTTCAAGTCCGCACAGGAGAAGACCGAGGCGAAAAAGATCAAGCGCATGATCGTGAAAGCGTGCGCGCTGTTGTCCCTCCGTGGGCTGCGGGATATTCTGCACATCACCGAGGAGGAGTGGAACCAGGCCCGCTTACCGCTCCGGCTGATCTCCGTGAAGATGGAGGTCATGTCCTACTTGGCGGACGAAGCGAGGGACCTGGAACGAGCGTCGTTCTGGCGCTCCATGGCGGAGACGCAGAAGATGGTGGACCACAAGCGCGTCACGGCCTACCCGGCAAAGCACGAGTCGTTACCGCGAATGGACATCGGGCAAGCCCCGTACAAGCAGTGGTACGCCAGATCAATGTCGCCGGACAGGAGACGCATGGAGGGCAGCGCGAGACAGGTGCTGAAGGCGCGCAAGGCCGCCGCGAAAGCGGAGAGACGGGGAAACAGTGTTGATAATCACGAGGGTGCGCACATGATGGCACAAATGAACAGCACGGGGAGCTCCCTGAACCACCTCTTTTCGGAATTCGATCGCAAAAGGCAGATCCGCGGGTTGTGAGGTGAGGGGCGGTATGTTGCAAAATGATTGCCAAATGAATCTAGACGAGGAGCCAAGGGTGCTCTGTAAATATTTCAACCTACTAACCAAGTAACGCTGTTGCCACTGTCATTCAAATCAAAATCATGTACAATAATTTGAAAGTTTGGTAGAGTCATATCGCATGCTGTTTCAATCGAATTTGTAAAATTTTCGGGTCAACAAGAACAATCTTCATTACCTGCTTAACCTTAACCAAATAAAAACCATTTTTGCCTATACAAATCTCGCAAGTAGACTTTTTTGCATCTCCTGCAATTTTAGTCGATTTGAAATTTCATCATGGTCAAGAAACTATACAATGTCTACCCACCTCCGGGAAAAGAGCAAAATCTTTTTGTCAATTCAATGTCACAAGTAATGCATTATGCATGCGCGCTGTCGCCATGGCCATTGCCATTTGTTTTTGCACCAATGTTTGGATGAAATGCGTTGACTTAACGGGAACAGAAAGCAGACGAGTTCGAATATGTTATTAGGCCCATGCCATTGCGATTGCATGTTGCATACTGCATGAAGCTACTCTAGCTTCAAACTGTTCCCATTGCCTGTGAAAGTGGACCTAGAGCCACATCGGAGCCGCACAAATTATGTGCTTTATTCCATCGGTTTCGGTATGCTATTTGTGCTGTGAAGCCCTGCGAGCGCAGCCTCGGTTTGGATATCAGGAGTATGCCTCATCGAAGTCGTGATCTCGGATGAAAAACTGAAACTGAACGATATTGGCACTTGCAATTCTCGACGCAATTTTTTCCTGCAAGTCTGTTGCCATATTTTTAGCACAGGTGGCTGGCTCCCACCCTGTCCCTATGCATATGCATATGCTACTTACTAGTGCAGACGAGCAGGAAGAAAAGATAACAAGATCGTGTGAAAATCCGAAAAAAATCAAGAACGTGCCCTCTACATCTACATTTCTCGTTTTCGGTCGTGCATCAATTGAAAAAATGGAAGATTCATTTTCTGGTAACATCGAGGTCGGTCTTTGGCGGGCTGGCTGTACCGCGTGAAAGTTTCGGTAGACAAAAGACGTGTGTAGTTGGATCTTGTGACATAACAATAAAGTTGAAGTTCTTGACAAGAAGGTCGGCAACTACGAGGAACAATCTTCATGCGGAGATCTCTGGTTCACATTCATCTAGCTCTCCGGATTGTAAAGATGTGCTTCTACGTACTAATGATGATCCGCAACACAAATTCATACAAAATTGGATGTCACGAAGGATAACGAAATGTCGATCAACGTTGAGCATCAATGATTTTGTGGGCGGTAAAAAATGTGAAGCAGACCACGCACCATAACTTACTAGGCTTCTACTCCTATTTTCTTGCTGCCTTGTTGGTCGCCTTTGTGTTTGTACATGCTGATGCTACAGCTGATGAAATATCGTCGAATATATGATTTTTGTTTTTGCTTATATCTATGTTCCTAGACAAAAACTTAACAAAATGGAATTTCTTTGAGGAGCATGATGATATGAAGTTTTAAAAAAGAAGAGATACTGATACATAGTGTAACGAGCAGCCGAGTACAAGTATTGCCACGGCGGGTCAGAAAAAAAAGAAAATGTCCCGTTTTCAGCGTGCCCGGTCGTCCGCTAATCGGGCACCACCAGCTGTGGAACCTTATCAACAGCGACAACAAGACGGTCAGCAAAGGGGTCACCAGGAAAGGAAAACCTCTGGAAACAACATTCAGAATATCGTCCCCCCGCCGACAGCGCCGCACATCATGCCTTCTGCATTCGCCAGCGGCCAACAACATGTTGATAACCAGCAACGAGGGCCAGTAGCACGTAGTAGTAGAGGAGGTGGCGCGAGAGAGTTTGCCGAGACAAAAGGGCATCAGCTACAGAAAAGCCAGCAGCTGAACAAGAGAAAAAACAAATCTGCGATAAGCAGCCCCCGTGTTCAACAACATCCCGATGGAGTAGTTGTACATAACGGCTCCTACCAAAACTATCCGCCCATAAACGACGACTTATCCAACGTGAAGCTGTCCGACGGCAGCTTTGTGTGTGGGAAGTTGATGGGCAAGGGCGGATCCGCGGAAGTGTATGAAGTGAAAAGGGACAACAAGCAATACGCACTGAAAGTGGTTTCCGCGAAAACCCCCATGCACATGGCGATTTTTCAGGAGGAAGTGAACCTACTGAAAAAATTCCGCGACACGCCCCAGGGGCGAAAACACGTCATCCGCTGCCATGATTCGCACGCGATCGCGGACAAGGGGCAGCTTTTCATCCTGTTAGAGTACGCGGAGTGCGACTTCCTGGCCTACCAGTCGTCGTTCCTCCGCCCGGTCATCGTGGAGAACGAAAAGGGCTTGCTGGACACGAAGATGTACGGGGGCGGCATGCCTTTGGAGGAGGTGATCCGGTGCTGGGCGCAGATGGTGGATTCTGTGGCTCTGATTCACGAGTACGGGATCGTGCACTTCGACTTGAAGCCGCAAAACTATCTCATGGTGGCGAATGACAGGTACGAAAAATATGTAATGTACGGGGGCGGGAGGGACCGGGACAGGGACGGAAAAATTATCGGAAATACAAATACCGGCGCAGCGCCAGCATCACCGCAGCCGCATAGATTATCTCCCAGTGGCGAAGGGGAGGCCGCAATGGACCATATTAATCTGCAAGAACCGATGTCAGCACAATCTACAGGCCGTTCGTCCGGTGCGAGCAGCTCCTCTGCGAGGAGCAGGCCAGAAGGTTCCACCACCGCGCCGATAGGTGGAGCTAATCATACTTATCAGCCAGATACTCCTCCTGCTGCGTCTTCACCCTCTCCCTCCAAGCACGAGAGGGAGTTGATGCGCCGTCAGACGTCGAACCTCTCCGCAATCTCGGAACTCGATAGCGAGCACGATTTTGACGAGTATGTTCCTCCGGGTTATAGAGCGATAGAGACAGGAGGAGGACGAGGAACACGAACAGCGACAACAAGCAATCTTCAAAGACACACTCATGATCAGAGTCAACAAGAACAAGTTCTTGACCACACAAGAACGCAGACGAACCAGACCACGACATCTTCGAGGGACGAAAGTAATCACGAATTGCAGATCAAGTTGTCCGATTTCGGATTAGCGAGGAGTCTGGACGGGGACAAAAGTCACATCACCATGGACGCACAGATCGGGACTGTCAGGTATAGAGACATAAGGGATCACGTAGTTGTCTTGTCTTTTGATTGATGATGTGATGCTTTCGGTTAAAATAATGTCTCTACCTGGGTTGTTGTCTTTTGTGATACAGCAAGAGTTGCAAGAGCAAGAAACCTATTGGCTTTATCAGGTACATGTCTCCCGAGAACTTTTTCCAACCGGAGGAAATGGAAAACAACGCGGCCGGCACGGTGAAACTTCGCCCCGAGGCGGACATCTGGTCTCTTGGGATCATTCTGTACGCAATGATCCACAACAAAACCCCTCATGAGGATATAAAATCCCACCGCGTTGCGTTTTCCATAGTCGACCCCAGGATGGAAATCCAGTACCCCTTTGTCGAACGATTCCACGGGAATTTCAAGGGGGAAATCCGCCCGGGGCGGCTCGTCTGTGATGCGAAATCGGGAAGGCCTATGTTTTTCGACGACAAGGGGAATGTTGTGCACACTGGGTTAACAGGACTGGATAACGAGCAACTGTATCGGGACGCGACGAATAATTCATCAGAAGTAGAACGAGGAGCAGGCCATCATCTCCTGAACCCGCCAACCACACCCGCGACCAACACTACGGGAACTAGTTCCAGCAACAAAACCCCGAAGCAGCAGCACGACCCGTTGGATCAGTTGTTCAAAAACAGCGATTTGCCGGAGCGGATGGAAGAGCAGATGAAGTTGCAAAGTTCCGAAAGCTCCTCGTCCATGAACAGCGATCATGCGAACAAAAACAAACTCGGAGGTAACATCAACGAGCAGCAGTCGTCCTTGTTCCACACAGACGCACAGTTCATCCAGTACGAACATTTGAACTTTCTGCTGCAGAAGTGCCTCCAGCGCGATCCCAATCAACGCTGGTCCGCGAAGCGATTGAAGGAATCCCTGCGCTTCATGCGGTTCTCCTCCCATTTTAGCGAGGACACGGCACAGATTGGGGCGCTGCGGCCCATCGTGGGAAGCAGGCAAGCCGTCATGTTCAAGCCGACGCCCAGCAGGCTGCAAACCACAACAACTGCAGCGGCGGAAGTGAGCACTGGTCCGCCGGCTTTGAACGGGGCGGGTGCAGCTGGGGCCGCAGGTGCTGCGGAACAAGCTTCCTCGTCCGCGGCAGCTCCCGTCGGACTTGGCGGTGTCTTCGTAACCCAGCAGAATGCAGCAGTAGGAGCTGCTGTTTCATCACCCGCAGGCACTGCAGGTGCATCCGCAATTGCGGCCGAAAATAGTACCAGCAGAGTAGTCCTCCCAGCAGCTGCGACCACAGCGGCGACCTCGTCCTCCTCCGCCAGCAGCTTTATCCCCGTGCCGGGCAAACGGCCCACGCCGAAGATTGCGAACATTGACACCGTGGAGCTGAACACCATGCGGAATCAGCAGTTCAAACACAATCCGAGCGAGTTGCGGCGGAATATGAATCGGTATTTCGTGAAGAACATGTCCCAACGGGACAAGCAGTCGCTCAACCTCTACGAAGATTTCGATAACATGACGGACGCCCAGAAAATGCACATGTTCAACGATGGCACCATGAAGCGCGCGACGCTGAGAAGCGGCAACAGAGTAGCGCTGAGGCAGCAGCAGCAGCAGGGTCAGGGAGGGGGAGGTGGTGGAGCAGCAGGAGCTGACGCAAACCAAGCTTTTGTGGGAGGTTTGACTATGTCGCAGATTGCGGCGCAGCAAGCTTCCTACTCGTCCTCGGCCGATTTTTTTGCAAGGACCAACACTCACAACACCTTCGCGCAGGATAAGGATTCATCTCTGAACAGTGACAACTCGAACTCCATGCGGGTCCCGCGACCGGTATCCACGAGAAGTGCTGGGGACAGAAATTTTAACGCGTTTGGCGGCGGGGTACTAATCCGCAGTAATACGGATAGCCTGCAACAGAGCTCCACTTCTCAGGATCAGGACGAGGGTTTCCCGCTGTTGGCGGGGAGCCGGACAGGAGGAAGTGCGAGAACGACCAAAGATTATGGCGACAACAGGCCGGTAGCTCATCCTGATCTTCATGATGAGACAGTTTACAACTACACCTCCTGCGACGGCGCGGCGGGGGATGGACGAGATGCTGAAGCGGCAGCAGCTGATCTACAGGCACAGCAAGGGGGACGACCTTTAGCCACCTTCGAAGAGGAGAAGAGCTCCCCCTGGTGCCAGTGGAGTTGGTGGATTGTCATTGTCGTTTTCGCTCTCAGCTGTGTGTCGATTTTCTTCCCCATCTATCTCATGCAGAGCTCCTCTCCCCGGGCGGCTCCGCAAGGCAAAAAGCAGGTGTCGCAAGGACGAGCGGCGTTCATCCAAAAAAAGCAGGCTGTGGTTGGGGAGCCTGTGTCTCCTGTTGTCCCCGGGCTAGCACAACAGGAAGATGCGAGAGAAGCGAGAGATGAAGGTGCTGCGCGGGTTCTGCCGTTCCTCAATGACGGCGCTAAGGAAGTAATAGTCGAGGAAGATGGGACAGAGCTGCAATTAGCGGAAACAAGCGATAGCGAGAAGTGAGGAAGCACGACGAGTGAGGACCTAGATAGGGTTCCGGCCTAGAAGATGAAGAAATAGAGGCTGCTCAATTTCTCACGGGCACTGTGACCGTGGAGACCGTAGACCTCCGATGTGACCGTGGAGACCAAGAAGTTCTATCCCGATTTGTGACAGCATTCATCTCATTGTCATTTTTCGTCAGAAGCTGACCCTGAAGGAATTATTTACAAGGAGCGGCCCAGCACAACTTCTAATATTTTATATTTTTCTGAAGCGACACGTCGAGGGCAACGAGTTAGACGCTTTAACTTGATTTGACTGTGCTAGTGTTGTACGGTTCCCCTCTCCCGCCCTGCGGTGCTTGTACAATGGACGTACTTATGATGGAAGTACATTCTAACTAGCGAGAAGGAGAAATTTTGAAGAACATGAGTAAGAGTATAATTGCGATAGAAGTGGCGATTCCTTTCCTCCCTATTTAACAACTCCATTATTGTACAATCTTTCTCTACGCATTTTCTACTTCGACGCACAAGATGTGGTAAGACAGGCATAACAACTACAACCTAGGCCGATTTTTCTGATCGTGCCTTGGGCTTTGAGGCATTTACTTACCTTTCATCATACCCATTCATCAGGTTCTTGGGGATGTGGTAGCAGGATCTTCCCGAGCAGGTCTCTAACTCTATATCACTTTCACTTGTGAGTGACCCACACCGTGCAAAGAAGGATGTACAATTCCCCTCCCAAAATGAAAAATGAGGCTGAGCAAGAGGCACTTCAAGATAGAACGGAGCTACTTACTAGATCATGAGAGAGCCTCGCGGCGAGGCTCCTTCGTGAAGACGAAGATGCAGAGCGCGAGGATATTTCGTGACTAATGAAAGGTGTTCCGCTTCCGTGTAAGACGAGCGCATATAATCAGCAGAGACGAAGAGACGCTCCTCCCGACAAAGCAAAAGAGAGGCGACTTCATTACGCGCAGCATTTAGCCGCCGGCTGGCGTTGTCGCGCTCACCGCCACGGACATGCTTGCGGAGCGAAAGCCCGGCGCCGGCAGTCCGCTGGCCGTGTGTCTCGCCCTTTTTGTTTTTGCTGACTGTCTTCGGTTTCCACGCAATGCCTGCGCAGAAAGAAAAAAAAACAGTGGCGCTGGTTTCGGTAAGCGGTGACTATGATCGGGCGAAGGGAATGCCCCGCCCTTGGATATAGACGAGGAGAAGCGCCGCCGCTTTCCGGCAATGCACGCCGGCAAGTTGTTACAATGGCCCCGCGGCGCGGGTACGCAGCCCCCGGGGGTCCTCAGTTGACACATGACCGCGTGCTTCATACCCCCGCGGCGGGTTTATGGCGTTGCGGCGCCCTTCGCCGGCGCATTTTGGGCCGACCAAAATCGCCGAGGTACACGCGGGGCGCTTGCGCCCCCCATGCCCGCGGACCAAGGCGGGCCGCTGGGTGGCTCGGAAGCTGCACTTTCTGCGAGGTCGCGCCTTCGGGCTCGCGGATGCGATGGCTTCGGCGTGTCCGCAGCGCAGCGTGCGCGCAAGCAGCCGCCTACTCGAGACGTCGGCCCACGGCCTGGGCCGCGCGATCATTCACGTCGCAGATATGCGCCGCCCTTTTTGGGCGTGGCCCACCTCCCTCGGTGGCAGGGCTGCCCGGGGCGTTGGGGGCCTTCCGTTGATTCGACGCACGGCGCGGCCTGCTTTGCCGGAAAGAAGCAGCGGAACGCCGGGGGCGCTCTCGCCCCCCGCCTTGGGCTTCGTTCGTCCCGAAGTTTCGAGGCCCGTGGGCCGGCAGGTGTGGCAGGGAGGAAGGGGCCCGCCGGCCAGTCCGGGAGTGTTGGTCGGCGGCATAGCTGAGCACGCAGGGGCGGCGGTCTGCGAGGCGGCGGCTGCTTTGGTGGCGTGCACCGACCGCCGGCCCCTCTTGTTTCGATCGTTCCGATTCATTGCGCCTGTTGTGTGTTTCGGGTCATTCGTGGCCGACGTGAGTCAATCTGCCTCGGTGGCCCGTGGGCACAGGGGCGGCAGCCTACCCCGATGTGCATCCAGGGGGGCGCTCGTTGTGGGTTGGTCGCCGCAGCGAGGCGACAATCAAGCCCGCCTGATTTTAGCAGCCACGAAGGGAAGACCCGGCAATGTGAATAGTCATGGGCACTAGAATCTGCCGCCTCTGGAGCACTGCGGATGGCCCATTTGTTGGCGAGGTGTTTCCCTTTCATTCGCGTTGTTGGGTTGTTTGTGTTTCAGTCATTTGGATATAGTTTCTGGCGCATGTGCAGCTGTGTCTGTGTATAGGACAATTTTTCTTCGTTCTTCAAGAATGAGCCGGGCCAAGAGATGAGGAAGGGAGTGTATGCTGGAGGACTAAAGTTGTAGAGAGAACGAGACATCAGACGAGTTTGCTCCACAAAACGCGATCCATCATCCGCATCAGCTGCACAAAACCATTGTGCGCGTTTGTGCATCTGCATTGCTCTGTCGTAGAACAACGAAGAGCGCCAAAAGTGCAAACATCATCAAGATGGATGCGTCTTTCCTAAACTACGGCCTCGACGCCGTGGTGTTGCCAGAGTGGGGTTTTCCGAAGAAAGGCAAGGTCCGCGACATTTATTTCCAGGAGGATGACGTTGTCATGGTTACCAACGACCGTGTGTCCGCGTTCGATTTTGTCCTTCCGAATCTGATCCCGTTCAAGGGCCAGGTGCTGAACACCATTTCCGAGCACATGTTCGAGGTGACCAAGGACATCATCCCCAACGCCCTCGTTCTCCCCTCGCCCGACCCGGCGGTCGTCGTGCAGAAGAAGATGAAAAATCTGATGGTGGAGTGCATCGTCCGTGGCTATCTCTGGGGTTCCATGGCGGCTGCGTACGAGAAGGGGGATCGGGACTTCTGCGGGTTGAAAATCCCGGACGGGCTGGTGCGGTATCAGAAATTAGCCGAGCCGATCTTCACGCCGACCACGAAGGCGGAGGTGGGGCACGACGAGAACATGACCATGGCGGAAGTGGAGGAGCTGATCGGGAAGGATTTGGCGGCGCAGGTAGGAACTACGGAGCACACGATGCTCAAGATTTTGTCATCCTACGATGTAAAATGATAAAGCAGGAGTTTAGGAATTTCGAAAAAGAAATAACAAGTCGGCTCTGACTACGTGGTCCTACCTACAACTGCATCAACAAGAAGTCGCTGTTAGAAGTACATGGCGCAAAAACTACATCAGGTCAAAGACATCTCGATGAAGCTGTTCAAGCGCGGCCAGGAGACGATGGCGAAGCAGGGGCTGATTTTGATCGACACGAAGTACGAGTTTGGGATTTGCCCCAAGACCGGCAAGCTGCACGTGATCGACGAAGTGAACACGCCGGACAGCAGCCGTCTGTGCAGCATTGCGGAGTACGAGGAGAAGTGGAAGCTGATCGAACCGAAGATCAAGGACTACCCCTCTGTGTCCGCCTTGCTGAAGGAACATCCGAAGTTGAAGGTGAAGGAGTTCTCGAAGCAGTACGTCCGGGACACGCTGTTGGAAATGGGATTCGACCCTACCACCGCCACCAAGGCGATCGAATTGACGCCGGAGCAGGTGCTGGAGTGCGCGAAGCGCTACATCGACGTCTGCGAGCAGATCACGGGCAAGAAGTTCCCGTTACCGGACAAGGCGCAGGTGATCAACAAGTCGCCCAAGGAGCGGCTGTTGCAGAATTTGGTCGCGAAAAAGTACCTCTCGTCTGGCCTCGCCTGCATCTTTGCCGGGTCCGACTCGGACGCGCCGCACATCGAGAAACTGCAGAAGGAGTTCGCGAAATCGTTCGCGAAGCACAACATCTCCACGCAGGTGCGGATTTGTTCCGCGCACAAGCAGCCGAAGAAGCTCGGCGAGGTGTTGAAGTACTACAATACCTCCGACTATCCACAAAAAAAAAAAAACAGAAACACATCGTCCCCATCCAATTTGTCATGCAAAACATGCATCAGCTCCAGTGTTTGTCATGCAAAACATGGATGGGGATGGCGATGGGTGTTTTTTCCTGGATACCGACCAGATGATCTGCATCATCGCCTGTGCCGGCGGTACCGACGCCTTGTCCGGAACCGCGTCCTTCCTGTCCATCTGGCCGGTGGTGTCCTGTCCCCCGGACGGGCTGGAAAACAAAACCTGCACGATCAACCCGCCGGGCAGCAGCAACGCCTTCTGCGGCAAGCCGGGAAACTGCGCGCGGTTTTGCCTGCAGATGTTCTCCGGCAAGGAGCCGAAGATCGGGGAGTTTTTGAGCAGCGAAAACGCGAAAAAGGTGAAGTCCTTGGAAGACGCGGATGCGCGCCTGTGTCCGGTGTTCGCCACGGGCAGTACTGCTGTTTCGGATGTGAAACCCTCTGTGTCGTGCACGAAAGCGGTGGACAACGATTTTTTCACCTCCACCGCCGCGACCTCGAAGGAAACGACGAGCGACAAAGACGGCGATGGTACTATCAAGGATAAAGAAACCCTCTACAAGCAAAAGATCCACAGCGAATTTCTGAACAAAACGGAAGTGGACGCGGTGTTTATCCCGGAGTGGGGCGAGGCGAAGAAGGGAAAGGTGCGGGACATCTACTTCCAGAACGAGAACTATGGACGTGTCAGGTTTGAAATCGTCAAAGTTGAAATGATTTGCCATGCATCAAACGGATACCAGTTAGACCCACAGTTTGTAGTCGGTGCATGGCAAATTTTCCCGGTCCTGGAAGCGAGTCTGTCACGCAGTTTAGGGCAAAAGAGCTACCTTCTGTCATGCTAGTCAGCCGTCCAACTTTTGAAAGACCCTTACCAGGACTATAATCTGCCTCCCGTGCGTCCTCTGCAATAGAGTCACTTTTTGTATTGCATTTTGTGCATGACAAACCATTTTTTGACGATTTCAATCCTGACACCCCCATAAGAGCGTGGTGATGGTGACCAACGACCGGGTTTCTGCGTTCGACTATCCTGTGCAAAAGTATCGTACTCGTACTAATTGCAGATATGCATGACAAATATTTTTCCTAGGGCAAAACAGCATTACAAATTTGACTTTCCTTCTTGCCAGAATTTGTCATGCAATTTATACTAGTACGATACTTTTGCACAGGATATCGACCACGTGCTGCCCAATTTGATCCCCTTTAAGGGGTTCGTGTTGAACAAGATCTCCGAATGGGCGTTCGACGCGACCAAGGACATCATCCCCAACGCGCTCATCACCCCCGCCCCCGACCCGGCGGTCGTCGTGCAGAAGAAAATGAAGAATCTGATGGTGGAGTGCATCGTCCGCGGCTATCTCTGGGGTTCCATGGCGAAGGCGTACGAGAAGGGGGATCGGGACTTCTGCGGGTTGAAGATTCCAGACGGGCTGGTCCGCTACCAGAAACTCGCCGAGCCGATCTTCACGCCGACCACGAAGGCGGAGGTGGGGCACGACGAGAACATGACCATGGCCGAGGTGGAACAATTGATCGGAGTGGATTTGGCCGCAAAAGTGAAGGACATCTCGATGAAATTGTTCCAGCGCGGATCCTATGCGTTGCAAAAGTATCGTACTAGTATAAATTGCATTACAAATTTGCTCAGCGTGAGAGCTGGAATTTGTCATGCTGTTTTACCTTAAGGACAAGATTTGTCATGCATAATGGCAATTAGTACGAGTACGATACTTTTGCACAGGATAGATCCGAGAAGATGAAAGAAAAGGGGCTGATTCTGATCGACACGAAGTACGAATTCGGTTTGGACTACGAGACAAACGAATTGTATGTGATTGACGAAGTGAACACGCCGGATAGCTCTCGGATGTGCGGTATGCAATAGAAATTTCAATTTTATTTCACCCCACACGTACAAATGCACGGCAGATGCAAATTTTCCGAACCTAAAGCATGCGATGCCACTTTTATCTTTTTCGTATGCTGCATACGAAAAAGATAAAAGTGGTGCCATGTTGCGGATGAAATAGCATTAGTACGTGCACGGAATGAATAAATTGAAATTTCCGTTGCATATGCGGCATTGAAGAGTACGAGAAGAAATGGAAATTGATCGACGAAGCGGTGAAGGGAAAGACCATGCCGGCGAGTGAGATTTTCAGCAAGTACAAAATCAAAGAATACAGCAAACAGTACGTGCGCGACTGCCTGCTCGACATGGGGTTCACGGGGAATGAATCCGCGGACGAAATTATGACAGTGCACAACTCCTCCTTCCCCTCATTTGTATAGCATGAACAGCAAAAGCAATACAAGGGTCAGTAAGAATGCCGGTTTTCCATGACAAATTATTTCCACAGGAGTGTAGTGCTGTTTGGGCTTCCGGAGTTTGTCATGCAAACAGTGCTAAGAAACACAGTCTGGATTTGGTATTTTGCATGACAAATGACGGGGAGGGGGAGTTGTGCACTGTCATAGAAATCAGTTTGTCCCCGGCCCAGATCGTGGAGTGCAGCTACCGGTACATATCAACTGCAGATATGTCTGGGTCTGGAAGATTGCAAGGTTTTGTCATGCTAGTCTGGCATGACTCTGCACTCTGTATTGCGTGCTGGCCACGAACAGCCTCTCTCGCCTGTCATGCAAAAACGCACTTTCTCATGCGGAATGCGCATCACAGAAGCACGAAAAAACTTGTCATGCTTGGCTGCGCATGACAGTTCACTTATTGTTCACTGACTTGCATCACAAGTCAGACATATTTGCATTTGATAGTACATCAAGGTCTACGAAACGATCATTGGGAAGGAGTTCCCCTTTGATTTGTTCGCATCCAGTATCACCGGCAGCAGCAACGCGTCGGCCAAGCGGGTCATCAAGAACCTCCAGGCGGCGAAGCTGTTGAGCACCGGCGTCGTGCTGATCATGGCGGGATCGGATTCCGACGCGCCCCATTTGGCGAAAATCGAGGAGAGCTGCAAGAAGCAGGGCCTCAAGGCGGTGCACACCCGGATTTGCTCGGCGCACAAACAGCCGGGCAAGTTGGAAGATGCTTTGAAAAGGTAGTATGAGTATGTATGAATGCCTTCTATGCAGCGGCAGCTGCTCCACCTTCTGAAAATGTTCATGTTATTCACTCAGTCCGTGCTTCGTTTTGTTGTGTTGCGTGTTTGAATTTTCTAGTTCTAGAGTATGTACGTAGACACTACGCATTTCGCCTATACAATTTTTATTTTACAAGATGAAGTTGAACTCCATGATAGCATTTAACATCTGCAATAAAACCTCTCTCAGCTACAATCGTTCGGAGCAGCCCTGTATCATTGTTGGTTGCGCTGGAGGTACGGACGCGTTGTCGGGAACCGCTTCGTTCCACTCGAAGTTCCCGGTAGTCTCCTGCCCCCCGGACGGTCTCATTAACCACACGTGCCTGACCAACCCGCCTGGCTCCTCGAACGCGATTTGCTACTCGGTGTCCAACGTCGCCAGGTTTTGCGCGCAGGTGCTGTCAGCGGCCAGCGGTGACGCGGAGTTGCAGAAGAAGTTGCTGAAGTCCAACGACGAAAAAAACTCGAAACTGTCGAAGGCGGACGCGGGATTTGTGGAGAGGATCTTCCCGAAAGCGCAGCTGGTGATGGGGGCGTGAGTAGAACTACGGAACAAGAACGGAAGAAGGAATGACGAGCTTTGGGTCGTGAAATTGAAAATGGTAACAGACAAAGAAGATTATATTAATATGCTGTTGAGGATCACCAGGATCATGGGATGAAAAAGAAAAATCAATATCAAGGTAAAAAACACAAGTTTGGTTTGACATTTTGGAATGACTATGACACAGAAGGGCTCTCCTGATACAGTAGAAAACGATTTGTTTGTGAAGAAAACAAAGCTGCTTTATTTTCTTCTTCGAGAGGCTGAGGCAGAGGATGTGGCGTTTATTTTCTTGAAAAGGTAAATAAGGTTAACGTTAAAGGAAGAAAGAATATTGTAACGACACGATGAAGGTGGATGAAGTTGGATGAAGTCCAAATCAAAATATATTTATCCAACAGCTTTTGCAAAAGTCAAAGCGGTTGTGCAGATGAATAGTCCAAGCATAACAAGCAGAGCCTGTGCTTGGTATGTAATCTGTTGGTTTAGCCAGTTAGATTTTTACGTCAAGTGACGTACTAGTAGGTATTGTCAATGTGAATGTAGCAGTTGCAGTTGTCTTCAACATCTTTACTCGATCTTCATCGCCGCAGGATCAAAATGTGGTCTATTGGCAGAATTCTCATTTTCCGACGCTTCAAGCGCACTCCATTTTGCTGATTCGAAGGATGGCAGATGAAAAACTATCCAATGGCGGCGCTGCAAAGAGCAGGAAACGCAAAGTCACATTATCAAATTAAAAATGAGATGCGGTAGGAGCAAAAAAATCACCACGCGATGCGCTAGCACTGGTCTTGTACTTTGTGTTTATCGTCAATTATTTTCGGTGACTACTAGAGTGCTGCCAGGATTTCGTTCAAGAAGCGATTTTTTAAGATTTCATTTCGGTTTATCGTCAACGACAGGCGTTGAATCAATTTCCACCATCGGTCTTCGTCCATCTCGTTCCCCAAGCATGAAAAATCGTACACTCGGATTTGCTCTGCGCGACGTCCGCTTTCAATACATTCGGTTTTTCCCATGTTATGTTGACACATAGCAAATTCCCATTCGAACTGCACTACTCGGTGATTTTCGTGCAACGGCCCCGATGTTGTCCTCCGTCCGTGGTCGCCCGCTTGGCAATATTTGTTTCGTACGATAAACGAGATTTGGCTTGACATTTGTTTTTGTTTTCACTGTAGTTGTGCTGACCCCTTCCAGAAAACAAGAAACAAGCTACCCTTGTGCTTTCCCCTGAGTCGCGCAGGCGACTCCTATAGAAGGTCTACCAACCAAAAAAAATAAAAAACCCATAAAAGTAAGATGACCACCAGATACTTTATTTACCGTTCCGGTCTGTAAATCAACTTTATTAAGTAAGGTTGAAGCTTAAGAAATTGTTGTGTTTGTCTCCTCCACTTCTTTCAGACCCCAACATCTCCTCGCTCGCCTCGAGCCTTTAAGACTGGAAAATGAAGACCGACATCACGCAAATTATTCTGCAGAAGCTGACCACCGGCGAGATCTTCGAAGTTCTCGAAGAGGTTGATAAAGCGTCCGCAAAGACCGCAAGTGAGGCTGCAGCAGCCGCAGCGGCTCTTCAGAAAAAAACAAACAAGAAAGCGAAATCGGCAAGCGCAGCTGATAATGATGATGCTGAGACATCCACAACATCATCTTCCCTCACGTTCTCGAAGTTGGAGCAAGTTGCCCTCGCACTAAAGGAGCAGAACGCGCACGAGTTCGAGAAAATTTTGGAAAACGACACTCGCTTCACCGATTCCCACAAACAGAAGATCAAAACTGCGTTGGAATCCGGATTGAAGAAACAGACGAAAATCCGGGAGGAAAGAAAACTGAAATTCATAAACCTGGCGAACGAAAAGATTCGCGAGAAAAAGGAGCAATTTATGAGGGCGAACATTTCAAAAACATCTGAGAGGTCTTCAAGTGCCGCCGCCGGTGGTTCTACCATCACGGGATTAAGGTTTTCCTCGGTCGTGAATGCCAACTTCGCAAAGAATGCAGCGGCGGCTAGTAGTGCAGCGGCGGCGAAGAGGAATGTTAATAAAACTGCGAGGATGAGTGCCGCGGAACGGTCCGGCGCGCCTCTCGATGACGATGGTAGATTGTCTCAAGTGGAAATGCTGGGAGACCAGGGGGCGTCTGCGGAAGACTTGGAATTGCTGAAGAATCGCCGCATGACGAGGAACGAACTGAGGAGACTTCTAGATCACGTGAAAACTACCACAACTACTGCATCGGGACGAAAGAAGAACAAGGGTCCTGCCGGCGCAACGAGGGACTCAGCCGCAGAGAAGCAGGAGGAGGGTAATGCAGGTGAAGAGGAAGCTACTTTGGACGATGCACAAGCTGTAGTTGATCCATCTACCCGACAAACCGTGAAGCAGTCTCTGAAGCAGGTGATCGACCAGAAGTTTATTCAACAGCAGAAAAAGGCGGACGAAACCCGGAAGAGTTATTTGTTGAAGAATCAAAAAGACGAGCAGATTCAGCAACTGGACGACTCCTCCGCGCTAAACAGGGCGAGCGCTTACTTGTCGAGAAAAATCGGGTTGCGGCTCCGTGGGAGGAGCGCCGAACAGTACGCATCGGAATTCATGGACGAAACGGACGTGGCTCTGCGCAGGCTGCAGCGAGATTTGCACTACTTGAACGTGGAGGAGTTTTTGGAGCGCTTTTCGGAATTACAGCACGTGGTGACAACGCTGAAGGAAGCGAAAGAAGGAAATACTTCATCTACTGCAGGACCCGGAGTTGATGAAAATGAAAACACCACGAAAAAGAAAAGGTACCCCTTCGAAAAGGATCTATACGCCCCGGAACTGCAAGACCGGCTGGCGGAGGTACGAGAGGACATTGTGGAGTTAGCGAAAGTGGGAAATCTGAAGATGATACAGAATCACGTCAGCTCGCTCAAGTTGCTGCTCGTCGGCGTGAAAGAACAAAGTGGGAAGAAATTTGAGGAAAATAAAACGCAGGCAACCGGTGCGCCGGGGGATGAACAACCTTCTGCGGAGGAGCCACAGTTCCTGAAGGTGCCAGATGTAGGGCCGCGGACGATGCCAGTGCCACCGCAGGTGGCAGAAGATCGTGCTGGTCGGACGCAACAACAAGCATCAGTCTTGTCCGCTGCTGGTGCAGCTGGTGCGACTAGAACCACCGTCGACACCGAACAGCTCGGAGCTTTACTTTCTTTCCTGGACAAAATCATCCTTCCGTCCGAAACAAGGAAAGCGGGCCGCTCGGTGTTGATGCTGCAACAGCGGGGAAACTTGATCGGGAACCAAGATGCGGAAGGCGACGCCGAAGAGTTCGATATGACGATGGACCAAGGGATTTCCATGACGGATATCGGCACAACGTCCGTCCAGAAAAGTGCTGACGGTAGTTCTGCTTCACCGAGGGGAGCGCCGTCGGGACAAGGCGACAATGCTTTTGGTGGGTCTGGTTCAGCAGCTGCAGGAGATGGTACAACTACAAAAGACGACACCAAAACCTCCCGAAATTCGAAGAGGACCTCGAAGCGAAGTAGTAAAAACAGCTTGAAGAAGCGCAGCAGTAAAAACAGTGACAGTGAGGACGAGGAGGAAGATTCGGACGACGACGACCTATCTGGAACCGAGGACGAGGATTCCAGCGACGAAAATGCGCTGTGAGAAAGTGAAGAAGAACAAGAAGATAGAAGAACGAGCATGATGATTCTCCTCGCAAGACAAAACTTCCGAATAAACTCTTGTAGCTGGAGGCTCCTAGTACTACAATGCTTTCACTGAATTGAAGAGTTGAAAAATACGCAGACCACGCAGTAGCACCAAGCAAAGTTATAGCACCGGAGTCATTCGCTAGCACCCACCAAGACCTTTTGCGCAAGTGTATCAAAAAACATCTATGAGCAGTTTGAAAATCAAAATTCTGGTGACACGACTCAACTATAAAATTATGCAAACATTAGAAAAGCAAAAGTCGACGCCTGTTTCAATTGCGCCAGGAAATTGATCATGCTTACGCTCACTGACTGTTCTTCACGTAGGGATGCCACGGAAAGCCTTATTGTAAATTTGCGTGGCGCTATTTCAGTCACTAGTTGGATCCCACGCGTGAAACAATGCAAAGCTCTGCAAGAGGAAGAGAGGCTGTGGATGGTAAGTACACAGTTCGTTCGATATATCAGATGATGAAGATCATACATGCAAGCAATGCTAGTAAATTACTAGCATTGCTTGCATGTATGATCTTCTCCAACAAAAATAAGGTCAGCATTACTGTAATGCTGACCTTATTTTTGTTGGAGTAGTTTTTGTGTTTTACTTTGAAGTAGTTAATTATTTTATTTTTTCTACGATCCGCTTTTTCTTTTCAATTTCATTCCCGATCCCGATCCAAATGCATCTCCAGCTTCAAATATTACTACGATTATTATATTGCCAACTGTTTCAAGAAGTAGAGTGTACAAAAAAAAATCGCGGGTACTTTTGAAGGGTATTCGTATTGTGATTATTATCCTTGAGCGATGTAGTTGTAGTAGAATTGCAAGTGTACTAAGTTAATGTTTGTGAAGACAGGCTTTTTTTTTCCGCAGCCTGGTGAAAGTGAAACGACACCGAATGAAAGGTTTCTGATCGAATAAATCAGGCACATCATAATATCTACATAGTTCGCAAAAAAAGAAATCAGAATGGTTTTCTCGCGTGTAAGATTTGGATCTTGCGTGTGGGTTGTGTTGTGTGTCCGTCAGATTTGCAGCATTTTTGCAAGCTTTGGCGTGACAGACGAGCACAGCGCCCCGCTTGGACTGTTCGTCCTAGCCGCAGACCGAGGAAACGAACGGAACGCAGCTCCAAGCTCGAGAACCTCGCCAAAAATTACTTTCCAGAGTCTGTTCGGAACTCCTGGGCAGTCATCTACTGGTGGTGCAAGACGTGCTTCCGCGCTCGGGTCATCTTCACCGTTTCGACCTGATGTTGCCAGTGGAAGTGCCGCGCATTCACTAGCACTGCAGGACGCGTCTCCACCTGCAGCGGAAACCGATTTTGATTTGCGATCCGGCGCGGGCACAGGAGGTCGGAGAAGTACAACCTGGGCGAGCACTAGCACTGGAGCTGGCCTTGCTCCTGCACGAGCCTCCACCAATATCAAACGACTTTTTTGATTTGATGATCACCTTTGTTAGCTCGTGGTAATGGTGATCATCAAACGATTTTTTTGATTTGATGATCACCATTCAACTAGGGTCTTTTTGCTTCATGATCAGTGATTCGACTCTCATTTAGATCAGTGTTTTTCTGTCGTCTTCCGACACTCATTTCCGACAACGCGTTTCTTTGCGAGAAATGCAGCACGTTGTCGAAGAAGATGAAGAAGCAACGCCTTGCTATAGTATGCTCTGCGCCAGTTCCTTGAAGGCCCGGAAGCCCTGGCTCCAGGCTGGGCCTGCAAATTACAAGTGGGGCAGCCGCTCACAGTTCGGGGCCCGAGGCCGGTGCAGGAACTGGCAGCCAGGCTCGAGGCGGTGCAGCGCTGTGGCTGCTTTGGGAGTTCTGCGCCCTTCTCAGGTGAGCCGGCTCCGCGGCTGCGCCGGGCGGGGCATGCGCTTCGTCGCCGGGCGAAGTTTATATATATTTGGCGGCGCTGCTTTTGTTCTCTCTTGGCAGGCGCTAGGCCGGGGCCCTGCGTGATGGCATAGCGAGTGTTTATCGCGGTCCGTGCCTGCGCCGACTATGAGAGACTCGCCGCAGGAGCTGCCGCGGCCGTGCAGCAAGGTGCCTCGCCGTCTTCATGTTGAAGCCGGGGCGCGAAAGTCGCGCCGCGTTCTTTCCCTTCACCAAACTGCGTCGTGCCGTCGGTGCAAATTAAGAACCGACGGCATGGCCTCCGTTGCTTGTTGCTAGTACTTACGTATCGGAGCCGCTTCTCCGCCGGCTCCGTGTATTTGCTGCCCTTGGCGGCACGCAAAAGCCAGCCGTCATCGGATTTAAGTGCGTGAACCGGGCCCCCGGCCCGTCGATGCCTTGACGCATTCGCGGCAGGCGGGCAAGGTCGAGGCACAGAGCCGGGCCCGAACCAGGCGGGGGATGGCAGTCCAAACGAACCGGCTCTACGCTATGGCCCCGACCCTCTTCAAGCGCCGCGCCCCGGCCGAGGTAAGAGCGCTCGACGACCAAAACGCGTGGGCGCTCGTGGCCAGACGGGAAGAGTGGTTTCATGCGCCCAGCAACCATGAAAACTAAGCACCTGGGGCCCCCGAAGCGTCCGGCCATTGTCGGCCTTTCCCATCTCCAGCACTGCTCGCATAATGTGCGCAGTGAACACTGCCACACTCTGCGAAAAGCTGCGCCATTTTTTCGGTCCGTTAAAAAACAAACCCGTTCCGCGAGGGTGTGCTGCGATTTTTCTTTGGTAGATGATCACTGTCGGCGATCACCATTTCTCCTTCTATAACTGGAGCTGGCCTTGTTCCTGCACGAGCCTCCACCGATAACAATGGGCCGCTGCCGTCTGCTTCCGCTTCGTCTTCTGCAGCTCTTCCTGTAGTTGGAGCTATTTCTGGAGAAGAGGCACCAGGGCCAGGTGGTCGCGCGGCATCGTCTTCTTTGACCGAGAATTCTTCTACAGTTGATGCACTTCGGGAAGCGGTGGAGAGGACGTCCCTGGGCGTAGGCAATCCATTGCCAACTTCCACTGGCACGAATCAGGAGGAGAGGACCAGCGTAGAACTACACACCGGAGCTGTGGGAGAGCGAGGTAGTACTGCTCTGCAGGGAACTACTGTGCTGCCAAGCGCAAGCCCAAGGACGGACCACGACGAGAGCCTAGAATTCCTGAAGCCGGAGAAAGTGCGGGAAGCGGCCAGGAACGCTAGAGAATATGGAAGTTTTACCGCGCCGAAGTGGGCATCTTCACGGGCTCGCGCCCGAGCAACTGGGTCATCTCAATCGGCATCCTCGTCGGGAGGTGCTACTAGTGCCCCAGCAACTTCTCCTGCTGCGCCCCCGTCGAAATGGGCATTTCTCCGAAAAAAGCGGGAACAAGCCGAATTGAAGCGCCTGCAAAAACAGCAAGAAGCGGAGGAGGCAGCGCAGCGAGAGGCTGAGCGGAAGAAAACTTTGCGGGAAAAGCTCGAGCAGGAGGATCTGGATATCTTGCTGTCCGACGAGCGGGGTCTAGACACGCAATATAGACGACGCATCGAACTGGAGAAGCTGGCTTTTCAAGTTTGCCTCGGCGAATTGTCCGTCGCACCGGCTTCACGTCCACGTGGTGCAGCGCTGACTAAAGGTGGATCGAAAAACGCTGTTTTTGAACACGATAGCCTCGAGCTTGAGGAACAAAAGCGCCACCTTGCCTACCGCAAACGCCTTTTCTGCCAGGCAGTAGGGGAGAGTTACAAGAATCCTTTTCCCAGCAACCCACGACAGGGGGCGACGAGGTTATCTCTGCCCGTGCACGACGATTATGTGGAAGGGTTTGACACAGACACGACATTATCACCAAGCGGGGGAACAAGCGGAAGGGGAACCTTCCAAGAGCTCCAGGCACGGTCTTTGGAGCCGCTACCATTGATTGAGTGTGCGCTTTTGCACTGTGAAACCGCGGAGGTTCAAAATTTGCAGTTCTGGGCCCCGCTTGACGTGCCAGACGGGACGTTGGTGCAGACGCAACCCGCGTTGCTGCGCGTCCGAACGCACATTGACAAGCAAAAGTCGCAGGAGCGCGAAACCGAAGTGCAGCAAGGATGGCTTTTGCGCGGGCTAGATCCGGCGCAACGTCAGGACCGTTCTTTCGAGAAGCCAGTGCTTTTTCCCTTCTCTCCACTCGGCTACCTGCTATCCTACTTTCCGCGCGGACCTGACGCGATCGATCCGGACGGACAAGTGGGGTGGCCTTCCCTGCCCGTTCGAGAAGATCAGCACCATTTGAGTGCGCGTTACTTTCCCTGGGATGAGAGCTTTGTCTCTGCTTCTTCACAACGAGGAACGGGCCAAGAAACAGCAGCAGACCGCTCCCTCCTCTGGTCTCTCCGCGCGACGAAATACGGCAGACTAGACGCACGGGTGCGGGAGCTGAAGACCAAATTGCTCTTCAGAAATGTGTGGAATTTGGAGGGCGCAGACAAACTCGATGCGGTGTTGTCTACGCTTGACTTTGATCAGCAACTTGATTCGAGGAACTCAACTACTTCTGCACAGCAACTCGGTCGTGCAATGACAGAAAGAACTACAACGCAACATCAAAGGGCCGACCCAGACGAGTCGGCTTTTCCATCAGCAGGATCTCTAAGCCTGGCACCTCTACCAGTTGGTCAACATCAGTACCGGCCAGCCCGTGATCAATATCCTAGCGGCGCCGCTTCCTCCTCTGGTGAAGGTGTCGCGATTTTCGCGACCGGTCTCCCAGAGGAAGCGCGTACAAGTCTACCTACGCCAGCACCAACAGCTGTTGAGGCAGCCACAACTGGTAACTCTAGTACTCGCAGCACAGAGCACGGCCAGTCGCAGCTGTCCACAGCAGGAGCTGTCGATGCGGTCGAAGCGGAGCGTATTCTCGCCCGAGAGCTGATCGAGCAGCGCAAAGCGCAAATCAAAAACGCGATCGAAGGGACGAAGGAATACATGGCTAGACACTTGCTCAATCTCGCGAATCTGGACCCCCAAGTGGACCGCAGTTGTGCGCACAGCTTTTCCCCCGACAGCGCAGCCGATAACTTCAAGCAGGTTGTGAAACTGGTGCGCCAAGTGCCGTCAGTCATCGACTACAGTGCTGATCGGCACGGCATTTTGGCCGACCACACAGCTGCAGCTGCAGCTGCCGAGGATATTGGCGTTGGTAATACGCCGCGGGGACGGACGGGAATGGATTCGTTTATTTCCGAGGCTCCGTCTCCTGTCGGCAGCTCGTCTGGACGATCACAGCGTCGGTCAGCCGCAAGCCGGGCTGGTTCCTTTGGCGGTGCTGGGGCTGGTGCTAGGAACGCTACAGAGCAAATCCTTGGTGCAGCTACACCTCAATATCAGCAACTATCCGTAGTACCTGCGAAGCAGCAGCCCCGCCTTCTTGTGCGCGCGATTGCGATCGGAGCATTTGAGGCTGCGTGTGCGCTGCAAGCATTTGGTGCAAGGGCGCTGCTGAAGAGGGAGATGAACCTGTTTGAGCAGAACGTGTTGAAGACGAAGAAACAGACTGGCGAAGGACTGTTCGACGGCCCTGCGCATGCATTTTGGAAAACCGCGCGGAATAACTTGAAAGAGTGGCAAAGACTGCACGGCTGTGATAGTAGCGCGACCCCGACCCCCCGGAGCGCGAGAAGCATTTCGTCCTGTGGTAGTAGTTCTGTTCTTGCGGCACAGCAGATCGGGAGGCAGTCGACCGCGACGACAGATGTTCATAACTCGAACTCCACAGAAGATGATGCCTCAGACGTCACGCAACCTTACTCCGCAGCTTCCACGCCGACTCGAGATCCTGTCGGGAGGAGTGGACCAGCAGCGCCCGTTAGCAGAAGTGCAAGTGGCAATTTGAGTTTTTTCGGGTCCTTTGTCGGGCGGGGGCCAGGATGACCAATGGATTGGGATTCATCCAGTTCAAGGGATAATTCATCCACTGCGACCGGGACCGCTAGCCGGGGTACAAAACCATTGTCGCGTCCCCTTGCTTACAGTTATCTGCAGAAAATTTCTGCGAAGTAAGATCCAGTATGAAACCTGAAAGTCTGTCCCTGTCGTGTATGATTTTTGAGCCAGACCGAGACCATGGTGTGACGTACGAATTTATGGAAAAAGTATATGTGATTCGATTGTGTGAAGTACAAGAGGTCGATGAAAGAGCAAAAAGATGCGTCTCCACGCCAGTGTAGAATATGTGACAGCAATGATTTAGATCGGGAAGAACAAAAAGGAACTGTACAAAAATGGGATCTGACGGAAAATTCGGACACGATTTTTAATCGGAGCGCTGCGATTCTGGCACATGTGCTGCATTCCTGTGTACTGGAATTTGAATTTGTTTGCTCCGATAGTCCGCTTACCCCAGGGAGAAGAGGCGGTGGAAGAGAAGAGATTGGAAGTAAGTAAAAAGGATTCGATCGCGCAGTCAACAGACACCCAAGAAGAAATCTTGATGAAAAGCAAGATTTTTGTTTTGCCAGCGGCACTGGTGCAGCGTTGACTACGTACACCAACATGCTGTTTAAATCTTCCTGCACCATGACATGCTGTTTTAAATCTTCATGAATTCGGGTCTTTATGTTTGTCGTCCCGGCGTTCTTGCTCTTGCCTTGCTTCGCTGTTGCGACAATAGGTCTTCGAGGGAGAGGGCATTGGCATAGCAACTACACTTTCTTTCCTGGAAGAGCGAGTGAGAGTCAGTGATTTCTTCTGCATTCTGTTGGAGCTCGCTGGTGTTGGAGTTCGAGACCACCTCCACAAATAAGTACTTACTCCGTCGTCCTTGTCGAATTCTAGAACTCTCGCCGTGTCCGTGTCCTTGACGTTGTCGTGCTCCTTGTGTACAAAAATGAAGTAATTGCGTTCTCAGAACCGCTCTCGCCATCTATGGTGGAGGTGGAAGGAACATAGTCTCCGCTTCTCCACCACCTCCTGTGGTGGTGGAAGGTTTCGCCGTCGCGAGGGAAACATGTCTCCTTTTCGCCTCATCTGGCGGATGGTTCTGGTTCATCTGGTATCTTCCCACCTCGCTGCTCATTTCCCGGTAGCTGTGACCGCTGTCAATTTGCAGCAGCACCTCTCCCTACACCGCGCGGCAAGTAGAGCGCAGAAGAAACTGCAGAAGACGAGGAACATTTTTGCCAATGAGATCTACGACATCGCGCAGGATGGGTGCAGTTGCGGGTGCTGCATCGTGACCGAAGTGCACCGGAAGTTGACTTGTCGCCGGATCAATTTGACCACTTTAGACCAGGCGAACAACGAAGACGGGGAGCCGACCGGTCAGTGCCAACAGGCCACTTGCACCGAAGTGAGCGCGGGGTCCTGGGCGACCACAACGGCCACGGACTACGACCAGTACTGCGCCAGCTACTGCAGCGTGCCGGCCGCTGGCGGAACGTCGAACGCGCAGCGGATATCCTGAGTAAAAACGTACCCACGCCAGAGTCAGGATGGGGATTTTGCAACACAAACCTAGGAGTTTTGTGAGTCACGCATGACAAGTTGCGCTCTGCTGTGCTGTAGTGCAGGTTAGCAAGTGCAGCCGCATCACAGATTCATCTGCTCATCCTGTTCACAGCATCACAAGTTCCAAAACACGAGTAGAAATGGCTCTCATGGGTATGCGCATTACAAGTCTTCCTGTCTTTCGAAATCTGCATTACAACTCTGGCGTGGGGACGTTTTTACTCAGGATAGCGGACGCGGTTGAACAATGCCTACATCGAGGGAGGCAGTGGTATATGCTTAGAAATCGTTGCGAGCGAAGATTTTTGCTAGCATCGGCTCGATTAGCTTGTTCAAGAAGCTTCTTCAGCTTGCTTTTCGTCTTCTAGAAACTGATGAACTCTTCATGTTGCTCATATTCGAAGATGCGTTCGTGTGACGTGCATAGCTTTTGATGTTCAAATGATAACCTCGTTTCCTCCATTCTTAGTTTCTCCCGGCAACGGCGGAGCCACCCCGCAGGCCACGTGCATCAACAATGAGGACGCGCAAGAGGTTAACGAACTGCAGCACACGGGACTGAAAGCACCGGACTACAACGATGCTGTGACGTACGCGGCGGAAGCGTTTGGGTTTCGGCGTTGAGACGTGATGAAATAGACTTCGAGTTCACGGAGATGTTGAGGCGGGCACGGGTGCTAGTCCAAGCACCTTGGTAATGTAAGTGTCCTTTTAAAGAAGGTGGAGAAAGAAGCGTTTTCTTTTCCATGGACGATGTAGCGCCAGTGCGCACGGATGAACGAAATAAGCTGTGTATCGTGCTGTAGTTGCAGGAGCAGATTGAAAAGCGAACAGAGCAGCACTGGTCTTGTCCACTGTCTCTACCACTTTCTCTATATAGAATGAACCTGTTGAATGATGTGTTTTCTTGAGCTACCATTGCCAGCGCAACGTGGCTGCAGTGATGTAAGAAAGAAGAATGCTAGTACAGAGTAAGTAAAGAAGAGGAACGAGCAGGACGAGGTGACGAGAGCACATGAATTTAAGTGAGAAATGAACACGTTTCTGGCACCATCTACTCTGCCACTCATGGGCAGGCACAAAATGGCGATAGTTCTAGTTGCATGTTGTGGTACTTGCTCTAGCGGGTCGTTTCCTTTTCCGTGTTCCGGAAAGGAATCAGATTCTGCTTCTTTGACAAACCAATTTGCTGTTGCACGGAATCCACGGCCTTCTAAATGACCATGATAGGGACTGAGCGAACATCAAAAACAATAGTTACCATGTTGTCCTCCAAGAGCTCGCCGTCGACATGTGCAGGCACCTCGATTAGTAGACGAGGACGCGTACTAGCTGCAGGCGCGTTGCGAAGAACACGTCGGCATGTCTCGGCGACCTGCAGTGCCTCTTGCAGTTTCGGCTTCGATCGGCGCCTGCTGAAGTCGACGCTTCACAAAAATGGAGACGTCCGAGGAGTGCGGAGCAAAACCCAGGGTCTTGCGAGACGATCAGATCAGCATCAGGATAAAAACTACCAGAAAACAAGAGCTGTACATCCACGATCAAGCTACTCCTACTCCTTTTGTAGTTTTCTCGCCTCTCTAAGTCCATTACTCCTCACACGACCAATCCAAAACGTCGCGGCAAAAACCTTCCTGATGGAAACGGTTGACTTGAATTCTTTTCCCTTTTGTCGCTGCGCCGATTGCTGTCGCGGTGAGTCGATTCCGACCTTTGACGGCGAGACGCGCATGGAGTGTCGGTTCAAAGCGGAGTCGCTGAGCTGCCAGGTGTCCGACCCGCTACGGCCGTACTGCACCATCGAGCCGGCGTTGGCCTTGCAGGTGGGGATCAACTTCCCCATTTCCAAGCAGATCACGTTAAACGTATCAAATGTAAAAATGTCTGGGTCTGAAAACTTGTAATGCTGCGTTGGGAATTGTAAATGCTCTGTAATGCACAGCCAAGCATGAGAAATATCTGCGCTTCTTTGTGTTGCGTTTTTCGCATGACAAACTGCGTTTTTGCATGACAGGCAAAAGGGTCTCTTCTTGGACACGCATCACAAACTTTTTGGTCATCCTAGACAAGCATGACAAATCTCGCAATCTTTCAGACCCAGACACTTTTACATTTGATAAAACGAGTTCTGCGCGAATTCCTGTCAGCCGGTGGGGAACGACTACGGGGAGTTTATTTCCCACGCGGAGGTTATGGATGTGTCAGGATCGAAATCGACAGAGTCGAAAAATTTGTAATGCATAAAATGTAGGGCACATATGGCCTGTATTGGGGAGCAGGCAAATGAGACCGATTGCCAGCCTGTTTAGGGAAGACGATGCGCTTCCAGAGAAGCATGACAGGAGCAGTCTTCTTTGCCGAAACAGCATGACAGGCTGGACTTTGGTGCTCCCGAAATTTGTCATGCACCACTTGGAAACTGAGGCTCCAACTGGTATCGATCTTATGCATCACAAATTATTTCGATTTTGTTGATTTCGATCCTGACACATCCATAGAGGTGACTATCAAGCAGCTGAACGGCGTCAGCGGGACCGACAAGAAGGAAATCAAGCCGGAACTGCAGGCCGCGATTGACAGTCTGGTGGCGTCGCGGGGGATGACGGAGGAGGAAGCCAAGACTTACGTGCTGGAAAACGTGGAAGAGGCGTCGGGAGGGTAAAACATTCGCATCACTGCTTTTACTTTTCCTCGCTTGTTCTTCTTCTTCATCGTTCAGTTATGATGGCGCATGAACATGACCATGCATGAGAAGGGCAAAGTCTGTCTTCAAAGTCTGTTTGTCATCCTTAGAAGTGTACGTGAACATCTTTCAGCGTGATCCCGGAGACGTTATGTGAGAAAACGACCTGGCTCAACCCTGTGCTGGAAAACCCCGTGAAACCGTTGCTCCCCGATTCAGGCCCGGGTACGCTGACGAGGTTCTTGCGACTGGTGTACGAGTCTTTTCCGCCAAAGTGGCTCATGGAGTACATCATGCCCGAAGCACCAAGTGCGGCCACCGCGACGCCGGCGGGGTGAGGCAGATGATGTGAATGTAACTGGTAGCACGTAGGAGCCGGCATTGACAAAATTATAACTCACATTCATGAACGCAATGTCGGCAGCGGCTCGTGGGAAGAGTTCGTTGTTGCGATGAATATTCGTGTTGATGATGATGACACGTAGGCATCTGTATGATTGACAAACTTCCAACCGTTTCCGTTTCGCATTTAATTTCATGAGATGAAAATGAATCGCTTTGGACTATGCAGTCAGTCTGTCTCTGTGTCTGGGTGGTAGTGTCCGCTGTTTCCACAACTTGTCACCAGCACCAGAAGTTGCCAGTTCGCTCTGCGTTGTTCGCCTAAAAAAACATAGGCAGGAGGTTTAGCAATGAAAACAGCATGCGCGGCCCAGACGCAGCACCTTCGGCAACCTATTAATACGGTATAAGAGACAAAAGTTGTAGAAGCACCTCATTCATCGTCGCTAGCATCCGTTTCTGTATTAACCATTCGGCGCTGGGTTTCTTTTATGCTGTAGCCTCACGCTGTTTTCAACGAACTAAAACTCTTTTTGTACGAAACAAGAAGCACGACCATCTTACTTCGAGATACAACTAGGCCAGGAAAATTTCTAGGGGAAAGAGTGAGTCTGCAGACCAAACAAGATACTTCTCCGTTGTTTCGCGCAGCATCGTGCACAACTGCGATGCAACTACAACTTGTCTATGTTGCACCTTGTTGCCCACCATAGTTGGTGTTGGTCTGCTTCGTCAAGAACCGTCGGATTTTTTTAATCCAGAGCCGCTTTCCTTCTCACACACACACACTACTCGTCCGGGTTCTTGCCGCGTATCAACGATAACGTGTAAGGATAAAGACAGGAGGACATTCACAGCCGCGAAATCTTCCGAGCACGAGCAGGACCTCGTACTCTTGCACTCTCGTACAATCAGCACGAGGACTTTGAGTTGGTTTGAGGAGGCCCAGCAGCTCCACAAAAACCGCCCAACATGGTGGACGACGATGAGATGTGCTTCTTCGCCATCAAGACGGGCGGGTTTTGCTGCTTGCTCAACATTGCGATCATTCTGTTCGCTTGCTCCTTTGCGGTGTTGGAACCTCTAGAACTGGGGATCGAGTACAACCTGAATTCGAGGCAGATCTACAAAGACAGCGTCGCGCAGGGAGGGAGACACTTTCTCGGTAGAAGAATAATTGCACCAATGGGAAAATGCTTTTTGCTGGCTATATCGGCGATGGCAAATTCCACACAAATGGCGCCAAACACATTTTATGTTTACACCTCATCACAGGTCTCGGCCACGAATGGAAGAAGTTTCCCGCGAATCGAATGTATCAGCCAAAAATCTGGTGGCATTTTTTGCAGATGAATTTGTGGTGCTAGCCGTGAACGACATGATGCACCAGCTTCATCTCATGCAGAATTATAGCAGTGGACGATATCCTCGTCGTGATACTGAAACCACGACCACGACAAAAAAATGTCGTTGCCACATTTTTGGTTTGATACGAGGATTTTCAGCTTCATGGACGAGAGCAGGCCTGTATCGAAGTGGAAGCGGAAGTGTTGTGCTTTATTTCATCCAAAATGAATACGGAGGTAATAATCTTGATAAGTGGGCAAGCACCGCGCTTTTTCTACGAAAGGTAAGGTTCAAAAGTTGTAGTGTAATGAAGCGCGAAAAATGCCTTCTTCAGAGGCCTTTCTTGCTGCTGCATTGATTGGCAACTCCAACACGTTCGCTTTCCCTCCCACACGTTCTAGGCGGCACCGAGGAAGAAGATTGCGACCTTGCAGACGAGTGCGAAACCGGCGCCGAGGATTGCACGCCCTGTCTGGCGGGCCAAATGCCCGCCGAAGACGCGGATTTGGTGGGCAAAAACTTTGTGGTCAAGGCGCAAACCCTTCCCTGCCGGTCGTACGAGGGTTTGATCATCCAGGTGGAAGCGGCTGCCGGCATCTCCCTGGGGCTCGGCCGCGACAACACGTTGGGCGACAAGTCCGACGCTCCGCAAGTGAGCGACCAGCTGTATGGGGTTCTCAAACGTTACATTCTCAACTGTTACATGAATTTGTCATGCAAAAGCACCAACATCATCCACGCGATCAAGCTGCTTCGCACGACAAATCTGCCTAGGGCCAAACAGCGCCTAAATCTGTGCGGAATTTGTAATGCTACAGGCGCAATCTCCTCCCTTTCACGTTTCCCATTCTTGCAGTTGTTTTAGCATCACAAATCCATGTACTTAACAGTTGAGAGTGTAACAGCTGAGAACGCCATAAGCTGAAGGAGACCCTGTTTGGGTTGTTCGAAACTACCGGGGACGAGAACTGGCGGGGGCTGGTGCAGGCGTCCATTGCCGCGGCCATTCGCACGGAGGTGTCCCAGCACAACGCGTTGGAATTTTACACCAAACGGGAGATCATCGGCCAGTTGATGCAGCAGCGCGTGACGACCTCTCTGCTGCCGCTGAACTGCACCACGCACCGGGTGTCGCTGGTCGCGGTGCAGCTGCCCACGGGCCTGGAATCGGCCATCCAAGACACGGAACTGGCACGACAGGCCAAAGAAGCCGCGATTTTCGCCAAAGATATCCATGCGGAAATTCTTTATCTGTCGAGATGTTCTTCCTCGTAGTTGGCATGCGCATGAGATCTTTGCAATCCAATAAATTCGACAGGGACAGGAGCACCAGTATGTAGACTGGCGTACAGCATCCATATTCTACACTCCTGCAAGGTTTCGACGTCCCGATGTAGTAGTTCTTTGATGTCACGATGCATGAGCAAGGTAGTTTGCGTCTGCCTCATACTCGTCGTTGAAAAGTATCCATCACGATCGAGCATCTGCTGCATGATCAAAGTTGTACCAGTCGCTCTAGAAGTTTGAAGGCCGGTCGCGAAAAAGTGATAGTCAGAATTTCGCATGCATACGCAAAACGGCTGAAATAGACGCTCTGACGAAGGTGGAAGTGGCGAAGGTAAAAATAAAGGAAATAAATTGCTGTCGTGTTTATTCTTGAGTACAGCTACAGCTGACTGTGACTGTGTTGAATGAAATTGCGATAGTACCGAACAAGATTGATACTCACTTGCATTTATGGCGACATCGCATGATCATTGGGTTGGCTACTGACCACTACATGACAAGAATCACGTATAATGACAAATGATCGTTAGGTCGAGCGCGATCGGCTGCTTCATGCAGCGTTGCGCAATGCCGAGATGACACTGCTGCAGAAGGTGGCCCAGGCGATTCTGATTCAGTATGATACGGAGCAGCTCGGAGATGCGTTTGTGACGGGTGCAGACACCATGCAGTACAACAATTCCAAGCAAACGCTACTGCTCAAATGGCTCTACACTCTGCAGGAAGTCGGGGCACAGAAGCTCGTCTTCGAGATGCCGCAGCCGGAGCAGGTTCGTTTTTTTGAAAATCGATTTTTGTCTACCTACGTGCTTGTCTCTCCAGATGATGTCTAACTATGTCTTTCATCAAAAAATATAAATGTGTAGAAAACAAAAAATCTTCCCATTCATTCCAAAACCGCGACGCAGTTGGCCCTGGATTACGAGCCCACGTCCGCCGAATTTGCCCAGAGCAGCCCCACCGCGGTGGCAAGTACTTCCTTGCTTTCCCTAGCCGGGCTGAATTCTACCTTCAGTGCGTTGCAGCAGGGCCTGTCGCCCACCCTGGCCGCGGTGAGCACGGCCACGGCAAATAGCACTACCGCCTCCAACTCCAGCCGGTTGCTACTGATGGAAACGGCCCTGCAGGAAGCGTCTAGCGCTTTTGTAAACCTGGAAGAAATGAGAAACAGCTTGGCTGCTGGCAGCTCTTCTTCCCCCGGTAGAGCAACTACATCTATTTCGAGCGGTGCGAGCAGAAATGGGGCAGCAGGTGGATCGGAATCATCTGCCTCTTCTACCTCTTCTTCCATCGAGATGAATCGCTTGTCGGCCTCGTTCGCGGATCTGTTGGCGCAGTATCGCAACAAATTGGGCGAAGCAGACACGACCAACTCCAACAACCTCGGGGACCAGCAGTTTATTCTAGGTGATGCAATGCTGGGCAGCGTGCCAAGTGGCCTGATGGAGTCGTCAAATCCAGACCTGTAGAAGCATGGAGCAGCATACTTTTTTTTTTTTATTTGGTGTCATCATGCATTGTTCTTGGGAAGAGGACAGTTTGCATCTGCGCAAATCAAAAACCAGTAAAGGCTCAACGTGGCGATTCCTAGAGCTAGTGCTATCATGATATATCATGGAGCTGTCGTCCTGCTCGTCGCAGAATCATGATTGTGCGTGTATCACCTTGATCGCAACAAGAAGATCGTAGAAAGTACGCGCACGACTGTCCGGCCCACAGTGATACAAAAAAGAAATGCTCTTGCTCTTGCAACAGATAAATTATAACTGTAACTGTGCTCCACGATCAAGCTCATATGGATGAACAAAAATGATCACTCCGATCTTCTGGTCGTGCGGGTTATATGTTGCGTATGTTGCGGCCACAAGTTTATTCCAATACGGTCCCTGGTGTACTTTAGGTTTGAAATTCAGGTCCGTCGTCATTATGCCGTCTTGTGATTTGGCACTTCTCTCAGGCATTTGAATGGATCATGATCCAGGTGCGCTAGTACGAATGGATCTTCTCAAGGATGCCTGACTTGCTTTAGATGTGTTGAGAGACGACCTCCGTAAGTAGGCGATCCCGAACTACCTCTGAAGGTCCGCGCAACCAGCAGCGCGCAACGTTAGTTGGGTCGACGTCGTTCTGGATCCTTGGTCAGTATTTGTCGCCTGAAATGTTTGTACATTTTTTGAACAATGGGACTTCCTCTACTACTTGCTTCTTTTTTCAAACCCGCTGTCAAAACAGTTTTGTTGGACAGCATTTTAATTTTTTTATACCCGCAATCGCCGCCCAAAGTTTTTTCCCGCGGCGAGCTTCCTGTACACATAATTATTGTAAGAGTAAGTCTGACACGACAACATTAGGTGCAGGCGATGATTGTTGATTGAGCCTGTTTCAGGAGCAATTTTATTCTGTCTGCTCGTACCGTAAGCTGCGGCTCATCAAATGAGCAACAGCAGCACCGCCCACTCGTCCACCGTTGCCATCGCTTGCGCGATGAATCAAGGACCACAAGCACGACCAGCGCCGTTCGGAGGTGCAACGACGATGGTGCATCAAGAGCAAAGTTCACCAGGAAAACAAGCGTGCGGAAGGACGGGGGGCAAGGCCAAGATCAACATGCTTGCTACCGCGACAGCCAAAACTACGAGCGAAGACGAAGAGCTAGTAGCCGACAGCACAACGCGTGCAAATATGAATAAAGAGGCGAATCCGTCAAAAGTCACGGGATCTTTTCTGTGTAAAGAAAAAAAAGTACAACTCCAGTACCAGTTGTACGAGGAAAACGAAATCATTTGGAATCTATTTGAAGATACCACCAGCGACGACGACAATGGAGACGAGACTGGCATCAATATCAGCGATGGTGACGATCGCACACGCCAACATCTACCAGTTATAACCGGGCAGAATGGCTGTGTAGGTACAAATTGATACGACAGGGAACAAACTGAGAACAATTAGTGAAGATGTTGTACTCCTACTCGCCGTTGTGCGTAATTAGCTTTTAGTACCGATCGAAGGAATTCTCATTCTGAACCTTAAAAACAATATCTATTCATTTCCACCTTCCACAGCAGTAGCAGAAACGATGGGACGATTGCAGCACGACCCTGTTTCAGCGCTCTCCGATACGTCGGCTGCCTCGCAGGACCAGGAGCTTGCCACCACAGGACGAGCGGCTGGTACACCTATCTCTATGGCATCTTCAACTTCTACCTGTGCAACGTCAGGCTCGATGGGAAGAAGTCCACTGGCTTCCACCACACCGTTCTTCTCGACTCCTACAAGTGCAGGCGAGGATCTTCATCTTGATGAGGATCACCACGATAATTCTACTACTGCTGGAATTGGAGCAGAAAAAAACAAGAACAACTCCTGCCGGGGCGCAGCAAGTACGCAGGATGATGGCTGCATCAAGAAAGTGACAACTTGTAGCTCAAGTCGCAAAGGTTGTATCAGCTTTCACTTCCCAGCTAGCGGCAAGACGCTGGAGCTGCTCAACAACGACGAGCGCGACACGATCGCGACCAAGATTTGGCGGTCGGCTTATATGACGGCGTACTTGATATCCACCGGTTTTCTGGACGTCAGAGGCAAAGTGGTCATGGAAATCGGCTGCGGGTGCGGCCTCGCCGGGCTGGCCGCGGGGGCTCACGGTGCAAGCAAGGTGATGTTTCTGGATTGCGACGACCGGGCCTTGGCGAAATTGGCGGCGCAAGTGGCCTTCTTGGACGAGGAACCGGAGATGGACCAGGAACAAGATGAAGCAGAGCGCAGATCCCGTGCTGGTCGTGGCACTAACTGTTGTATATCAGCGGCTCCTCGGTAAATCACACTGTTGCAGGCGTGGCCGTCGTGTTTATTATCATCTTCAAAAAAAGTTGTGCCAGTGCCTCTCTAGGCAGTTACACCAGCGATCCACATCAACGCCGTTAGGATGTTGGACATGTACTTATCGTTATCGGTAAGTAAAACTTTTGTAAATGGTGCACAATTATACAAAATTGGCGACCACTTATTGCAACAGTGCGATCCCGCGAGTGTATTTCCCGTTGATAGAAAAACTGCGACTTCGAGTTTTACCACCACCTCTGGGAAGACGATGTCGTGCAAGATGAAGAGCACGAGGTGCAAAGAACGCAGCAGCGACATTGGTCCAACGCGTACCGCTTGGAAACGCGGTTTGCGGACGCGTCAGGACGAACCACAGATGAGTCAGAGTCGATCTCTAGTACTACAAGAACAATTTCGTCCCCAGACGTCGTGATTGCGTCCGACTGTCTATATTTCCCGTCCCAAGAGGAGCCGCTTGCCGCCGTGCTGAAGAAACGGCTGACCAAACCGGGCGGCATTGCCTTCCTGCTCGTGCAGGAGCGCAGCAATGGCGGGTTTCAGGTGCAGAGGCTGAAGCAGCTGCTGACCAGCCCGGTCGTGCAGCGGCCGTCCTCTGGTGCAGACCCGACCAAGCTACAGCACAAGAATACGACCACGGCTGCGATCAGGAGCGACGAAGACCAGTGCTGTTTCGAGATCCTCGAGCACACGACTTGGAAGGAGTTGATTGCAAAGAACAAACATCAGGAAGATCCGCTTACGAGCCTGGGTCCTCAAGCCAATGTCCATCTTCTCGCAGCGACCGGGCACGAGGTCGAGTCGCATATTCTCAAAGTTTTGAGAAAGTAAAGTAAAACACTACACAATTAGATCGCTCGAGCCTTAGCAACTCCTGCGTGTTGTGCCACTACCGTATTGATCAAATAGAAAAATTTGGATTTTTACTTTAGTTTTAGTTTTGCAGTCTCGTCGTGCGTTAGTGACTCTGACATTGTTCTCCTCTTCATACGTCAGAATTAATTTCAATTTTATCCGAATGAAGCTGTCTTTGTGTTTCACTCAAGCAGGGGTTCCAAGATAATTTTATCATGTAGAAGTAGATTTGTAGGCTCTCTCTACTTTTCGTCCTCTCACTCCTCGCACAGGCGCTACATTCAGGCCTGTTGCAGTGTCAGTACGACCTCATGGAGGAGCTGCTCGTTTGACGCGGTTGTTGTTCTGAACTAGAGATGAGGCCGATGGGCCACTTCCTCGAAACTACATCTATGTATAGCGAGATGAGGTTGAAGCACAAGCACTACAGAGAGACAGCTATACAGCATTTATTATGATCATTCGGTAATTTTGTCAAATTTTTTTTTGAACTGCAACAATTGGAGATGAAATTCTTGGCTGGTCGCATCTGGACACACAGGTCAAAGAAACAAGGAGGTCGGTCTTAGAGATGAGAAGTACGAGCAGGACAAGAAAAGCTTGAATTACCTCGGTTCGTACAAGAACTTTTCTGAAATCGCGACAAAAACATGTACAGTCTCGGATATCGCTATCGACGTACTGGTGAGAAGATATAAAAACTTACACGCACGTACACCCTAGCGAAGACCAGAAGAGCGCAATTTTTTCGTCCACCGTCGAAGATGAGCGAGATATAGTACTCTTTCAATACGTGCAGCATGAATATGCCGTAGTATTATTCGACACAGCACAGGTCACGTCCAGGCCTACCTCGTCCTCATTCATTCTCATGATTTTTCTGTAACGTTCTAGTGCTACTAGAGAAGTATTTCTATTTGATTGTTTCTTTCATGCAATCACAGCAGCAGCCCCGTAGTCCCCCATAGTTCAAAGCATATCTACCCCCGTAGAAGACTAATATTTTGCAGGTGCTACTTCAGTTTTTGTTTGTTTGCTTGATTGAGCAGAGTTTGAGTGACATAATTCATCTTCGGTGCTTGCATGTATTGTTCTTGTTTTTCTTGAGCGATAAGTGTAGGACTTGATCTTGAGCTACGCATCCATCCTTTAATAAAGTAAAGCTTTCACGTATCATCACAAATCACATTTGAAGAACAAAAATAGTAGGGCCGTTAGCAGAAGTCGTGCTATTAGAGCTGATCTTGTTGTCCTTTTCCAAGAAAAGTAAGAGTAGAAACCTAGTAAAGCAGAACATCAAGAGCCAGATCAACAAATCAACATGTCAACGGTTCTCGAGCGTAAGATGCGGATCCCTCCGCACCGGCAGCGCGGCTACCAGCCCCCAACTCTCGCGGAGGACGTGACCATCCCGAAGCACAGGACAGAGCTGAAGTTCAACCCGAAGCGGGATTTTAACACGCAGTTTGCGAACGCGCGGGAGAAGGAGCAGATCGGGCTCTGGCTGAAGCCGCAGGACGAATTCCGCCTGACGATGGACAAAGTGGAAGAGTATTTCGTTCACAAAATTGTGCATGAAAATTACCAACTCGAAAAAACCAGCGTGTGCGGCCCGCAGATCTGCCAGACCAAGCCGGTGGAGAGCAAGTGGACCGACAGCACCAAGCTGTACGTCAAGACCGCGGGTTACACCGGCGACTTCCGGAATCCCAAGTCGCAGCAGGGCTTTGGCAGGAGTCCCTACGGCGGGTTTTACACCAATTTCAAGTGAAGAACAGGAGGTGAAGCAGCTGTAGAGCAGAAGATTGTGCAGGACTACATGTCGTGAAAGGACCAGGACCTGGAGCAGAACAAGAACCATACCGACACGACCAAGCGTGAGCTTCAGTATTTCCTGCGGTTCCGGTTTCAAGTTCAACATCATCCTTCCAGTCCTGCTGCGGTACAACGGGTATCTTCGTAATATCTTCATCTTCAAAAATCACATCATCTGCCAGGGGTTTTTCTTCAATTTCCGTCCGGTTTCTGTAAATCCTTCATCCAGGAGCACGACGTAAAAGTGTCAGCACATGATCAACACGACGTAATTTCCTTCGACATCACTAGAGCTGAAGCATGGAGTTGCATTTTATTCGGAGTTGTCACGATCACGATTGTTTTCTTCCGAAGTGGTCACCAGAGCATGATGATGATGCAGCATGATGTTAAAGCCGACCAACTACATTCATCGAGCAGTTGTAGCTACACGAGCTTGCACGACACGAGCAGAAGTACTTCATGGAGCTTGCAGCACCCACAGTTCTAACAAGTAGTATCTGGGAAAAGTCCTCTGTATACGAAAATTCGCGAACTTCTTTTTCATCAAGGCCGCTGCGGAGACGAGCACACCACTTTCATCGACGAGAACTTCAACTTGCAGTTCTTCCAGCGGCATATTGCAGATTCACGAGCTTCGCACAATTAGATCAATCTACTTCATCTTCTTTTCGCATTCAACACAAAAAATAAACGACCTCTTCATCTCCAGACGCTTGTCATAATCACATCTTCATCTTTCTGCAGTCATTTACACCAGTACAACATACTTAGTTTTTCCTTCCGCACGAACTGAGTTTGTATTTCTGCGTTGCTTTGCAAGTAAGTGAGTAATTTCTTCCTACCGCCCCTGCCGCGACAACATCAAAACTATGGCCTGCGAATGTCCGCTCTCGTCAGTGATCTTTGCGGGTTTATTCAGTTGCCATGCGGACGATTGTCGTTCCCATCTTCCATTTTCGTCCCGCCATTCCTCGCATGATCATTCGCATTGATATTAAAAATTGTTGACCCTTTATTCCGCATGCCAACTGACCGCAAAGCACTGATCTCACGGTCCGTGTCGTCTTGCCTTCCATAAGCGTCACCGCAAACTGTGGACTGGCAGTCATGATCCTGTATCTGGGCTTGTGCTAGTACGTTCTGCTGTGCCGGCTCTCGATCCAGTGAGGACGTGACGTGTGGCGGACGAACCACTCCACCCGTTACGAGCCGCGCTCCTGAAAACCATTCCGAGCCAGCACCGGCTGCCCCCTGCACGCAGAATATCTACTATGATCAAAGTCTAAATCATCATCTTCATCATCTTCACTATCGCCTATGCATAAGGTACTTGGAATATGGTCTATCATTGAGTCAATTAGTTTGCAATGCCAGGATTTGCTATGCATTCGTGGACGACCTCGCGCAGCTTGGGCTTTGTTCGGCATAACAAATCGTAGGCATTTCAAATTGATTTGTCGTGATATGTACGAATATTCTTTTGCCTTCGATATACTTCCCACAACTATATCTTCAGCGGCAAAATTTTTTGCCCGTCTCGAAGATCACATTTGCTTGCAACTACCTACAACATCTATACGATTACGAATCACCATTCCACCGGAGGACTTTTTGCAGTATGGATTTTAACTTTCGTGTCGTCGGGCTGCGCAAGAAGGTTTTACGAGTCCGGTCATGTCAGTGTCAGTCTATGAGTGAGCAGTAGGATGGTCGGTAAGAGAGAGAAATATCATGCCGGCCTTCTTGCGCAGCGTCTGGCGGTGTTGGGGTTAAAACGCATATGCAAAACCAGGAACGCAACAATTGCAGCTCCACTTACCGCCACATCGTCGTCGAGGATTACTACACATCGACATCATACAAGAGAATTTCTACATCGCAATAAAATCAGAAAATTGCAGAGAAAAACTATGGGGATCATCCACAACTACCAGATAAATTCGCATCATCTAGTTTCAGTTCGCTTCAATATTAGTCATCGTGTATTAGTATTTTATTTGCAGTCTACGCGCCTTCAACTACATCGTCACCTAGCTCAACCTGTTTGCTCGGTGGGACGCGAGGATCCGTTGCCACGACGAGCCAAACCGCTTGGACGAGTATTACAATCAAAAATGCCCCCTCCCCATATCAAAACGGAAATCTGTGATGCAGATTCGTGGTCACAGATCAGCTTTGTGATGCTAGAAGGCAAAAGATGCGGACTGTAGTGCTGTCTAGCGTGGGAAAGCCTTGCAGCTCCAGGATGACAGGAGGCAACTGGAAGTGGGAAACAGCATGACGGATTACCTGCAATTTAGGCCGAAGCTTCGCCTCTTGGCCTTCTAGCAATACAAGTTGATTTGTGTACTCAAATGCAGCATCACAAATTCGTGCATCTTCCGTTTCCGATATGAGGTGGGGGCTTTTTTCACTTTGATAACGAGCAGAGTGCAGCTAGTACCGCGGCCGCGTGGGCGATGCAAAAATGCGCGCAACTATCACACCAAAAAGTGTTAACGTTAACGGAATTTGGCATGCAGAAATGCACGAGAAATGATGCCCAAATTTGTATTGCATAGCATGCATGATAGCGGCAATTTCTCATGCATGACAGCAATGCCTCAAAACCGTTAACGTTAACACTTTTTTGCTTGATAGCAACCTTTCGCTGCTGCACCGTCACACGTTGGTAGGCACCTCCTATGTGGCTCGGAACCGCCACCTGGAACCACGATGGCCGTTCCGTAGGTGGCTTGGAAATAACCGTAGGAGTAGCGTGATGTGGAATAAAAACGGAAGATCCGAGCTAATCGTAAAAGAACGAGTGAACAAGGGCTGCACAACTGTTAGAAACGAGCTCGAGCTGCGATCAGAGAACGAAGTAGTCGTGCTGGAACAACAAGATCAGTTTCCTGTAGACCGCGTGCAACAACGTTAAAGTCGAAACCGCGTGTAGAACGGAAATCGTCTGTAGCGTGCCTAGTACTACCAGTATGTCGTGTGGCTTGCGTGCTGCGTGAACTACAACTACTGCCCGTGCCTGCTGTAGCATAACCGCGTCCGCGACTACAAGAGGACGAGCTTCTATTCATCAATGAGAATGAACACCATGAGCCGCTTGCACCATCTCCACCATCTTCAACTTTTTTTTTCGATGAACCATACCAACTACTTTCGGACCACAAAATTATCAACTATCGGACTACATCTTCAACGAGGAAGCAAGTCTTGGATGCATCCATTTGGTCGTGCTGACGGACGACGGAGGGCGGACGTGCTTGATTACGACTAGGCTGGACCTCGAACTTTTTTTCAACTACGTGTAAAGGCACCCAGCATCGTGCGTACAACTAATAGATACACTGTAGTTGCGACAAATGATCATGATGACGGACGCGAATGATTATCATCGATTGACGAGCTTCATGCATCATAATCATGTTATTCATTTCGTGTTGTACACAAGAACTTCTTCCGGCTGTCGTGTGAGAAAAAATACTACGAGACCTGCAACCTTTTTGCTTTCCGCGGACGAGGAAGGAGCGGCAGCCATACCCAGGAGCCCGAGTACTACACCGACAGAAAGACCATGTGAGGGGACCAGGACCTCCAGGGACGGATTGACCAGGACCCGGCGGACAACGACAAGGAGCTTGCAGGACGATGTGCGCGAAGAAATCGACCCGGAGCTGGAGGAGCACATGAATCGGGTTGGACAATACCACGGACGACGGACTCGCTGGAACGTGGACCTACGGACCGAGAACTTGTTTCTTGCGAGAAACGGCGGCGGGCGGTGGAGAGGGAGACCTCCATACGGATGGAGTATTATCATGGGACCCGGCGGACGAACGAACGGTGGAATTAGGAGACGGATGGATTACGGGCGGTGGATTTTTTGGAAGGCACGAGTACTACGGAAGCCGCATGGAACAACATACCGACGAATGGACGACCCGGACACGGTGGATTTGGAAAATTATTCTGGGACAGAGAACCGCGCACACGAAGACGAACGCGACTTGCACCGTATTTCATCATCTTCAGACACGCTCTGGATGATTGCATGAATACGAAGAGTTTTCAAATAAACTTTTTTGAAGAAACAACGCATGATAAGGTTCAAATGGATTACTGCATTCACTGCGCATGCTGATGCAAGAAAATCCGAATAAAGAGCAAGCAGAAGCCTCCTGGTACAACTTCGTCCTCGCTGGAGGTGTTGACTGTCCGGAGCAGCTTGTCTCTGCTGTAAAAAACTCTTCACCACAGAGTCAACACAGCTAGTTCACAAGAACTTCTACGGCGACGCGCGACTTGTTGCTCGGCAACGGTGGAATCGGACCACTCCTGGCAGCAGATGCTGATGGACCGCCGGTTGCGAGGTGTGCTGACTGCCGTCGTCGAGATGGTAGTGCTGGCTAACTGGCTGACGAGGAGCTGGAAACGCTTTGAATCACCCGGCGTTGCGTTGGAGCATCAAGATTCTGGCCACTGTGGTCGCCTGCTGCAACAGGAACTTGTCTACAACTACGAGGAAGTCAACGGTTGCAACGCGGAGTTGTTCTACGACTAGGACTACTTACCTCGGATGAAAATCCACTTCACGACATGCCGTTTGTTGGTACAGAAGTTTTACTACACTCCGAAAACAAGGAGTTCGTGGATACATGCACTGCTGCATCAAAGTAAGCAGCTACTGTCAACAGGATGCATTGGAACAAATTGCTGTTGCCAAATCGACAACCTTCCACAGCGTTCGAGACCACCAGAGTTTGATCGGATTCGATTCGTCGCACCAGGATCTGACGCAGTTTCAACATCACAGGACAACGCACCAGAGCTAGAACGTGGGAACGACGACGTCGGACGAGGACCAGTATGAGCACGACGTGAGGTGGACTGGAAGCCCTAGCGATTCCTGCAAGTGGACGGACCACCAGGCGCGCTTCCCCCTGCAGATCGTGGACGACAACATGCAATCGAGAAATCCTTGTTGGACTACGGCTTGTTAAACAAGCAGGAGCTGCAGCGCACCACGTGCACCACACGCACGGCGAGTCCAGCAGATTTCATCGGCGTACCTCGAACGAGCCACGGCGTATTTTCCTGCTGTTGTCAGCATCATCCAAACCACCTACACAAATCTGAATCAGATCTTCATTTCGACCACCAGCCGGGCGGACCACCACTACGCGGCCACAGGATCGATCATCTTCACGCTTCACTCAGTTGCGTTCTTTCTTTCCCCGATTCTAGATGAAGTGGTCAACATCTTCTTGTCATTCGAAGACTTCGGTTCTTCAGTTCATCTTATCGGATGTAGCAGCGGTCGCATAATTTCGACCTGAACTACTACACGCATCATCTCTACTACTGTCGAGAAGTTGTGGTACAGCGGTATCGGAACTACAGCAAGCTCCCGCGTTGTACACAGCACAAGCAGACAGCTAGCATTGCGAGAAGTGGCACTCGTACTCTGGTCATCACGATCTACTACAGTGCGGCCTCTGATCGAAGTCGATCGAGCAGCAAATCGCTCTACTTGAGGTGGTCAACCTCTCGAAAGGATCGGACTCTCATCTGCAGCATCGAAAGGATCGGAAAACGAGCAAAAGGTCGGCCAGCAAATCGATCTGCGAGCTTCTATGCCTTTCTATGGCTGAACATGTGAATCAAGTGCAGGGCAGCCGACGCAGTCGTGCGAGTGGTGGTCGCGAGTCAGCCTAGACGTGGCCACTCGAATGGTGTGCCCTCTCGAGGCTGACCAGTCCACCGCTACAGATCAAGGGGAGATGAAGTTGTAATCACTATACGAGCAAGAAATATCCCACACCTGCTACAGAACCTTCATGCATTCTTCAGCATAAGAACACTCGCGGCTTAGGGGGCGTGGGCGCGGTTTCTCGATTCTATATTGGGTTGATAAGTTTTTACGGTTTCCGCTTTTGGTTGATGTTCCCCTTCTCCTTTCCGGGTTGGACGATCATCGACTGAAGGATGTTACTGTTTAAGATTTTTCGACTTGACTTTGGATCTTTTTACTGCGTTCCCAGCACCGCTTTCCTCCCGCTCGAGTACCTAACTATAGCCGGTTTTTTGCGTACACCAGTCTCTAGTTCGCGGTTTTTTTACCTGTGTTTGCGGTTTTCGTCATCTGTCAGACTGCTGTATCTTCAGTATCATCTACGAGCAGCCCATTGCGGGGTTTCAACGAAACGACTGAACCTACCACTTCGACTTCTACACACCGAGCAGTTGTCCTCTTCACAGTGAAGATCACTGTTGACGCTGTACATCTACTACCAAGCTGTTGTATAATCTACTTGGACTTCTACTACACCACCACGATTGAAGTTTCGCTCTCGACGAAGAAAAACCGACATCATACCTTCGCACCGATAGAAGTGATTCACTTTGAACACCACCCACGCCTCAGCTACTACACACCCCAGAGGTGGCGCAGCACCAGGAGCTGCTGCCCGTATGTGCTACAGAACTACACTTAGTCGCAGTTGTGATGAGGCGCTGCTACTGATCATCAGTGAAACTACTGAAACGAAAGCGAGCTGCTAGAAGTACACGACGCGCGCACATCAAAATTACTTAGTGAACTACCTCTACCACGCGACGTGAAGAGCGCGACGATGAAACCGGGTAGCGCGTACTAGACAGAAAGAATTGCCTTCGCTTCTGACACCGAGTTTTTTTTTCCACCCCGCTAGTACTATCGGAGGCGACAGACCTGCGAGCGTCTTTCAGATTGGCGCAGTGGGCCGCGTTGCAAAAACAACTTCAACTTCTGCTTCTAGGGGCACGACAAGATTAAAATCGCAGTTTTTTTACGACCATCCTCACCACGAACAAACAGCCGGTAATGTAAAAGCGCGGCTTCTACTTTTTCATCTCCAGCGAACTTTTACGCACGAGCTGCACTGTCGGGTCGCCATAAGGTCCTGTAGACCTCCAAGTTTGTCACTAGTTTCCGACGGGGCCTTCGCCTGCGCGCCGCCGTGCGATCGCCGTCCAGTGCGTTACTTCTCCACGACGACGACGACGTCGCAACTTTTTTTGGTGCTGAGTTTTTTCCAGTTCCTCTGCCGATACAAGTAGGACGGGGGAAAACCTCTACGAGAAACGAAGTCGTGTGGATTTCGGTGGCAGCGCAGTTCTGTTTTTCTGAAAGCCCGTTGACCTCCACTTGTTGTACTTTATTGACAAGAACTTTCTCGTCCTGGTGCACGCCGCCGTCCGCATGCTTTTCGTGCAGTGGAGGCGGTAGAGGTACAAAAGTCAATAAAATCGGCGACTTTTTTGAACGATTTTTTTCGCAACTTTGACTTCTTTTTCCATCATCATGATTTTTGGAAGCTGCGAAGGTTCTTCATGATAGATGATTTTTTACATCTGCTCTACTGTGAAAAAAACAAAATAAACGAAACCACGGGGCAACTTCTTCACTTCCGGACTCCCCGGCCGCTTTATTTTTTACTCTCCGCCCTGCGCGTGGTTCCCATCGGGGCAGAGCAGCACCAGGTGGATTGCCTTCATCCCTCGCGCCAGGGGACGGCAGGGACGATGACTTTCTTCTGCCACTGTCGCAGCCGCGTCTACGGGGACGGTTCCGCTGCGGCTTTTTGGGCTACGACAGCCACCGCTCGTCGCGGAATACAGCGAGCTGCCGTTGGACCTAAAAATACTTGGTCGCGACCCTCCTGCTCCCATGCTCCCCGGGCAGCGTCTTTGTCCCGCTACCGCTTTTCGACCGTCTGTCTCCACATCTTCATCGACCGGAAAAAAGGGAAGCTGCCGTCAGGGCCGCGCTGCTCTTGTTGCACAACTTTCTGCTTTTTTCGATCTCGGCCGAAAGTGCCGCCGTCGCCAGGGTCCTACAACTCCCTACATCAATCACTTTCTGTTGAGCAACGATTTTGAGATCTTCGACTCATCGAGAACACGGTAGAAATGCCGGCGCGGGAGGGAAAAATCCAGCGAAACGAGAAATCGGGTCGCTATTGGCGGCCGACAACTTGTGGAAGCAACAGGGCGAATTCTTCTTCCGGCGCCAGGGTTCACTGCGCGACAGCTCCTGCCCAGACTAGTTGTACCTGTTGTGGCGACTGAGGCGCCGACCTCGCGAGCGCAAGCTGCAGGCCGCGCCTGCGGAAATCCAGAGCAGGACGCCTGCTCCCGGGCCGACTGAGCCACGAACTAGGTTGGTAGCCACGCGATCATGTCGCACAGCGCGCGTTGTGCAGCAACTTACAACCACCCGAATAAAAAAGTAGAGGCCGGCGAACGAGGCCATGCGAGGGAACTACAGCGCTCCTCCTGCACGTCGCAGACGCCAGCGCTTGCTCCAGCCCAGCACGAAGATGCAACCCCATCAACCTCCAAAATGTGAACGTGCGAAACTTCAGCGAGAAGGAGCTGCAAGCACGATGAATTATTCCATCATGTGGACTTTCTGTACTACTAGAAGTGGTGGACAACTATTGAAGAAGTCAGAACTCTGCACGTCGAAGGAACTCAGTGTCAGTTAAAGCTCGAACAACGAAGACGAAAACCGCGGACCGCACAGATCACAACAGTTTATTCGAGTAGTTCTTATGTATCTTCCACTCCGCATCGGCATCCTCCAACTCTGGACGAAGTCTACTGCGGTGGGAGTTGCAGGAGCTCTTTACAGCAGCTACATGAGTTTTTTTTTCGCGTCGTCGACGACGACCACCGCGCGGGGCCAGCAGGAGTCATCAGCGCGTGTCGTGTTGATCGCTCCAGGACAACCACATCCCGGACAACTGCGACCACGTGTCGTCCGACTGTCTACCTAATTAGCAGTTTTTCGATCACGAGTTGACTCTGATCACAACCACTTGTTTCTGAACAAGGAGCAATTGTTCCGACATTGCTGCCTTTTGCCACTTTTGCCAGCCTGATTTCATTGGCGCAGCCATTGGCCACGATTTCGCAATCATCACGCTGGTGCAACAGGAAGGAGGTGTAGCAAGTTTAGACTATCTTCAGCGGGTGACTTTGACTGCTCGAGGTGTACAACATCAAGAACAAACGGGGTTTTGCTAGTACAAGTAAATCTACTGCTACTTCATCTACATCCACCTGGGATTTCGGAAAATCTCACGACGGGGACCACGGGGAACAAGGGTGACCAACACCGCGAAAATTCTCACTCAGTGATCCACATGCTGGTGCGCATGCTCAGCCTCTGAAACTGCTCCACTCGCCGCCGGCTGGCCGCGCATTTCTTCGGGCACCTACTACTGGGGCCGTCGCCAAAGCTACTAGTACGACAGCCACTGCTGCCGCCGGGACCGGGGTAGTAGTCCGCTCGCGCCGCAACCGAGTGGTGCGCATCGTGGTCAGGCGCTTCTAGCACCGCCGTCGCCAGCACAGGTGTGCCGCGCCGGGTAGCACGAGTTGGGAACGGCTCCCGTTGCAGAGTTGCCACCTACGACCTGTCGAAAGGGCGTCGCTCCACCCGTGCTGGCGCGCCTCGGACTTGCGCTCGCCCCATGCTGCTGCTGCTGCTGTTACAACACGCCTGCTGTCGACCCAGACTCGCTATTCGAAGATCAGCAAGGGGCGAAGATAAATTCAGTAAAAATGTTTGCGAAGAAATCCGATACCGCTGCTACAGATGATGTTGTCAAAAAAGGTAGAAGAAAATGAATAAGAACTCTGCAAGTAAATAATAACTCGACCAACTCGAACTCCAATTTCCTTGCCGCTTGCCGTTCCGCAACGTCCTGGTCGTGGACCAGCCGCTGCTCCTCGACGACTACACTCATACTCGCCACGAGTTCGGTCGTCATCGCAATCGCCACGAGGAAGTGTTACTGATCGAGGAAACAGCTACAGTCGGGCCGCGGATACTACCGGAATTCATTCCTCCATCTACTGTTCTTCGTCATGTACATGTTGCCACAAGTGGTCCTCCGAGCTCCTCCTCCTGCTCCTCCTGTTGTGGCGAATTATTTTTTCCGGTTCTACAAGCGCATTGTCTACTTCCACATCTGAAGAACACCACCGCGGCTTTGCTGGACCGGGACGGCGCGAGCTGCTTTTGCCGGGTGACAGTAATGAATATTTTTGCAACTATGTTGTTGGATTCTGAACTTCTTTGTGCTGACAGCGGGCATGTTGATGACGATGGACTACACTCTTGGATGTTACCTTTGTGCTTGTGCATGAAGATGTTGACTAAAGAGATGTCGTGGACTTGAATTTCCCACATCGAGTAATAGATGAAAAGAAAAGTCAGAACGACGTAAGGTAAATGGGAAAATCTTAGAACTAGAAATACATAGTCGTGTTAGATTAGAAATAGAGCTATGAAGAAGTACATAGAAAAATTTAATGTAAAGAAAAGGACATCGCTAGGGGACTGTTCAGAAATTTCTACTTTTTTTCGACGCGCCGCGTTGCAGCAGCTCTGTAGCGATTTTCGCACCACTCGTACTAGTATAACTCATTCTCGTTTTACGCAGATGCGCGCACATTGCCCTCGTCTTCTTGGGCCCCTTTTTTCGGTTATCGCTGAGCAATGCTACTCTCGTACTAGCGCCAGCATTTTTTGCGAAGACCTGTAGAAGTAGCGCCGCTCTTTCGTTGGTGGTGCGTAGGCATCGTATCCTCCTCGTAAGTCGTGCCACCATGATGATCTTTTTAAGTAGCTCGAAGATGGCCCCGCCGCCGCCGCCGCCGCGAAAGGACAAAGTGCGATCCTATCGAGCACTCTTAGAGTGCAGGATGATCACCAGCTTTTTTTCTTGCAATTATGAGCGTGCTGTGAATAATAAGTACACTGATTACGGCGAGCATCAACATGCACTGGAAAAACAGAGGCATCTTTCTTGCCATGAGCTTTCATGTATTAAGAAAGTGCGCGAGATGCAGAGTAGATGTGTAGAGTTGTCGAAAAAAGAGGTTGTAAGGAACTAGCTCAGAGGACAGCCATATGAGATAGAAGAGATCGTATGCTGAGCTTCTTCTTTGTCTAGAAACTAGTTGTATTCACCGCCACCTCTCGCACTTTCTGTGGTGTACATAGTTGCAAAACGGGGTAGGCTTTCTCGGATGACGAGATGTTTAATGTTGCACTCGCACATCGTGGCGGGCAATATTTCAACCCTGAGCACAAGCTCGTCGTATCGAAAGTTTGTTTTTTCTGTGTGTAAATGTAGTTGTCGGCCGGGGCTCTTTTTTTTCCTCAGAAGTCTTGAAAAAGTTCCTACCATTCGAGGAGAAAAACTCCAAAATTGTAGGAAAAAAATAATTCTTGATGTGCCTTTGGTAAAGTACGAACTAGAACTAGGGGTCGAAAGTTTCTCGGTTTACTGACAGACAACAAGAAGGAGCATGAAACTGCTGTAAGAACTGAATCAGCATACCGTCATAACACGTACCGACCAACAACTACACCGGCAACAGTAATTTTTCCAAACTTTTGCCCCGTCCTACTTCGGCTTGTTTTACGTGGTTCACCTCCATCCAGCCTCAAAACAAATTATGGCGACACAAAAAATTTCGCACACGGCTTGTTAAGAAACCGCACTTTTTCGCTAGTGCTCATTTTTCAGCCTCGCAATCATGATCGTAGCTGCTACTTGTTTTCTCACGAGATGCAGTAAAATTAAAGCTGTACCGGCTGCGGCTGCGAGAGCCTCGGCTGGTCGGTAATAAGACGGCAGCGAAGAAGATGAAGAGTTGAATGTCACGCCTGAAGATGTTGATGATGCCTCCTGCTCCACTAGTTGATGACGACAGCATTAGAGATTTGCACCTACAGTACTTCTACAGCGAAATTTTTTTGGCCGTCGCAGCTCTCCTGCGCACCAGTTTACGACAAGCATCTAAGAAGTAAATCGGCGAAAGCAGTCGGAAACAGCAGGTGAAGATGCTGCGGCGCGGCCATCCAACTACTATCTCCATTCCTTGAAAAAATAAACCAAAAATCGTGAAAATAGCAGGAGGATTTGACGCAGGTCATTGACTGTCTCGAATTTTGCTGCGGGCAACATCTTCTATTGCAAGGAAGTAGTGAAACTGCACAAGTCCAGTGGTACAACAAACTTTGATGGTTCATCTTGCTAAAAGTGCTATTTTCACGGACGATTTTTAAAAGATAGAAAGGTTTTTTCTTTTTTCAACCCCTTCCTGTCCGAAATGGGGGGCCCATAAACGGCTGATAAAGTGGACAAGAAATTTGGTTTTATCAAAAATTGACTATGGTTAAAGGTAAGGGGATATTGTGAACTATAGGACAACCTCCGGTTGGACCGAACCCAAGAACTACGAGCTAGCGGCTTTAGTATTTGTCACCAGCTAAATGGCTTGAATCGGATCTAGCCCGACATTTAGTGGTCAAATATTATGGACCGAACGAAGCAGTGTGCGGCGTGTAAATTCGAAGGGTAAACTTGTGATGTCTGGTTGATACAACAATTCCGCGGTTGAGTAGCCAACGATCGTGTCGGAATACCTACGATTTGCGATTTCGAATTTAAAAAAAGCAACTGCAAAGTAAAACTTGAAGAACACTCGCGGCTTAGGGGCAGTGGCGGTGATCGGACCGGAACTTTTTGAGAAATTATTCTCTTTTTATTCTGGTCTTTTCGCTTTGCCAGCACCTGTTACCTCCCGCTTGAGTACCCTCTTTCCTGATCCTGAACTTCAACTTCTTCGATGGGAGAAATAGTAGAAAAACTGACGCTTGTATAATTATCAGATGACGAATGGAATGCGAACAGTTTTGTTAGTAGAACCTGAAGTCACAACGACAACTTGACACGATAATTTTACGCGGTAGGACAAGAAACTTCTTTGTGAAGAAAAACCAATAAAAGGCGGTTGCGGTAAATAAAGTAAAAGGGTGAAGTAAGGTGCTTAGGGACGTACTCATTCCGAATCATTCCTGGTCTGCTTGGCGGGAAAGCCACCATCTTGCTTCTCCGACAAGAAAAATTCATCGCGGATTGCGCCTCATCAGCTACGGAGCATCGGCGTTTGCTTTTATTAACTTTTTCCTTTTGATGTTTTTCATTTTTTTAGCCATGACAGCCATTTCATTAAAATGCGCCCGGAGTAAGAACTATTGTCATTGGTATTTCGCGCCTTTTTGGTGTGTGATTTATTTTTTAGTATTGAATTATTTGCAAAGAAGAAGAACCGAGTTCCAAAGATTAAAGTAAAAATTCTATGCTTTGCTTTGCCGGGCAGATCGTGGCGCGTCAAAAATTCGAGTGGGGGTGTTTTTGCCTGCCACCGTGAATGCAGGCTTCCAGCTACGAAGAACGAAACATATTGGCGGCCGAAGTGGTCCACATCTACAACTTTCTCTCGGAGGCAGAAGTACCGCGCATCTCCATGGCGGTGCGTTTGTTTTTTTCTATGAATGTTATCCTTTTTTCTATTTTGCTCTACTACAACTTCAACTGCTTAGTAGAAGCACAATCATTGCAAAACTTTTTTTCAAAATGAATCTTCGCTGTTTTTCTTTTTTCATCTCTCGAAAATTCAAAAATGATGCACGAGAGCTCGCTTGCCATGCGAACGGGCAGAGGTACTCATTGCACGACAACTAGTAGAAGCAATACGCGTCCGCCCGTGACAATGCCGCGACCGCACCAGTGCTCATGTAAATTCCAAAGCCGGGGGCTTTTTGAAGATAGGACTAAACTAAAGATTAATCGAGGCAGCCTCGCCGGGCATAAAAGTAGACGACGCACCAGTCAAGCAGGACTACGACTATGGTACCCTTATTGAGTAGATCTAGATCTTGAATTTATATGCATGTTGACAATCAGCATCATTATACAAATCAAATCTCCTGTGTACGTAATCACGAGCCCGAAAGTTTCTGATTTTGATTTATTCGCAGATTTCTGATTCGAAAACACTTCCTTTCCTTGTTTTCCTGTCCCTATTTTCTTGTCTATCTTTTCTCTGGGTTCTTTGATTTTGGGTCCACCTCGCGAGGGATTTTAGGACTAGTTTTAGGTGGAATTAGGTGGTAGCGCTTCTTCGGAGAAAAAACGGTCGCAGGACGACGAGTTGTACGCCTTGTTGTCGGAAGTTGGGAACACCCTGCCCTCCTGCCAAATGACGCCGAAGCGTGGCGAACATCGAAGGAAACTTTCGGCATGGAAGCGGATTTCTGAAGGTAAGGATACGGGTATTTTTTTATCGTAAATAGCCCTTGGGCTTATTGTTACTTAATTGTTCTTTGCCTCATTTATTTTTCGATGCAACCATGTTGGTGCTGCAATTCTATGCCGAAGTGTTACTCAAAGCCTCCTCGAAAATCTTTCGCTTCTTCATCTCCAGCACACCAATTTAGTTCGTGGTCTTCCATCGAACTAAAAAACGCTATAATCTTTTGACGAACCGCCCCAAAACAGCCCGTGACCGTGACCGATCGCGCGTGGGACAGTACACCGTTGCGGCAAGAACCTCGCGCAGTGTGAGGACTCCTTTCGCGTCGCTGGATGATCGACCCCGAGCTGGCGGAGAGCGCGTTCGAGACAAGATACAGCGACGGAAATGGTGAACGCTGGTGGTTCATTTCAGCAGTCCTTCCAGCGGGGTTGCCCAAGCTGGCGGACTACAAGAACCCGGATTTTCAAGCAGTAGACGGAGCGCGACGCGATAGACGACGACGAGGAACCGGAGCACGACCAGGACCAGCGGGGCAGCGTCGCGCAGACGATCGCGATCGAACACGTCGCAGGTTCGCAGAAGACCCAAGCGGCGACCGGACGAGGAACTACATTTGGAAACATCGTGAGACTTGACCTGATGGAGCGACAACTTGTGCTGACCAAAACAAGTAAACACTTATTTTCGTTTCAAATTCAATTTCTCTCGAAAGGATTTTTGCTTCTGCATTCAGCTTCACACGCTTTTTCCAACTCGAAGCAAATAAATCATTGCAAAAAATGTAGGCATGAATAAAAAAAAAGTATGAAAATTAAGAAGAGAGGCACAACACCAGCTGCCTTGAGCTGGTTACGCACGACCTGTACGTAAGGCGTAAAAGCTCCTTTGAGTATGTTCGCAGCTACTATGTTGAAGCTCTACTGCCCCATCCTGTATTTCCATTGATTCCGTACCATGACAAAGAAAGGAAAGGGCGAAATCAAATTTATGTTGATAATGGCGCTTCCGACTTCGGTTTCAGTGCGGTCTTTGTTATCCTTATCGTGGTTCGCGTCGTTTTTGTGCGTGCACCGGAACGAGATCGATAAATCGTAAAAATCGATGACGATGAGCCCTCTGCTCAGATCTTCACTCTGTGTCGCCGTGGATGGAAGTCGTCTGCAACAAGCATCAGAAAGATTGGTTGCCTCAGTTTCTCCAGCTTCGCATCTATCGTCTCTTTTTCTCAAAACCAGTCGCGTCTTCGATCTTCTCAAATTGGAAGTGTGAGTTGACATTCCGGCACCGAAGATAGTTGGTTCTTGTCTAGTAGCTATTTCTGCTTGTCGCAAGCAGCGAGGACCTGAGGTTCTTTACCTTCCTCGTAGAGACGAGAGCCTTTGATGTCGCGACGAGAGGGAGAGATGAAGTCAAAATTGTTCATTGAGCACCGAGGGACAAAACTATTATGGATGTGTCTGATGTCGATGTGCTTTTGGTTTTGCTGTAACTGCGAGCGCATTGTATATGTAATTATATTGTCGGCCTTCAACATGACTTCTAGTTCTAGTGTGTAGTTGAAGTTTCAACATCACACCAAGTGGTTCTTGTACCCCGGCCAAATTTTATCTATCTTTACATCTTCTTCCTCACCATCCACGACCATCAAAACAAACCATGCCCTGGCCGCTTCCCGCTGACCTGCGATCCTACTACGGAATCGACGAAGACAATGACATCGACAGGGAAAACACGGAGAGCGCAGCCACGCGCCGCATCGCCAAGTGGCGCCTCTACCTGGATAGTCCCACGGGGAGTCTGGCCTCGGAGGACGTTGGAGACGACGATCGTCAAGATGACCCCAAGACGGAGGAAATAAACCCACCTGCAAATAAAGCGATTGAAGATTTGTACGTCCCCGTCTCTGTGTACGAAGAGTTCCTGAAGCCACTAAAGGCTCCAGGTAGCACTGCAGACCTCCAAGGAGCGAAAGCAGAACAAGAAGCACCGACGCCCTCGTTGAACCTGCTGTCGAAAGTCAACCTCGAGGAGCTTCTTGCGACCTACGTCAAAGCCAACTACCCGCCACCACCACCCGCCAGAGGACCTGCGAACCAGTTTGCAGCTGCAGCAAAACCGCCGACGAAAGCAAAAAGTGTTTTCTCTGGAAAAAACACATCCGCAAAGGGAAAACAACCGTCGAAGGGAACTTCCGGAAAAAAGGCCGGCGCGAAGTCGTCATCGATTGTGCCGAAGATCGGGCTTAAAGTGACCAGTTTGTTTTCCAGCGGATTAGGCACAGGGAGAAGTGGCGCAAGTAGCGCTCGGTCGGGTGCTTCGGGAGTTTCCGGGGCAGCTGGTGCATCGAAGTTGCCATCTGCGAGATCCACGGCCGGGGGTGGAGTGTTTGCTCCGAAAGCGAGCGTTTCTCTAGGAGTGTCTACTGCTGCGCCGGGAGCAGCTGCACCTGTGCAAGCGAAGCTGTCTGCGAAATCAACGGCGGGCGGAGTTTCTGTGGCGAAGGCGAAAGTGGTCGTCTCTGCTGGAGGGGCGACATCTACTAAAGCCAACGCCCCCGCCGGGCCGAAAACGTTGAAGGAGGGAACGCACAGGTCCTCGCCAGTGGACCTGCAAGTGAAGAGGGACGAGCAACAAGATGACTTCCAAAAATCCTGCTCGAGCAACTTGCAGCAGGCAGGTTTTTTCCAGAGCCGACTGACGTCAACAGCAAAAACGAAAATAAAGACTATCTCGAGCGGATTTGGTTCGTGGAGAAAGCAAGCCCAAGCGCAAGGAACACAGCAAGCGCAGAGAGCACACGAAGATGAAAAGGCAGCGGCACGACGAGAGGGACGTCGGCAAATGCAGCCGAGGACGCGGACCGGAATTTCTATGGGCACAGAAGAACTTTCGGTCCCACCAGCGATTCCCGTAGACGCGGCCGCGAAGGTGCACAGCTGGAGCTGGCGCAGGAAGCTGGAGGAAAGTACTACCAAGTGTAGGGCGAAGGGACCTGCTGTGTTCAACAAGGACAGGAACTTCTTCGACTTCGCAAGAAGCTGTGATGTAGCAGGTAAGGCTGCAGGTCCTGCTGCACGCCGCCCTCCAAGTTCTCTAAGTCTGCTTTTCTTCCCGGAGAGAGCAGACGTTTCTGGGGAACAGGTACAGGATGGCAAAACAGCGCCCGCCCCTGTCGCCGGCTCTGGCCTTGGTCAGTTTCCGAAAAGAACCAGCCCGATCGCGCAAGCAGAGACCTCTAGCAGCGACGACGTTGACTTTGAAGTGGGACAGCATCTACATCAGCGAGAGCGAAATACTCATCAACCGGCGCTGATATTAGAAGAAAGTGAAACGGTAAAGGATGGTCAAACTACGAAGCGAGAAAATGAAAAAGTCCCGCCCACGAGTAATCCGTCTACGTTGGAGGCCTTCACGCACAGTCTCGTCTTGGGCCGCTCTTCGAAGGGGGAGAAACTTCACCCAGACATCGTGAACCAGCACCAGGATCACCACCAACCTCTGGACGAGGTCTACGATAGCAGCTCAGCAACGTCTTCGGGGGAAGAACTGCATCTGGATTTGGAAGTGACAGGAACACGAACAACAAGTGGCAAGTCGGCTGTTCGGGGGCAAAGGCTGGTAGAGGGGCAAAGCCGACCTCGGCTAGTACAAGAAGAAGTCTATCAGCTTGACGACCAGAAGGGCGAGAAAAGCGAGTGCGTCGTGGAAGAGGAGCCGTCGGACCGTGAGCCGCCGTTTTGGATGCGAAAGGACCACTCTGCTGGTCAAACTGATGATCGTGAAGTTGGAAGAAACGATGAAGATCATCTAGATCAAGATCTGCAGCTAGTCTCTTCTCCCGATGACCGTTCCTCGCGCGCGAGAGACGAGCAGCAATTCCCGACAGTAAAGGAGGCCATGAACGCGATTGAGTTTCGCTTGGGTCACGCGCTCAAACAGCTGGATAGGGGGAAGGACGATGCTGCTGAGCTGCAGCGTGATGACACCGGCAAAAACAAAACTGGATTAGCTGCCGAGCGTGGAGCAAAACCTTCGCAAGACGACCCAGGCCGCGCGAGTCTTGCTGCTGCGAGTAATTCGCAAGCGGGAGAAGTGCGGATCAGCAAAGGGAGCACGGCTGACAACGACACTGCGGACAAAGGACAGAAAAGGAAAAGGGCTAGAACAAGAACCACGAGAAAAACAGACGATCTTCGTGTTGACCTTGACCTCTCCTCCAGCTCCTGCGAAGATGAAGCGGAGTTTGTGGCGAAGTTGAACCAGAAGCCACTCTGGGTATCCTATGCGAAAATGATGTCGCACTCGCACAACTCCTCGTACTGATTGCAATACTTCTGCATAAGAGATTTCTCTATTTTGAGCTGCATTCGCATGGCAAATTGTATCATGTGTCGTTCACTATCACTTTCACCTAGCAAGAAAAAGCAAAGCGTCACCAGGAGTGCGATACTTTTGTATTGCATACTGGGAGCTGATGCACGATTTTGCGAACGCGCAAACCGAACCGGTCGAGATGCTGATTTCCTCTTCCTCGTCGTCCTCGGGAAAGTCATCAAAAAGCTCTGCGGCCACAAATGGAGCTGAATGTGGGAGAAAAGACGGCGGCGATGAGACTGTTCTTGAAGGTGGAGATGAAGATCAGGTTGAGAAAACGGCGACAAATAAAACTCGCAGAAGCAACAGAAGGGGACTCGGAGTCGGAGGACGAAAATACGACTACAGGAAACCCCACCCGAACTCGCCAAGACGAAATAAGAAGCGGAAAAGCGGAACGAGGGCGTCGAAGCAGCGCGGAAGCGAATTTTCCCCGCCCGGTGGTCAAAATAACACGAAAAATCGGCGCCAAAGTTATACGCATCAAGAGCTCCTATCCGCGGCCGCGAAAGTAGTGGAAGAAATTGATGTGGACGCTGATGGAAACGCGGTCAGTTGGTACGACAAAGACGGAAAATTATTGGCGCGGAAGATCTTCAACACCGAGACCGGGTCTTTGGAATGGAAAGTCGTGGCACTTCCTCCAAACGGCCGCGTGGGTCGGGATTTGGACGAGGACGTCGAGGCAATTTCGGATTATTATGGGAAAGGCGAAGCAGATTTGAGGAGCTCGACATCGTCTAGTTCCTCCACAAAATGGACGAGGAGTTCCTCTGCTTTCACAAGCGACGAAGATCTTGACGAACAGCACGAACTTCTACGGATGAATATCAGCAGCTCCTTGAATTTGCTTCGTGGTGTCGACACGAAAAAGAATAGCAGCTTGTCAGATGACCACCACCAGGAACCTCTTTCATCAATACAGATGAGAACAAGCACGACTTGGTCCACCGGAACGCACGCTCCGCCCAACACTCCTGTGAAAGAATTCTCTAGAAACACAGACTCAACTGACAACATAGCGCAGCAGCTCCGGGCGATTTCGAGAATCGGTTTGAAAGAAGAAGATAGTGATCAAGAAGTAGATCGTGGAGCAAAAAAGCCAACGACGGCCGTGGTTTCAGCCCCTGCCGTGTGGAAGCGCCAGCGGTGGCGAAGCTATTTGGAGGATGACGATACAGGAGACGGCGTCGTCGACAAAATCTTCATGAACGATCACGACGAGGAGCCAGATGATTTAGAACTACACTCCGCCAAAGTCAGGAAGTTTCTCAGGGCAAGTGTGGAGGATAGCAAAGACAAAGAGCGCGAGGCAGGTCGAGTTCCCACCCTGGCTGAGGCAAGTCTGCTCTTTCAGCAACTTTTTCAGGATGAAAAGCCGCACAGTAGAAGTCTTCAAGACGAAGTCAGCAAAGGCTACACCGGCACAACAGATGGGGTCGGTTCATTGATGAGCCGAAACCAGCTACGAAAAGGACAATTCAGGCACAAGCGTCAAGATATGCGAAGTGATCACGATAGAAAGACCGACATGCAGCTTCGGGCAGCCATTCTGGGAGTTGACAGCGATGATGACAGCAGTCTTTTACAGTTTTCCGCGCTCGAGGACTCTCCCGACCAGCAGGACTTTCGAGAATTGGAGGTGGACAGTGCAAGAGCAGATCAAGCATACCCGCACCAGGTGGGAACAACTACAAATCGTGCTGATGTTAAAAGCGATAGCGAGGACATTGTCCTGCTTGGACAAGAAGATGAGGGCAGTTCTTCTTTTGATCAAATTGTGATCAAACGCCTTAAAAACGCAACCAGGGAAAGGACTGGCGTCAAATTTGACCCACCGCAAACTACAGCAAGAAAACTGTATTACAGGGACCCCACTTTCTCTGCTCGAAGTCATGCCAGTAAAGAATCATCATCACCAGCACTAGGAACAGCCTCCCCTCAGATGCCAGGGGCAGCACCGCAGTCTTGGCTGGAAGAAGTCAATTCCTTCTTGGATTTCGACCTCGAGGTCCGCGACGGGGGCAACGCGCCGCAGGACGCGCGATTGGATGATGCAACCAAAAGCAACAGCAAAGGAGCCGGAGTAGAAAAATCTTCTTCGCCTAGTAGCACGAGGTACAACAGGCAGGTTCTACTTCAAGGACATTCCGCTAGTGGCTCATCTGTCACAACCATCACACACGACCACCAGCTCCGCTACACCCGAATCCTAGTGAACGCCGCCAGAGCAGCCCTGTTGACAGCGGGCGATGATAAAGTGAGGCTGCGCCTACAAGAAGCAGCAAAGCAGCAGCATCTACAAGGCCTACAGCAGAGCAGGGCATCAATTTGGACGTCGAGCTCCCGCTCTACTTTCGCACAGCTTTGCACCTGTTTTAGGCTACTCGACCAGGTTCTGCCCGGGCGAGGAGAGTCCTGTGACGAAGATTCTGCCTTGTTCAGCAGGGATGCTGATCGTCTTGCGCCTGTGCGTGAAGAGAATGCAGCGTGGTCGAGGAGTGGAGGGCTTATGCTGGCAACGCCGGGGAGAAAAGGAAGAGGAACATCTTCAAGACCTCCTCTACCAGTGGTTAATACCAAGCAGATCACAGCAGCACTGGAACGCGGAATAGTCGCGTGTTTGAGCAAGTTGATCTGTGAAACGGTTCGGGTCTCGGCAAATGTTGTTGCATCTTCTACTCCAGGTCCAGTATCACTACACAGCAGCTCTGTAGGCAAAGGAAGTTCATCTTTTGCCGATGAAGCAGGAGCTTCTGACACAACCAAAAGTGGTGCAACAATTTCGTTTATTGACTGGGACGCGATTTGCAACTCGGCTAATTTTTCTCTTGCCGCTTACCAATCGAAGCTACGGAGGGCACGGCGCTTCCTGAACCGGTACGCCGTTGTTTTTCTTCCGGAAAAAGCAGATCGGGATGTTGCGAAGTATGAACCGGAACAGGCGCACTTGTTCTTTCCCACGATACTTAGGGAAGAGCAGATGACTTCCGCGAATCCGATTCGCTTGCGGACTCCTTTTTTCTCGGGGGAAACTTTGGGACGTGCAGCAGCTGCAGCAGTAAGATTTCGTCAAAACCACGGCAAGCAGCAGAAGCTTCTTCGCTGGAGGGCCGTGGCGTACAATGGCCGTTTCTTGAACCAACACAGTAGATTTTCCCACACCGAAGTTGCAGATACTGTGAGCCAGAGCCCTCGCCCAAGAACAGCAGGCTCGCGTATTGTTGCAGCTGAGGAAAAAAGCAACGCCTTCACCAAGAAAATCGACGCAGCGAAAGAGGAACACAGGAGACTGGAACGCGAATTGCGCACAAAGCAAAGCGAAGTAGACCGAGAAGCCGAGAAGAAGAAGCGACGGGAAATGCTGCAGTCGGAAGTGGCTGCGAAAGCGGGCCAGAAGCGGAAGGAAGCCATGTACCGAAAATTGGAGTCGTTTCTTGCGTCGCCTGTAGACGAGGAAACAGAAGGAACTGTCGGTGCAGAGGAGGGAAATAAACTGTCAGGGAAGAACAAGAAAAGCAGCCGCTTCCTGTTTTATCCAGAAACGCGCAACATCGTCGACATCGCGCCCGAAAAAAATGGCATCGAGCTGGAAGAGGACATTCAAGGCGACGATGAAGTAGAAGATAGTGTCATCTTTATCGAGGAGCAGGAGGTCGACACGATTGAAAAAAAACAAGCTGCTTCATCTTCACCGAGCGGCAACAAAGGCGAGAACAAGTACCCCTACCCGGCCTCAATTCCGGCATCTCCCACGAAGAAAATCGGGTTTGAAAAAACTACCGGCTCAGACTCCTTCACTCTGCGTCGCCATACCTCCTACCCGCTCGGAGATCTGTTCTTGCAAGCACCCGGGATCTTCTTGAAATCGAGCGATGGGGCTCTCGACCAAGAAGATCCTCCAGCCGCAGCTGGTGATGTTCTCGATGATGTATTCGACTTGCGATTTCTTGAGGTAAAGGAGGAGGCTAGCAAGCAGCTTGGATCGCGGCTTCATGCGCCATCTACTAGAAGCCCTGCGACTGTAAAAGGCGGACACGACGGAGAGAAGAAGAACGCACACGCGCCAGGGCAGCCGATTTCAGAAAGCGAGAAAGAGGCCGTCTGTGCCGCGATGCTGTTCGTCTTAAAGCTGCTTTCCCGAGACCAAGGGTTGCTACGAGTCGAGGCGGTGTTTAGGGGTTTGGAAGACAGAGATCAACCGAAAGAGGACAAGGAGGCGACAACAGGGCGCGGGGGAGGAAGTTCTTCTGGCGCTTCCCCTGCCGGAGGCGAGGCGCACGACTCGCACCGGCGGAGGGCCACTGACTATTCGCAGCTCGCCGACTTCTTGTTTCCCTGGGCCGCGAACCGAGTTGCACCAGAGGACCACGGGCTATTGCTGTTGTTGGCCGTGCAAAAAAGTTTGGCGAGTGCACATGCAACAGGTGGTCGTGCTGTCATTGACGAAGATGACACAGAAACAAGTAGAAGGAGCAAGAAGAAGTGTGCGGTTTCCAAGAAATTTCGACGTGGTGATCACGAGCTTCCGCAGCGATCGCCGTTGTTTCAACATCACAAAAACCTCCAAAGCTTTACCTTTAACCGAGAGGGGGAACACGCGACCAGCAGTCCAGAGGGAGCGCAGCCGCAGAAGAAAACCGCGACAGCGTCGAGATCAACTACGACGCATGATGTTATAGGCCCCGCCTCCGTCCACGCAAAAATGTTGGAGCAGCGCTTGGCCGCTCTTACCGATCCGAAGCTGATAGGCGCCACTAGCAATATCGATTTGCTCTCCCTGGGTAACAACGTTTTCGGTACACGGAAGAGCCTGCAGAAGAGCGCGCTGTTTTTCAATAACAACATCTACAACAACGTTACGACATTCCCGACCTCGAATACCTCCCTCCACGGTCTTGGCTCCTTGACCGGGCTGACCAAAATGCAGCGACAATTAGGTGGATCGCTGAAGCGGGCAATCGGAATGAGTGGCAGGATGGAAAAATTTGAATTGGAGACGCGGAAGAGCAGGAGCAGCCCAATCAGGAATTTCTTACCACCTCGCAAAACAGCCGGCGCTGGCTTTCTTGACGTTGAAGACGAAAGCGATGATGCGCCCACTCGAAATCTAGACGACGAAGATGAAGACATCATTGAGCAAGCACTGCAACTGGAGGTTGACGCACCCCCTGCTCCAGACCGATCAAAACCTGACGCGCGGCCTGCGTCTACGTCTCAATTATCCAGCACAACAAGTAGCCGCAGTATCTCCTCGCTCTTCCGATCTAACATTATGAACGCCGTCTTCGCCGAGCCGCTCTATGACCACAGGTCCAACCCGGACTCGGACACGAGGCCCTCGTACGACTACAAGAAGGACGTGCTGCAGCTCTACAACCAGGCGAGGTTGAACCAAGAGCACAAACTGCTGGTCGAACAGTCCGAGTCGTTTGAGACCCTCAGCTATCAAATGTAAAAATGTCTGGGTCTGGAAGGATACAACTTGTGATGCTACTTTTGGAATCCACATAAAAACTGTATTGCATGAACAGCAAAAGAGGTGCAATTTGTGCTACGCGGAGAGGGCATTTCTCACGCAGTATGAGCATCAGAAAGCCCTCGCAAAATCTCTGATGCTAGGGCATGCATCACCGACCTCATGGGTCACGCAAAATCTGCATCAAAAACTCCTGCATTCTTCCAGACCAAGACACTTTTGCAATCCATATCAGCCGTCGGTTTCGGAAGCGGCTGACTGCAATTGGGTTGCAGGCGAAAGTATCCAGGAAAAAACACCCATCCGCATCCAATTTGTCATGCAAAGCATTAACATACATCAGATCAAATCCTGTGTTTGTCATGCAAAAAATGGATGTGGATGGGTTAGGGTTTTTTTCTGTTGATAGAAAGACGGCCCGTCCGCTTTGATTCTACCCGAAAGCTTCCGGGATCCGAGGGAGATTGTGGGAATAAAAGGTGAACAATTCGAAGGGGGATCAGGAAAACAAGGACAGGTGAAACTACACCACGCCGCCACTGCCTCTTCATCTCCACACAGGGGCCAGGCCTTCCCGCGTAGAAAAATTACGGCTGAGTATTTGCGACAGCAATTTCTTTTGAACCACTGCTTCGGCGGAAAAAAGGAGCGGCTCGGGAAGTTTTTATCCGGAGACCCCTCGGAAATTAGTTCTTTGGCAGATGATGACCGTGGTGGGCGTGGTCAAAGTGGGGCTCGACCACAAGGGGGTGGTGCAACTACTACGGGTTCGTTTTCAACAACAGACGCGATGGAGCAGAATGCGAAGAGTGAGCAATTTTACCTATCGCTGTACAAAAAGTACTCAGCTTTACGGGGGGCAGACGATTTCTTTAAGAAATCGACCGGTAAAGGTGTTGTAGCAGCTGATGATGTGAATGGCACCAGCACCACGTCGGCAAAAATCGAAGCAGACAAGCTATCGAGAGGCGGGGACGTCGAGGTGGCGAAAGAGGTGGCAGATTTCCGGCAAAAGCGGGCGGACACTGATTTCAAGAAGACGGTGGCCAAACTCGAGGCGGAGAATGTGGGGCAGGAAAATAAGAATGTGAAGGAGATCGAGGAGGAATTGCTGAAGATGCTGCGGGAACAGAAGGTGTGATCTCTTGCACATCGTCGACGTGCCGGCGCCAGCGGCCGCGAGTTATGCCCTGCGCCAGCTACAGCTCTTTCCAAGAACTTTCACTGCAGTTGGCTTGTTGAAAAATGAACTTTGATGCGCTCATTTTTGGTTCTCACGTTGGCGCCGAAAACTTTTTGCTGAGCTTCATTTCAAATGAGGAAAAATCAAAATGGTTTTCGATCTTTGTGGTCACGAGGTGAGTCTCTATTGGAAAGGAGAAATAAAGGACAAGCGAGCGCTGTGGTTTAGCTGCTGGCTATGAGCAGTATTTTTCTCGAAAATCACGACTATCACAAGAAGCTAATTCTGTTTCATATTCATTTGTCTCTTGATTAAATCGGTCAGGGCGGTCTTGCTCTTGCTACTACTGGATGAATAGAGCATGTTTCAGAAAGAAGATATCCATCGCTTCTGATAGAACAAAGTTGGAAGAGAGATCCAAATTTCAATTTCCGAGATAAGGATCATACATGACGCAAGCGATCTCGTTCCTATCGCTACCAGTCGGCTTGATAAAAGGTAAAGGCTCGATGTCACGGTCAGACCGCCGTCTGTTATCGGTTCTCTCTGCCTGGCGCTCCTTCTAAAAAGTTCCATCCATGCTCCTGCAATGCAATGCAAATCGTGCTGATGACGTTCACATTGTTGCTAGAAGATCCAGCGATGAAGATCATGGAAATCGAAATCGTGTTGTTGCTAGAGCCACAAGTAGAGGCGACATGAAGATAGATCCGAGATGATCACAACTGTGGTGACCACAGACATCTTACTTGTTACCTTGAATGATGAAGGTGCCTGCAAATAGTGAGGATAAAGCAACTTCAACGTCTTGTTGCAAGAGCTCAAGCATTCTCTTCGTTCTTCAAATTTTGTCTATTTTTTAGCCTTGAATATCGTCATCCTCGATTCTGTATAGTCAAGAACGTCATCACTTTCAAAATTTGTTGCAATTCATTGTATTGGTTTTGGTGGCGCAGCATGCGCAAACAAAATAAGTACTCACTTTATTTCTTTACGAACTTCAACTTACTAGTACAACCACAACGCCAACTTTACTTACATTTTTCTTGCAAACCTGGTGCCCAGTGTTGCAATACGAACAAGCAAAATGCCGGCAGTAGTAGACAAGAACACAGGCAGCCGAGGCAACTGCTTCCTCGCAGTTCCCTTCCGACAGCTGATTTTCGCTTCGTTGACGACAGCCGCGGTCTATCTGGGACCTCTTGTGTTGGTGGTCGAGGGCAGCCTGCTCGACTACAAGGAACGGGCTCCGTCGCTGCCGCCTGGCGGCTGGGTTGCGAGAATCCTAAATCACAGGGATAGCGTCACGATGAAGAATCTCTACTCGCCGCTGTCCCGCCGGATGCTTGCGTGGGAAGAACTAGACCCCGAGGTTTCCATCGCAGAACACAACTTTTCCGGGTACTACGGCCAGGCGATTAACGATCCGGACTTCAAAATCAAGCAAGGACTACAGCCATACTTGGTAAGACACAGGAGCAAAGACGACGAGCACACGGTGCTGGATGTTGATCAACATGAGACAGCTCGTGCAAGTGGAAAAAATGACGGAGCCGACTCGACGACATCCAACTCGAGGAGAACGAGAAGCGAAAATCCGTTTGGAGAACGAGCACGACGCGGTTCACTACAACAGAGATCCTTGTCTAGGAGCGAACTTTTTTTACAGCCACTCGGGTTGAAGCTGCATCAAATGGCGCTCGCGGTCCAGAACAGTTGCCGGGGTCAAATACGTAGGCTGGCGCACACTTCTCGGATGAAGCAGGGCCAACATCAACATGATTTTTCCACGACGACTTCCACGGACCGCTTGGAGACGGCGTTTCGGAAAACCGGGCTTTTCCTTGCGGAGTTTGAGGCCTTCTTCGTGCGTCCGATTCGCAGCTCGTTTATTTCGAAAATCTGCGATGTTGAAAGCACAACGCTGACCACGTCCAAGCATACTTCGTTTTTTGCCTTCTACAGCGAAGTCATCCAGAGCATTTTTGTCCCGAACCTGCTGCTGGAGACGGAAATTCAAAATTTGCAAGCGGCGATAGTGGAAGAATTGAGCGCGTCCATGGCACCTCCAGCAACGGGACTTACTGTTGGCGAGGACGAGCAGGGCCTTCGCCAAGCATCGCGTCGGGGCCCTCGAGTTATCGGCTTGCAGTTGGATGATTTTAGTCGTAGTCCGATGCTGTCCTCGTCTTCTTTATCCGGTGCTGCAACCTCGTCCCCGCTTGAAGATGAAACTGACCGGGCGACAGACTTTTGGAAGCGAGCCGCTTCTGTGGTGAGTGCGCAAGCGGAAAAGTATCGGTGCAACAGCGTTTTTCTCATATTCAACAACCACCTGGGCTCTGCAGTTGAATCGAGACTAAAAGAGCGTCTGATCCGCGAAATTGCAACTCTCGCTGGAAGTGTGCCCCCTCTTCAAATTCTAACCGCGAGTGAGGTACTCGCGTCGAGGCCGAAGATCTCAACAGCGTCATTGTTGCCCGACACGCAGCAGCTTCAGTCGCGCAAGCTCGCCGAGGTTTTCTGGCTTGCTCGATACTCCGAGGTGGTAGTCACGCAGTTGGGAGGTCGTGGGAGCGAGAGTTATCATGCGGAAACTCACCATCGAACATCAACATCTTCAGCTGCCTCCTTCTCTGATAGCGATCTGTCCCGGTTCACGATTGAGTTACGGGGCCTGGAAATTTCCCCGACTGGATCTGCAGCTCCGTTTCCCTACTACGACCTCGACGTCGCGCATCCCTACCCCGGCATTCGGCACAACGATTGGCCCGCGCTGGCCGCGGGAGGAGGTCGGAGTCGGAGCGCCAGTGCGGGTAGAAGTCTCCGAAAAGCGGGCGGAGTGGATGACCTCTTTGTCAAAAAATCGACGAAGCACAAACGCACACGCAGCCTCTCGTCGCAAAAGAGAAGCCGCAGCAGCAGAAGCACATCCAGATCCAGGAACAGCGGGCGCGGACCATGGTGGCGGAGCAATACGAAAAGCAAAAGCGCCAACAGAGTGTTTCGGATCGAGGAATCCAGTTCGCCACGAAGTGCTGGGGAACAATTTGGAACGCACCCCCCCGCCCTCCGTCGGCAGCTTTGCGAACGATCCTCCTTGACGTCGGCCGAAGATAAATACGAGAAGTTGACACGGCTTCCCGCCTGCCGGCCCCCCGCCGAGGAGCACGCATGGCTCGCCGCGCGTATGCGCAAGCACGAGGACGCCTGCGCAGAAGCGGCTGTTGTGGCGCCTTCCGCTGCTGGTGAACAAGGAGATCAGATTGATGATGGTGACTTCTACATGCCCGACAGCGCTTGGGAGCCGGTCGGTCCGTTTGGCTTTACCTGGTGGCACGGAATCTGTCCGCGAGAAAAGCCCACCCCCACCACTGCAGACGTCATGTCCGCGATGAAAGCTTTGCAACAAGTTCCGGCCGCGGCAGTAAAGCGGAGTATCGAGAACTCTTCCAATGAAGAAGCTGCACTCTCTGCGGCCTTGGGGCCGCTGGACGAAGAGAAGATGAATAACCCGTCAACATCAAGAACATTACCAGCAGAAGATCAGGCTGGGAAGCGAAGTTTTCTGTGGTTCGCGATCCGTGTGTTCGCAGATAAGGGCTGGCATAGCATCATCAACGAAATCCGGGCCTACCGCCTCGGCGAGATGGTGGAAACCACGATGCGTATGGAGAGTTGGGGCGCGGAAGCGTACTATCGCCAGGCCTACCCGACCAGCATCGCCGCGTGTATTCTACGGAACAGTCAGAAAGTATGGCGCGACTACAGAACAGCGCTAAACTGCGCACTCTGGCACGGGATCCGCCGGGCCCTTGTGGGGGGAGGTTGGGTTGTTGACCGCGTCGCGGTGTCGACTAGCACGGGTTTTGTCGCTCCAAACGATCTGCGAGATGATGAACTTGCAGCTCAAGGTGTTTACGTCTCTGATGATGGTACAGCTACAACCGATGACCTCCACAGCCCCGTCTGGCGCTCCCAGCTGTGCGTTGCGAAACGCATGTTGCGCGAGCGCAAGGAACTCTTGCGATTCACCGGTCAGGGCATCGTGGTTGCGCACGTGCGCTCCGGCGACGTATTGGATGATGAACGAGCAAAAGTGTCCGAGTTCTGGAAAACATGGACGCCGTATTTGTCCTCGGAACCCGGCTACCGGCCGTATTACGTGCCGCCACGGGATGCCTGGGAGGCCCTGGACTATGCGCAGCTTAAGAGCTCCGCCGACAAGCTGCTGATTGTGTCGAACCCGAATCACCGGCGCTCGTGGATGATGAAGCCCGGCGTCGCCGGAGGCGCAACTGTACAGGATGCAGATTCCCTCAAGACGGCAGAAGAGGTCGCAGCATATCGGGAGGCGAGCCGGAAGAACCCGAAAAGCATGCACTATTTGAAGTTGGTGCGGGAACTGTTGGAGCGGAAATTGCCGAGCGTGCGCTATGTAGCGCCGCTGTTTGCCGACGCGGTAGAAGAGCAGTCTGAAATTACAGGTAGACCGAGCCACACCAGGGATCCTGCTGGTGCTGCTGGGGTCGCAGCCACACTACACTCGACTCACGGCGCGGCTTCCACCTGTGCAAATTCATCCACGTCAAACCAGCAGGAGCTGCATGAAGCAGGCGCCGCACCGCGCGCATTTTTACCGCGTCATCCCGAAAGTGGTGCAGCGGTTATATCAGAAGAGCACCGGTTGTTCCCGCTGGAGGAGCAGAAAGAGCACCGCCAGTACCTCCATCGCCAGGACCTGCAACAGCGTTCGGCCGACAACGATCTCTACAATATGGTGGTCGGGGCCACGGGCTTTGTCGCCGGCGGTCAGTCGCAGTTCAGCACCTTAGCGCAGACACTGGCCCGGTGCCTGGAAGAGCCCACTGGCCCTGGAGGAGCGGAACCCGCGTGCGCTGGTGGCATGGGATTCTGGCAGGCGGCAGAAAAACAAACGAGAAGCGATGACCAACTTGCGGGAGATGATGACTCGGGTCCTTCTCCGGAAAAAGCACCGGTGGATGAAGAAAAAAACACCAATCCGCTTGTGGTATTGAGAACACGAAAGAACGATCGCTAGTCACTTCATCGCGCATTTCTGATATCCACTGAGTTTTTTGTGTACGACTCACATTCAATCATTTGTTTTTCCCTGCTAATTCGATGAAGTAAATGAGCGACACGCTCATATGCATTGATAGAGATACATTCCCAAATAAAATCGCAGGCAGCTAACTCACAAAATTCGAAAAAGATAAGATACACTCCCAGGAAGGAACTGAGTATGAGTAGCAGTTTCTATGTAGTTCAAGTTCTGGAAGCAAGCAGGACTGGATTTTTGAAGACCACTCAGTAGTAGACGTTATACCACCCAGCGATTGATGAGCAATTCTAATTCAGTAAGTAGAGAGGTTCAAGCTATATAAAGAGGCACAACTGCAAGCGCATGGACAAGCCGTCTATATGTTGTTTTCTTTTGGACGAACACGTGTGTAACAGTTTTGAGACTGAGGAGGTCGCGTACAGCTGCATGGCGCTCCTGAAGATAGATGAGGAAGTTGTTGCAGGCCCATGTGGTCTTTCAGCAAGCATATCTCGCTGCTTTTGATTCAATAAGAAGCAATTTGTGTGCTTGCGGATCGATAGCGGTGTTTGTGCTGAAGAAGACTGTGACTACATCGACAGGAACGAAGGGATCATGATCAAGATGTGCAGCATGCATGGCAGTAGGCTTGTGCTACTGCTTGGTCTTCAGGTTCAGGATCACAAATGATGAAGCGAAGAAAATAAGAGGGGGCTGGATCATATTCTTTGCAGGATCTGAAGAAATATGAAAGAGAGCTCGGGTTCACTGCCGCTCTATGGTCCGTTTGTGAAAATAAATTCGAAAATGATGGTGATCGCCTAGTTCCGGATAGAAAATGTTCTCCCTTGAAATGAAATTCCGAAGCCCTGCCTATAAAAACGCTCGTAGAGCAGACGAGAGGTCCAAAACTACTAAGACACAAAAAAATTTAAATGGAGGGGGATACTGCACCTGCTCAAGGTTTCTAACGACATTTCTTGCCTTGCTCGATCAATCGTTCACGACGAGTAAACGTAGAATTGCTAGTCCTAAATGCATAGCTAGCTTCGTTCTGATTGTTCTCTTTCTCCCTTCACCCAGCACCAGGTGACGTTGTTTATCTTCGGTGAGTAGCACTAGCATGAAGGATCAGAAACATACTTGACAGCACCTGCTGAATTTTCTGTAACGCTAAAGGTCGACAAAAAGTCCACCTACAACTAGGAGGAAGACTACGCTACTACATCTATAGCATCAAAGAAACAAGATGTTAGTCCAGCGCTTTGTCCCCAAGAAGAAGCCGGCGACACGCACGGAAAGCCAGTCTGCAGGTCCTGCGAATACCACCGCTGCAGCTGCAGCAGCTGTAGCCCCGCCTACAACCTCCACCGCGACAACATCCACGAGCGGTGGCAATTCCGGGTCAGGAGCCGCTGGTGCAAACAAGAAAAACGTCGCAAAGAAGGATAAGACCACACAAGGAGAAACAAACGTGGACAGGACAAGTGCAGCTGGCGGTGGCGGTGGAGCAGGCGTTTGTTCAACTACATCTACATCCGGCTCTGTGTTCCACGGCGTGGAGTTTTCCCGGACGAACAAGCGAAACTTCCAGCGCAAGCGGAAGGCGGTGGCTGAAAAGCAGCAGGGGGAGGAGGCCAAGAAGCGGATTCTGGCGGTCCAGAAGAAAAATGAGTGGAAAATCAAAGAATCTGCCGAAGAGAAACAGAGGCGAAAGCGGGAGGCGAAGTTGCTGAAGAAGAAAAAGAAGGAGGAGGAAGCGAATGCGAACGTTGTCGAAGTGGAAAAGCACGTCGCTCCAGAAGTTTTGAAGCAGGGCCAAGTTCAACCAGATCACCATGAAGATGAAGGAGGTGCCGCTGTTGAAGAAGGAGAAAACGCTGATGGCACTCTGGCAGCCGCGGGTGGAAAGAAGTTGACCAAAAATCAGAAGAAGAATTTGCGCAAAAAGAACTTGAAGAAGCAAGCACAAGGAGCTGGTGAGGATCAAGATACGGCGACCGCGGCGGGGGAAGATGTAGCCGTAGAAGATCATGCGGATCACGCAGCGGAGGCAGGAACACGCACCGTTGCTGCAGTGAACATCAGCGACAAAGAGTGCGCGACACCGGTGACATCCAAGCGTGAGCCGCACCACAACGCGGGAGTAGGAGAAGAGAAGGCAGATGATCATGAGCAGCACGATGCTGCGGTAGAACCTCCTACGAAGCGGCAGAAAAAAGCGAAAGGAGAAAAGGATGCGAATGACGGTGAGAGCAACAACGTGGCGAATGCAACGGATGGAACTGTCAAGCAGGAAGAAGAGGACGACGATGTTGTGATGGAAGACGCAGAAGAACAAGGCCAAAACCAGCAAGCAGCTGCCTTCGACGCAGCCGATGCTCAAGCCGCGCTTTCCCTGGAAGCCCTGCGCGCGGCTTTGCAGCCCGGGGGTGCGCAAGCCGCAATGGAGTTACAGGCTGCAAAGGCGAAGAATGCGGAGCAAATCCGGAACAACCTGCAGGCGGCGAAAAAGAAAATCGAAAAAGCCATCGATTTCACGAAGCGCTACAAAGTCGTTTTGGATCATGACGAAGATGATGACGCGTTCTTGCTGAACGGACCTGCTGGGGCGGAGCATGTCGCAAATACTAAATCCTCTGGTGTCGTGGTTACGCAGGCCAATGGCACTACGAAGGTTGTTTCGTCCTCTAACTTGGACGCCTATCTTCTGGAGCAAGAAGAAGGAAGTCCGGGTCTTGAAGATGCACAAGAACAGCGAGTGCGAGAGTCGAACGTGCGCAAGACGTCTACCAAGCGTCATCAAAATCGACATCAAACTCCCCTCGACCGTAACCTCGTCCTCTTGCTAAAACAGAATTTGCACCTGACGCACTTTTTCCCGATCCAAGCGCAAACGCTCCCCTTTTTCCTTAACAACCCGGACTGCGACGTGCTCATCGGCGCGCCGACCGGACGGGGGAAAACTCTCGCCTACTTGCTCCCGATGCTGAACTTTCTCAAGGTGGATCGCGTCCCCCACATCAGTTCCATCGTCGTTGTACCCACGAGGGAGTTGGTCCAACAGGTCGTTGAGGTGGTGGAAAGCGTGTACAATTTTTGCCCAGGCCAAAGTACAACAACCGCGGAAATTCATCAAAACGAAAACAGCACAAAGCTACATCAAGACAGAAACCCCCTCCTCGACAACCCCGCACGGGTCCTGGGCTTAGCCGGGAACGGCGGCGAGTGGAGCACGTTTCAGAAAGAAACCCGGCAACTTGCGGGCGTAGAGGTCGTGTTCGAGCAAACGCCAACTAATGTCGTGAACGGGCACCGTTTCCCACGACCTATTCCCCAAAGCACGAAAATGCCCGACATCGTGGTGACCACCATCGGGAAGTTCGTGGACCATTTTTACCGCGGGATTTTGGGCAATCGCGGGGTGATTTCCAACCTCCAGTTTCTCGTGCTCGACGAGGCCGACCGACTGCTGTCCGACACCAACACGAGTAACAAGTGGCTGGAGGTCGTGGCGAAAATCGACTTGCTGAAGCAGCCCTGGCAAAAGCGGCGGTCGTTCGTCCCTCCGCTGAACGAGTTTGAGTTGAACACAGTGAAACTCGGGTTTCGAGTGGAGGAGGAGGAGGACGAGGAGGTGACGAAAGGTGATATTATCGCACCGACAGCGTCCACGTGTTCAGCTACAGCCAAAGCTGCCTCTGGCTCTGGCTCTGGCACAACCACGACACCAAGAACACTCGACTTTTTCGACAATGTCTGCCCGGAAATTCTGGGGCCAAACGCGGACCTCGCGGTCGCAAAAGCGAAATTTTCCCGCTGTGAGGAGGAGGATGATAATCGGTCTTCTTGTTTCGACACCAAAACCAGCAACCTGGGTCCACCCAGGCTGCGGAAAATCCTGGCGTCCGCGACGCTGACGAAAAACCCGCGGAAACTGGCGCAACTGAACCTCCAGCAGCCGTTTTTCTTCGTCTCCACGGAATCTGGGCAGTACGCGCTGCCGGAGAACTTGCAGCAAGAATCGGTGTTCACGCGGGACCGACCGCGGGCGATGCTGTCCTGGCTGTTGAGCGAGCTCTTCAGGATGCACAGTGGAGCTGCACCAGGTGCAAAAGTAGAGGCGGGCTCTACGTGTCTCTCCGTCCTGATTTTCTGCGGGAACGTCGAGGAAACACACAAGCTGTGTCGATTTCTGCAGCTTTTTTTCGAACTGATGAAGCAGAGCGGAGAATTCTTTTTCGCTCAAGAAGCGGGGGGAACAAAGCAAAATCCAAACCAAAAATCCGAACTGAAGAATAAGCTGCAGGAGATTTTCAGCACTGAGAAAAGCAATATCGACATCACAGAGTTTTCCTCCTCATTGTCGCAACCGGAGCGCGAACGCTTGGTGCGGGACTTTTCATCTTCATCCACCTCCGCGACAGTGGTACCATCAACATCTTCCTCGTCGCAAACGAAGAAGCAGTTGAAAATCATGGTTTGCTCCGACGCGGCCGCCCGTGGGTTGGACTTGCCGCAGGTCGACGTCGTGGTGAACTTCGATGTCCCGGCGTATTTGAAAACGTACATCCACCGGGTCGGTAGGACGGCTCGAGGAACGGCGGGGACTGCATCATGCAGTAGAAGTAATCGGGCGGTGTCCATTGTGACCTTGAAGACTTTGAAGAAGTTGAAGCTGTTGCTCCGTAACACGGAAAAGGGCTGGAAGGCGGTGCGGTACGACAACAGCACAACGAAGAAGGAGTTGACGTTCTTCAAGAATACGGACTTTGTGGGAAAGAAGATGGGGACTAGCGCAGTTTCGGAAAAAAATACCGATGAAGACCACCAGCACCGAGGAGAGACCGCGATGGACGAAGATCTCGCGGAAAATGGTCAGAAAGTCACCAACAAGATGAACTCAACCAAGCCTACTAGTGCTGACGCAGAGGAAGACGGCACTTCGTCATCAGCGGAGGAGTCTGGTTCGGATTCTAGTACAGAATCCGACTCGGATGGTGAGGAGCATGATGCGAACAAAGGGCGGAAGAAAAAGAAGGAAGCTCTTGCAGAGAAGAACAAGAAAAGCGCGGCCATCGGCGAATCTTCAGGGAAGGAAACACAGAAACAAAGTGTGAAGAACGGGGACGGACACAACAGTGTGGAAAGCGAAACCGAAATCGAAAAGCTGATCAAGGAAGACAACAGTATTCTCCGTGCGTGCCTCTTCAAATGCAAAGATTCCCTGCCGCAGGTCTTGGCTTGGGAACAGGACCAGAAGACGGGCGGTAGTAAGACTTCTGTCGTGAAGATGAAGAAGCAGATACTACCTCCTGGCATGAACAGCGACAAGGACAAAAGCACACTTGCGTCTGCAGACAAAGTAGATGAAGCAGAGCTCGCCAACACCTCTTCGAAGACCAAGAAAAAGAAAAAGAACAAAAAAACGGTCGATGATGATGTTGCGGATGACTTTGTGAAGCAGCTGACACCGGGGGAAACGCTGAAGTCTTTTTTTGAAAAAGCACCTGGTATGCTGAACAGTTTGACTGTCTGAGGCTTCTAGTGGTGTTGAAAGATTCATTTCATCCTCTTTTTTACTAGAAGGACCTACAGCCGCACGAAGTAGAGCCTACATGCGCAACATAAGCACATGCACTTGCACACTGCGATGTGACACAAACAACGAAAGCAAGATGAAGCAAAAGCAGAACTGCTCGTGAAGAGGGATTCGCTCCTGCGTGCTAAGAAATTGCCTCCAGATGTTCCGCTTCCGTCTCCCAATGAAGGAGTTCCTGCTACATGATTTCTTTTCCAATAAGAACGGGGTCACAAAATGTCCGACTAAGTCCTCGGGGGACCTGCGAACCACCCAGCTGGGTGGGCCTTAGGTCCCCTGTCCCAATATAGAATTAAGTTACGAATCCGCCACAGCTCGCGTCCGCCCGTTCCAGTTTTCTCGCCGTTCTTTTTCGTGGGTGTCAATCTGTGACACAGTAGCTTATGTATTATTGTATTTGCGCACTGCACTTATCCAAGAAAAAACACTTGTGCACTGCACTGATCCAAGAAAAAAGCTTTGCTGTGGGTTAAATCTGTGATGCAGAAAATGCAAAGCCGTTTTTACGCAAAAGGGACCTGTGATGCGGAAAATGCAAAAGTGTTTCTGCAGTTTCCTGTGAAACAGTTTTGCATTTTCTGCATCACAGATTTACAAGCTCTTTTCTTGGATAAATAGCGACAAATGGAGGCACAAGTACAACAGTGCAAAACTCTAATACAAATACAGATTTACACCCACAAAAACGAACGGCGAGAAAACAATATGGGCGGACGCGAGCTGTGGCGGAGTCATAGATAACTTAATTATTGGGACAGGGGACCTAAGGCCCACCCGGCTGGGTGGGTCGCAGGTCCCCCGAGGACTTAGTCGGACATTTTGTGACCCCGTTCTAATGATTCTACATTCATAGTCGAGCGTCGCCGCACGCCTCGACTTTAGACCTGACCTGGGCGAGGTGGCTGGCAGTTGCACTGGTCTCCACAAAGAAAAATGAAAGAAAACTTTCACGAATGTAACGGCTTCGTGTGAGCAACAAGAACAGGCCTGGTCGTGGTGTCAGTCGTCGAGAGCTAGAATCCATCTCCAATTCTTCCTGTCTGGGTTTGGTTTACTTATTTTGAACTTGAAGTTTTTAGTGTGCAATTGGTTTTCCTTCCCTTAATTTTTGCTTTTGGTTCAATCCATCCGCATATATCTGTTTCTACCCCGACCAGGTCGTATGGTTTTCATGAGTTAGAGTTTATTCAGAGAGTTACGACTACGAGACGTACAGACATGCTACTACATGAGGTGGCGGACGAGCTGCAGCTGCACGAGGTCGCGCAGCTTAGTACTGTCTTTTTCTTTTGTTTAAGACCAACAAGTAGCACATTTCCTTTTCTATCTCCTAGCCGTAGAAGCCTCTACGCCATTGAATTAACCACGCTCCCGCATGATCCGCAATCGCTGTCAAAATGGATTCATCCTCATTTCGGCCGCTCCAACCGCAGCGGTCGATGCAGACAGGAGGCCCGGACGCAGAACATCAAGCAGCAAGCAGCTCCTCGTCCTCCGTCAAGAAGCGCCCCAGGCCACCAGATCCTCGATTTCCTTCATCGACAGTTCACGGGAGCAACCTCGTGCAAGCTGGCCACGACGGTCTGTACGACGGAAGATTCCTTTTGCCGCCGGATGTGGAGGCGGCGGGGGCCACGGTTCTCCTACAGCATCCCGCAAACGCCACACCAGCGCAGCAACAGAGGGGACTGTACGGTCTTGAGCGAGCTGCAGCAGCTGCACCGCATCATCAACAGCAGTTCCTGGTAAGAACAAGTAACCCGAATGTACAAGAACCAGGAGCCGCCAGAAACCAAGTTCTCGTGAAAGGGGCTGGTCCACGACCTCCGCGAGGACCTGCTGTCGGACTGGACGACGTCGTCAAAAGGTATTTAGAGAGGACGTCGGGCGGCGTGGCAACATCCTCCTCGTCGTCTTCCTCCTGTTCATCAAAAACTACCTCGGGCAAAAGCAAAACAAATAAGGCTCATGGTTCCGCGCCGGCAGTTATCCACCAGTACGACCAGGAGCAACTCCAGCAGGAAGCGGAGCGACGCACGGTCAGCGTCACGTCGGCAAAATTGCAGAACCTCGCGCGGGAACTGCAGGGCTTTGAGGCGGACTTTGTGGCGCGAAATCTGCGGAGGGAGGAAAGACGACAAAGCAAAAACTCTGATTTTGATGATGGCCGTGCAGTAGTGGATCCTTGTTCTGTAGCTTCCTCTCACTCCAGCTCACCGAGAGGGGACGATGACGAAGATGCAAAAATTCATGTTGAGGAAACGACTGCGAAAGATCGCGCACCAGTTTTTCGAGTTGGAGATGAAAATGATCCAAGCGCGGCTCAGCACGCAGGAGGTCATCAACTACATCGCCTCGAACCACGAAAGGCAAAAAACTACCTCGCGCAGGTGTCCTCGAGACTTCTGGGCGAGCCACAGTACTACGACAGAGACAGGTCGTCTTCAAAAAGCCACGGATCTTCATCACCTACCGGCACTTCTTGTTCCCCTTCTCCTACTTTTAGGCACACAAGACACAGCCGCCCCCGTGGTCAGCCCTTCTGGATGGAGGCTACGTACGAGCAGGAGCTTCGTAAAATGATGGAGGTTCTCGGAGTTGAGGAAGAGGAAAGAGAGAGTGTCGCGGGGGGTCGTGATGACGGACAAACAGAAACAAGCCACGACATTGACATGAAAATAAACGAAGACGGCAAGAACTCAGCAGCTGCAGGGCTGGATGCATGGTCCTCACCGTCACCTTCTACACAACTTGCAAAAGAGCATTGTCGTCCCGAAGAGAGAAATGGTGCCTGCTCGGAGACCAGCGATCCTGACGACCATTTCTACGGTTCTACAAAAATAAAGCCACGATACAGGAACGTACCGGTTCACTGGCCTGCGTCCGTGCGGGAGTGGATTGTGAAAGACTTGAAGGTGCGGCAGAACACAACCATGAAGGTACGAAAAGATCTATTGGACGTGGAAATGGAAACGGATGAAGACGCGGACGAAGGTGTAGACCTTGAGGCCAGCAGTTCCGCATCCGCTAGTAGGACGCGGACCAGAAAGGAAACCACGAAGCCTAAGGCAAAAGCAACCGCGAAAGCAGGAGCTTCAAGAAGCGCGTCTGCCGGGTCGTCCCATGGCAGAAGCAGTAGTGCGGAAAGCAGGACGAGGATGAACACTAGGAGAAAGAACAAAAATGAGAACACAAAGACAAAACCCTTGTCCTCCAAGCACGCCGTGAAGCCGCTCCCCGACAAGCCGCGACAGCAAGCGTTTGACGCGAGATATTTCGACCGGGTTGAGGAAAATTTCAGCCGATTAGACGACCTGCAGCAAGCCTTTTTGGACAAGGAAAAAGAAGAACAGGTGCGGGAGATGGCGTACCGGGAGGACGGACCGTTTCAGGGGATTTGGTGGACTCAGGAAGAGCTGGACAGAAAACTTGCGCTGGAAATGGGAATTGAAATTATTGGGGACGAGAAAGCATATGCACAACGAGAGGGACAATCTTCGACAAGATCCAGTTGCACTGCTTCGCCCCGAAGGCAGATGGCCGGCGCCGCAAACAACCCTGCGCAATCCGTTGGGACGAACAAAGTGCCTTCATTCGCCGCCGTCGCGTCCGCAGGAAATACAAGACCAGGGACTGCTGCTGCTGCTGCTGCTGCTTCTAGACGGGGGCAGCTGGTGCCCGACCACGGGACAGCAAAAGCCAGTAACGCGCTCTCTTCATCTTCCACTGCGTCAGTTGTAAGCAGCGGATCCGCATCCTCTACCTCTCGGTCCGTATCTTCAAGGATCATGAACAAGAAAAAGCACCGCCCGCAGCTCCCGACTGTCACGGAAGAGGACGAGGAGATGTCAGATGTTGCTGTGAAGGAAACAGCAATCTTCGCACCCTCTAGTTCCTCGTCATCGCCCGTATTGACCTCAGCCGGTCCTTCGGGTGCAGGAGCTTCTCGCTCATCATCTTTGCTGTCCTGTCCGCCGCCGTTTGCAGGTGCAGAGGACGAGCAGGTCGTGCTGCAAGAGAAAACCGACCGACCCTCGGTGAAGTTCGCCGATGCAGCTGCACCAGCGACGTTTTCGGTGGTCGGGGACCTTGGAGATGTGGAAAATACGTGCTTGCCTCATGTGGGCGGGCCGGTGTTGCTGAAACAGAATGCAACTACGGAAGAACTGGATACAGGTCAAAGTCGTGGTCTTCGTGCTCCTGCACCTCATCTTGCAATACAGCCAGCGGCGGAAAAATTAGTCTCAGCGGCTCCTTCTTCAAGTTCGTCGCATCCAGTTCCAGTTTCACGTTTCTCAGAAGGTGAAACAACAGCGACAGTAGTTTCTTCGAATAGTTTTCCCGGCAGCAGCTTTTCCTCCTCGTCGTCGTCCATTTCGAAGTTTGAAGATTCACTTGGAATAGTGAACACATCAGAAACGGCTACTTCATCTAGCACAGCCTCACGTCCACCTCCACTGAAAGGCATCCTGAAAAATAATTCCTCGTCATCATCCTCAGCTTTGCCTTTGCAACCCAGCCCCTCCTCGAGCAAGAGCACTAGCAGCAGCAAGAGCTTGAAGTTTGAGCCGCCCCAGCGCGCAGATAAGAAGAACATGCCTGCTTCTCAGCTGATGCAGCTCAAGGAGGCCGCCGCGAGGGGAAGCAGAGGCCAGAAAACACCTCATCGAGGAGAAGGGCTCAGCAGAGGCTCACCACCAGCATCATCATCTGCTCTGCTGCCCGGCAGTACGGGAAGTTTGAGTATAGTAGTACAACAAACTACACGTCGACATATGGAGCAAGATGCTGAAGATGCCAAGATGCGGTTGGAAGAGCAACGCGAACTAGAGCTTGCTAAGGATTTCTGCAGCAGCATTCTGCGGAAAACGCCGCAAGACTGGGGGCTGCAATTGGAGGACGTGTTGTCCACTGCATCTGCTACTTCGCGGCCTGATGACGATGAACAGAATAAAGATTGTGATTCTCTTCTTGACAATCTGGACGCACAACAAGCCGAAGCCCAACATGCTCTAATAAGGGAATTTTGCAAGGCCGCTTTCGCACCAGAGCTCGGGATGACGTCGAGGAGTACAGGGTCGTCGTTTTTAGAAGCTGCTGAGAACGGCAACGACAAGGCCCTTGTGAGTAAAAACAATGGGCCGAGGACGGCGCAAATTGAGCTTATTGAGGACGTTGACGAGGAGGGTGATCAGGATGTTGTTCATGATTCGTCGTCGAAGAAGCCAGCTTCTTCTTCAATTTCATCAAGCAGAGCGGCCGCTGCCTCAGCAAGATCTTCCTCCGGTAATCTGCGAAAACCGTCGTCGACCGCACTGTGGAGTGCGAGAGAGGTTCTTGAGGATCATAACAAGGAACCAGGTACAGAAGTGCACACGACACAACTCTTGCGACCACCATTTTCCCTGAGAACTTTGGATGATTGGAGAATTTCCCGGTCTTGCACGCTCGACAACACGACCACCCTCAACATCCCCGGAGTCAACTGCCCCCCGGTACACGCTGCGGGAGCGCGGCTTCTCCCCGGGCTGGGCCGGGCCTTTTTGCCGCGGCTCTGCAGGGAGTGCCGCTGGAAAGCCGGGCTGGCGAGGTTTGTGAAAACAAACAAGCTTTCCTTTACGTGTGAACCATTTTTGAAGAAAAAACAGCTGTATTCCGCTGCGTTTGCCGCCTTGCGCGAAAGCAAAGCCGCGAGGAACGGTGTTGATTTGACTTGTCCGGAGGCTGCAGCAGCAGCAGGTGGTCACCATGTTTCGCTGGCGCCACCTCCGCACCAGGTGGTGAAAAAGTTGCAGACCTGCGTCAGCTGTGGCAAGGTGGACTACGAACAGGGACTGATTGCGAACTACTACAGTGCCGTACAACGACCGCCGGCTGAAGCTCCTGTATCTGGAATGCAATCAGCCGTGCCTCCCATAGTAGGATCACCACCTGGAGGTGCAACTGCAAGACCAGGAAGAGGATTAGAGCCGCAAGCGGCTTTTTCTGGCCGCCAGTTCATCCAGCCGCAACAGCAGCTCCAGGCCCCACCAGTGCTTGTTCCGCAATATGCAGGACAACTTCCGCCCTCTGGATTGATGCCCTCTGGAGGTGCCTCAATAAGTACTTCTACTTCGCTGAAAAGGCCCCGGGCCCGGACCACGGGGCAAAAATTCGTCGGTTTCGTATCAACATCGTCTTCCTCAAGTGCGCGGCACAATAAACCTCCGGTGGTCCTCGGGGTTCGCCAAAAGAACCAAGCCACGTTGACATCAAAACGCAGCTGCAGCTCCGCCTCGTCTTCTGCTGTACAAGTTGTACCTGCGCGTCCGCCCGACGCAACTACGCACGTTCTCCAGGAGGAGCCCAACAAATACTGGTACGACGCGAGCAACCGGCACATCTACCAAGGTTTTCTCCGGCCCTCGTTCCTCAGTCGTATGGCGCAACTCAACGGCACGGTGTTCATCGATTACAGTAGGAAAATAAACGGCAAAAAGACGGTCGCTCGCCGAGGCCGGGGGTTCGGGCGGCGGCGGCAGCTGCCTTCGCGGAAGAAGCTGCCCAAATTTCTGCATATTTACCACCGCCCGGAGTACCGGGGTATTTGCCACGGCCGCTACTCCTTCGACCCGCACAGCTTTGTGGGGATTTTGGGGGTGGAGGATTTGCAGTTATTGAAAACCTATCCTGTGCAAAAGTATCGTACTCGTATTGCAAACATGCATTACAAATCTTTTTCTTGAGGTAAATCAGCATTACAAATTTTCTCTCTCATGCTGTTGAGGAAATACGTAATGCATTTATACGAGTACGATACAATACTTTTGTAATGCATAAAACCTGTGTCGACCCCGCGCACATTGTCACAACCTCCGATCGGCCCGGGCAAAAGACTTTGGTCGACGACGACGCGGCGGCGAGTCGGGAAAAGCTGGCTGTGTTGCCCAAACCGTCAAAACATGTATCTCCGTTTCCGTATGCAGAGAGAATTCATTATGGATTTACCGTAAAACACGAGCACGACGTAGAAGGAGAAACGGAGTCTTTTTCACACTGTCGCTGTCCCAGAGTCAAGCATGACAAAAATTTTGCTATTCTCCTAGTAGGACAACAATTTTTGTCTCCGGCTCTGAAGGTTGTAGTCAAAATTTCTGAAGACGTATTTTCAATGAGTTGTGCTGCGGTAGATGTAGATTTGTGTTGCATACGCCGATGCACAAACTGAAAGACCAGTGCGAGCACATGCGGTACTACACAGTTTTAAACGAGCCGGGATGTCGTCTGCGCACACCGACGCTGTTCCAGGGCCGGGATTGTGTCACGTTGCAAAAAGAGGCTAAGAGGAAGGCGGAGCTTTCTGGCACAACCATCTCTGGTCTTCGACAGAAGCCTACCCCCGGAGGTCGACGTCCCCCGCCGCGCATTGCAGTTAGTGCGGATGGCGAAGCAACGGTGCTTCCGATCAAAGACGATGAAGATGAGATCACCTTCACAAGAACCGCGTCTATGAAACCCCTAGAAACGGAGAGAACTCGACCCCTACCGCTTCCGCTTCAACAGCTCAACCACAGCCTGCAGCACCACGACTTGGAGCGCGCGAGGATTGTGCAGCAGAAGGAGGAAAAAATGATGGACGAGGGGGGAGCTGCGCAGGCACAGACTCTTCAGCCAATAAATCTTCAACCAGATCCACCACTAGACCGGTCTGCGGTCCAGCTGAAAATGCATCAACTCCTCGACCTGAACCCGGAGATGACGTTTTTTCAAATTTCCGAGCACTTTCGCTTGCACTTTCACGAGTATACCGTGTCCTCGGCGGGTTCCTCGCGTTTATCTGCATCGTCGTCCCGTGCATCAACTGCAGCATCGAGAACTTCTTCCAGAGATGAACATCTTCAGGCTGCGAGCAGATCGGGAAGCTGCAGCAGTAGAGAGAAAATGGAACAAAAAGAAAAACCGCTTAAGAACCTTCCCCTCGCCGCCCTCCAGGTGCTGCAGGAGTGTTTCAACCGGACCTGTGTGCGGTGCGCGAACCAGTTTACCATGCCGAAGAGGTACATCAAAAAGCTGAAGAAGCGGTACTTTCGCCTGGATGAGAAGCTGAACAAGGTCGGGATACAGGCTGTGACCGAGGCGGAAAAGGACTACAATGCGGCAATCAAGATTCTATTTCCGAACTTCACCAGCAACCAAAAGGCCAGCGTGTTGAAGTCCAAGATGCTGAAAGAGCAGGCACTGCTCGCAAAGGGGAAAGGTAAGAAGGGCGGGCAGAACAAGGCGGGAAAAGAAGAAGATTCGCCTGCTGCTGGCGGCGCAACAGCAGCTAGTACCGCGAAACCGAAAGTATCGAAGGTAGGAGCAGCAGCTCCACTCGGAGGCGGTCAGAAGAAACCCAAAGCGCTGGCTGGTAAGGCCGCAGGTGGAGTAACCAACCCTAAGAAGAAAAAGAAGAAAAGAACGCTCAGCTGGATTGTCAGCGGAAGCGAGGACGATAGCGACAGTGGTGATGAGGAGTGGAAACCGCCCGGGAGAAGAAAAAAACGATAAAGTCTTCTTCGAGACGCGTCGCTTTGGAATCAAGCCGCACCTGAGGCTGGCGTTTCTTTTCTTCAGCAGGTTTGATGTTCTGGATTAAAATACAAGAGGATCATGCTCAACACAGCTCTTCGTCCTCCCTCCACCTACATACAGGAGAGGATGCGCTGTTAAAGATTTGTGTGTCCTTGCACTCGTCTGGTTGCCGCGTTTTTTTTTCATCTTCTTGAAGTTGATCGTTCTTCGCGACCTGTGGCTGAGTGGTTGATTTGTAAGTAGAGCCATGTAAGTACTACACTTCTGAGAGTTCTTGTATGTTCTTTTTTCCGATCGTGTATGGATATTTTCATGTGAAGCGAGCTCTCTTCTACAACATTATAGATGGGATTTTACTGGTGTAAACCGTGTGACAAGAATGTTCAAGCTGCACTTGAAACTGCAAGGTTTAAACATAGTGGACGAACCACTAATTTAAAGAAAGCAAAAATCCTAATTATTGTTGCAGAGTCCCACTTCTATCGTGGTCCAGCACCAGTCTAAAACAGCAACTCAACACGTGGTCTCGCCCTGTGTCTCGTCTCTACTGTCGTGTCTTCTGATGATGTGTATTACGAAAAAATCGTGAAGTTCTTGATCATACCAGTAGGGTGCAACAATTGTTTTCAGCTCCTCGGGGACCGAACGTATGACCGAGTATCGTCGGTGCAAGAAGTGTTGCTAACTTGTCGGTTGTACCAGTTCTACTGTGATAGTAATTGCTGTCTCGGCTTTTCCAAAAGTAGATTACTGTCGGTCACGTGCATGCATGAAGTCGAAGAGGATAAACCTCGGTTAGTAGAAGAATTGCAATTAAAATTATATTTCTCGGTGAGACCACGTCAACAATTAGTGGCGCACCTGCTGTCGGCTGCTCGTGATAGTAAAGTAAGAGAGGGTTGTGAAAATGGAAACGCGAAGAGAAGAAGAAGAAGGTTCTGTTCCACGACTGAAAAATCCTTACTCTCGCATACACCGATCCTGCACTGCCACGTACGAGAAAATTATTGTAGAACGATCATGATCATAGGAACAAATTAAAATTATCGTAAATGACCAGCCACTCTACTTTTGACGACAACCTGTCCACAACTTGTTAACGAATCGCACACACGACTTGATCGTTCTTTGAAATTAAACCCATTTACACCGCGATACTAACTTGTTTTGACCAACGAACCGAATAAAACCAAACGAAAATACTAACGACAGCCTTCTGTTCTTCAAAGTAGTTTTTGCTCCGTGATTTGAAGCCTGGATTTATCCAAGAACCTTTTCAACAAGTTTGTTCAACGACTCGATTTCATCGTATTTTCATCTCTAAAAACCCAACACCAAACAAAATGGTTGCCTTCTCCAAGTTTGCTGTCGGCGCTTCCGCCGCTGTCCTCGCCACTTTCGTCCGGGCTGAGATCAGCACTCCTGCCGCCACGGGTAAGTACTATAATAATGCTGCTTCTCTCTTCATCACAGATGAAATCAGCTGTTAATATGCTGCGTTGCGCACGACCAGCATGTTGTTGCAACAAATTGTAGTTGAGTTGATTATTCAGAAAACTTATTTTCCTGCTTTTGCTTTTGATGTCTTGCAAGATAAAGAGGAGCAGCACTCGCACTGCAGGATCGCATGGCTACAGAAAGCATGATCTACCGATGCAATTTCGCATGCCAAAAAAACACCAGACGTCGACGCGGCCCTGCGCACTGAGGTTGATGCGGAGTTGAAGGAGGCTGTGGCGGCCGAAACATCGACCGAAACCACGACAACCACCCCTCAGGATGCTGAACAGGCTGAAGTCGCTACTTCTGAGGAACAGGCTGAAGCTGCCGCAACTACTCAGGAAAAGGAGGAGGAACCCAAGGCCGCAGTAGAGAAGTCCGAGGATGAGGAACTGGATGACATGGATAGCGAGCCAGCACCGCCCTCTGCCGAAGAACTCACCGAAATCAAGGATCTCCTGAAGAGACTGGTATATAGATTTCAGGCTTTTCTACTAAGGTAAAAAACTAATAATTGACGGAGAGCGAAGTAGTTCCCCACCAGCTGCATGGCTGCATGGAAATTATAGCCACTCTACTGGTCAAGCTCATCTTCTACTTTCGTTATACTGAATGAATTCCTACTTATACAGTTGGCCGGCGAGCAGGTTGAGGGTGCCGAGGAGAAGCTGGACAAGGTTCTTGCCACTCTTCCCCCGGAGACTCTGACCGAGATCTTCCAGGAAGTTTTTCCGGCGGACATGATGTCGCAGCTCCAGGGCGAGATGGGCGGCGAGGAAGGCGAGATGCCCGAGGAAGACCCGCTGGCGGAGATGGACGACGAGGCCGCCGCCGCCATGGATGAGGAGGACGAGGCTACCGTCTCCGAGGAGCTGGAGTCCGGCGTTCCGGAGGTTGTCTCCGAGGACGCCGCCGCGCCGGCCGAAGGCGAGGCCGAGGCGGAGGCTGCCGCTCCCGAAGCTGCCGCTCCGGAAGCCGAAGCCGCGCCGGCTGACGCTGATTTGTAAAAGAACAACTCTTCGGCTTCGGAAGCTTTGACGTTTTTTTCATCAACATAAGCTAAACGACGCGCGGCTGAGACACTTCAACATCCCGGAGTCTTTCACTAATCTTGCGAACAGTTTCGCAGACGATTTTGGAACGGCGAGAAAGATGGAGCAAACCGCCGGCGCTTGTATAATTGATGACCCTAAAAAACAAAAACCTCCTCATTAACTATAATACACTTCCATGTCTCGTCTTTCAGTGCCATGATCATTTTCGTGCTTCTGCTTACTTCTAACAAGTATGTCAATCGGTCTATGCTGCGTGGGAGATCGTTCTAAACGAGCTCAACGCACGCTAGTCGTATTCTTCTCATTTTTATTCGTGATGAACAACAACAACGAATGGCTTCATTTGAAAACAACGCTTCAAGAACATCTGCAAAAACGGCTGCAACCAGGAACACCGGAGGCTTCTCTTTTTACCATATTGACAGCATCTTTTTTTCGCAAAGAAGTGCATCGAGCTCACGAACTTCGTTTTTGCTAGGCCCGCCCCATTGACATTGATTCTTCAGGATATGTCGCGACAAACCCCGCAGTTTGAGCATATATTCACCATAGTTCGTTGTGGTATTGTGTTATTCGTGATGAAAATTTAGTAGCCCTTGTACAATCCATGTCAGCTTCACTTTCATGAAATTTTGCGACTAGTAAGTACCTACCTCAATATTTTCAACATGGATGCGACAGCTATGATTCTCTTTGTCAGCGACCATCACATAGATCTGCACATTTTCACTGGCATAAACTAGTGACAAGTCCGCGTTAACGCAAACTTCTAGTTTATCTGCGTCGAACATCGAGCAAGTGCGGCTGAACCTGGTAGGTAGTTTACTACATTTTATTCACATATTGACACAGACCCTACTTCATTTATCATGTCAGTCCATTGGTGCAAGTGGAAAGCGAAATGGAAAGCAGCAGCTCCAAAAACCTTTTTTCTACTTATGTTTGCGAAAAGAAGAAAAATCTATCGAAACAGAGGGCGAATGACTCTCCTGTCTTCTTGACACCTCTTTGGTCGCGGACCTCAGAGGCTCTGAGTAGAAAGCCCCTTTTTACGGAAGTATGTCATTCATCCCCCTCAAAAAAACCATCTAGAAATGCTTGCGCTGTTGAAAGCAAGCTGCGCAATTTTTGCTGGACGAGATGAACATGAGCGCGGCTATCATCTCGCGTTTGTTCCTAGCGTGCGGTGCTGGCTGGCTGACCCCGCGCCTCCTGCATTTAAGAAGACATCAATTCTCTACGTACAGATTCGGTTTTTTCCGTGATATTATCAATGGTGCCTAGACTCCTGAACAATTCTGAACAATTGTTGTGCATCGTCTGAAGTCCAAGTCGTACGCTCTGAAAAATCTAAATCGTCGCCGGGAATATGTCCGTTTCTCGTGAAGATCGCAAGGGTCTTGGTTCTACAGCCAAGGTGTAGTCTTGTCGTTTCCTTTTTCGTAGAGAGAAGACCCGAAACCAGAGAGATTGAGATTGATGAGACATCGAATCGATCTTTACTCTGTCTGTATGTTGGCCGTGTTGACTGGAGCTTGTTGCTCGAAGTCCAGCAGCTCGATCAGTAGTTCTTGCATCCAGCAGAGGCTTTGTTCCATCTTGATCTCAACGTAACCTTAACGTACCACACAGCACTAGACACCGCAGGAGCAGGTGTAGTGAAGGAAGAGGTTCTTGTGCTAGTAAGTGAAAAAAAGATATAATATTTTCCAAGTACGCCGCGCCCGCGGACTCTGACGAGATTGTGGTCTTCCGTCTTCGAACAAGTCACCAGTGTCGAAGTTTCAGGAACATCAAATAGCTGCGTGGTGTTGAGAGGCATATCAAAATGTCAGCTTCACCTTGCTCGGAGGTTTTACCACCATCGTTTCAAGGCGCCTTGCCGGTGTGCAAGATCTTAGAGACAAAAACTACAACAACATCGAGTTCCTCGTCCACGCCTGCTTCTCCTCCTGCTCAACTGCTGGACCGACGACGAAGCAGAACTGCAAGGGGTACTACATCCAGGCAGAAGATGAAGATGTCTTTTTACCAATGTGCTACTGCTTCATCAAAATCCACTCTCCGTAGAGTAACACCAGCCGTTACCGTAAGTAGGAGCGGAAAGTACAAGATGATGCCCCGCACGAGGACCAGCACGAAATCAGCACTTTTTGCCGCGTTCGCGGCGAGCACTGGTGGCTTTGCTCCGGGACTACAACACCAGCTGCTGCAGCAGGCGTTTGCTTACCCGAGGTTTCGCGGGAAAACCAATCGACACAGCAGGTACTAATGGAAATGGATGCTCTTGCAGCGGAGCACGGGACAGACGACGATGTTCATCGTTGTGTTTTTGTTTGTTGTTTGTAAGACTAGCTGTAGCGGAACTACCTTTGGCCGCGACTAGTCAAGTTTGTTATGCACGTCCAAAAAATGTTTTTGTCTTTGTTTTGTTTCTCGCGATGTTGAAGCGGACGCCGCCACAATCAACGAACCACAGAACCTCCCTCGAGTCCTCCGGTTCTTCGAACGCCAATGGCGGTGGCCAGCACTTCGAAGAACTCGCTGCGGAGCGGCAGGCCTTTGAAACAACGAACGGCGCAGGCGGCACCACTGAAGGCGCATCCTCGGCCCGCAGCTTGAGTTCTTCGGGCAGCGGGCTGCAGCACGAAAGTGACATCAAAGCAGCCTCCTCTTCCTCAGCGCTATTTCTCTCCGCAAATGGACCACCGGGAAGTGGTACTACAAGCGCTTCTTTTAATACGGGAGCAGGAGCTGGGGGACGAAACAACGACGGCACATTTTCGGCAGGGGACGAGCAGGTGGAGGGAAACCGGGTGGGCGAGCGAAACGCGTTTTCCGCGTTTTTGCAGACCGGCTTTGACGAGGACACCGAAAACAACAATTCTTCGCTGGCCTCGACCTTGATCCAGCTTGCGGAAAAGATCCAAATCGGCTTCGGGTTTGACAACAAAGACGCTAGTGCAGAAAGCGCGAAAGAACAACCTTCGAGGACAAGAACTTCATCTCGCTCTATTGCGCCAAGACCGGTCGTGGAGACGACTTCTTCTACGGACGAGACCGGAACCGCGTTTCTGCAACAAAAAGAGCGGGTTACCGCTGCGGTCGCCGCCGGGCCTCCGCCCACCGCGGTTCGTCTGCCACCTGCGCCCGTCGGCAAGATGACCCCCACGCCCCCGAAACCGGAAACCACGACGCCGGTTCCGAAGGCGCAGGCAGTCGCGAACGCGGGGGTGGTGATGCCGAAGCCGGTGGTGAACACGGCGCCGCCACTGAAACAGCAGCTGCCGGCCCGGGCGGGATATCCCGTGCAAAAGTATCGCGCTCGTATAGCAATCATGCATTACTCAAGGTAAATCCGCATCACAAATTTCATTTCTTATGCTGAGAAAATTTGTAATGCATTTATACGAGTGCCACGATATTTTCGCAATTCATACGGGAAGCGGTCCCGGCCCGGTGCCGCTCGGGGAGCAGCAGCAGGTGGAGGCGGACACGGTGAACACGGACCGTATGGAAGCGTCAGAACCTAAATCGACAAAATCGAAAAACTTGTGTTGCGTAAAATGTAGGGAACGTAGGGCCTGTATTGGGGAGCAGGCAAATGAGACCGATCGCAAGCCTGTTTAGGGCAATGCAATGCGCTGCCAGAGTAACACGACAGGAGCAGTCTTCTTTGCCCAAACAGCATGACAGACTGGATCTGGGTGCTCTCGAAATTTGTCATGCGGCGCTTGGAGACTGAGGCTCTAACTGGATTCGATTTTGTGCATCGCAAATTTTTCGATTTTGCCATATTTCGTTTCTGACACTTCCATAGACCGCGTCAAGGTCAAAAACGGCGTCGGCTGGGCCATGCTGGCCTCGGGACAGAAGTGTCTCACCAAGAAATTCTGGGACTCCGATGGCTTCAGTCTGTATCGATGTTGGTTTTTTGATGTAGTTGAAGAGTACTTCATTGTTCGTTGCTACTGGAAGATAGATGCCAGAACCAGATTTTCTCGATTATGCTATGGTCGTGTAGTTCTACTACCAGGAGCAAATAAATTCCGGGAAAAAAAAACAAGAAAAGCGTATATATAAGCAGTCACACATCTTCACCAAATAAAACAGCATCGTTGCGGCCGACGACCCGAGTGTCTCCGAGTTTGCCGATGGGGTTCTTAACCTCTCCGCAGACCAGGAAAACAAGCCGGAAAAGTGCACTTTGAAACAGCTGAATGAGGTATCCACAGTGAAAAAAATCCTGCGCTGGAGGAGACGTACACCAGGTACCAAAGATCAAAATGGAACAGTCTCTGCATGACAACGACGAGACTATTCTCGTCTCTGCGATGCATTATTTTGTACTTACGTGTCCTCTCTGCCGTGCAGAAGTGATGTTGCATTGCATACGAAGCAAAGGAAGTGTACGAAGTGGAGAAGAAAAAGCAAGAACAGATGAAGCCAATCCAAGCCGGAGAGGAGTTGGCGAACGGCGACGCGGGAACCAGTACCACCATAGCCGGAGGAGACGAAACCGCGAGCAAATTCACCCTGGACACCGGCGCCGCGACCATCGGACTGTTCGTGTTTCTCGTGGTCCTCGCACTGATGGGCGTCTATGCGGTTTTTGCCGGTTACTGCAGCCGCGGCTCGAATGGAAGTACTAGTTCTACTTCGGGACGATCCACGGGTGGGAGCAGAAACAGTGCATCGGCGGCGGCTCGCACGTCTGCGAGCTCCAGCTCGGTGAACCACGGAAGCAGTGCCATCACGGTGCAGCAACAGCAGGGCGCGGTGATGTCAGATGAAGAGGCGCCCAGCTCGGACCACGAAGGAGCCGCGGTCGACGAAAGTCAAGGCGGGTTTGGGATCGATCCATAAAGCGAGCACGAGGAAGATGTTGTTGGAACGAAGCAGTACCTTATCACTATCTCGCAGCACAGTTGTACCGATTTTACTTGTATTGAAGTTGTAGTAGAGGCTCTATCTCGCTGACGCACGTACACTACTTACTTTTGTGAAATTGATTTCTGTACAAAAAAAAAAGAAAATCCCAGATTAAGAATGTTGCAGTGCAAACGAGAGTTTTCTAGCTATTATCCTCGCTGTCGCATTCGATGCAAAAGCAAATTAATTTGTTGTAGATTCTTGACTCTCTCTCTTACTCAGAATGTTGGAGTCTATGATTGTAGCAAGCCAGCCATGGGCTTTTGAGAAATTAAACATTGTAAATTAATATGATTCTTATTGCGCGACCATCTATAATAATGTGCAATGCTGTAATCACTATCCATTCCGAAAAAAAGTTTCCTGTATGATGTCGCTTGAATCGAGATGTAGGCAGATAATTTCGGACATGTTAGCCAAGAGCAGCTCGTTGCTATCCCTGTAAGCGGAAATAATGACACGTTAGCACCACTCTACTTTTTGTTGTTTCTCCTTCTCGTCTGAGGGATGATAAAGGTTAAGGTAATAATGAAACTAGAAAGCAAGGTGTTCCAAGTCTTGAACTCGACCAAAATATGTATGAGCAATCACGAGAGCAGACTGCATCTGCAGCGACGAGAGCAGTACACTAATCATGATCCCAAAGTGAGCAGCGAGATGAGCGAAACTACAAATGAAACAAAAGGAAAAGTCGCTGGTGAGAACCTGAGCCTGTTGATCTTTTACTCTTAAACCACGACGAGGAATTTTCCTTGCACGGTCGCTGTTGTCGTGATGATTTTATTTTATCGATGAATTCGAGTACAGATGCCCTCGGAGGGCACAAAAGCATTTGCAACTGTGGAGTTACCTGAGTGTAGTTACGCAAGACTTAAAGGCGAGAGAAAATATTTTGTTTGTGGGAAACAAGCGAAAGCGTGAGTGTTTTTGTGAGGTAACTAAGGAGCAGTCGCCCACCATCTCCGCAATGATGATGAACTTCTACGTGGTTCTGATTCACCACTGACACTGTTGGGAGGTGGAGCTTCACACGCTTACGATCACAGCTGGTGGTCAAGTAGACGCAACCTCATCTCAGACGAAGACAAGGACAACTCAACGCATGCGCAGGTGCCCCCCCTAGCCCTAACTATTGGAAATCAATTGCACGCCCCCTTCGAAGTGCCGTATCCACATCTAGCGTAAATCTCTACCTCTTCCTCTTCATCCCCTTTCGCCTACCCGTTTGCTGCACTACTCCCCCCACCTGCTCACCCAAGAAGGTCTTGTAGCTTTTTCTTCGTTTTTTTTTTTTTCAATCGATTGACTTTAATACTAACTCTAACTCATTTGCAAGCTCTGGATTGCGCTACAATATTTATATACCTGTTTTGTTTTTATTTCCTTTTCGTCAGCATGTCTTACCACTGATACTATCTCGCGTCCTACCCGGGGGCCCATTACCAAGATTTTCTCAAGTGCATCATATCTATGCGGTTGATGTTCTTGAACTGTACTGCAGGTGCAGCTGCCATTTTCACTCACCTGTAAATGTACATGCCTACATGCCGTTCTTTCGGGCTGCTCCCGGACCTCGCCGGTCCCTGCGTGGTGCATAGTCTGAATAGGCACGCACGGACGTGGTCGTTTGATATTACTAGCACTAGGTCGACTCGGCAGGCGCCTGAGGAGTTTTTTAAAGATATAGCACTAGCAGTAGCAATAACTAGCCTTATCCCGCTTCCCGTGTCCAGTAACCTGCAGACTTAATAGTATTCCGCTAGATGAATAGTAGCACAGACTCAGCGTCCATCTGTGGAAAATCGGTTCCGGCGCTTCAGCACAGGCAGGCCCATCCGCCTGCGATTTTGAAAGCGCCAGACTGGCTTGGCCACGATCCGGCACCGGCGCGGCTGGCAGGTTGGCCTTTGCCGCCATCTTGCGTGCTGGCACCGGCGGGGCCGCGTTCTGGCGCCGGGCGGCGGGCCCGGCCATGGTCCGGCACCGGCTTGGCGGCCATGGTCCGGCACCGGCTTGGCGGCGATGGTCCGGCACCGGCTCGGCGGCCATGGTCCGGCACCGGACTTCGCGGGTCTGGGGACCCCTGAATTTGTCGCTTCGGTCCGGCGCAGCGACAAATTCGCGGGTCCGGGGACCCCCGAATTGGTCGTTCCGGTCCGGCGCAGCGACAAATTCGCGGGTCCGGGGACCCCGGGATTTGTCGCTCCGGTCCGGCGCAGCGACAAATTCGCGGGTCCGGGGACCCCGGGATTTGTCGTTCCGGTCCGGCGCAGCGACAAATTGGCGGGTCCGGGGACCCTCGATTTTGTCGCTCCGGTCCGGCGCAGCGACAAATTGGCGGGTCCGGGGGCTCCTGATTTTGTCGCTCCGGTCCGGCGCAACGACAAAATGACGGGTCTGGGGACTCCTGATTTTGTCGCCCCGGTCCGGCGCAACGACAAAATGACGGGTCCGGGGACTCCTGATTTTGTCGCTCCGCCCCGGCGCAACGACAAAATGACGGGTCCGGGGACCCCTGGATTTGTCGCTCCGGTCCGGCGCAACGACAAAATGGCGGGTCCGGGGACCTCTGGATTTGTTGCTCCGGTCCGGCGCAACGACAAAATGACGGGTCCGGGGACCCCTGGATTTGTCGCTCCGGTCCGGCGCAACGACAAAATGACCGGCGCAACGACAAAATGGCGGGTCCGGGGACCCCTGATTTTGTCGCTCCGGTCCGGCGCAACGACAAAATGGCGGGTCCGGGGACCCCTGGATTTGTCGCTCCGGTCCGGCGCAACGACAAAATGGCGGGTCCGGGGACCCCTGGATTTGTCGCTCCGGTCCGGCGCAACGACAAAATGACGGGTCCGGGGACCCCTGGATTTGTCGCTCCGGTCCGGCGCAACGACAAAATGGCGGGTCCGGGGACCCCTGGATTTGTCGTTCCGGTCCGGCGCAACGACAAAATGACGGGTCCGGGGACCCCTGGTTGTGTCGCTCCGGTCCGGCGCAACGACAAAATGACGGGTCCGGGGACCCCTGGTTGTGTCGCTCCGGTCCGGCGCAACGACAAAATGACGGGTCCGGGGACCCCTGGTTGTGTCGCTCCGGTCCGGCGCAACGACAAAATGACGGGTCCGGGGACCCCTGGTTGTGTCGCTCCGGTCCGGCGCAACGACAAAATGACGGGTCCGGGGACTCCTGGACTTGTCGCTCCGGTCCGGCGCAGCGACAAACCTGAGGCTTCGCTGCTTCGAGGCTTCGCTGCTTCGAGGTTTCGCTGCTTCGAGGCTTCGCTGTTTCGAGGCTTCGCTGCTTCGAGGCTTCGCTGCTTTGAGGCTTCGCTGCTTCGAGGCTTCGCTGCTTCGAGGCTTCGAGGTTTCGCTGCTTCGAGGCTTCGCTGCTTCGAAGCTTCGCTGCTTCGAGGCTTCGCTGCTTCGAGGCTTCGCGGCTTGCTTCGAGGCTTCGCTGCCTCGAGGCTTCGTGGCTTGCTTCGCTGCTTCGAGGCGTCGCTGCTTCGAGGCTTCGCTGCTTCGAGGCTTCGGGGCTGCGCTGCTTCGCGGCTGCGCTGCTTCGAAGCTTCGCTGCTTCGAGGCTTCGCTGCTTCCTCCGGCGTTTCGAGGCTTCGCCGCTTAGAAGCTTGGGCACTTTGTCTGCATGTCGTTGTTGTTGTTTTTCGTTTCTATTCTTTGTTTTCCTTTTTTGTTTTCATTCTTTGTTTTCGTTTTTCGTTTCTATTCTTTGTTTTCGTTTTTCGTTTCCATTCTTTGTTTTCGTTTTTCGTTTTCGTTCTTTGTTTTTGTTTTTCGTTTCCGTTCTTTGTTTTTGTTTTTCGTTTCTATTCTTTGTTTCTATTGCGGGATACTATTAAATAATGGGTTTTCTGACTTATATCTAGTCATGGTAGAGATTTATATGGAACACAAGAAGTTCCTCAATTATTAGTATTACCTTGTTTATTTGTACTGCGTGGAAACGCCCATGCCCAAGACCTTCCTATGTGCCTCTTCGAAGTCGAACAACTTTGACGAGGATTATTCCTCTTGTGAAGTATTTATATTTCACTCTCCAATTCAACTTTAGGTGTTTTCAAAGTTGTAAATCGGAGAGGAGCAGGAGTGTGTGTGTGAACAACTATGTACTTTTTTTGAGTACAGCAGGAGCCATTGACATCCTCAGCACAGTTGCTGCAGACGCTCAATCTACTCAACACGTTATACCTCCGCCGTCCCCTGCTGTTCTTCTTCTGCGTTTTCCTCGACAGCACGACGGCTTCATCGTCAGCAGTGGTTCTTGGCTGAAAAGAAATACACGCTGCACCACCGGTCTTCAGTAGAGTCCATTCATCTCCAGCAGCCTTTTTTTCCACAAGCTGAGCTTCTTGCATCTGCTGCAGCGCTTCTTGGGGATCATTCTCGGGGAGCAGGAGAAAAAAAATCAATAGAAGCGAACTCGGAGGCACGCGGCTGTGAAGAGCATCTTCATTTTCAACTGCTTAAGTAACGTGCACGTGGTCCACCACGAGGGCTCAACATTTAGTACCAAGATCTTGATGCTGCACAACTTCTCTGTTGCCCCCGCCAGCAACATGACCACAGCCACGATGACGTCGACCACGGCGACGGACACCGGTGCTACTACGGGTCTGGGCGCGACGAATGCCAATAACGCCGGAGGACCACACCAGCAAGTAGATTTCTTGTTCCGGTGTAACCACTGCGTGAAACTGATCCCGGAAGCCGCCGCCATCTACATGCGCATATGGATGTGTCAGGATCGAAATCGTCAAAGTTGAAATAGTTTGCCATGCATGAAATGGATGCCCTTGCCCATGCCAGTCGGAAGCCCACTTATCAAGTGGCGCATGACAAATCTTCCGAGCACCGGAATCCAGTTTGTCATGCTGTTTAGGCACAGAAGACTGCTTTTGTCATGCTGCTTTAGCAGCTCTACTTCAAACCCTAAACAGGCTCACAATCGACCTCACTTGCCATCCCGGCAAGACAGGCACTTCATGCCTTGCATTTTATGCATGACAAATTATTTCATTTTCAACTTATTTGTCGACTTCAAACCTGAGGCTTCCATAGCGCAACGACAGTTCCTATTGCAGCACGGTATGCCGGAAGAAGGGGATCAGTCCACACTACACGAACCTTATGAACTGCACAAGTATCGTACTCGTATGAATGCATGACAAATTTCCTCAGCATGAGAGATAAAATTTGTAATGCGGATTTACCTAAAAAAAAAGAATTTTTGCATGATTGCAATTATACGAGTCGAGTACGATACTTTTGCACAGGATAAACCTCGTGGGGCACCAACTCAGGCTGATGCAGGTATAGTGTTAGTGTAGTTTCAGTTTTCTCATCGATATTTATGCAGGTCGTGCTTTTAGAAGTCATTTTCGCGTACAACGCAGTGTAGTACGAGTGCGTAGCGGATGTTGTGACGCAAAGACTACGAAAACAAACCCCCTCCCAGACCAAGGAGACGGAGCACGTGCCGATGAGCAGTGTTCGGTCCGAATCCAGTATCGGCGACCGGTCGGACACCCACGACAGCAGCCACCACACCACGGAGGACGACAGCAACAACACCACGACGAAGCTTCCCTTCCGTCTCGTCGCGAAACTGGGGCAGAAAATCCTGGACAAGCTCATCCCCGTCGTGAAGGAAAACCCGGCGGGGGACCGGATTTTGCGGACCTACAGCAGCGGGCTGATCTGGGGGAAGGAGTATACGCGGAACAGTTCGTTTAACTTTCTCTTCCAGTACTTTCCGAACCTGGACGCCTACTACCCCGAAAATGTCGACGAAAACGGAAACTACCCCGCCAACAGCCCGGACGGGTTCGGGAATCTAGACGGCGGGCGAGCTGGTGAAGTAATAGAGAGATCGCCAGGAGCAGGACAGAGTAGAGCAGGTCAAGAGCAAGTAGAGCTCGCAGATAGCAACAGCATGGAGATAACAGAAGACGACACTGTTGACGAAGGACGTGGTCGTGCGAAGGTAGAGCTGCACCAGCACGACGGCAGAACAATACATCAGCGACCCTCCCCAACCAACGCGGTGGTCTCTGGCGAGGAGAATCTGCTGCCGTTGCAATCCTCTTCCTCCGAGGTCCTCAGCAATTTGAGCAACAGCAACAACTTCGCGAACGTCGGTACCGGAGGCAGCTCGCCGACATCAACAGGACAGCTATCCATTGCTAAAAAATTTTTCGCACGCACACAATCAAATGTTCTTCATCTTTTGGACATCTCAAATGTCGGCTTGGGTTCGGCTATTTCCGCTTCGACCATTTCGTTACCCCGCCAAGATCAATTACGCGGTCGACCGCGTAGCTGTAGTTTAAGAACATGACAGCGATATCATCTTCAATTCCCATGTTTCGTTAAAAAGGCGCCATATGCGAAAATTTGTGATGCTTGTTTTTGTGTGTGTACTGTAAAAATTTTGTACTGGTGCATAACAGCAACAAAGCACGTCTAACAAGAGGAACAAGCAGTCAATCAAAAGTCCGACGAGCGGCACGAGCTCGGCGACTTACGATCCCGAAGATGTGTTCGATCCGAGAACATTAGGGATAGACCTGGCAGGAGATGAAGACGGAACGGCACAAGGACACGACCCGGCGCCGCACCATGCGTCGGCAAAGAATAATAATTCCTCATCAGGAGTAGAATATCAGCAGGCAACGGGTAAGAATACCGCAATTTTTTCCGCCAACCCGCTTTCCATACCAACGGCCACGAGCGACGTGACGGCGTCTACCTCCGCAGCCGCGTCATCCTCGTTGGTCGTCACAGCCGACGATCCGACAATACCCTACAACAGTCAGGAGGACATAATTTTACCCACTTCGTCTGCTCAGGAACATCATCACCAGCAAGAGGAGTTGTCGGAGTCACAGGAGGACACGGTAGTCTACAGTCGGGCGGAAGCACTGATAAGGTTGGAAAAAACGGCACACGGGGTGGCGCCCTTTGGCGGGCTGAACGCAATCGCAGAGGAACCGCCGGCAGACGTATTCATTTTGTTTTTTGTATTAATTTCGCAAGGATATCGATGCCGATAGCGAACATTGATGTAGTTCTTCTGGTCACAAATAATGCAATCGCAATATGAAGCGCAGTGCAAAAAAGAAGAAATTCAAATTGCAACTCATATGAAAAATACAACACCACCAGACGTACCGAGTTCCGGGCGCAACCACCACCTCCAAGATCATCGGGATCACACCAGCGCAAGCCGGGAACTATCAGTCGTAGCATACTTCTTGTTCGATGTTTCCTCTTCCTGCAGTCGACGCGCTGAGGAACACGCCAACAACAGCATCAAATTACTCCGCTGGAGCTCAACTCGAACAACTTGCTGTGCCGGCGCCGAACCAACTGACTCTTGTTTCATACGACGATGAATGATAGATGATACCACTTAATATTTCTATGGGGTGACCAAGAACTTCGTTTAAAATGAATATCGAAGCGTAGTGACGAGGGGACATAAAAAAGCTATTTACTGCTTCATCCATCTCATCTTCACGACACATCATGTTTATGTTGTACCTCTTTCTTGTAAAATAGCGAGACGATCGTGATCGATCGAATATCTCATCAAAGTTGTCATTGTGATATTTTACGTTTTCCTTTTCCACATTTGCTTTAGTTTATTACCCTTCTGCCTCATATTTGAAGGCGCCAGAACTCGTCGGCCAACGAAACGACAGAACCAGGCTCACGCAGCTGCCGGGGTGATTATGATTAAGTAACAAAATCAGAAAAAGAACCGATGGACTGTATCTGTAAGGAGACCGTCGTTCCTTTTTTTTGGAAGACCATTAATCAAGAAAATGACAATAAGTACGGGCACGCAAGCAGTTTCTCTCGATACTTATCTAGACGTGACAGCGCGGCAACAAGAGCAAGTTTCTAATTTTCCGTATCTTTAATAGAAACATCAAAGCTCATGCAGTCCATCATGTATTTTTAAAATACATGATGGGCGGTTTGCCACGAGGTTGGAGGGAGCCAACCTGTGTGCATGCCACGGGGTCGGGGATGAACTGCACTACTGAGCGGCATGCTCCTAGAAGTCGCGAAATAATTGATGAGCCGCACGGCACCACGACCACAAATGATTTGACTACTTCCAACACCAGCATCCGTATATCGGATCTGCATTCTTCTTGAGCTGCAATTGTGAAAAAGAAGCTGCACGACCACAAAGACCTCGTAGTCAACATAGCAGTGGCTGCTTCTTTTAGAAAGCGTCTTTTCGGTTAATGTAGCGCAGCTGTGTAGTAGAGCATCAATTTTCCACACACACACACACACACACACAAATAAAATTACAGCCGCCCGAATCGAGAAAAGAAAGAAGCTCTTGCTCGTACAGAGGCAGGCACAGTTTCGTTTGATCATACGTACTTACCCGCGGTTTGGAGAATAAAAATCCCTTCTTGCGGCTGTGCTGACCATTTTCCACCTAAAGATCAGGAGTAACAAACCGCAACACCATCAGGGGCAACGTTGAACTTGAGCAACTCCAACTCGCAGCTGCTGCTTGTTGTACTTGTGGCCCACCTCGCTGCTTCATCATGCAAGGAAACGTAAGCGACGAAACAACGACATTTCTGAAATTTCAAAAAATTACACAAACAGTATTTGTTTTTGTAGTAGTTTTGTGTTCATGTCAAATCGAATTCTCATTTGGCCGTATAGGTTGAACACTCGGACAACAGAAAAGGCAAGGACATCCTGGGCTTGAGTTTCACCCTAGAGCAGCTTCTTTTGGGCAAGCGATGGCGCGACTACCTTCTACAAAACGGGTTTTACAAGTTGAAGATGCATCGTCCATCTTGTTTTGTCTTCCTATTCTGCTTCGTGTAGTTACACCAATAGCGATGCAAGTCGCGCACACGCAGGAGCAGCAGTTTTTGTTTTTACTACTTTGACGTGGTACAATGACTTGGATTTGCGCAAAAATCCATTAATCAATTTTCTGGGCGACAAAGACGGGCACAAGGGGGCGTTGTCAATGTCAGACTGTGTGTGATAGCATCTATTCTACTGATTCTCCTGACTTTTTTCAGATATTAAACAAAAGAACGCTAGACGAGTCTGGGGTGCCGTGCGTATTCCAGCGCTTGTGAAAACGTTTGAAAAATAAAATATATGATGCGTCTTCCTAGTCTTCATGTAGAAGTTGTTGTGAAAGTGAGGGCTACTTTGCTACCCACCTTCGACGCCGATCGTTGTATGCTCTACCGAGTTGTTGAAGTTTTTCTTTTAGATCATGTGCATGTGGTACGAGAACGCGACCCCGACCGCAACAAATGGGACGGCGATACTACATGACCATCGTCATGATAGATGTGCTACATCAGCAAACTGAATTTTATGCCTCTGCTTCTTCCGCTGTGCGTTATTTCCGGGAGGTAGGTTGTGGTCTGTAACTAGACTCGCCAGCCTGAAGAAGCTTGGCAAGAACTAAAAATCTCAATCTCTTCGAGAGAAAGTCATGACAAACGCGTCAAGAAGCAGGTGCATGCTGCTGCACATCATGCCAGCAGCCCCGTCTTCTTCACTTTCTCATTCGCTTCTCGGGAGCAGACGCTGCGAAGAACACCAGCGCAGAGAGGAAAATAAAAGCAATGAGCGGCTTATGCTGGTGGTGCAGGTCCTGCTTTGTTTGTGCGCCGATTATAACTTTTCACTCTGGAGGTGGTCTAGATGACCATCGTGATGTTTTGATATGGTCCTCGTCCTTGGTGTGGCCGCGCTAGCGGTAGTTCCAGAGAGGAAGACTCAACTTGCAAACATGTTGGTACTTACTTGAGAATAGACGTACCTATGTCCGATTAAAGAAATACTAGAAGTAGGTACGTGGTTGAGGACGCTGTCAGTGGAGGGAGCAAGATAAACTCAGTGGTGCGTCGACGAGGGCGTGTACTTTATGAGGGTGAGTGTGTGTAGTTTTAGTGCAAAAATGAGCACTGCGTTGCAATATGTGGCCGACGTCAGCAGCATTTCAAAACTCACACAGAAATATTTTTGCGTGCATTTCTTTGATTCAAAACCAAAAACTGATGTCGCCAAGAGGAGGTAATAATCGAATGGCATCATTTATCGAAGGAAAAAACTGTTTCACTGTGGTCATCTCGAAAAATCACTGATTTTTTTTTGGGTTAAAGTTGAATATTTTTCGACTTGCCCGGAGCCGCTGCATCTGGTGGACCTTTTTCTTTGCATTGCAAATTGTTAGATATGAAACTAGCTATCGGTTGCTTCAGTTACATTAACTAGTTAGGAAGGCAGAACGTAAAGCTAAAGTGGCGGCAGCAGCGTTCCACGTGTTGCATCTTCGCTTACCGCGCTTCTGGCCCCACCTCGTAACACGGGCGGAATCTGTTAAGAGATGAGGATCAAGTCGGTTGGAGTCGTGGAGGAGCTGGTCGGTCGCCAAGCTGGGCCAGTATCGACGTATCTGTGGTGGAGGATAGGCAAATTGAGCCATAATAGAGCACTATGCCGTCAATCACGCATGAAAATAGAGGATATATAGGCAAAAGCCCTGCAAATAGGCCAAAAACAGGTCCCCCGAGCCCGCAAATCCCCCTTGAGAATTAGCCCCCCTAGCTACAGGGCCAGAGCAGCCTCAAAGCAGCTGCTCCAGCCCACCTATTATCGCCCAGCCAGCTGCCTGGGCCCTGCCTGTAACGAGCCTGCTGCCGGCGGCAGCCCCTTCGGGCCCTGCTATTTGCCTCCGCAGCCATGGGGACACAGCCGCGGGACGTGGAAGAGTGGTCCGTGGCGCAGATCTACGAGATCCTCAGCCCCCTCTTCGACATCGTGGAAACGCCGGAGTATTTGGCTGATCTGACTATCGCCAGGACGCCCCAACCCCCGGCCAACAATGAGGCTGCCGTCGGCGGGCCGGCGGCAGCGGGCGGAAACCAGTCCGCGACCGTCATGCTCATTCAGGCCAAGGGGTCCTGGAGTAACTGGGACCAGTGGTGTAGAAATCTGAAGTGCCAAATCAAAAAGAAGCGAGAAGCCTATGGCGGCAGCATCGTCGTGGGCATTAGCTCCGAAGTGGAGGACATGCTGCTCGTAGTACCGGTGTACCGGTACTACGATTGGGCCGCAATTGACCTGCGCCACGACAGGTGGTGGCGCAGCCGGGATGCCATTCGGCCGCGCCTCGAGCAGTACTGGGGCGATTTCGCCATTGAAAAACGCGGCGCGATGGGGCACCGAAACGCGTCCTCACGCAACCAGGCTGTTGAACAGCGGATGCGGCAGCAGCTTACAGACTGCGTGAGCACCGCAGGGGGCGCGTATTCGCTTAGCAGGCGCGGGCTCTCTGTGGTCGATGGCACCTTGAGGCACCAGGAGTTCGTGCTCCGCTGCCAGGAGCGGACTCTCAAGCTCAAGCGAAGCACGATGGGGGACGTGCAAGGAGTTCGGGCAAGCACCACCCGGCACTTTTTCTCGCCTAGTAGGGGCAAATAGTGCGGCCCTGTTTTCAACACTATGTGCAAGGAGGAGGCAAACTTGTATAGCATATGACGGAAAGAGTGAGAAAATCCCTATCCTTACGCTCTTATCTCTCTCTCAAGCAACACAAATCAAGATTTTATACCAGCAAAAACGGCGACGGGTTTCTCCTGCAAGACCTCGAAGTTCTCCTCCTGCACTGCCGCGAAGAAACGGGCCCCGAAAGAACCCTTGCGGGCACGTACTTCTTGCCGATCCAGGGCCTGGCGGCCAACGGATATGCGCCAGACCCGGAGGCGCCGGGGTAATATGGCCATTGTTTCGATAGGAGTACTTAATCTCAGCACAGGCACTAGCACGGTGCAAGCGATACGAACTACGCACAGCAGCAAGCACTACGAGCTACGTCGAGATTCTAGTCTACCTCTCTCTCGATTCTTGGCCTGTGATAAGTTGTTTTTGCGCATGACAGATTCGAAGGCGAAAGAAACCAAAACATCTGACGCAAGGATAAGACTTCAAAAACTGCAGGATGCCATGGACTCGAACGATCACACTGTATCCGTCCCAGCTGGACTATGTAAAACAGAGCGGAGGTTGGGACTGGACGGATGATTTTTATTTGACTGCGGAGGAGATCGCGGACCCGGCCTCGCTACGCAACATGCTTCTGAATGTCCAACAGACAAACAGCCTCGGAGCGGCGGCGCCGTAGGGTTAGTTGATTGGTGAGGAGCCTCCTGATCAGTGCGAGCAGCATTGCAAATTTGGCTGATGCGAAGATTTCAAGCGTGAACCAGAGGACTTTTATGAACTATCTCGGTGGAGGAGCGGAGTTTTTTGATTTTACTGTGTGCGATTTCCTTACGTTGTGATCTTTTTGGATATGCTCTTTCTGCTTTCGATTGTAAAGATTCCGGGGCGTGTGCTGCTGTTTGGACAGTAGTGCGCTGGTCCCGCTGCCACCCCTGCCAGCTGCCAGTGAAAATGGCGCAAGCTTCAAGGACTAGGGGCGCGCAGCAGGAGGCTCTAGTCTTCCAATTCTCATCTTCAGGTAGTTCAGCGCAGCACTTTATTCCTTTTGTATTTGAAAGCCTTTATTTATATCCCTGTACTTTTGTGTCCCTTTCATAGTAGCGTGGTAGAGCCTAGGCAGAAGAAAAAGCTTCCGAGAATGTAATTAGTATGAGACCGAGCTCCGGAATAAAAGACAAAACGATGGCACAGCGGAGATGTCTAGGTTGTAAATTTGCGCGCTAAAACTGTGCAAAAACAGGTCGGAATCTGATAAAATCTACTGCTGACGACTCGAGCTCAAGGATAAAAGGACTACATTTGGCATTGCAAATTGCTATTTCCAAACGAACAAAAAGAATATCTGTTGCTTGCGGCTGTGCTAACTTGTATTTCTAAAATTGCAGAAGGAGCGGTGCGTGTTTTGGTGTGCGAATTTTCCTAAGCTCCTGCGCGAACTTCTAAACGGACACGTCTTATCTACAACACCATATCATCATTTTGATTATCGAGGAGATTGCCGCCACCCGGAATCGAAATTTCTTCATTCATCTCCAGCACCTCCGCGGCCTTGCAGCGCATGTCCCGCTGCATCAGGAGCAACTCGTCGCATTCCGGGCACATCTGCTTGTGCTTTTCGGTCGCCGGACCCTTGAAAACCTTCTCCACAATTTCCTGCTCGTCGTTCCGGGCCCCGATGAAGGTGCTCATTTGCGGCTTCCGCTCGCCCTCCCAGGAGGTGCCGGCGGGCCACACAGCGCGGAGCATGGCACCCCCGCCGCCCGTCCGCTTGATGGAGCGGCGGACATTCACCACGTCGGTGTTGCAGTGCGAGCACACCAAGGCCCACTGGGTCTTGTTCATCACGCGCCCCAATTCCTGCCGGCCGCGCGGACCGTCAGCCTCCCCCTCGCCACCACCAGCTCCTTCGGGGCGGCCGGCAGCGTTCCCGTCGTTTCCGCGGCGGCGCCGGGCATTCGGGGCATCATCGATGGCCCCAAGATCGATGATCTCGGAGCGGATCAAATGCTGCATCGTCTCCTTCGCTTGTTCGATCGGAACCGCGTCGCCCGCCATGACCCGCAGTACTTTCCGCAATTCGGAGGCCGGCGGATCCGAAATGATGTTCACCCCGGAATAGATGTTCACCACATCCTTCAACATGCGGCTCGGAATGTGGTCCAGGCCCTGCAGCACAGCGTCGCGAAAAAGAACGTAATCCGAGTTCAGGAAATTCACCAAGAAGCGCCCGTTGTCGAACGAGATGTGGTAGTGGCGCTATGCACTGAAAAACTTTCCTGCCCCAACCACCCCAGCATGCTGCTTGTTTGCACGAGCCACATAGGGAGGGATACTCTTTCACTCTCCGCATGCTGGGGTGGTCGGGACAGGACAGTTTTTGAGTGCATAGCACCAGAACGGCGAGGTTGGCGGTCAGGCCGAACACAGGGAGAAAACTGGCCGGGTTCAGCATGTAGACCCCGAGCTCCTTCTTCTCCAAAGTCACCCCGTAGTACAGCCCGCGGCGATATCCGGATGAAAATGCGCCAAGCTTGATGAACTTGTCATGCATAATTCGCCAAAGATTCTAAAAATGCATGACATTCTGATCATGCTCCCGCATGACAAACTTGCGCTCCTCGGGTTTATCATGCAAAAACGGAGCTGCAAATGGAGCTGTCCCGACCACCCCAACATGCTGCTTTGCATGACAAATTCAACAAGCTTGGCCGTTTTCCCCAGCTGATAAGATGACCTGCAGAATCAGCACCACCTGAAACGCGTGACTCTCCTCGTTGATCGCCACCAGCGGTTTTTTGCTCGCAGCCCAGTGCCGGAACCTGAAGAAGTTGTCGATCCGCTCCCCGAGCTCCCGCAAGATCGGAATAATGCGGAGGTCATCCGTCTTGCTGGCTTCCAGAAACGCCGCGATCTCCAGGCCGGGGAGAAAATAGTTGGAGCTGTGAGCCGCGATCTTGTCCGACAAGCACCACTGCCTCACCGAGTCGAGGATCTTCTTCATGTCGAACGGGAGCTGGTGCGAGCTGCGAAGATCTTCCACACTGCGGAAAATGTTCAGCGGCGAGAACACGTTCTCGCGCGCAAGCTCGATCACGCGGTTTTTGACACTGGCGGTCGTGGGCGGATTGGCCGGATCCAGAAGGTGCGGCTTCAGCTGCGAAATCGCAACCGGCGATTGTCGGGCCGAGTTTCCCCAAAGGCTCGGAAAGGCCTTGTAAAGCCGAAACTTCCCCGCCCAGCGGACGCGGGCGGCCGACAACGAGAAGCGACCCGCCAACTTCCTGAATATACGTTGTGCGGTCGTGACGAACCGCCAGTGGTTCTCCTGTTCAAAGTCCGACGTGGACCCAGCTATCGGGATATTATCCAACACATCCCGCGCAAGCTCCTCGTCGTGGATGAAAAGCCGCTGGATCCACTCCGCAAAAACAGTTTTCGGGCGAAGAAACAACCCCTCGGAGTTTTCGGCGTCCAGAATGTCGAACCGGATCACTCTGTTGGTGATCCAGCTGCTCGCTTCGCCGATGCGGTGGCCCAGCGTGTGCCACAAGTTGTAGGCCGGATCGAAGACGGTGCACAGCCAAAATCTGAAGGCGAAGATCAAGAAGATGAACACCGACTGCATTTCGGCAGAGTTGTGGATTTGGCGCGTGCAGTCGGTGATCGCCCGGAGCAGAATGTCCGGAAAACACTTCTCCGCGCTCTGCAGGAACTCGTGGTGCCCGGCCTCGAACATCAGGCCCGGAGACAGGTCCTGATACTTGTTGATCAGTTCCAGACGCTTCTCGTCGTCCAGAAGCGCCCCGCCGGTCACCTCCAAGTGGCAGAGGTGGTACTTGTAAAGACGGTCGCTCATGTTCTTGTAGTGGTTGAGCCGGTCCATGTCGCAGTACTTGATCGCGTTGTACAGCTGCACGACCTTGTTTCTGTCCGTCAGCTGCCCACCGGGATCTGCGCGCGGGGCAGCAGGAGCCGGAGACTATGCAACCGCAAAAAAAACTCACCCTCATAGCCCATGCTGCGTGATCTATCTCTATTTCCGCATGACAAACTGCGACACGTCACGCCATCAGCACCTGCGGCGAAGATGAGTTTTTGCATTTTCATAACTCGGGGTCTTCGTCATCGGCTTTCCCCTTATCGGCAGCGATGGGCGACAAATTCCCGAACAGCAGTTCTGCTTCACCATCAGCCGGCGGGTTGCGAGCATTGAAAGCTTCCACCTCGACGTTGTCCATCGGCAGGAGGCGGTTCTCCATAATCGGGGCGAGGACTGGCGGTGCCCGGCCCGGCTCCAGTTCCTCCGGCCTCTCGAACACTCCGGGCATGATGTGGCGCATATCGTCCGCCAGAACCGCGTTGGTGATCGCGTCATAGCTGTTCCCGTTGACATCCGTATCAAATCCGAGCACGACGCCGTCCGGAGTGATTTCAGACTATGAAACGGAAAACGGTCCAGGAAGTAAATCTGTAATGCGGAAAGTGGCATAGGTGGTGAGTTTGTCATGCAGGACTGACATATTACAGATTTACAGCTGGATGTTTTCGCGGTGGATACGAGCGGACGCGGCGCCAAATCCCAAAAATCGATCAACGTACCGTCCTCCGCCGTGCCATCCCCCGGATCCTCGCCCGGCCCAACCGACAGCCGGACGCGGCTGCTGTTGGTAAGCATCTCACGCAGGATGGCCAGGATGACTTCGGAATTTTCCAACAGGAGCAAGCAAATTTTGATCTCCGCGAACCACCGAGTTTCGACCATCGACAGCAATGATGCGTCTGTAATGCATTTTTCGGATACGAGATAATCATTTGCGAAAACAAGACTGCTGCATGTTCATCATCGAAAATTGCAAGTGTGGCGTCACATGTGTAACAGATGAGAAACAAAGAATCTCACTAGAGTGATGCTCTTCGCTGAGGGGTTCGGGCGCGTTACATCTCGAGGGTGAAACAGTAATGCTCGTGTTTCTAATCCCCACCTAACTGCAAATCGCGGAAGCTGTTTCACGCAGTTAGTGTGGGGCAGAAATTGTCTACTGTGTCATTACTTTTCGGAGGTAGTTCTGACCCCTCCGAAAGTGGCGCGTGGCTCTTACACCTTCAGTCCTACAGCTGAAGGTGTTTGGCCAGGGCGAGGTAAGAAAACAGAGAATTGCTGGGCGAGTAGTTCTCGTAGCCGTGGCGCGAGAAAAATGAAGCGCAGGCCTGGCGCTGCCTGTCCCGACCACCCCCAGAGGGGGATTTGCAGAGTATTCCCGTCTTGCTTTGCCACTTTGTGGCCAGTTCCTCGCTGTGCCCTCCCCCCCAGCTTCAGCATGACAAATCAAGAACGTAGATCGTGAAAAAGGGTGTAAGTCTTACTTTCGCGTAGGGCTTCCGCGGTCGACTTCCCGGTCTGAGTCTCGATGGCCTGGCTGAACCAGCCGTCGTTTTCTGCCGAGTCCAAAAGGCGGACCCGGGCGTCTTCAAAAGCGCCCCGAAGCGACTGCCTCGACCACTGGCCGCCCAGAAAGATTCTGAGGGCTTCCCTCACTTTCGACAGCTGCGGATACAGCTTGTTACAAATGTTCGAAATACGATGATGAACTCCCAAAGTTGGGATGCAGTTTAAGACCATCGCCAAACCGTACGAAGAGCGGACTTGCGTCTCCTCTTGATCCCCCGACAAGACGCAGGTGGTGCGCCATCCCGTCTTGAAGGGGCCCTTCAGCTTCTCGATCAGCTTTGCACCACCCAGCCAGTGCAACACACCAAACGTGTCCGACGCCTTTGCTTGCGCGGCCGCCCGCTGCCTGTTTTTTCCGCCCCCGAGTGCCCCACTGGGCCGCTGCAACGGCATCGCCCACATGTGCGTGAGGTACGACGCGGCGGTCTTGTGGGCGAACAGCATGTAGACCTGTTTGAGGTTTGACACACGCATTGAAAGCGATCGGTGAGAAACAAAGTGGCAAGTTGCTAAAACGCCAGCAAATGACTATCGCGCGAAAAATGCATGACAAATTTCCATATACCTGAATTCCGTTTTTTGTCTCCAACCCTTTGGTCGACGTGTCCTGGGCCAGACACAGAGTACGCTGCCACGTGTAGTCCGACAGGTACTGGAACTCGGGCGGGTAATCCAGCGCACAAACCCCGAGGCAGTTCCAGACGAAGATGATTCCCGCCATGCACGACCGCAACACGTTCATCTGGTTTGGAATTGTGAAAAATTGCATGACAGACTCTGGCAATCATGATGGGAGGGCTTTTTGCTGTCGACTAGTGGAGAACTGCATGACAGATTTGCTTTTGATGCAGAAGAAGGTCGAGAAGAAACAGAAGAAAAGTTACCAGCTGGTGGTGCTTCGTCGCCTCGTCGTCGCAGTAGTGCTTCTCCAGCGCCGCAGCAAGGAGCAGCCGCTGGTCCTCGTCGGTGAGGCACGACTCCTGCATCCGGACCGATTGGATGTACTCCTTCACGGTATCAGCGTACCCGCGCGTGGCCATCCAGTCCAGCATGAGAGCCTTTTTATTTTTGTTGGAATTGAGTGAGGAAGTTCCAGCCCGGGGAGCCACATGCATGAGACACAAGGAGAAAACAGAAATGGAAGAGGACAGATAGACTACTACGAAGTTTGCTTTTTGCATAACAAACTACGAAAACGACCGGAATACGCATCACAAACAACTATCAAAATGCTTATACCATCTCAGACCCGAAACTTCCGACGCATTCCCCTTTTTCCATATCCAAGCCCGCCGGGAGGGGGTGCTCCATGGCCTTATCATAACGCCAAGTCTCCCAAGCAGCACGCAGAAGTATGAAATTGGAAAGACTGGAAGTAGTTCCATTTGTGAAGCCCAGGAGTGCGCGGTCGATTTGTCATGCGTAAATCATGCAAAACGCTTCAAAAATAGAACCCCTTCCAACTTTTCCAATTCATACGGCTGCACTTCTTCCGGTACCAGTTGCAGCGCTGTTTTTCCGGCATCATCCGGACCAGGGACAGCACCCCGCTCTGCACGTGTTTCTTCGATTTCTCGACCATCTCGATTTCGTAGTGGCGTGCGCGAGGTCAAGAAGTAGAACGCGACGGCAAAAATGATTTGAGTAGTGGTCTACCACAGAACAGAAAGATGAAGAAGTGAGTAAAGTTGTAAAATGCGATAAGACTTAAGATAGTCCGCAATTTCTAATCCGCTGGAAATGTCATGGCTTAGCGATATGCATCTCAATGGTTGTGCTTTTTGGATTTTGCCGAAGGTTTTCGAACCATGAGAACCAGAGGACCACTTGTAATCTGTAATGCGGATTCTATGAAGTTTCGTCATTTGTAGTGCGGATCTAATTCGGGCCAAGATTTCCATTGTAAGACTTCGACTGCAGTGCGGAACTACTTCGAGCCAAGAGCTAGAGGAACTACTTATTTAGACCCGGGATTTCGATTTATCTGCTGCAGACATCGCGGAACGGTTTATCTGGAAGAAAAGGGGACAAGTAAGAGCAACCGCGCCAAGTCTGCCCAATTACTAGGCTTCGAGCAGCTGCCGCACAGGTTCGTTATTTCAAGCGGGGTTCATGTTGGTGTCGAGACACAAAAAAAATCAATCATCGTGGTCTGTGGCGCGCAGTAGGAGGATAAAACACTCTGCTCGTCAGCAGAGGAAAAGCATCTATATCGAGGTAGAAATATATTTGTAGTACTATCGCGTGCTGTATATTTATAAAAAGCTCGCATGAAACCTACTCCGCGTCGTGTCTACAGCAATAGGTGGCCAGCCCATGCTGCAGATACGGCGTTGAGATCGGTCGTTTTAAAAAACAGCGAGCGAAAAACCGTGGCTGCAGGGGTATTCGGCTTCTAGGAGTCTAAAAGTTGACGCATTCGCTTTTGGATGTATCAGTCAACGCTTCTTGCTAGGCGACTACCTAGAAAAAAAACATCAGTTTCGATTTTCTATCTAAGTTGTCATTTGTATTGCCAGAGGGCTGGTCTCGAAGTGCTCGAGATCAGCAGCAACTCCTCAAAAATTTCAACTACTTCTTCGACCCGGCATCCGACTTCATCGCGGATTTCGGTTCCTGGCCCGGCGTCTTCGCTTTCGCAGCTTCCTTCTTCGCCGACTGCGGGGTGGTCGGGGTTTTTTTGTCGGAGTTCGGAGTGGATTTCGACTTTCCACTCTTCGACCCACCACCCGGAGTACCAGCCGGCTTCTTCACCTCCTCCTTCTGCGACGCAGCGGGGGATTTCTGGGACGGGGTGGCTTTTAACTTCTTCATGACGCTGCCCGCGCCCGCAGCAGCGGACTTCCGTTTCTTTTTCATCGATTCGGGCGTAGAGTAGCTCTTCTCGGCAGAGCTGATGCCCTTTTTCGACGCGCGCTGCGGGGTGCCACCAGAAGACGTCTGCTGAGATTCGAAGTCGGTTGACTTCTGCGTCTCACCCGGGGAGGACATCTTCTGACGGTTTTCCAAAAAGTTCAAACATTCCAGAGCGTTCCGGTGCGGGAGGCGCGACGCCTTCATCGGACGATCACCCGTGCCCGGGGCCTCGACGTTCCGCAGGCGCGGCGGCACCAGCTTGTCTTCGGAATCCGAGGGCAACAATTTTTCCTTCTTGCCGCCGCCAACATTTCCCTTTCCCGCCTTTTTCCCCGCAGCCACCGTGGTCTTGTTGCCCAGCTTCCGCATGTTCTGACGGTGCAACGCCGAAAAGGGCATGTTGGAGGACTGCTCATCATTTCCATAAGCCTCTTCATCATCCACAAACTCCTCGTCGGATTTCGACGGCTTCTCATCGGAGTCGTTTTCCTCCTCCTCGTCGCTACGAAAGAAAGCGTCCAAGGAGTCCGCATCCTGCTCCTCGAAGTCCGAGGACGCTTCCAGGCGCAGATCCGAAGACTTTTTCTCCTTCCCCTTGCCCAGCGGCTGCTTGGCAGCGCGGGACTTCTCCTTGTTCAGCTTCTCTTCCTTGGAATCGCGACGTTTGTCCGGCAACGCGAGGATCTGCTTCGCCGCACGGGCAGCCGAGGAAGTGGATTTCTGCACGCGGTGGTTGCTGTGGGAGCGCTTTTTGCGGGGGGGCGGAGAATCGGACTCCGAGAGAACGCCCGTCTTCTTCTGGCGCTTGGTGTCACGGCGGCTGCCACGGGCGCGGCGCTTCTTGTCCTCGGAGCTCGACTCGGCGCGGGAGCGGCGGGCACGGTCCTTGATGGCCAACACCTGTGTGTGCGATTTGGAAAATTGAGAAGCTTCTCATGCGGGCTGGGGAAAGATTGGCTCTTGTGAGTCATTCGATTCGCGATACACATGACAGATTCGATCTATGTGCTAACACCGGGAAGAAATACGCATAACAGATTTATTTATACCGAACGCTTGCTCCGCTTGGTGTCCTTGATCGGCAGAGAGCGCTTTGTCTCGCGACCACGCTTGTAGGTGCGCTCCTCCTCGTCGTCCGTGGTCTGGTCGTTGGTCTTGTCGGAGTCGTCGGCTTCGGACGTGGAAGTGTCCAACGTTTTGCCCGTGTTCTTCATCATCTTCTTGAATTCGGCCACCGCCTTTTTGAACTTCCGCTTCGCATTCGCCCGCCACCACATCAATTCGGCCACCGCCGTGCGTTCATTCGGCGCCTTTTCGTTCCCCTTGGGGGGCTGTTTTAGTTGTTGCGGGGAAAATTTAAACTCTCAGGAACATGGAGATTTGAACAAAAGCACATCGCGCATTCTAAAAAGCCGAAACTTCAACCACTCTCGTGCATGACAAACTCACAAATATGAAGACGGGTATAGATGCTTATGCGTGCGTATCGGTAATTCCCATGGTTCTGTACAAGCCCACCGCCTGCGACGGGTGGCGGATGGCCCGTTGGACGTTCTGTTGGTCTTCACCAAACAAAAGCGCCACCCATTTCGTGTGAAAGTTCAGCTCGATGTCATCCCAGCCACTGAGGGATTTTGGGTTGGACAATGGAAATTTGTGATGCTGTCTGATACAAGATTGCGAAATCTCTCATGCTATTTCGTAAGGGGGGCCGGCAACGCTGATAGTAGGGACCGACGCGAGTCTGTGTTGCTATTTCTAAAGACAAATGACCTGCACCGACCGCCCCAACATGCGTCTTCGCATCATGTAGTAGATCAAGAAAAACAAAAAAAACCGAATTTGTCATGCTGAAGCGACGGTCTACGTTACTAAAAAAAACCAACGGAGATAAGTATACTTCTTGTATTTTTCGCCCGAGAAGATCTGCCCGCCCAATTTTTCCTCCGGCCGCTTTTCCAGCTCATCCAGCGCCTCCTGGCAGTCGGCAATCATCTCGCGGAGATCCTTCGGCGTGTCGTACTGCAGGCCCAGCGACTTCTTTGCCTTCCAGAGTCTCGAGGACTCCTTCCGCTTCTCGCCGGCATTCAAACTGGAATAATCTCCAGTCATCTTGGCGTTGTGGACGATGTTGGCGCGCGACATCTTGCTTGAGTGAGGGACCAGCAGAAGACGCAAATATCCTTGCGAAAAACAACCACTCAGCCGCCGGATACTCGTATATCAAATCAAACGAGACCACTACTTTCATGCGCTTATCGATTATCCCTCGGCTGCGTGGTTGTTTTTCGGATAAGATTGCCGACGGAAAGTCGGTGCAGCAAGTGGCTCTACGGAGGAGGTTTCTGCGCGTCTAGCGAAGAAGATGTTCTAGAAGTAGTTGTATCCGAGTCCAGGGGTCACGGAAGAAGTAGTTGAGATCACTTGCGCGAAGCAAATGATAGAAGCCCTGGCTCGTATGAAGATGGAGTTGTTGTTGTTTTCATTTTTGCGGCGCTGCTGATGCACATGATCCACACGCAGGAGCTTCGAGGATCACGATTCCGATCATGCGGAGGGATGGTGCGATTTGTGATGCGCGGTCTGGACCTGTTTCATTCTCGATCGATATTTTGACTGACATGAGCGGGACATTCTGAGCCAATTGCCACCATTTGCATGACAGATCTCGATCACAGCACTCCGATCGCCCAGCAGGCTGGATTTGGCCCTGGCATGCCTGATCAACCCAGATTTTCTAGAGCTTCCCGGATGAGCCTTGTATTTCGAACCTGGATGGGGTACTTAGCAAAAATTTGAGTTTTTTTGTTGTGAGGTGGGGCCAGAATGCGGCCTAGCACCCTTACCTCAGCCGACGCTCCGGATAGCACTTAATTAGCTTACGTTCTGCCTTCCTAACTAGATTAACTAACCTATAGCTGAAGCAACCGATAGCTAGAGTCGTCATATGTAGTTTCGACATAGACACTTCACGAGCAACATGCAAACTCACTTTAAAAAAATTCTGCAAGTTCACACCAAAAAAAAATCAGTGATTTTTTAGTATCGCCACAGTGAAACAGTTTTTTCCTTCGATATCATTGAAAGTCCTCTGTCACCAACCATGCGATCGTCCTATTCCTCTTCCTCCGCAGCCGGGGCCGAGCAGTTTCCACCCGGAAAAATCGCGCATGGTCTGGCTCCGTCCACCTCGCAAGAACCGCGTCGGGGAGGTCGTGAAGCAAGAACTGATAGTCAACTATTCGCCCGCGAGGAGGCGCTCCTCTTGCGAGAAAAATATCACGACCAACAGCAACAGGTTGTGCTATCTGCAATCGCAACTCCACCATCTAGTGCAACTTTCGCAGCAAGAGGAGCCGGACCTTCGTTTCAGCTGAAGCACTCCCGAGACAAGCTGCTGTCCACGTGCTGGGAAGAAGACCTGCTCATCGACCATTCCTTGCAGAAACGGAGGGAGCTGAACGACCCCACGAGGAGCGCATACAGGACCAGTTATTTTTCGAGCAAATTGCAGAAATTTCTCGCGGACAACGCCAGTGACGAGGACGGAGAGCGAGTGGATCACGAGGTGGACGATCATGACTGGAACAAGCTGGATTATCATCAGGATGTCGATCAAACACACGAACAGCATGTCTCTCTTGCGCAACAGTCCGCGTATTTCGCCAAGCGCAGTGCGGGGAAGATCGCGCGGCGCACCGAGGGACAGTTGGCGCTTGCTGGGCATCAACATGTTGCAGCTGGACGACGTTTTCATTATCGCATGGAGCCTACAAAAAGTGGAGGGTATACCGCGTATGAGCGTACCCAGGAAGATCATCAGCGGGTCCTGCCGCATGACCTCCATCATCAAGGAACTACTACGAAACAAGATGCTGTTGATCACGACGTTGTCACAGATGTTGAGCCTGAAGCTATTGCCGTGCTGGAAGAACTGCTCAAGTACCGGCAAGGAGGTACAGAACGGATGAATTTTGCCGGAGCTCCTGCAGAAGGTAGCTCGATGGGGAACTTCTACGCAAAAGATGGACAGACGGTTACCAGGCAGAAGAGGCTGGCAATACATGCGCGAAACAACAAGCAAGTAGACCAACGCCAAACTACATTCTCTCGACAGGAACAGCAGCAGCCACTCTATCTCGGTCCTCAGCCAAAGCAGGGAATGCTGTCCAGTGTCGAATCGACGCCGAGTAAAAGAACGGAAGCGAGTAATATGACACCGTCTTCAGCTCTTACCAGTGAGAGAAATCTTACCTTTTCAGTGGGCGGGACTTCCTCCCTCCAAGTTTCCCGGGCAAAGCTGCAGCTGCGGGCGAAGGAGAGGGAAGACCTGGATGTTGTGAACGATTTCTTGAACAGAACTGGCGACGAGAATTTTCACTTTCTACGACAGGAGCAAGATGATAACTCTCCATACGTTGGTCCATTCAGCAGGATGAACGCTGGCGACAGAATCAGTAGCGGCAACATGACATCAAACCCCTCCTCTTTGTCTGCGACACCGGACATTCTCAGGAGCAAAAATACAACAAGAGGTCGCGCCCAGATGAACTTCGTCGCCGCAGAAGGAGGTGCGGATGAAACACGACACCCGGTTGTTCACCAACCGCCTCAGCAGCTCTTCTACGCGGAGCCTGCGAGTACTAGCATGTTCGAATGCATGCCAAATCATCGAGAGGACTTTCTCACCCGAACCGCTTGTAGCGCAACACCACCCCCACCTCCAGGACGCGTAGCGAATAGGCTTTCCAAGAGCAGCAACATTCTGAAAAACGCTAAAGCGGACCACCGTCGTACATCCAAATTTGAAGAACACCTGAAAAACAACAGCCACTGGTGGCAGGACAGTGCTTTGGTTGGAAAGTACACACGAGTTGCAAACAGGTTTTTCCTTTTGAACCGCGCACCGAGAATCCTCCACCGCTGGCGGTTTTACGTATCGCGAAAGGAGCAACTCTGCGAGGATGAAAACGAAGTAGACGATCTTGAACACACAAATGTTGCAGAAAGCACCGCATTGCGTCCTTTTGATGCCACCAGCGAACGGCACAGCCACAGAGTGATAAACGAGGCGCATTACGAGCATGAAGACGCGCAAACCGCCCTGCTCAAGACCGCCGGCGACCACGATTTGACGAGCACCGCTTTCGGACTGCAAACAGCTTTCGGGGTGCTGGACTCCTCGACCAAAATCAGTTCTTGGCTGCTCCACCTCGACCGTGCCGAAGAACAAGCCGCGATTGCAACCAGCGGAAGGCAGTATCGCGCGAAGTGGCGACCTTTTTGCACTGCCGTCGTCCGTTTTGTCAACAGACATTTCCGGAAACACGGTTTGGAGAGCTGGAAATCGGGGAGAGTGGTGCAACGGGAAAGTGCGAAGAAGATGACTTGTCTGCTGAATCTTTTGAAGCAGAAGATGCACACGGAATTGGCCTGGGGGTTCCGCGTGCGGAAATTGGCAATGTTGGCGGTGACGGGGTTGAGGGAGAATGCTGTAGAGAGGAGGGGGAGAAAAACCACGAGTGAAAGAAATGTCGTTCTTGTCCAGATTGGCGAAACTACCAAAGCGGAAGTCGACAATGACGAAAACTCTCGCACCTCGTCCCCACAATTGACATCGTCTTCATTCGACTCGGACGGCTCAAGTAGTTGTATCCCCAGCGGACCAGAGTCTGATGAAGACCTTGCGTTCTCCCCCTTGGTGGGTCACAAAGAAGCAGGGAGTAAGTCGAGCGCCGCGCCAGGTCGAGCCGATGAGCGTCTTCTCGAAAGTGGCACTGCTCATCCCCAAGACTACAACGACGGTGAGGACAATGCGGTCAAAATAGAGACCATCTTGTCCCAGTACAATCCCTTTCAGACCACCAAAACCGCGAAAAAGAAAATCGACGAGATACGGAGGAAGAAAAGGAAAACATCAGGCGAGCGAAAGCAGCGTCGAAGGTCGAAGTCGTCCAAAAGTAAGAACACCTCGCAAGAAGATGAACTACAGCCAGCATCTAAAGGAAACAAAACTTTCGGCCCGCGCCCTTTCCTTCCGTCGTCCCCTCCCCTCACCGAAACCGACCGCGTCAAAGACCAGCAAAGGAGGGCCTTCTTTCGCTGGAGGCGGGGTACCATCGGCGTGGAGGCGCTTTCCCTGTCCGCGTGGCGGTGGGTGGTGAGGACGGAGAAGGTTGCGAGCTTGCTCCGGTGGAAAACGCTGAACCACGTGGCGAGGATGCGGAGTTTGTTTGTCTTGCTGAGAAAAGGATTCCTCAGTTGGAAATTAGCGCACATGCTGTTCATCGAACAGGGAGGTGTTTCGACGCCGCTGATGTTATCCTCCTCCTCCTCCGCTGCGTCTTCGATCGCAGAAGGGGGGTTCTCACCGTTGCTAGCCTGCAGCTCTCCTCCGGAAGCAGGAAAACTCGCGTTGCTGCGGCCCAGTCGCTCGGAGAAGCAAAGCCTTCAAGAAAACTGGTCGCGGATGAACACGCGGAGTGGACGACCCCACCAGGAAGCACTACATGGAGAACTGCTTTTCAATCGGCCGGCTTCTTCGTACAATCGTGTCCCGTTGGCGAAGCGAATGCTGAAAAAAGCGGTCCTGAAGTGGCGCAGTGGGATGCGATTTGGGTTGTTGCCTGAAATCAGCGTGTTTCACGCGGAGATGGTGGGACTCGAAGAGGACGCGGAGAAAAAAGTGGAAAGGCATGCGAAACGATTACGGTACTTTTGGTTCTTTTTTCTTACGCCCATATTTTGCTGGCTGATGTGACCTGTCATGCCTGATTTCACCTTCAAAATGCACGTAGTCTACTAGGTCGGTAGGTCTAGAAGCTGGAACTATGAGGGCGGGAACTGCTGCAGCACCGCTGTTACTCTGTGTTGCTGCTCAACAACACTGTGCTGTGATGGCGCAAGACAATCGTCATGAACTTCCACCACCAAACCACCTCCAGGAATCTCCTGAACCTGCGAAAAGAGCTGGCAGATGGTCGAGACGAGGTTTTGTCCTCGATGAGACAAGCGTCGAATTCCACAGTGGGCAGCATCTACTTCCGGAGGAACGTACCATCCAAGGGAGTGCCGCCGCCGACTTCGCAGCAGTTCTTGTTTTCCTCCGATTACTTCGCGTCGGGAGAGAGGAAGGAGCTTGTGCCGACGCAGTCTATTCAGGCCGGCAGTTCCTCGGCTGCTTCAAAAGAAAGCGCAATAGGGGTAAGTCACGAAGCTGTAGGCGGGGCCAGGAAACGTTCTCCAAATTATCATGCAGAAGAAGTTACAGGCCCGGCTGGTGCTGCTCTTCCGAGAAAAGCATCCTCTTCGTTGTCGACACGAACAGCCAGCAGTAGGAGCAGCAGGAACACGCGGGAACAAAAGAAGCTTCATCTAACCGATCTCGTTCGAACGGCCACCGGTGTGGTTGAAGATGTAGTTTCCGTATCTGCTCGAAGTGAAGACACAACTGATGCAGGTGTTGGACACGTGGTAGGAATGGATTCCGGAGCAGCTGCAGCAGGCGATGAGCACACATTAATTTCGGCAACAGCTGCAACCGGTGCAGATCGACAAATAAAAACAAGCACTTACATCGACCTCCTCGACCCGAATCTGCAGGCCCGCGTTGAAGCAGAGCACGAAAAAAAGCTCCTGAAGCAGCCGAAAAAGAAAAAACCTCTCTTGGCGAAGAGGTACGCGAAGGAGCAGCAGGCGTTACTGGTTCAGAAGATCAACGAGGAGCTGCAGGCGTCGCACCAATCGCAACCTTTGAAACACGCCACGGAAAGAAGGGCGCTGTTGAAACGGGCGAGCGACACGAGGCGCCGGAGAGACCACGACGACAGGAACTTGAACGCGAAAAGCAACGCGGAGGGTTTTCATCCTGTAGAGGACGGCACCGAAGAAGACGACGCTCTTCGCGAACAGGATGTGATTCTTGATATTGGCATCGCTGGGAACAAGCACCTCGAACCTTCCTCCGCGCAACTCTACGCCGCCTTGGACATGCTGGAGAATGCGTCGCAGGACATTCAGACACTGCGGAAGGGTTACAAGAAGCAAATGTCGAAGGACATTCTGCTTCGGGACATTGACAACGGGAATGATCCACTGTCCATGGCGGAATTGCTGAGGAGCCAGATGCGGGATGAGGAACAGGAACAACGTGCAGAATTGGAGCAGGAGCAGAGAGCGCAGCCAGAACGAGCTACAGATTCCGAGCTCATATTTGGGAAGATAAGAAAAATCTCATCTTCGCTCCCTTCATCACAGCAGCGTCAAATTTCGCGAACTACAGATCCGGACGGTGTGGTCTTACTTGGGGGACGCGAGAGGACTTCGACAAGTGCAAGCCAGAGCCTTGGCGCGGTTGCGGATCTTCGAGCTCGGCAAGAGTTGCAAAATAATTACGCGGATGATGAGATGACGATGACAAAGTTCTTTGGCCACGAGAATCACGCCTCCTTGTTCCAACGAAGGGATGAGGGGAAGGAGCGTGCTGTTTCAAACTCAATTGGAAACAAGCAGGACGATTTTTATGCTGGTGATGATGATGTATTGCCGAAAAAGCGGGAGCGGGAGCAACATCGGGTTGCTGGTAGAGAACAAATGAAAGTGGTGAAAACAGCTCCAGCATCTGGCAGAAATGCTGCTCCAGGAACTGGCAATAAGAATGGCGCTCAGAGCAGTAAAGTAAAGAAGAATGGCTTCCGTCGGAACCATTTTGCTGCTTTTGACGAAGACGACTACGCTACTGCGCTGAAACACATGACCTATTTGGAACAGAGACGCGCGATTCGCAATGTGACGCAAAGAGATCATGCATCTTCTAGTACGATCGTACCCAAAAAAATATCAGTTGAAGAATATCCTGTTTCTACCTGCTCGGTGCGGCGGGTGGACAAATGGACGGCCAAGTGGACGCTCTTCTTGGCTGGGTCATTCTGTGTTCAGTCGGTCTTGTCCTTGTCCATTTTTGGACCACCTTTCCTCCGGTTGACACACACACACACACGGTAGTGGTTGTCTGGCTCTGGTCAGCTCGATCCAGGGTCCTGTGCAGTACGGATCGACCCCATAAGCTTCACTGTGGAAGATCAGACTCAAAACCGTTCCACGAATCGATGGAAATACTGTCTGCGTGATGATCTAAGCACGACATGCTCAACATAACAGAAAAGTTCAAAGACTTCTGCTTCGGTGAAGAAGCGTCGTGTATAGTCTCCCATGTTCAGGAACGGAAAAAAATACGTGAGAACAGACCGCGAATGGACGAATACATAGGTCTTTTTTTTATGGACTTCGACAAAATTTTTCTCTGCCTGCTCTGCTGTGACATGCTGAGACGCACACGAAACGCGTGTCGCCAAGCAGAACAAGAGGCTTCATCAAGCGAATGACTTCACAATTGCAAAAATTCTTGTGGTACATCAGAAGCATTTTTATTGGAACACTCGGTGTCATTAGAGCGCTCTCTTTGCATCAAATCCTTCGCATCAAAGAGCAAGCAATTTTGCAACGCAAGCTGCTGCTGCCCCCCCCCAGCAGCTGCGTATTTTGATATTCCCCTCTCTCTCAGACTAAGAATAACCTGACCCTCGACGGCTTACTTAGTAGATTGCACCCTTGATAAAGCAGAAAATCAAACTATGGTGCCTCCTCCAGTTTCATCGGCGGGGTCGATGGACGAGCGCAGAAGTGCCATTGACGACGAGACTGACTTGCTTACTGGCCCTCGTGACATCAAGGATCCCATAATTACGAGCACGGCTAAACGACCAGACTTTCCCCACCACCCCTATCCATCTGGTGAGGTAAGTTTGTCCTTCACACATGAAGTCTCGCCCGCGTTTTCATCTTCAACTCCCACTGCAGCTGATGCCAACTCCTCCACCTCACTCTCCTCTTCGAAACCTCGAGGCCTTCTCCACGTTTCCCTGCGCAACGTTCGCCACGCAGATGCCAGTAAGGACCTCGAGGCCAAGCGACTTTTCGAAGTGATCGACAAAAACCGGACGCACTTGCGCGAATGGCTGCCCTGGCTGGACTTCGTGCGAAAATTCGAAGACGAGTTCTTCTTCCTAGACAAGACGAAATCAGACGGGGAAGCAGGCAGATCTTTCGTGCAGGTGATCGAAGTTCTTGTGACTGCTTCTAGCGCGGCTGCAGATGATGATGACGTCGCATCCTTTGATGTCGACGTGCCGGCAGTTGCCACAATCGCCGGTCTCTGTGGTTTCAACTTCATCGACCACGATCGAAGGATCGGCTACATTGGGTACTGGCTGTCGCAGGATTTTGAAAGGTGCGGCCTGATGACGAAATGTGTGGAGCAGCTGGTGGAGTATGGACGAAGAGAGTTTCAGCTGCAGCACTTCGACATCTCCTGTGCCGTCGGGAACCTGAAGAGCCAGAAGGTCGCGGGGAAGCTCATGGGGTTTCAGAAGTTAGAGGGCGTGAAAGACGTGGAGAAGTTGTACGGTGTGGAGCATGAGTTAGTGTCTTTCGTGAAAACCGTGGCTGATACTAAGCCGGACTATTCTGCGCGGGAAGCGCGGAGGGATTACCACATCAGAGATGTGATGCAGTAGGGGTGAAGTAACAGTAAGTAAGTTACGTAGAACAAAGTCGATCCGGATGAGCTGCTTATGTTGAGTTGGTTGATGAACTACAACTATCCTGCAAGCAAGGTACTCACATAGAGACAGTACGAAAGCCTGGTGGGGCCCGTCCAGCAGGCCCTGGCCCAGTAGTAGTCGCCACATGATGACGAGCATTATTTTTAACATGGACCACGCTGAACCCCAGGCGGGCGACGAGTTTGTGTAGAATAGTAACGAGATTCGAAAAGCTTCGCCCGCTCGGCGTGACAACGCAAACTTGCGCTAGAATGGGTAGTGGGCTTCGTGGAGGTGGTGGCTGAGTAAGCAAGGAAGGCGGCCCACTCCGGGGGGGGAGACCGGCCCCAACCCGTCCTGCAGGAACGCGCAGCCGCTTGCGCGAACTTTTTTCGCAGAGGCGCAGTGGTACTCGGTAGGGAACACACGCGAAGCCTTCGCTGGGGGATGGCGCCGCAGTTTCCCGGTCGCGGGGAAGACCGCCCCAAGCCCCCCCCTGTGTGCGCGCTTCTTTTTCTGCGTTGCATGTATGGAGGATCCGACTCATTTTCCTGTGTACACATCAGAACCACCCAGAGAGAAGAAGTCGCTGCGGCAGCGATGAAGAGACTAAAATCGCCCTCTCCTGCTTCCATGAAGAAACTTTTTAGCCCTTTGCTGCGCAATACCCCGCGCAGGATAGACGATGGCGATGATGACGATGATGATGATGATGATGATAAAAAGCAAATGATCGATCAGAAAAGATACTTAGCCAAGGACTTTAGAAGTTGCGCAGCCGGCCGCGCAGTCATGCCTGCTAGCCGGCACGCGAGATCTGCAGCAGGCAAGGCCCAGGAGGACCATGAAACGATGAGCAAAAAGGTACGTCGGGCACGTATGCCTGGCTTTGGTTCATACAATCGCCCCACCCTTTTCTATCCCCGTTTCATTTCCGAACAGCGACGCACCTAGTTTCTGCGCTTCTTTTTTCCACTGCAATCATTTACATTTACAGAAGTCCCAGCTTTTACCCATTGCTAGAAACTCTGCCGCTGTGTTGGCGCCGTCGGTCTTGTAACTCTCTATCACGTCGCGCCATCTCCTCCTGCAAGCGCAATTTCGCATCTAGTAGTAGAAGCTTGCGAGATACACTCCACTCTGCAACCAATGTCGAAGCCGGATTTTCCCAATCACCCGGATGAGAAGGGGCGAAGGGTGGACTTACTTCGGGGCGCCATGTACCACCGGCGCACGGGTTCGGAGAGAGAGAAGCGCGCCGACGGCGCAAACCCTGCGGAATGCATCTGGGTCGGGGACACGAAGGCCGCTAGCGGCCACGTCGTTTGCTGGTTCTTCACGTCGCAGGAACCAAAGGGACAAAAGGAGCCCGCCAGCGCTATGCTGGCGCGCGGGCGACGAATGGTGGCTGATATCAATCATGGCGCCCGGGGAAGTACATCATGGACTTGGACTACCGAGCCTCGGAAAATTTTATAGACGTGGCGGATGGGGCCTTCCGCGAGTTGCGGCCTGGCGTGACTCTGCGTCCGAACTATTTCAGAAGTATGTAGATAACAGGACGGCACCGAGCTAGAATCTGTAGATGAGGGCGAGCTTTTGCGAAGTCTCCGCGGCTATGTTATCGCTCTGCGTATATATTTTCCAAAACCCAAAGTCCAGGGCTGAATTGCGATTGCAGTACATTTTTCACGCGGCGCGCTAGCAGCTCCGTGCGCGTAGCCCTCTTGCGCACGTTCAGGGAGCGCCGCGTGCGTCGCAAGAGTTGTCTCCCCAGGGGCTGAGGCTCGAGCGTGTGTTGCGCCACTGGTGTGCCTGTGGTGTTATTAGAACGAAGTGGACACGTTGGCGTCTGTCGGCACTGTTGACTTCTGCGTAGGAAGCTGCCTCGCGATGAGTTCAAACGTGGCGCCCCTGCCTCGATCGTTCTATTTTCATCTTCCGCCCGGCTTTTTCTTTGCGTTAGATAGGGCGTCGCCACGCGCAACTCGTCGGCCCCTCGATCGTCGCTGTTATCCTTTGTCATCTGCTAGGCTTCAGCGTGTCGCCGCTTTCTGTCGCGGCGCCGGGTCGGTAGGTTCTAGCTATCGTTTACGCGGGTGCCTGTGCTTTCGTCTTTCGCGAATTGAGCGGAAGCTCCGTGCCACAACTTCTCGGACATGAATGATGGCGATGATGATGAAGATGATGACGATTTATTGAAGTGCGGGGGGCCCTCGCCCCCCCCCGCGCCCCCCCCGCCCTTGCGATATGATGACGATGATGGTGATGGCTGGACGTGTGAAATTTTTATGATGTTTTGCTGCCGTTTGGATATGTTGCTTGATGAACCGCCACAATCTCACGAATGATGACGACGATCATGATTATTATCCCCGCCCCACGTACACGATGACGATGATGATGATGATGAGGAAGTGCGGGGGGCCCTCGCCCCCCCCCGCGCCCCCCCCGCCCTTTCGATATGACGATGAGGATGGTGATGGCTGGATGTGTGGGATTTTCATGATGTGTTGTTGACATTTTGATATGTTGACTGATGAGTCGCCACAGTCTCAAGAGTGAATGACGCCTCTTCGCCCCAGTCTCTGATGTGAATGACGATGATGATGATAGAGATCATTCGTCTGCGTTTTCAGTGCAGAGTATGATTTTAAGACTGCGATGAAGATTTTAAGATTGAAATAGTGATGGCATGAGAGTGTATATAATTTTTTCAAGATGGAGACTATGAATGAGATTGAGACGAAGACTCCGAGATCGAGACATTGTGTCTAAGATCGAAGATTATGACTTTCGAAAAGAAGGTATGGCTTTGAGATCGCGAGAATGATTCGGGGATCGAGATGATGGATTATGTTTTTCTATATGAGATTATGACTTGAAGGTCGAGATAGTGGCTCATGATGATTCTAAGATTGATGATTCTAAGATCAAGATTGAATTTTGTGAATCTGAATGCTGTGAATTTTGTGAACTCCGAGCAAGTCTTATCATGATGTGCGACGAAGAAGAACTCAAAAAGTTCAGTGAACTCAAAAGGTGCACTGAACTCAAGAGATGCATTGAACTCAAAAGGTGCACTGAACTCAAAAGGTGCACTGAACTCTTTTGAATTTTTGTTAAAGTTGTAGATATGACTATCAATACCAAACGCAAAAGGTAGTAGGGCAGTAGCAAAGCGTGAGTGTAGTCTTGAAGAAAAAAATCAATATTAGCTCTGAAAGCGTCACTTCACCCAAGTCGTTGCTCACAGACACAAGAAGACAACCATGATTGTCCACGATGATGAAGATGATGATAATAGCACTACTGCGCATTTGCAGTCAGCTTTAATATCGTATCTGCTTGGTTTTCTAGGACTATTATTTGCTGTCAGCATTGTGAAGCACGAACACGATATAATGAATGATCAATTATGAATTAAAACTTCGACTACAACAGTAACTCGATGGCACAGCGACAAAAAGGAAAAGCATGACTTACTTTCTGTGCAGCGCACAATAAGAAAAGTGCACTCTCGAAATCGGACAGCACGACGGTCTCAATTTAGTTTTAGAGCTGTCTCTGCTTCTCGTCCTCTCTGCAAACGCGAGGCCGCAGTTTCCCAAGCCGAACGCTGTACATAGGACGGAATGATATTTGCATGCGTGCTATGTCTTTCCTCTTCCTTGTTTTCAGTCATTGCGCATGCTCAGTTGCTTGAACTTGATGGCTGCACTATTCGTGGTTTTTCGTATCGATCTTTTATTTTCATTTCGTTTTCCACCTCTTCCTCTTGTCTTCCGTAGCCATTTTTCATCTGGTTCAAGGGTTCATATCTCGCGGGTGGAAACCAGGACCTTCTTTGATTTCGCGCGCGACTTGTTGGATTCCTGTGGGACACTCTGACTCGCGCATCATACAGCACTATACGCCAAAACAAGATGGCGCCTCCACGAGGTTCGTATACTTGCACACTGTACTTACTGTGTGGCTGGTGGTTTCCGTGGAGCGGAGCAGGCGAGCTAGCGCCAACTTTCTTATTCGCGGAGAACGCGACTGACGCCTTGACCACTGACCGCTCTCCGCACTACAACCGCCACGACGACTCACAGCAAGTGCGTACGACCATTGTGGATACAACAGCGGAGTTCACGGATGAGGAAGTCAAAGATGAAGGCGCGGGCGAGTCGGGTTTCGTGGAGAAATCACTATCTGGCGACTCCAGTACTAGTGGAGATGAGTTAAAAGCACCCTCCACGACGAGAGCTGCCGCGAATGGCAAGACCACGGCGCACGGGGATTACAGCGTTGCCGTGGAGGGGTTGGGAGCGGAGCGGAGCGGAGCGGAGCGGAGCGGAGCGGAGAGGACACGAGGACGGCTCGGGTCGGATTAGGTGGAGGAACGAATGAAACTACGGAGTCCACAGGCGCGGCTGAGTCGTTTCTACTAGTCACAAGAACGGGACCCACAGGAGTACTAGCAGCCGCTGCCGCAACAGGACGAGCATACGCGGCACGATGGTTTGGGCGGGCCAGCACCGCAGCGAAAAATCTCCGAGACGAAATAGTCCAAGAAGCAAGAGACTTACAGGCTAAGTTCAACCTGAAGATTATACAAACCTTCACTGTGTTGGAAGAGGTTGGGAACCATATCATTAACGAACAGCATCCCGAGCTCGCGTCAGCTGTGGATTCGATGACATCAGGCCTACACTTCATCCAGGACCACATCGACATGATCAAGAGTGCGAGATGGAAGTTTTCGCTTTGGACGACGCTGCAACATTTGTTTTGGGAGAACCAAGGCGTGCTCAACTCCATCGAACACCTGCAAGTTTGGACGGGCGAAGCTTCCCATGATCGCGAGGTCGACATCAGCGTCAGCGACAACTTGGTCTTCGAAAACCACAAGGGGGTCACAGTTGACGAGCAACATGAACGTGCTTACTTCAGTCTGGACCAACGGCGGAAAGCAGAACTCTACCGCACAGCCGTTTTCTCTTACTGTGTTTACAAGTTTGGCCGGATTGACGTCATCAAAAGTGCTGATAAAAATCCTTTTGAAATAAAAAGTGCAACAGCGGGAGAGCATCATCATCTGCTGATGAAAGACTCGGCTGGAGGAGACCATGGACGTGTAGACCACTTCGCACACGTTGTGGAGTTTGGTCACTATATCGCGGCAACGCATGCTCATCCTGCGTACATGATTTTGCGAGACGACTCGTTGCAGGCTGTTGTTGTGGTTGTTCAAGGGACTGCAACCCTCGGAGACGTCAAAACAGACGCACACTTCGGAAACTGCTGGGTGAAGTTGGCGGACTTCGGCGTCGGCGACGAGGACAAACATCACCATTTCGTCGACAAAGAAGGGCGGGTGAAATACAACTCACATCACCCGGCCGTGCATAAACACCACGACAAGAACGAGCACCACAATCATCACGAGGACCACATCTGTGCTGAGCACAATAGGGTACACAATCCAGACCCCAAGACGATGATAAGGGTGCACGAGGGTTTCTTCAAAGCAGCGCACTACATCAGCTACAAGACGTTCAATGATGTGCACGCCTTGATGTTGAAGAAACACCCCAATTACAAAAGCGTGATCATCACGGGGCACTCTCTCGGTGCAGGAGTAGCGCAGCTGGTGTACGCGATGTGGCGCGGTCAGAAAGTGTTTCACGACATCGATCACGCTCGTCGTGAACAAAAGAAACAAAAACATACTCAAGCCGAGGACAAGCATGAGCACGACCATCACCCTATCGAAGTCAAGTGCTACGCCCACGCGAACCCGGGCATGATCAGTACCCACGCGCAAATGCACCATTTGAAGGAAAAGGCCAAGAGCAAGGAGATCATCGAGGACCGTGACGAGCTTTTCCCGGTGAAATCGTTTCTGTCGGTCATATGCACTTCAAATACAACGACTGGGTCTAGTAGTGGAGTTCGCTTGTTTATTGTCTGCAATTGAGATACGGGACCGTCTTCGAGTCGAAGATGGTCCCGTATCTGGATTGCACGCGTAGGCCTTACGGGTCTATCGAAGGCTTTTCAATGCTTATTCTCCAGTGGAAGTTCGCTCAGTGTGTCGAAAGAACTGGATAACTTTGAATGTGTACCAATGTAAACACACCAGATTTTGTTGTTCGTGTGACCCAGAAACAGAATTAGCATCATGGACGTAGACGTGCAATTTTCCAGCAGATTCAGACATCATATTTGCAATGCATAGGTGATTGCCGGTGACGATATCATCCCGCGTGGGAACTACCCGCAGCGGATGCTGAAAATGGCTGCAACGGCGCTCGAAATCCTATCGGACGAGCCGGTTTCCGAAGAATGGACGATCGAACATGCCCGCAACATCTGGACGAAAGTCGACGCAGCCCAATCGAAAGTACTACACACCAAGAAAGATGCTCAGTCTGGTGGTGCATTACCCTCGGGGCAGGTGATGCTCTATTTGCCAGGTCCTCCAGAACCAGAACCCGCAGCAGCAGAAGAAGGGAAAACAGGACACCAGGCAACAGATGGTGAATCGTTTCCCTGGGAGCCTGCGAAAAGTGTGGCTGCTGACGGCGAGGAGGAAAAGCAGAGAAGCCGTATGGCGGAAAAATTCGGCTTCGCGTTTGTGGCTTCAGCCACTGTTTTGAATCCCATTATTGGAATGACCGGCTTTCTTTCGCATAAGTGTACAAACTACATTGCGAAATTGGCAAAGCTCTTTGTTAGTGACGAAACTGGGCTGCTGCTCAAACAAAGTACGCGTCCTGCGTAATCGTTTTTCTGTCACTCGATTAGACGCGACGCAGCATTCTGTGACACAGAATCTGCGTCGCCCTACGGAACAACCCATGTTGTTTCAGCAATTTTATACTCCTTCGGAAAAGAAAACGACCATCTTAGATAAGCCGACATTACGCTTGAGCAGTAATTTCCGTTGTCATTGCGACAGGCAACTACTTTATATGCTAGCTACCTAATTTATAATTGTATCATCCCTGCTGCAAGAACACAACTTCCTTGTCGTTGCAGCAGTGGTGTTCGATTATTAGTGACGGCAGATCTTTCCGAAAACATATCTGTTGGCAGAACTGTTAAAACCGTAGCCAAAATTTCTCTACAGGTAGATGCAGTTTATTCCACGTGCTGAACACATCTGTTTCAAGATTGTATTTCTGTTTCACCACCGCTAGCAGGAAGCAATATGCAATTTTTACTGCGCACGTGATTGTCCTCCGATGTAGACAATATCCGTGCCTTTTTCAGCGTTTGCGTACGGCTCTGCATCTATGGCCCTCCACGGGTTCGGTATATTTTCGAAGGTTTTTTCTATTTAACCCGCAGCTGCACTCATGTGCGCCGATTCTAGTATATTGTAGAACGTAGAGGTAGATGTCGTTCGCCGCACACAGTGGGACTTGTCCGTTGTTTGTCTAAATATTCTTCACATATGCAGCACAAACTTCAGCAATTCGTGAGAGTTTTCGCATAGTTTTTTGCGATATTCGAAAATTTTCTCGAGGCGCTCGCCGTCGTGGTTCTGACATCATTCTGCCTTTCTACAGGCTAGATCTCGCATCGAGTTCTCGCGGAGTTTAGTAGCAGATCTGAGGTGCTACAGGTACAGCATTTCCAAGGTTTTTCACCTTTCTGTACTCGCTGCCTGACGACAGAAGTCCAATTGTCGAGCGCAGAAGAGAAGTATCAGTGCCGGAAGAGAGCACTCAGAATCTTTTTCCAGCGTTGCCGGCGCAAATCCCCGCTCGCTGAAGAATCTTGTTGCAAAAGTGACTACTTAGGTTGAAAACTAGTTTCCCTTTCAGGGTCGCTTCTTGCTAAAGCAAAAAACTAATTGTCCACGACGCTCCGTGTTCGGGTGTGTCTAAGCCTGACCATGTGTCTTCTCTTAGCGAAAGTGAATGGCTGTTCTACAAACCGCGTTGCGCAGCGCCCGTGCGTTCAGCTTGCCAGCCTATATACTAAAAAACGGCTACTTTTCAACCTGTTGGTCATGGAAATCGATCCCGCACACACGTAACACGATCGCCCCAAATGAAGCCTGTTCCATGATGAAAATGATTGAAGGTTCCGACTCAAATCGACCCCGTGGCACGCTGTTTCGTTCGGATTTTACCTGGGCCAGCCGTCCCTGGTAAAATCTTGAGCAGGGACCACGGTCCTGAGTAAAATCTTTAC